TACTGTTGCATCTGGTTCAGTGGCCTCCTGCCTGCAACCCACAATTACAGTGGTCCCTTAAGAATATACAAAGAACAATTTTAAATCTATTATTATTATTATTATTATTATTATTATTATTATTATTATTTCCTCTATCAAAAAATCCCAGGGCAGTGTACAACATTGAGAACACACTATACAGAGCACAATAATAAAAACATAATAAAAAGCATAATAACACAACGACAGTGGGAGGTACACCATGGCTAATGCAGCAAGCAGCCAGTAGTGATGTATGGAAGAGCTGGACCATAAAGAAGGCTGATCGCCAAAGAATTGATGCTTTTGAATTATGGTGCTGGAGGAGACTCTTGAGAGTCCCATGGACTGCAAGAAGATCAAACCTCTCCATTCTTAAGGAAATCAGCCCTGAGTGCTCACTGGAAGGACAGATCGTGAAGCTGAGGCTCCAATACTTTGGCCACCTCATGAGAAGAGAAGACTCCCTGGAAAAGACCCTGATGTTGGGAAAGATGGAGGGCACAAGAAGAAGGGGACGAGATCATAGAATCATAGAATCATAGAGTTGGAAGAGACCACAAGGGCCATCGAGTCCAACCCCCTGCCAAGCAGGAAACACCATCAGAGCACTCCTGACATATGGTTGTCAAGCCTCTGCTTAAAGACCTCCAAAGAAGGAGACTCCACCACACTCCTTGGCAGCAAATCCCACTGTCGAACAGCTCTTACTGTCAGGAAGTTCTTCCTAATGTTTAGGTGGAATCTTCTTTCTTGTAGTTTGGATCCATTGCTCCGTGTCCGCTTCTCTGGAGCAGCAGAAAACAACCTTTCTCCCTCCTCTATGTGACATCCTTTTATATATTTGAACATGGCTATCATATCACCCCTTAACCTCCTCTTCTCCAGGCTAAACATGCCCAGCTCCCTTAGCCGTTCCTCATAAGGCATCGTTTCCAGGCCTTTGACCATTTGGGTTGCCCTCCTCTGGACACGTTCCAGTTTGTCAGTGTCCTTCTTGAACTGTGGTGCCCAGAACCGGACACAGTACTCCAGGTGAGGTCTGACAGGAGCAGAATACAGTGGCACTATTACTTCCCTTGATCTAGATGCTATACTCCTATTGATGAGGCCCAGAATTGCATTGGCTTTTAGCTGCCGCGTCACACTGTTGGCTCATGTCAAGTTTGTGGTCAACCAAGACTCCTAGATCCTTTTCACATGTACTGCTCTCAAGCCAGGTGTCACCCATCTTGTATTTGTGCCTCTCATTTCTTTTGCCCAAGTGCAATACTTTACATTTCTCCCTGTTAAAATTCATCTTGTTTGTTTTGGCCCAGTTCTCTAATCTGTCAAGGTCGTTTTGAAGTGTGATCCTGTCCTCTGGGGTGTTAGCCACCCCTCCCAGTTTGGTGTCATCTGCAAATTTGATCAGGATGCCCTTCTTGAAGCTACCAGCATGAGTTTGACCCAACTGCGGGAGGCAGTGGAAGACAGGAGTGCCTGGCATGCTCTGGTCCATGGAGTCACGAAGAATCGGACACGACTAAACAACAAGAACAACAACAGCTATTGATAGCTTTATTCTTTCCTCGATCAGCAGCCTCTGGCTCAGAGCCAGGAACCAAGTCTACAGCCTCCGACATGGTGTTCTGCCGCTGTAGGTTCCAAGGTTGTTAGAATTTAGGCATCAGGCTAAAACGTTCCTGTTACCTTGCACTTTAATAAATGTTAGTACTGCTAAAGTGTGGGGCAGTTCTGATATTTTTTTTATGAAAGATTTTCTTGATTTACAAAAGTGTGTGCAATGTCTCTCTCTCATATTTTTCCCCCCATGTAACATTTTTACAAATCAGTCAGTTCTGATATTTTTATGGTTACAGTGGTACTTCGGGTTACATACGCTTCAGGTTACAGACTCCGCCAACCCAGAAATAGTGCTTCAGGTTAAGAACTTTGCTTCAGGATGAGAACAGAAATCGTGCTCCGGCGGCGCGGCAGCAGCAGGAGGCCCCATTAGCTAAAGTAGTGCTTCAGGTTAAGAACAGTTTCAGGTTAAGAACGGACCTCCGGAATGAATTAAGTACTTAACCCGAGGTACCACTGTACTTTTAAAAAACTCATTGATGTTTTGACTTTTATTTGTTCATGCTGTATCTTTTTAATAAAAGATATTTTGTATACACTGTTAGCTGAGCCAAAGTACTCAACCTACCTACCTACAGGATATAATCCCTTCATGGTGGTGCATTCAACCATGTGTGGCCCTACCCAAATCTGAAGTCCTGCAGTCTAGACACAGGTTTACCACCACAGTGACAACGACCTAGGATGCTCATGTGCCCTACTTTAAGGAGAACAGTCCTCTATTTGATGGAATCTCCCCATCAAGTCTGGGTTGAAAATGAAGAAGAAGAAAAAAACCCCTGGGAGATGATTTATAACGAAATGAAAAAGGTATTCAAATATACCTTTCTGAAGAAACCAGAGGCCTTTCTCCTGGGCATGGTCGGCCAATTGGTGTCAAAGAAGGATAGAACTTTCTTTATGTACCGTATTTTTCGCTCCATAGGACGCACTTTTTCCCCTCCAAAAATGAAGGGGAAATGTGTGTGCGTCCTATGGAGCGAATGCAGGCTTTCGCTGAAGCCTGGAGAGCGAGAGGCATCGGTGCGCACCGACCCCTCTCGCTCTCCAGGCTTCAGGAAGCTATCCGCAAGCCTTGCAAGCCCGGTGGGAGTTCCCGCGGGCTCACAAGGCTTGCAGGCAGCAGCCTGCAGCCCCGGCGAGTGTCCGCAAGCCTTGCGCGCCCGGCAGGAGGTCCCGCCGAGCGCGCGAGGCTTGGGGCAGCAGCTAGTCGCCCGAAGCACGGGAGCCCTCCGGAGGGCTCCCGTGCTTCGGGCGAGTGTCTGCAAGCCTTGCGCGCCCGGCGGGAGGTTCCGCCGAGCGCGCGAGGCTTGGGGCGGCAGCCTGTCGCCCGAAGCACGGGAGCCCTCCGGAGGGCTCCCGTGCTTCGGGCGAGTGTCTGCAAGCCTTGCGCGCCCGGCGGGAGGTTCCGCCGAGCGCGCGAGGCTTGGGGCGGCAGCCTGTCGCCCGAAGCACGGGGAGCCCTCCGGAGGGCTCCCGTGCTTCGGGCGAATGTCTGCAAGCCTTGCGCGCCCGGCAGGAGGTCCCGCCGAGCGCGCGAGGCTTCGGGCGGCAGCCTGTCGCCCGAGCACGGGAGCCCTCCGGAGGGCTCCCGTGGTTCGGGCGAGTGTCTGCAAGCCTTGCGCGCCCGGCAGGAGGTCCCGCCGAGCGCGCGAGGCTTGGGGCGGCAGCCTGTCGCCCGAAGCATGGGGAGCCCTCCGGAGGGCTCCCCGTGCTTCGGGCGAGTGTCTGCAAGCCTTGCGCGCCCGGCAGGAGGTCCCGCCGAGCGCGCGAGGCTTGGGGTGGCAGCCTGTCGCCCGAAGCACGGGGAGCCCTCCGGAGGGCTCCCCGTGCTTTAGGCGAGTGTCTGCAAGCCTCGCGCGCCCGGCAGGAGGTCCCGCCGAGCGCGCGAGGCTTGGGGCGGCAGCTGCGGCGGGGGGGGGAATACTTTTTTTTATTCATTTCCCCCCCCCAAAAAACGAGGTGCGTCCTATGGGCCGGTGCGTCCTATAGAACGAAAAATACGGTATGCAACAACAGCAGCAAGGATACTCATCGCGAAGTATTGGAAGACACAAGATTTACCCACCCGGGAAGAATGGCAGATGAAGTTGATGGACTATATGGAATTGGCGGAAATGACTGGCAGAATCCGGGACCAGGGAGAAGAGTTGGTGGAAGAAATATTGTAAAATCAATGAATGTTAGAAAAATGTTGGAATGAAGTTACATGGATTTAGTAGAAGTGTTATAAGGAATTAAGTACAATTAGATTAATAGAGTATTAAAGGGAAAAATAAGGTTAGAATGAGTTAAGATAATTATAGGATAGAAAACAGAGGAAGATGGAAAGGAATTGCTGAAGTAATTAACAGAAGTGGAATACAAAAAGGGAGGTGTGAGGAGGTCGTGGAAATAAGTGAATGAAAGATGGGTTAATGTTTGATTTATTTTATTGTTTTTGTTGTGTTTTTGTTAGTTTAATGTATTGTATTGTTTTGTTTTGTTTTTTTCGTTTTTTCGTTTTTTCTTTTTTTTCTTTTAGTGTTTAAATTTTTTTGGAAAAGCAATATTATTTAAAAAAATATTATTGGATTGTAATTGAAAACTATTAAACATTATTTAAAAAAAAATGAAAATGAAAAAAACCCCAAGATGGCCGAGCCGGGATGGAGTGGAGATTAACACTATGCGCTTGAAACGCATCTCACACACGTGACTTCACCCCCTGGGAACTGTAGTCTTTCCCTACAGTGCTACAATTCCTAGCACCCTTAAAGAACTACAGTTCCCAAGTCTCTTTTGGGGAATTCATTTTTTTCTTTTGGGGTGGGGTGCGTTGAAATGTTTTGCAGTGTTTTCAGTGCTGGTTTCAATAGGGTCACTTACGGTTCTGCCTTGGGATATAAATAAAATGTAAAATAAATGAAAATGTATGGTGTGGATCTTGCCGGGTAGTTGCTACATCATCCACAGTCTGTGGCTGCATAGCCGAATGAGCAGCCACAACAGTTACCACGAATATATTTCTGCTTAAATTGTTGCAATTGTTTCGAAACGCGCATCTCCGCAAAGAAGCACGCGCGCATTTTATGCAAAAAGGTATCCTCTTTTTTGATTATGCATTTCATCTGTAAGTTAGTGGGTCTCCGCACTGAAAATGCTACATAGTGTCCCCTTGCTCAAGGGGTTAAACGTAGAGAGCGAGACTTCCTAGAGAGAGACCCAGGAATTTCAGCTGCAGACGCTCCTTCCTGCTTCTTGTCCGCACCCCCCCCCGCACCCCTTGCATCACTCCTGGAAAACTGGCTTTTGGGATTTGGTAGCCCGGGATCTGACTGAGCGGGGCGGCTGCAAATTCTTCAGATGCGCGCATGCGCGCCATGCAGAAGCCCCAAGGAGCAGGTGGGTCAGAGGAGGGGAGATCTGTCTGCAAGGAAAGGGGTGGGTGGGTGGCGGAATAGCAGAAATCCATGGCTGGAAAAAGAGAGATGAAGGCAGCAGGGTTGATCCCTCCCTTTTCAAATAGGCTGGCTACCGCCCACCCCTCTCCGCCTGCAGAAACGTAGGGAACTTCCTCGTGCCGAGTCAGATCACATTGGTCCATAGAGCTCAGTATTGTCGGCACTGGCCGGCAGCCGCTCTCTGGGGGTTAAGCCCGGGTGTGGGTGTTTCTTTGCCATGTCTGCCTGCAGGGATCCTTTGCATTCAAAGCTTTCTTACTGAACTAAAGCCCTTCCCCACAAACGTCTCTGGCGATCTCTGCAAAAAGTGCTCTTCCTAGGGATTTAGGAACATCAGAAGCCGCCTTTGAGTGATTTTGCACTATATTGTCACACGGACTTTCAGCAGCTCTCCAGGGGCTGAGAGCTAGGAGTCCCTCTCCCAGCTTACCTGGAAATGTCAAGGATTTTAGCTGCTTTACCGCCAAGCTTTGAGTCTTCCCCAAGAGCTGTATGACAGACAGAAAGCCAACTGGAAGAACTCATTTTTTTTATCACTGGGTTCTATGTAAAAACTGCATTTTTAAGGTTTTTTAAAAACTAAAATAAAATTCTGCTGTATGCTGCCCTGCTGTTTTGCCGAAGGGTGGTGTATAAATAAATGGGAGGGTGGAATTAAAAGCAGAAAGCTTGGTGGTGGAAACCCAATTCTTCAATGCCTTCGAGGTGTCTGCATTTCTGAATGCCCATGCATTTTAATTTGAATTGGAAACTTTTTCAGCATGAGTGCCACGTTTGGCTTGAGCCCCCACCCCTCAATGTGCAATGCCTTATCATCAGCTGTATATTTTATGATAGATTGCCAGTGATGGCCCAAGTTGGTGCACCAGATCTGAGAGCCCAGCATCGTCTCCCGATGATGATGATGATGATGATGCTCCCAATGACCAGCCCCTGGCCACTACTTCTGGCTGTGGAGGCCTCTCAACGATTGCTTACTCATGAGTAGGCCCCTCTGGATCTGTAGGTGCATATGGAATCATCATTGCTAATTCAATCCGGACCTGAAACTTTTGATGTTGGTGCTGTCAAGGACTGAGACAGTGGCTGACGGTTCCAGGAGTCTTTCCTTAGGTATCAACACAGAAAGCCCCTTAAAGGGGATCCTCAGGCCTAGATTCAGGGGGCCTCGCCCACTCTGCAAATCCCCAGCTTATGGAGTGTTTGATTTGCCCTCCAAACACCCACAAGCCTGGTGCCAAGTCAGGGCATAGGCATGACATCCAGGAACCCATGTTGGAATGTCCTCTGGTTGCTGTGGCAACAGGAGAACAGCTCTTTTTCTTCAAGGCCTCCTCCTGGTAGCTCTCTGGACAGGCAATCTAGCCCCTATTCTAGCCCTCAGGGGAGTGTCTGCAGCCCCCCAGAGCCGCCCCCCTAGGCTTTGCCTTTTCACAGGGTGAGAGGGCTGGGCCTTGGAGGCCTCTTCAAAGAGCAATAAATCTTCTCACTGCTGTCGGGGTTTCCAGAGCTTAGCACAAGGGTAGAGAAACTTGTGGGCCTCTGAGAGATTGCTGGACTACAACTCCCATCCTCCATGGCCGTTGCCCATGCTGGCTGTGGCTGATGGGAATTGGAGTCCAACAGCATCTGGCAGGTCTCAGGTGCCCCAAACCTTGCCTCAGGGGGATGCTGCACAGGCCAGAATGTGCCCCTCTTGAACCCTAGGTCAGAAAAGAACTGAGTCAGCACCACTTGCAAGCTTTGGGCTGGTCCCATGCCTAGGAAGCACAGGCCTAAGTGGTTTTCCGTTTGCTCCACCTCATTCCCCTGGGAAACCTGCTTTTTGCTGCTGCATCAGAGCAGACGTCGACCTGTGGAGAATGCGATGGACATTTGCTCCAATTCAGCAGTAAAGAGTGGGAAAATAGCAGGACAAGAAGAAGTGCAGACAAGCCCTCAGTTTGGTTCTCCAATCATTTGTAGAGCAGTGCACTTTGATTGTTGCCACATTTCCACCTTACTTTTACAGCAGTATTATACCACTTTAACAGTCATGGCTACCCTCAAAGAATTCTGGGAAATGTAGCTAGCTAAAGCTGCTGAGTGTTGTTAGGAGACCCCTCAATTCCCCTCACAGAGCTACAGTCAGTGCTTTCCCCCCCAAAAAAGTTTAGGGGTACTCTCATTTTCCTACTCATACTGAAATACTGCCCCTCAATGAGGTCAAACACATTCATGAAATTTTTAGGGGTATGCGTCCCCCCCAGAAAAAAAGCACTGGCTACAGTTATCAGAGTAGCTTACCAGTCAGTCTCTCTTTTCAGGGACCTCTGGGAGTTGATGCTCTGTGGGGGGGAATAGGGCTCTCCTAACAGCCCTCAGTATGGCAGCCATTATTTATTGCTTCTTACTCATTGCCGGCTCCTGAAATCAAGAATCTTGTTTTCCTACTGATTCCACCAAAGTGTGTGTCCTACTGGGGCTTTGTGGGTTGCAGAGCTGTAGCTAGCTGATCTTGTGCCCCTGGCAGAACCGTCAAGATTGCGCCCACTAGGAATGTGGCACAGAAAAAAATAGGGAAAAACAGCGCCCCACATATCAAATAAAGAGCCTCTATTTTAAACCTTTTCTTATGAGGCAATAATCAATACTGGTGTGCTCACCAATGCCCACGGGTACCATGTTGGCAGCCTTGATGTTTTTTGATCGACACATGTTGATCGGAGGTTACATTTGCTTGGCACTGCCCTATTTTTCCACTTATGCCTGTGAATTTCCTTTTGCAGTGCAAAGGAGGACGAAAGTGGAAGAACGTTACCCAGAAGCACCTGAGGAAGAGGAGAGGTTAGAGCCCAGAGGGGAAATTTTTCACGCTGCCCAGAGTGGGACCAAAAAGAAGCTTCTGGCTGGGATGGCTCCAAAGCCAATTAAGCAGGAACCTGAGGAGGGGCTGCAGCCGTGCTGGGAGGCCCAGTGGCAGGAGTTCCTGAAGACCATGCAGGCCCCGTATTTAGGGTGGAGAGCCCCACAGCTGTCTCCACCCCACTCGGGGGGAGGTCCGAAGGAATTCCGGGCCTCCTCCTTCAAGGAGGCTGGCTTACAGCCTAGAGGAGAGAGTGCCACCCCGATTCACCTCAGCCTTCCTAGAGAAGCCTCCAAGAAAGCTGATGAAAGCAGCCCAGATTCTCCTGCAAAAGTGAAAGAAGGGATTCTGGAAGAGGAAGAGCCCATTGACCTGGAGAAACGGTGCCAGCATTTCCGGCGGTTCTGCTACTGGGAGGCCAAGGGGCCCCGCGAGGTGTGCAGGCGGCTCCAGGGGTTTTGCCGCCAGTGGCTGAAGCCGGAGAGACACACCAAGGAGCAGATCCTGGAGCTGGTGACTCTGGAGCAGTTCCTAGCTGTCCTGCCCCAGGAAATGCAGAGCTGGGTCAGGGATGGCTGCCCGCAGACCTGCGCCCAGGCGGTGGCCCTGGCAGAGGATTTCCTGCTGGGACTACAGAGGGCTCAGAGAATTGAAAAGCAGGTGAGTATCTAAATCTCAGGGACACGGGTGGCGCTGTGGGTTAAACCACAGAGCCTAGGACTTGCCGATCAGAAGGTTGGCGGTTCGAATCCCCGCGACGGGGTGAGCTCCCCTTGCTCGGTCCCTGCTCCTGCCAACCTAGCAGTTTGAAAGCACGTCAAAGTGCAAGTAGATAAATAGGTACCACTCCAGCGGGAAGGTAAACGGCGTTTCCATGCGCTGCTCTGGCCACATGACCCGGAAGCTGTACGCCGGCTCCTTCGGCCAATAAAGCGAGATGAGCGCCGCAACCCCAGAGTGGGTCACGACTGGACCGAATGGTCAGGGGTCCCTTTACCTTTACCTAAATCTCTGCTACTGAGCGATGGGCCTTCAGCAGTTGCTGTAGGGATAGAGAACCAGTTGTCCTCCAGATGTTAGTGGACTACAGCTCCTATCATCCCTCATTCTGGCTCATGCTTCCTGGAACAACATTTGCAGGGACACAATTTCTGAATGGTTCCACAGAGGCAAAGCTGGCTGAAGCAATGAATGCAAATTTCACCCTTATTTTACAGTAAGCTAGGTTCTATGGATATTCACACAACCCTTTGCAGGCTCCATCCAGACCAGCAAGAGACATTATCAGAGGTCAAAGACACATTCCAGAAAGGCAAAAATCCACAATAAGGGTGTGGAGTAAGGACAGGGAAGGGGGCGGCCTGGGGAGAGCAAATGTGGCCCTGGGACGGTTCCAAGGGCCAGATATAGATCTGTGGACCTGTGATGAAGCAACAGGAAGCCTTTCGTCTGCTGAATTTCTGTGTGTTGGGTCGTGACTATGAAAAGAAAAGGACAACCCTTGATATAAATAGGCCCCAGTTCCTGTTTCTCGTAAGATAATTGTACACCTGCTCTTATTTCCAGCTGTCCAAGGCTTTGGAAGGGGTGGTTGTTGATCCCTCTGATGCTGAGCACAGCCTGTCAGATGCGGTGAAGATGCAGCTTGCCACAGAGGCCCAGAAGGAGGGTGCTGGTGCAGCCATCTTGTTCAGTAAGTTCTGGAGGAGGAGTTGGGATTCAGCTCAGCTTATATGAAGACTGGTGTGGTTTACATGGGGAGAAAGCTTCCTTTCGTCTTTATCTGTCCCATAGAGAGCAAAAGAGCGAGTCTGGCTCCTTTTGCATCTCCAATTTAGTTTGCTAGAACCAGGAACTCTTTACTATGCAATACGCATTTCCTGTACTAAACGTAGCTTTCTTTATTTTCCACATCTAAAGTCTCACTGTGATTGCTTTAACTTTGAAGAGTGCCCAACAGCAAGTATTCAGTACTCAAACAGCTTCCAAAGTGTGTGCTAACTAATAAAATCATAGAATTGTTGAGTTGGGACCCAAGGGCCATCTAGTCCAACCCCCTGCAATGCTGACTCCCTGTCAGATGGCCACCCAACCTCTGCTTAGAAACCTTCATGGAACGTGAGTCTACAACCTCCCAAAGCAGTTTGTTTCCACTGCCAAACAGCTCCTACCATCAGAAAGTTCTTCCTAACGGCAAGGTTAATAAGCAGAATGAGCCCAGTTAGGTGATGAGAGGTTGCAAGAGCAAGTGTGGTGTAGTGGTTAGGGTGTCAGACTAGAATCTGAGAGACCAGGGTTCAAATCCACATTCAGCCAATAAGCTCACTGGGTGACTTGGACCAACCACTGCCTCTTCGCCTCACAGAGTTGTTTCAGGGATTAAATGAGAAGTATGAGACTCATGGCATGCTCTGGTCCATGGGGTCTCAAAGAGTCGGACACGACTAAATGACTAAACAACAAATGAGAATCATGTATGCCACATTGAGCTTCTTGGGGGAAAAGTGGGAAATACAGTCGTATCTCGGAAGTCGAACGGAATCCGTTCCAAAATGTTCAGAAACCAAAGCACGACTTCTAAGCTCCTGCAGCCAGTCGGAAGCTGCGGACGCCCTGTTGGCTGTTTGGTTTCCAAAAGAACGCTCGAAAACCGGTACACTCACTTCCGGTTTTCGAGCGTTCGAGAGCCAGAACGTCCAGTTCCCAAGGCGTTTGAGAGCCGAGGTACGACTGTAAATACAACCAATAAATTACTCAATAAAATTTTTAATTGTATCATATTCATTCTGAGGTGCTTCTGTTCTGCCTTGTGTTTATTAACTCAGGTGCTTACTGTGGGCAACGAAGGAGTCCATGTGAATGAATGAGCAGGCCAGCCAGTCTCCTGGGATTCCATTCTAGCCTCAGAGCAGGGATGGGGGAACCTGGTCTTGAACCAGGGATGCCCATTCCCTTGTGTTGTGTCCCATGAGTCTCTGATTGGTGTAGCTTGGCTCTTCGTTTGCACCCATTGCCTCATCTCACCCTAACAGATGCCATAAGCCGATTAGGTGTATCTTGTAGCGTTGAGTTCCACATGCTGGTTGTGCTTATGCTGAGATTCTCTCCATTTCAGGGGCCAACAAGCAGGACCACAAAGCTGGACAAAAGAGTGTGCAGTGGGCACCACATGAGCAAGTGGAATTCAGTGGGGCGCCCTTGGGAATATCCGAGGGGAATGTATTCCTGCTTCCTGAATTGGAGGAGGTGCGCAGATGGCCACAGGCACCACAAAGCCACATGGGAAGTGATCCAGGAACAAAAGTGAAGGAAGCCTCTTACGTTGGGGAAGGCAAAGAAGAATTCAGCAAAAGCACTTTCCAAGCAGGAGTCAACCAGCAGAAGATTAAGGAGGCAGGCATCAACTGTGCGGTCAGCTTCAGCCAGACTTCTGTCGCCCTTAAGAACCAGGCACTGGAAATAGTTGACAAGCCGTACAAATGCTCAGATTGTGGGCGGGGTTTCCACCAGAAACCGTACCTTCGAGTCCATGAACGAACCCATACGGGTGAGAAACCCTACAAATGCTTGGACTGCGGGAAATCTTTCAATCGGAGGACCGGGCTTTGTAGCCATCAGAGAGTGCACACAGGAGAAAAGCCATACCGGTGCTCCTATTGTGGGAAATGCTTCACAGGGACTGGGAGCCTTAAAGAACATGAGAGAACCCACACAGGAGAGAAACCTCATAAGTGCTTGTACTGCGGCAAATCTTTCAACCGGCGGGGTGTGCTTTGTAAACATAAGAGGCTGCACACCGGAGAGAAGCCATACAGATGCTCGTACTGTGGGAAAAACTTCAGTCAGAGGTCGCACCTTATTTCCCACGAGAGAACCCACACAGGGGAGAAGCCCTACGAATGCGCAGACTGCGGGAAATCTTTCCGTCAGAGCAACGACCGCTCTCGGCACCAGAAGATCCACAAAGGTGAAAAAACGCACAAATGTGCCAAGTGCGGTGAAGCCTTCTGTCAGAGAGAATACCTCATCAAGCATGCGAAGACCCACTCAGGGGAGAAACTGTACAAATGTGCGGACTGTGGGAAGAGCTTCTACCAGCAAGCCCACCTTAATGCGCACAAGAAAATCCACACGGAAGAGGCGACCCACCATTGTTTCGAGTGCGGGAAATCCTTCCTCCAGAGCTCTGACCTTCATAGACATCAGAGCATCCACAATGGCGAAAAGCCACATATATGCCTCAAGTGCGGGGAACGGTTCTGTCAGAGAGCGTACCTTATCAGGCATCAGAGGATGCACACGGGAGAGAAACCATACGAATGCTCGGACTGCGGAATGGGCTTCTATCAGCAGGTGCATCTCAATGCACACAAGAAAATCCACACCGAAGAAAGACCGTACCACTGCTCTGAGTGTGGGAAATCCTTCCGCCAGAGTGCCAACCTTCGTAGACACCAGAGCACCCACAATGGCGAAAAGCAGCAACAATGCCCAGAGTGCGGAAAAAGCTTCTATCACAGAGTGTACCTACTGAGGCACATGAGGAGCCATACTTGAGATGCAACTTAGCTTTCCCCCACTGCATTGGTATAGAAAATAGCTTGCACAAATCAGAGCACTTACCTTCATGGATCAACTGTGATGAGGGGAGAATGCATCACCAGCCCAGTCACAGTCTTTTTAAACTCCTGGGAGGAATTAATCATCATAACCTTTGCTGGGTTGTAAGAAAACCCAGAGATTGCGATATTTAGATTATTTTCCCTTGGAAAAAGAATTAATGCATTAAAATGCCCTCAAACTGTTGCAAACGAAACGTGGAAAGAACTTGTGCCAGACATGTCTGGGTTTTAGTGCTACACCATTGGGACGCGGGTGGCGCTGTGGGTAAAACCTCAGCGCCTAGGACTTGCCGATCGTCAGGCCGGCGGTTCGAATCCCTGCGACGGGGTGCGCTCCCGTTGCTCGGTCCCAGCGCCTGCCAACCTAGCAGTTCGAAAGCACCCCCGGGTGCAAGTAGATAAATAGGTACCGCTTTATAGCGGGAAGGTAAACGGCGTTTCCGTGTGCTGCGCTGCCACGCCAGATGCAGCTTGTCACGCTGGCCACGTGACCCAGAAGTGTCTCCGGACAGCGCTGGCCCCCGGCCTCTTAAGCGAGATGGGCGCGCAACCCCAGAGTCGGACATGACTGGCCCGTGCGGGCAGGGGTACCTTTACCTTTTTATTGCAGAAACTGGTCGTGGACGAAGGATGAAGCATGCAGAGGACCTCATTCTTCAGTTGTTGCCGCTGTTTCATTTCTCTTTAAAAAGCTTTCCTGGCCTTGTAGACTGCTAAGGCAGCCTTGAAATGGCAGAGCCACACAACCTTGGGTTGTCTCCAAAGCCAAGGGAATGAGACTGTGCGTTTCTGTGGTCAGCAGAAAGGGCAGGAGTGGTCAGCAGTGCTTATCTGTCCTGTTACCGGCATCTCAGTAGCTTAGTGAGTGTGGCAAGTGGTGCAGATGCATTGTTAGAACAAATCCGGTGCCCCTGATGGTGTGTTTGCACCTCGCTGACATCACTGCCGTCTCCTCTTTTAGTAAGCTGCAGCAATGCTGGCGATGGGATTCTGCTCTTGTCAGCTGTTATTGAAATAGCACAGTTACCACCAGAAGCCATCTTGAAAGCCCAAAGAGAGTGAGCATCAGTGGTCAGCAGGGATGGAGGACTGGATTGGATCCTAAGAGAAGCTCAGTTAAAAATTCACAGGAGGAATCTTTCCTGTCCTTTAATTTAGGATCCCAAGCCATTAGTCTCTCTGAATGACTAGAGTTGGGTCACACTGTACATTTAAATGGTGCTGGTGTTGATGGGAGTCAGAGTTTGACAATGTCTAGACTGAAGCCCATCTGGTGATCTTTAGCCAGCCACAGACATTTGGCTGTAGGGAGGACAAATGTCTGGGGAAGTCTTGCCTTTCTTACAGGAAGGTGGCATGGGGGCCAACAATAGGTGGAGCCAGAATCAAGAGCAGGTAGAGGTGGAGAGACACAGCCAACTCTTCTGGTTTTGTTCTCATCCTCTTCTGTGCTGAATTCCACAAAGGCAAAATTGAGGCTAGGCAGGAAGCTGGCAGATGAGGCTACTCCCTGGACTGGAGGCAAGTAAGAAGGCAGGCCAGACAGGGCTGGCCGAAAGCGATTTGATGCGGCAGTGCCCTATTGGCCCTAATGGGCTAGCCTCGATACTGTGTATAGGGAAAACTAAATGTCAGTGGGGAAAGACTGTAATTGAACCTCACTCATGCCATGTTTTGATTCCGCAAGGATTTTCTTTTTTCTTTTTGTGAGGATGACCATTCATGTGGGATAACCAAGTCTAATTATACGCAAAGTTATACCACAGAGTAAGCTGTCCTGCCAGGCTTAGCCTAGGTCACTCTCCTTCACCTTGAGAGGAAGGTACCGTATTTTTCGCCCTATAGGACGCACTTTTTCCCCTCCAAAAATGAAGGGGAAATGTGTGTGCGTCCTATGGGGCGAATGCAGGCCTTCGCTGAAGCCTGGAGAGCGAGAGGGTGCGCACGGACCCCTCTCGCTCTCCAGGCTTCAGGAGAGCCCCAGCGCCAGCCCCACAAGGTCGGGGGACAGCGGGGAGGCGGAACGCCGCCATCCCGCTGTCTCCCGATGTGGTTTGGAGGCGGGCGGTGGGGAGAAGAACGCTTCTCCCCGCTGCCTGCCCCGCAAGCTCCAGGGACAGCTGGGAGGCGCAGCACGTCTTCCTGCTGTCCCCGGACCTGGTCTGAAGGCGGGCGGCGGGGAGAAGAGCGCTTCTCCCCGCTGCTGGCCCCACAAGTGCCTGGGGGGAAAATAAATTTTTTTTTATTTCCCCCCCCAAAAAACTTGGTGCGTCTACGGGCCGGTGCGTCCTATGGGGCGAAAAATACGGTAATCAGACTTATTGTTGTACCCTCAAGTTACCTGAGAAACTCAGCATGCAAAGAGCTGGTTGCTCCAAACTCAGACCACATAGCTCCAACAAGCCCCACTTGAGCTCCTACACCAATAATTTAAGAACTTTCGCCACTATAACGAAACCACGTTTCCTGCCTGTGCAACCTTTGCTGAATGCTGTATGGAAAAGCACATGAACCTGACCTTTGGAGAATTTGTAAGTAAACCATTTTTAACTTACCAGACGTGTGGTCTTTTTCTATACTAGGAAATGAATACTGGAAGCTTGAAACCTTTAGTACAACTTATCAAAACAATACATTTTATAAATGGAAGAACATGACTTCCTGAAATGCTACGAGCAACGCACCCTCCATGGGCTGTCCAGGGGTGGTAGTGGTGGAAAGTCTGTGGATCCTATCAACCTTTTTCTAACACGAGGTATGGATGGGTGTGTATACCTGCTGTTGTACAAAGCCAGTCCCAGCCAAAACAAATAATTGGCAGTTAACTAAAAAGGCTGAGAAATGCCACTGAAGGTTTTGATCCAGTCTTGGTATAGCTGTTCAGTCTACCTGCAAGGATGCTTACGGAGATGAGGGAAGTTGTAGCTCAGCAACATCAGGAGGGGCAAAGGTTTTCCTATCCCTGATGGAGTTGCTGATCATGACTGAAGCTCGGAATCACCTCTATCTCATACTCAAATTTTAGGAGATTTCACTGTAGTGTGAATGGTTGCAATTTGACATCCAGTTTTTGCTGATGAAAACTCAAACCCTTTTTATAGAATTCCGCCCCCCCCCCCATCCTCCTCTTAAGGAATTAAAAGATAGAATTTCACTTTCCCAATAACAGTCTCCCTTTTGGTTGATCTCCCAGGGTTTATTTTCTGATACTGAAGAAAAGACAAATGCAACAGCTGGTGTTTCTCTCAAACAGAATATTTATATAGTTCCTGCACGTAGGTAAGACTTGTGCTCACTGACCAAGGTTTTGTGGTATTTTCACAATCCGAACACACTTCCAGACCCACTCCTGTCGCATACTGCATTTGAAGCCTGCACAACACGTGACACACACATTCCTCGCCAATCAGCTGAGTGAGCCCAGATGTTACACAGCCCACGTACGGTGGCCTGCTGGGGCCTGCAAAAACAAGGCTGCTTGTTAAGTGCCTGGCAGGCCACCCGTACATAGCTAGTGTGTTCTGCTTGATGTGGCAGATCTTGCTTTTTGAAAACATGTGGTGGGAATCGCCAATGTGGTGCCTTCTACATGTTGCTGGACCAGCAGCTCCCATCTGGCCATTTTGGTTAGGGCTGATGGGGAGCTGAAGTCCCAACAACGTTTTCAGTGCATTCCTAACGTATGATGTTATCAGGGCCAGCATATTTTCAGTCTGGATTAAAAGCAATGGCAAATCGTTCCCACTCAGTAATGCGTCAGGCCCAACAAACCACACCTTTTCAGTGCATCTCAGAGTTGCGCTCCTTGGTTGCTCTCGCCCTTCCTCTATAGGCCAAACTCTTTAGCTAGGACAGGTTTCTACACACTGAGCTGCCACAGGGGGTCGGCACCACAAAGGGTGCGTTTCCTGCCGCTGTCGATTCCCAAATAAAGCTCCAACCACGCTCTTCAAAGGATTTCTCCGTCCTGCCCCTGTCCCCACCCCATTGCGCTCTAATCATTGGGATGGCTACTTTCCGGCACATATCCCGTCAACGTATTTAAGGGCTGAGCGGCTAGGGGGGCCTCCCCTCCCTTTGGCGCGATCACGCGGTTCCTCCCGCCCTGCGCCGACTTTTTCATGCAAAGCAAAGTGCAGTTGCCCAGGACCACGTAACCCAGCGCCGGGGCGTTTAAGTGGCTACCCTTCCGGCAGGTCTCCCGCTCGTGCTGGAGCAGCGACGCTCGGCGCCGGTAGCTTTTCCCACAGTCTTTGCAGCTGTATGGCCGTTCCCCAGTGTGGACTCGCTTGTGCTGGCTGAGGTTGGAGCTGGTGCTGAAGCTTTTCCCACAGTCCGTGCATTTGTGGGGCCGCTCCCCCGTGTGGATCTTCACGTGCCGGCGCAGCTGGGACTGGCAAGGCCACCTCTTCCCGCAGTAGGAGCACTCGTATGACAGCGCCTTCTCCGGACGAGATACGTCGGGGCTCTGGGTGAAGCTTTTCCTGCACTCTGCCTTCTCATCGGGGATTCTCTCTTGGGAGGGGTTTTTGTTGAAGCGTAGAGCATCTTCTTCTCTGCAGTCAAAGCCTTTCCTCAGGGTGTTTCCCAGAGGGTCTTCCTGGAGCTTCTTCACCCCCTGCCGACTTGCGGGCCCTTCAGACACCTGGAACAAAGCCCCATTGCCCTTTTCCAAGGAGATCTCGCTAAGTTCCACTCCCTTGGGTCTTTCTACATGAAGATTCTTCTCCTTCTTCTCAGTTCCGGAAACAAACAGAGAATCCTGGGTAAATTCCCCTCGGGTTTTTTCTCTGGGCGCCCACCTTGCTTCAGCTTGCTCACGTCTCTCCAGCTGACAATTCTCCTCCTCATTCTCGCTAAGCTGCCCATCACCTAATAAAACAAAGAGAGAACAAGAATGTGGGTCTAAAGGAATAGTGCCCAATGTTGGCAGTGCTGGGGAGGGGGGCTAAGAGGCAACTGGGTGGCAGTTCTGGCTCTGGGGGTGTCTATCAGACTTTGAAAAGCTGAGATTACTGCATCAAGTTCATCCATTTTGTTGAAGTAATTAAATAGTTTTAACTGGATTTTGAATAAATGCGCAATTGATTGTTGCCGTTTAGAACATTATTGTGTTTCTGTCTTTTTTGTGGCTTGTGCAAACCACTATTCTGAAGAATGCTTTTTATAGGATAGGGAACACTGGAGTCATATGAGTTTATGGAATCAAGGGGGTGATCGCCTGAAAAAGTTTTGGAACCACTGGTTTAAAGAATTTGAGGTTTTTCCATTTAGAAAAAAACATGGAGCAGTGGCAGGGGATGGCATGAAAGAAGGCTAAAAAATTAGGCAGGGGGTAGAAAAAGTCAGTATATCTGTCTTCAATATTTTATCATTTTATTTCATAAACTGTATATAACCAGGACTGCAGGGGGAGAACCCTCAAAGAGGTTTACAAAAAGAATAAAACAACGAAACTATCAGGAAGAAGAGAGTTTAAAACAACAATTTAAAACCATCAAAAATAACTGAAATCAATGAGTTAAAAAACAGGTTAAAACACACGCCAGCGTTCAACATGTCTTAATAGGCTTGCCTCAACAATGTTTTTAGCTGGCACTGAAAGGAGTACAGTGAAGGCACCTGCCTGACGTCAACAGGCAGTGAGTTCCAAAGTGTGCGTTAAAATATAGATTTCTTGCAAATGCAGCATGATCTATATTCCTAATGATCAAATCGCCCACTACCACGAACCCTCCACCCACTGGAGAAGTATCCATGGCATGAGAAGATAGGTGTTCATCCCCATCCCCTGTGGAATGGGCTTCTCCTAAGGGAATGCCTCTCGCTTCCTCAGATCTGGTTCCAGTATGAGCCCGTTTCATCAGCCCCAGGCTCTCCTCTTCCAGCAACACTTACTGAGCAAGTTCGTCTCCCCATCGCTGTCCTGCTCAACCGCCATGGGGAGCTGCAACTCTTCGGTGTCCGAGGGGTCCTTTTCTGCCTTGGGGGAATTAACAATCACCCGCTCGAAAGGCTCCAGCTCCTGAAACTGAACAGGGGATACCATTCAGAAAACAGCCCTGCTAGATCAGGCCAACTCCCATCAGCCCCAGCCAGGCCGAAGGTGATGGGAGACGTAGTGGAGCAGCACCTGCAAGAGTTGCCGTCTTGAGGACCACAGGTTGGGAAAGGCTTATCTATATAGCAGATAACTACAGTGGTACCTCAGGTTAAGCACTTAATTCGTTCCGGAGGTCCGTTCTTAACCTGAAACTGTTCTTAGCCTGAAGCACTACTTTAGCTAATGGGGCCTCCTGCTGCCGCTGTGCCGCCGGAGCACGATTTCTGTTCTCATCCTGAAGCAAAGTTCTTAACCCGAGGTAATATTTCTGGGATAGCGGAGTCTGTAACCTGAAGCGTATGTAACCTGAAGCGTATGTAATCTGAGGTACCACTGTATTGATGAGTCGTTGTGGTGTAACGGTTAGTGTTGGACTAGGACCTGCGAGATAAGAGCTCAAATCCCCACTCAGCCATGAAGCTCATTGGGTGAGCTTGGGCCATTTGTTTGCTCTCACCCTAACCTACCTCACAGGGTTGTTGTGAGGAGGACTGTGTAAGCCACCTTGAGCTCCTGCGAGGCAAGATGGGATAATAATGTAAATAATAATAATAATAAGCACAGCAGGCAACCAAATGTCCCTTTTAAACAAAAGGGTATTGAAAACTTCACCTGCCTCCATTCTTTATCCCAGCAACCTGGTATTACAAAGAAAGACTGCCTCTGCACAGGGAGGGCTCCTTTAACTCAGGGGTGAGGAATCTGTGGTCCTCCCGATTGGATTCCAATTCTCATCAGCCCCAGCCAGCACATGCCAAACATCAGGGATGGTGATTTATTAAATTTCTGTACTGCCCATCTGAAAATCACAGGGTGGTTTATAGTATAAAAATATAAGAATACACACCATAATAACAAACAAAAACCACAGTTTAAAAGGCTATAGATTGTTTAATTACTCAAGGGCCTGGGAAAAGAGGACTGGTTTTTGTCTGTATGTAATGGAGGTGCCTGACGAGCCTCCCTGGGGAGAGCATCCCAAAAATGGGGAGCCACCACAGAAAAGGCCTGTTCTTATGTTGTCACACTGCGGATGCCTTGCAGAGGAGACACACAAAGAAGGGCCTCAGATGGGCCTACTTGGTTTGAACTTAGAAATGAGGAATGGAAAGATCTTCTTTTGTGGGGATCTGAAGATTTATGGACTATTAATTTGATCAAGGTGGAAGCTGGAGCTCTTGGGACATTTGGATCTAAGAAACAGGATTTGAGCTCCACCTTTAAACAAGGAGGCCCGGCTGGAAGGAACATGGATATTATAGAGAGAGTGCCCCTCCAAGACTGGGTGTTAAATACAAGGGACTTTCAAAGAAGCCGGCAGAAAGGGACTGAGAGAGATTTAAGGGTCTCGGACGTGAGGTTGCCAGGCTGATAATAGATGGACTATGGTTTTGGGATTGAAACCGGGGAAGGGAGGGTGGGGTTTGGAAATCCAAAGGGGGCGTGATTTTTTCTATTCTGTGTTTAATTCTGTGTTGCTATTAGTATAAGAATGGGGAATTCATGGAAGGGAAACAGGGTCGACCTTAGAAAAAGTTTTTTACAAATGATTGAGGTATATAAGTTAAAAGTTGATATATAAATTGAACTAAATATAATAACGAATTAAGGTTAAAAATTTAATATAAATAAATATAATGACAAACTAAGGTTAAAAAATTAGGGATAAGAACTTGTTGGATAAATATTTGGACTTGGAATACAAGAAGGGGAGGTGAGGGGAAGTCGCGGAAAAAAGTTATTGAAAATGGGATTGTAAAGGATGAATTTTTTTTTTTCTTTTTCTTTTTTGTATTATTCAAAACTTTAATAAATATTATTATTTTTTAAAAAAAGAAGGGCCTCAGATGATGATTGCAGGGTCCAGGTTGCTTCATATGGGGAGACGTGGTCCTTGAGATCTGATGAAAATCATACCTCAAGGAGCTATGATTCAGTTTCCACACCCCTGATTTAACTACTCCCCACCTGCACAATGGCACAGAGAGGAAAGATGTGCAACCTGAGAGAGAGATTAATTACATCCAAGAGTAGGATGCATTTTCTGCATAAGTCTTCAGGATTGAGTCCAAGCAGAATGCACTCACCGGTTCTTCTCTCCTCTCCAGCCTCAGCAGGAAATCCTCTGCCAGGGCCACCGCCTGGGCGCAAGTCTGTGGGCAGCCTTCCCTGACCCACCTCTGCATTTCCTGGGGCAGGACAGCTAGGAACTGCTCCAGGGTCACCAGTTCTAGGATCTGCTCCTTGCTGTGCCTCTCGGGCCTCAGCCACTGGCGGCAAAGCCCCTGGAGCCGCCTGCACACCTCGCGGGGACCCTCGGCCTCCCAGTAGCAGAACCGCCGGAAGCACTGGCACCGAGTCTCCAGGCCAATGGGCTCGTCCTCCTCCATCATCTCTTCTTTCACTCTTGCAGGGGGATCTGGGCTGCTTTCATAGGCCTTCTGGAGGGCTTCTCTAGGAAGGCTGGGGAGAATCGGGGTGGCACACCCTCTTCTCGGCCAAGAGGAGGCCCGGAATTCCTTTGGGCCTTCCCCTGAGTGCGGCAGAGACAGCTGTGAGGGTCTCCATCCTAAGCAAGGGGCCTGCATGGTCTTCAGGAACTCCTGCCACTGGGCCTCCCAGCATGGCTGCAGCCCCTCCTCAGGTTCCTGCTTAATTGGCTTTGGAGCCATCCCAGCCGGAAGCTCTGTGCTGGTCCCCACCTGGGTGACATGACAGTCTGTTTCGCCCCCCTCTGGCTTGTCCCCCTTTTCAGATCCATCGGAGTCCTGCTTCTCTGTTTTTATTTCTTTCTGCCCTGCAAATTAACAATCAATGTCACAACAACAACAAAAAATCTTTGACCTCATTTCACCACCTTCCTCCCAAAGGTGTTGAAAGCAATCTGTTGCGGAGGAAGGTTTATCAGGCCCTCATCAGGTAACTATTTAACTAGTCACAAGGACAGCAATCTAGCAATCATACGCCCTGTCTGGGGAGACCGTAAAGAACATAAGACAAGCCTTCTGGATTGGGTCTATGGTCCATCTAGTACAGTACCGACTCCCAGCAGCTGGCAAACATTGCCTCTGACAGTGGACTGATAACATAGCCCCCAGAGCTAGCAGCCATTGATATTGCCTGTCTGTCAAAGAGAAGCAGGTGCAGTAAATGATCCATCTCTTTCGACTGGGGCAGCCTCCACCCTGCAAGACAAGCAGACGGATGGATGGATGGATCAGACCAAAAGTCTGCGTAGTTCAGCATCCTTTTCACTCAGGTGCCTGACACATACATACAGGGTGCCTGCAAGCGAAGTATGATGGCAACAGGCCCCATGAAGAAATAAGAACGTGAAGTTCTGCTGGATCAGGGCTCTTTTTATTTCCTTACTATTAATCAGTGCTTTTTTATGGGGGAGTTCACCACAAAGTTTGTTTGATTATTTATTTTATTTCGGGCCTAGTCGCAGTGCCACAGACACACACAACCCAGGCGCTGGGCCAAAATATAAGATGTGATTAATAAACTCAAGCAGACAGTGATCTGGATTAGAAATGGCCAAGGTGGTATTTCTTTTGCTCAGGCATTGGGGGTATTATCCATTTCAGCTCCTCCCAGACAAAAAAACCCCAATTATTTAATTTTGAAAAGGTAAGGGAACTCAGTTCTTGCTCAACCACCCCACCCCACGTTGTTTATTCATAAACAACGTTTTCTGTTTGGGAAAGGTCATAGCTCAGTGGAAGAACATCTCCTTTGCACACAGAAGGTTCCAGATTCTACCCCCCAAGTATCTCCGGGTAGGAATGGGAGAGATCCCTGGAAGCTGCTACCTGTCAGTGTGCAGACACGACTGAGCTAGCTGAACCAATGGTCTGACTCAGTGCACCAATGTTCCTGCTGCTTGCAACCCCCCTTGGAAATGGCTGGTTGCAACAAGCATTGCACCCAGAGCCTCTCTCTTCCTTTTCCTCACCACCCCTACAGCTTTGATCCTGGTCCCACTGAAACAACAACAACAACAACAACTTATTAACTTTGTATACCTCTCTATACCCCACTGGTGCCAGTGAAAGGGAGCGCCTTCTGATCTGGCGGGGAAAAGTGGCTTTAAAGTGCCTTTATTTTGCAAAGCTCCCTTTTTGCAAGCATGGATTTTCTGCGGTCCACCCCCCACCCCGCGCAAACATTCCGCTTTCTCTGAATTCTCTCCCTCCTTCCGTTAAACTCACCTTCCCTTTGCAGCCGTTGCATTGCACTCTTCGGGCGATCTGCAATCCGGCGATCTTGCAGCTGTTTCCAAACTAGAAATAAATATACATATATATGCAGATGCAGCTGCAACGAGAGGAAGCCGGAAGAGCGGTCCTCCGAGTTTTTGCATCTGTTGTGCCTTGCTGGGTCTCTCTAGGAAAGACATCTCGGTGCATTTAACCACCCCCACCCCCTTTGGGCTATGCGTAGGAGACGCTAAAGCAAGAGAGAGGAACCCTTTTCAGCCTAAGGGTTGCATTCGCTTGAGCTGAGTCGGGTCACATAGCAGCAGTGGGCGGGGCTAGAGGAGAAAGAGGGCGGAACAATGAATGCAAATTTCACCTTTTCTGCAGTAGGGAACCAATATAAGATGGGGAGACACCTGGCTTGCCAGTAGGGGTCTTAGTGGACCACCAGCTGCATCAACCGTGTGATGCAGCAGCAAAAAGAGCTAATGCTATTCTAGGCTGCAGTACCCAGATCAAAGGAAGTTATACAGTGGTACCTCAGGTTACATGCGCTTCAGGTTACAGACTCCGCTAACCCAGAAGTAGTATCTCGGGTTAAGAACTTTGCTTCAGGATGAGAACAGAAATCGTGCTCTGGTGGCACGGCGGCTTCAGGTTAAGAACAGACCTCTAGAACGAATTAAGTACTTAACCCGAGCTACCACTGTAAAGGTAAAGGGACCCCTGATCATTAGGTCCAGTCGTTGCCGACTCTGGAGTTGCAGCGCTCATCTCGCTTTCTTTGCCGAGGAAGCCGGCGTACAGCTTCCGGGTCATGTGGCCAGCATGTGGCGAACCAGAGCAGCGCACGGAAATGTCGTTTACCTTCCCACAAGAGCGGTACCTATTTATCTACTTGCACTTTGACGTGCTTTCGAACTGCTAGGTTGGCAGGAGCAGGGACTGAGCAACGGGAGCTCATCCCGTTGCGGGGATTCGAACCGCCAACCTTCTGATCGACAAATCCTAGGCTCTGTGGTTTAACCCACAGCACCACCCGCATCCCTTTTAAAGGAAGTTATAGTACCATTCTACTCTTCCTTGATCAGACCACACCTGGAATACTGTGTCCAGTTCTGGGCACCACAAATTAAGGAGGATCTTGATAAGCTGGAAAGTGTGCACAGGAGGGCAACCAAGATGATCAAGGATCTGGAAACCAAGCCTGATGAGGAAGGGTTGAAGGAGCTGGGTATGTTTAGCCTGGAAAAGAGGAGACTGACAGGAGATAGGCTAGCCATCTTTAAATATCTCAAATGTCACATGGAAGATGGAGCAAGCTTGTTCTCTCCTGCTCCAAAGGGTAGAACTCAAACCAATGGTTTCATTAGATTCCAACTAAACCTCAAGAAGAACTTTCTGACAGTAAGAGCTGTTAGACAGTGGAACAGACTCTCCTTCATTGGAGGTTTTTAATATTTGTTTTAATTTGGGTGCATTTCCCACCTTGGCGGCCTCCTGATGAAGGGCTTATATAATGTTCTAATTAATTAATTAAAATTGGAGGTGAGTGAAGCAAAATGCTCGCAGTACTAAGCTCTCTCGAGGAAAGGCAGCATAATAAACAGCTGTCAAGAGACAGAAATGCTTTGTGTACTGTTCTTCTCCAGCTACGGTGGTACCTCGGGTTAAGAACTTAATTCGTTCTGGAGATCTGGCCTTAACCTGAAGCTGTTCTTAACCTGAGGTACCACTTTAGCTAATGGGGCCTCCCGCTGCTGCCACACAATTTCTGTTCTCATCCTGAAGCAAAGTTCTTAACTCGAGGTACTATTTCTGGGTTAGCAGAGTCTGTAACCAGAAGTGTCTGTAACCTGAAGCGTCTGTAACCCGAGGTACTACTGTACTATAAAAGGAACAGGAGTAAGTTTTGGGAAAAAGCTACAAGCTGGAATAACACCGTCTCCCCCCACCCCCAGCTCAAAACAAGCCTTGGAATAAATTCACATCTTCTTTTCTCTTTAAATGTTGATATCTACACCCAGAGGCCAGCTTGGTTGGAATCCTGAAGAAAAGCTGTTTTCTAGGCTTGCCTGTGGGCAGCAACCTTATTCACCTGTTGAATTTCTGCCTCCGATACAGAAGTGCTGGTGGGGTGCGTGGGGTGGAGAACTGGCAGCCCCAACATCAACCTGAGTAACACTGTTTCCTCAACATGACTGGTTGCTTAATGGGAAATGATCACCACAGACCAAGCAGCACAGGCTGCTTCCCAGCTGCAAGTCCAGCCGCCACCATCCTGAGTTTTCACCCTCCTCTACCACCAAGGCCAAAGGGAAGGCAAGCTGGTGAGGGGTCTGGCTTCTGGAATGCCTGTAGGCCCCGTTGCTACGGGCGACGCTTACAACAAATGGAACCCAAAGAGCAGCTTGGGAGAGCTGGATTATGAAGACATACAATAAGACAGAGACAGGAGGCGGGAGATACTTAAAGCATTTTTTGAAATCCCCTCTTCACCCTCCCACAAACAAAAGGGACTTCACCCCTCAGGCCACAGCCCTGTATTAATACTGGACAGGTCATTTTGGCACCTTCGTTATATGTTTTTCATTTACTCAGTTCTTCTTGGACTGTTTTTACTCCCAGTCCTACTGAAGCAGGACCTGGAAAAAATCAGTTAGAAACTTATAAATGCTCCTTCCCGCAGAAATCTTTAGTAAAAGGCGATTTATTCAAACTGAGGTGAAGCCAGAGTATTCTTCCTGGGCTGTTAATATCAGCAACAGCTGCTACTGCTTGCAGTCTATTCTGTTTTTACACTTCATCTGTTCTACTGCTGCTGGATATTTTTTATTTTTTATTAATAGAAGAAGTTTAGCTCAGTCAGTAGAGCATTAGACTTTTAATCTCAGGGCTGTGGGTTCCAGTCCTGCACGGCTGGGGGTTGTCCAAGATGATCCACGTTGTCCCTTCTACAATTATATATATAAAAAATTCAAGTTACAGCAGCGATATAATTCAATAATGTACCAGGGATTGAACCAGGGACCTTCTACATGCAAAACAGATGTTATACCACTGAGCTACAGCCCTTCTCTAAACAGCTGCAGGGACCCTCCCATTCACACCAAGGAAAGATTGCAGGGAAAGCAGTTTCAAAGGAAAGTAATCAAGCCTAAAGGAAGGAAATTGCAGTGGCTGCATCAACTGCCTTGTTCTTTTCTGTTGTTAAGACAAGGCAGGTGCTGTCTTTGAGAACCCTCCCGTCCGTCTTCTGCTGGACAAAACACATTCAAAGTGCAGCACCAAAAAGCAGGAAAAGGGAGACAAAATGCAACAGGGGCAAAAGACAAGTTTATTCAAATTCTATACACCAATAGGGAGCTCACTCTCTAAGTGCAAAACCTCATGTAGCCAAAACAATGCTATCTTTGCACAAGAGGGACGTGTTGGCAAGTTCAGGGGAAGAAGCAGACAAAAACATTGGGGTGGGGGAACCCCAAACGCAGCACGGAAAGGTTGCAAGATATTCCACTGCAGGTGAAAAATGGAAAACTGGGAGTGGGAAGAGATGTAATAGAGTATCCTGGAAAAGGGGCATGGCTGGATGGGATACCAGACAGGCGCACACCCCATGGCGACATTTTGGGTGCCTGGATATGCATCCCAATGCACTTCAAACACTGGGGTCTTTACCAGGGATGGGGAAAAAAGAATTGATAAACAGTTGTGTAAAAGAATTACCCCCACAAGCAACTTCGGCTTCCACCGTCCTAATAGGCACTCTAGTGAGAGCAAAAGCTTTTTCTGGAGCTAGCCTTTTAGACCTCATACATCATATGCCTGCTTTTTAATCATTCTGTTTCACATAATATCATTACAGTGTAAATCACATCCATGCTTGAAGGCAAAATCAGCCCAACAATGCTTACGGCAACTGATGAAAAAGAGATAGAGGATGGAAGAACAGGAGTGTCTGAACGCTGCCATTTTGCACAAGTTCAGACAACTCACATGATGATGGTTATCAGTAAAAAATTATTCCGACAATCACAGCTTTACTCTTTTTTCGTCTGCTTGTTTCAAGGAGCAAGTTCCTAGGCCTTAGGAAAGAGTATTGGAGAAGGCTTCCTGAAATCTCTAAGTCAAATGGTACACTAATGGATCCTAAACTATTAAAAAAATGTAATAGAATATATGAATTTGCAAAGCCCAGTTCTTAATAGAATCTGCCAGAGTTGCTGTATCTGGGATATGAAGGAGTATTTTCCCCATAGCAATAACATCCCAATTCTAGAAAAACCAATGTGATTAAGTGGGGAGGCTTTACCTTTGTTAATAGTGCGGACGGGGAATCTGTGGCTTTCCAGAACTTTCTGGACTAAAACTGCCTCACCATTGGCCATCCTGGCTAGGGTTGATGGGAACTATAGTCCAATCACATTTAAAGGGCCATAAGTTTCCCACCAATTTGCATCCTTGTGATTGCCAATAAAAACAAAACTCATTCTTTAAGGTCATCCCTTGGAGGAAACTGTTTCCATAGTCTGCAGAGCATATATGCTATCTACAAACCTGGTTTCTCTCCTAATGGAGTATTATTTATTTAAAGCCACCAGCTTCTGTGGCCCCCAACAAGAGGATGGTAAACACAAGGTATATTTAGTTTTTAAAGGTACAGAAAGAAAGAAAAAGGTAAGGGAGGTGAAAAGAAGCAGATTCAATATCAATTTTTTCCAAGTTCTCATGAGAACTGATCTCTAGTTGAAACCTTCCTTGCAGCTGGAACATTTATAGGGTTTCTGCCCTGCCTGGTCACTTATGGGCGCTAGGAGATTGGGCCGCCTGACGATGTTTCGCCCACAGTCTGAACACTGATACGGTTGAACTCCTGTGTGGACGCTCTGATGAGTTAGGAGGTGTGAGCTGTTCCTAAAAGTTTTTCCACAGACCGAACATTTGAATGGCTTTTCATCCACACAAGTCCGTGTGCGTTTGACAAGATCCGAGCTGAAGTAATTGCTTCTGACACACTCGGAACATTTTGATGCCTTCTCTGCCTGGTCTGACCGCTGCCTGAATGTTTTCCCACATTCAGAGCACCTACAAACATCCTCTCCCACATGAATTTTCTGATGTCGAAGGAGAACAGAGCTTGAGGTGAAACTTTTCCCACAGTCTGAACAGATGTATGGCCTCTGCCCTGTGTGGATTCTCACATGGACAAGAAGGTTCGACCTCCTATCAAAGGTTCTCCCACAGTCTGCGCATCTGTAGGGCTTCTCTCCCGTATGAATTCTCTCATGCAATACAAGGTGGGAACTCCACCGGAAGCATTTGTCACAGTGGGAGCATTTGTATGGTTTTTCTCCTGTGTGGGTCCTCTCATGCGATTTAAGATTCGGGACATTTCGGAAATTTTTCCCACAGACTAAGCACTTGTGTGGCTTCTCTCCTGTATGGATTCTCTCATGAATAATAAGGCTCTGTCTCTGGCTAAAGCTTTTCCCACAGTGGGAACATTTATGCTGCTTCTCTCCTGTGTGGACCTTTTGATGCGCGATGCGCTGCAAACTGTTTCTGAAGGTTTTCCCACAGACCGCGCATTCAAACGGCTTCTCTTTGTGGGTTCGCACGTGTGCCACCAGTTCCAAACTGACTTCAAAAGTTTTCCCACAGGCATAACACGCAAACAACTCATCTGCTGTGTGGGTCTTCTCATGTTCAATGAGTTCGGATTTCTGGCCAAAGCTTTTCCCGCAGTAGGAGCACACCCCTGTGTGGATCCTCTCGTGAGATATGAAGTGTGAGCTCCAACTGAAGCACTTCCCACAGTGCGAACATTTATATGGCTTCTCACCTGTGTGGATTCTCTGATGTACTTTGAGGCCAGAGCTGTTTCTAAAGTTTTTCCCACACGCTGAGCATTTGTAAGGTTTCTCGCCAGTGTGGGTTCTCTGGTGTTTAAGGAGGTCTGATCTCTGACTGCAGCTTTTCCCACACTCAGAACACGTGTAAGGCTTCTCTCCTGCGAGGAGCCCCTCTTGAGAGTTCCAGCCAAAGGTATTTCCACAGTGTGAGCACTTATGTGGCTTCTGTCCTGTGTGGGTTCTCTCACTTTCGCCGCAGTGGGAACATTTGTACAGTTTCTCACCCACATGGGTCCTCTCGTGCGTCACAAGATCCGAGCTGCTACTAAAGCTTTCCCCACAGTGCCAACACTGGTATGGCTTCTCCTCTGCATCAACACTCTCATGCGTAGTAAGGTGTGACCTTCCCACAAAGTTTTCCCCAAATTTGTCATATTTTGCCTCCTCCTTATCCTGCTGGATGACGGGTTCATTGGCACCTTTGCAAACACTTTGTTGGAGAACAAATGGATCCATTCCATTTTCTTTGTTGTTTCCATTCTGCCTTTCCGCTACATGTTGGTTCCCATTAGCTTCACGCTGATGCAGGAAATCCTTCTCTGTGGCTGTTTTCAGCGATGTCTTCAGTCGCTCCAGTTGCTCAGGTCTCTCCAGCAAAGGATTCTGATCCTCACTTTTCCTGAGCCACCCACCACCTTCTGGAAGAAAGGGGAGAAGCCAGACAGGAATCAGGCATTGTGTTAAAATTAAGGAAGTAGGTAACAAAGCACAAAGCACCTTCAATGCCCTCCCATCAGATTTCAAGGAGATGAGTAATTATATAACGTTTAGAAGACATCTGAAGGTAGACCGGTAGGGGGAAGCTTTTTAATGTTTATGTATTATTATCTTTTAATATTTGTTGGAAGTCATCCAGAGTGGCTGGGGCAAATAAACAAAAATTATTATTATTATTATTATAGCTTATCTCTTTCCATCTGCTCTGTGGTATCCTTCGGAAATTGGTAACTCCTCCTGCCCCCTTCAATGTTCTACTCTAGAAATTTACCCCTTCTTTGTGGAAGAAGGCTTCAGATACCCAGATTGCATGAACTATCAGGAATGTCACAACTTCCAGGCTAGCTGCCAGTGAAATCAGAGACACAGAGAACTTCTGATAGTTCTTTAATTTAATTCAACAGAATGCACAGAGAGACTATGGATTATGCTGTCTTCAGTCTTGAGATGTTACTGAGAGTGCCCACCCCACCCCCTTACAGCTTCTAAACCCCTCCTTGCTGCCTATGGTGACAGAATATTTCTGTCTCTGTTTAGCCTTCAGCTCTAAGATATGAAGGAATCGCCTGGTCCTCGGAGAAGGAGGGGATTCTACCAGGCTTTCGAGGGACATAGTATCCACTGTCTGCTGTACTGTTTCTCCCACATCTGAGTCCTGTCTCTCTGTTCAGGACTAGAGTATCTGCTAGCTTGCTCCAGTTCCTAATCCTCCAACTCTTTGCTTCTTCTTCTTCTGAGGTGTGTCCTGTTCACCACCGCCATGGGTCCATAGTATCTCCATCCTGCTCCTGCCCAGACACCTCTTCAGGTGGAGGTCCCCACCATTCCTCCTCATCTGCCCAGATCATCAGAATGCCTGCTTTTGTGGGTTGGCATCATGGTTAAGATCCTAGGCCAGGACTGGGAAGATCCAGATGAAATCCCCACTCACCCATGAAGCTAACTAGGTGTTACAATGCTGTTCAAAATTGACTCGCTCTTAGTCCAAGTGCATCATTCTCAGTTAGGGTGACAAGCCACCTTCTCCACACTTTTATCTCCTGTTCCCTACAGAAGAAATAGGCCCTTTATTTAACACAGGCCAGATTGGGCAACGACCAATGCTCAGTCCATCTGTGGACAGTTTTAGCAATTTAATACATTTCTACAATGGTCCTCAGGTCTGTGGGGTGTGACTTAGATATGGGAAGACAAGTCCATCATTTTAGATGAGGCAAAGTGAGAAAGCCAGAGACTAACTTGCTTAAGGAACCCCACAGTGCTCAGGGAGACCGTCCCCAGAGAGACTTACTCAATATGTTCACACTCCCATCAGCCTCCTGTTCAGCCTGTGTGAAAAGCAGCATCTCTGTCGTGTTCTGGGGAGACTGGTTTGCCTTGGGGAGATTGACAAACTCTTCTTCTGTGATCTGGAGAGGTGAGGTTAAGAGAATCAGTTTAAAGTGACAATAAGAGGCAGGCAAAATGTTTTAGGAAGGCATATTTTAGTCTTACAAGGACTTCTATTATCCCACCTCTTGTGTAGAAAAGAGACAGAGAGGGAGAGCATTTAAGAGCAACTTACAAAGATTAAAAACCGCTGCCAGACCGCCTGCAGTTCTTGGATAACTTACAGAATTGTAGAGGTGGAAGGATCCCTGAGGGTCATCTAGTTCAACCCCTAACAATTCAGGCTAAAGCATTAGGCAGAGAACACGTCCTCAGAACCCAAATGCATGATGGAAACAATTGCAAAGGGGTTGGATTAGATGCCCCCCCAAGTCCCTTCCAACTCTACAATTCTAGGATTCTATTAAACTGTATTTCATCAGAGATGATGGGAGCTGTCCTACTTACTCTCCTCCAGCTACTGAGCAGCAGCACCAGGCTACTTCTCACCCCCCAGTTCCAAGGCACTCTCACATGCCAAACTAAAATAGCTCCTTCTTGCTGGCAACCAAGCCACTGGCTTGTCAGGGTGCACAATTAGGGTTTTGTGGTTGTGAACACAAGAAGACCCAAGAGTGACTCAAAGACACCAGTTTAGAAATGTTGTCTCACCTGCTTTCCCCAGCTGTTGGCCCCTTTCTGCCTCAGAAGGAACTCCTCCGCCAGGGTCACTGCTTGGGCACAGCTCCCTGGGTTACGTTCCCTCACCCAGCTCTGCATCTCTGAGGGCAGGACAGCCAGGAACTGCTCCAGGGTCACCAGTTCCAGGATCTGCTCCTTGGTGTGTCTCTCTGGCTTCAGCCACTGATGGCAAAGCACCTGGAGCTGCCTGCAAAGCTTGTGAGGCCCATCAGCCTCTTGATAGCAGAGCCCACGAAAACACCGGCGCTGCCTCTCCATCTCGGCAGCACCCCCAGACAGAGTTCTTGCCTTCTGCTTTCCACTGCAAGCTGCATCCAGATCGGTCTCATGGTCCTCTTGCGCTTCACCAATGAGTCGTGGCTGGATTTGGGAAGCACACAAAGATCTGGGCCACTTTTGGGGATCCAGTTTTCTTTGGGAGAGTAATTGAGATGTTTTAGGACCACACCATTGCCTCAGCTCAGGCACTTGTGGGTTTTCCCCTTCTGAATATGTGGCCTGTAGCGTACTGAGGAACTCCTGCAACTGGGCATCCCAATTCCTTGATGGCCCTTCATCTGGTTCCTGTTTCACATTTTGCTCAGTTTTCTCAGAGAGAGCTTCCTTGATCATTTCTAGAAGAGCCTGCCCTCCCTTTCCCTCTTCTGGGTCAGGACCTGCCACGTTCTGCTCCTCCCTTTTGATTTCAGGTTCCATGTTTAGCAGAGATCCACCAGTCACTGTCTCTTGCGTCACAGTTGTCTCCTCCCCGTGGAACTGTCCTTGTTGTGCTGTTTGCTGCTCTCTCTTTCAGCACCAACCCTTGAGGGATGCCTCAGCACTCTTGCTAAATCCTTGAAGATCCATCAGCTCAAAGTGACACAGCAAAGCATCTGAACCTTTCAGCAACTTGAGGGAGTCAAGTGTTCTTTATAACAGCTTTCTGCCCCTATGGAAGAAATGTGCATAGAAGGAAAATAAGACAACCTACTGTAATGCGGGTGAGAATGCATGGGAATCTCTTAATGAATGCAGTCATGCAGTTAGTTTCTTCCTCAACCCCCAAAATTCTGATCCGATTTTCAAGCAAACAACCTTCCCACTCCTACAAAAATACTCAATATACATTATGTGTTACCTTCCCCTCCAAGCCACTTCCATTAACCTGCTGTGCTCACAATCAAGGTGATGGAAACCTTCATGGTACATTTCTGATAAAGACAGTTATAAGTACAGGGAGCACTGCAGGTGCTGTAGACCAGGACAGTTCCCTGCAGCCTCTATCTATCATGGGGAGCAGCTATAGCGCAGTGCTAGAGAGCATTCCTTGCATGAAGAAGATCTTGAGTTCAATCCCCAGCATCTCATAATTCAGATAGTAGCACCAGGAAAGACAAACACGCAGCTGCTGGATGAGGCCAATGGCCCTCCTAGTCTAACATTCTCTCAAAACACCCATGTCATCCAGCCTTCTCAGTGATACGTCCCTCCTTTTGGAATGCTCTCCCTGGTGAGGTGCATCTCTCCCCCACCACAAATCAGTAACTTTCAGAAAGAATTTTAAAACATTCCTGATCCCCCAGGCATCTGATGGGTAAAGCTTGCTAGGAACTGCATTAGCTGTGAGGACATGCTATTGTTTTAAAATCTCTTTAGATTTTTAGATACTCTTCGTGCTTTAAAATGTTTCAAAAGTATTTTATTTATGTTTTAAGTTGTATTGCTCCTTTGCAGCAGCGCATATACAAAAAAATCTCCCTCGTATGAATTTTTGTCCTATAGCAGAGCTTCCAGGTAACCAAGATTGCAAAAGAAGAAAGGGTACTTTAAAAAAAAAGAGAGAGAAATAAAAGCTACCTGGCAAAACCTTGCACTCTCTCCCCAGTGCCTCTCTCGCTCACCTGTCTTTCTAGTCCTCTGCATTTCACTCGCTGGGGATTTGCAACCCCCTCAGTCCTTCCCAAGCTGCAGAGACCGAGCAGAGAATGAAAGATGCTTCTCCTATCCCAGGGAGAGGACCGGAAAGAAAGAGCCTTCACTTTGGCATCTCCTCTGCTCACGTGACCGTGACCGCTCTAGGATTCAGAGTTCTGCGGCCTTAACCCCTTCGAGTGCGCGCGGCTGGGCGGCTGAGAGCTGCGTCCCGCTAACAGTCAAAGGAGCGGAGCGATGGGTACCTTAAAGAGCCTGCAGTTACTTTTAAGTTGGCAAAAAGTGTGTTCCTTTCATAGTGATTGCATTTGGGGTGACTCTGCTTTAAGGCTCTCTCTCTCTCTCTCTCTCACACACACACATTCGCACACACACTTCTTAAGATGCCCATCCAAGATGACTAACTTGGGTTGGTTGACACACTTTTAATCACTTTTTTAAAATGAGAATTTGCTTTGTTCAACAAATGCAGGAAGATAGGCAGAAGTGACTGGCAGAATCCGAGACCAGGGAGAAGAGTCGATGGAAGAAGATTGGAAGAAATTTAAAGACTATCTACAGAAATATTGTAAAATTAATGAATGATAGAATGATGTTGGATAGCAATTAAGGGGTTTCCAGCTGTAATGCTCTAAGAGAATATGAAAAAAGGGTTATAAATGGGTTAAAATCTAATGGTAAGGATTTGCTGAACCAATAAATTGAAGTGGAATACAAAAAAGGGAGGTATGAGGAGGTCCGGGAAATAAGCTAAAGGAAAATAAGTAATAGAAAATATGAGTGTTTTTAACTGTTTTTATTTTGTTTTTGTTTTTTTCTTTTCTTTTTCATTTTTACTGTAATATTTCAAAAAATCTTAATAAATATTTTATTAAAAAAAAAAAAACAAATGCAGGAAGATACCCCCTCTTCTATCTTCTTCTTATTTTTCTTTGGTGATCACTCGTAGCCAAGTAAGATTGTCTTCCATGAACACAGTCTTAATGGTGTGTCCGTAAGTGACTGTGGAGGCCAGTTATGGACCCACACGTCCTTCCACAGTGGGGACATAGGTTTCCGGGCAGGAGTTGATCATGGTGAGAATTTGCCTTCCTCTTAGCGTGTTTCTCCCTGTCGTTCTGAGTTTGAGCGTCTTCAAAGTCCATGACACCTTTGGTAAAGGCTGTTCTCCAATTGGAGCACTCGCAGGCCAGTGTTTCCCAACTGTTGGTTTTATACTACATTTTTAAAGACTTGCCTTGAGAGAATCTTTAAACCTCTTTTGTTGACCACCAGAATTACACTTTCCATTTTTAAGTTCGGAATAGAGTAGTTGCTTTGGAAGATGATAGTAAGGCATCTGAACAACATGACCAGTCCTACAAAATTGATGTTGAAGAATCATTGCTTCAACACTGGGGATCTTTGCTTCTTCCAGTACACTGGCATTAGTTCACCTGTCTTCCCAAGTGATGTGTAAAATTTTACGGAGACACCGTTGATGTAATCTTTTGAGAAGTTCGGAGATGAAGTTTATGTGGTCCATGTTTCACAAGCGTACAGTAAAGTTAGTAGTATAATAGCTTTGTAAACAAGCATTTTGGTTTCTCTGCGAATGTCCCGGTCCTCAAACACTCTGTTTCAATCAGGAGAAAGCTGCACTCACAGGGCTCAGGCGATGCTGGATTTCAGCATCAATGTCGGCCCTCCCTTGTGGAAAGGTAGGAGAAGTGATCAACACTTTCCAACGTTACACCATTGAGAGGGATTTATGGTGCTGCAGAGGGGTTGTTTTGTGCTTGTTGGTGAAGTATTTGGTTTTTTTGGATTTTGAGTGATAGGCCAAGTTTTCCACAAGCTTCTGTGAAGATATTTAGGATGGTTTGAAGGTCGTCCTTGCCAGTGGTGGGTGGGGCCACAGGTACAAGTGAGTGGAACAATTCACGTGAATTTTACCTTTGGTCAGCAGGCTTGTTTCTGCACTAAATAATAATTGCTTATTCAATTGTATTCTACTTTCTTTGCCTTCTTGCTGTTGGATGCTGTGAGCACCATCTAGAGGAGCAACTGAAAACAAGCTCAACAAATAAAGAATAAAACTGTTTCTGCCTGGTTTCGAACCAGGGACCTTTCGCGTGTGAGGCAAACGTGATAACCACTACACTACAGAAACTGTGCTGTGCCTTGGTTCCCACCCTCCAGTTGAAGACTAGCCTTTCCTGTGTCAATCCACCGAACTTTGAGCAGAAAAGCCCACATTCGCAAGGTCTTCAGCTCCCAGGAGCCAAGGAGGAAGCCAAACAAAAGTGTTGCCTGCTGCACCTGCACCACTGATAGTACAGGATGCTGAGCAATCAAGGAGAAAGAGCAACATGAGGGAAGGGAGGAGATTAAAAAACAAAAATGCTGGGAAAGAAAGAGAAACTGAAACAACAACAGAGTAGATTCCCAATCCCTAGACTCAAACTGGTCCCCTGAGACATCACCATTTCCCAGGGTGGATAAAAATGAATTTTTATATGTGTGTGTGTGTATAATATATATTAATATAATATAATATAATATAATATAAATATTTAAAATCACCTTGGGTTACAGACGCTTCAGGTTACATATGCTTCAGGTTACAGACTCCGCTAACCCAGAAATAGTGCTTCAGGTTAAGAACTTTGCTTCAGGATGAAAACAGAAATCGGGCTCCGGCGGCACAGCCGCAGCAGGAGGCCCCATGGTGCTTCAGGTTAAGAACAGTTTCAGGTTAAGAACGGACCTCCGGAACGAATTAAGTACTTAACCCAAGGTACCACTGTATATATATATATATATATATATATATAGGATTTCTTTTATTTAAATCGGATTTCCTTGATCTAAATTGGATTTTTAAAATGAAATGCTTTTGGAGGAAAAATCATTCTAAAGATAGTTTTCCATTTCAACAGGAAATAAGGATTTCTTTTAAGTTTTTCATATGAGCTTAAACTCAATCTAAGCTTTTTTAAAAAAAAGTTTAATCACATCAGTTAACAAACATTGATGCATATGCTGTAATGTTATTGCTTTAGTTAAATAAATGGTTTAAATTGTTATTAAGGAAATTATTATTTTTCTCCTTTCAATAGAGTACAGCAGAAAAGTTGTTCAAATATAAACAGTTAACTTATTAAACCTCACAATAATTTCATAATTGTCTATGTATTTCTAATAGTACAACCAAATCAGTAATTTTTGATATAACTGTAAAAACTACTCCGAAAATTTATTATTCCAGAAACAAAACCTTCATCTGGTTGTAAATATTAAGATTATACCAGCAAGAATGAGTTCTTTTGTAAAAAAAAAGAAGAAGATTTAAATCAAGTCTTACTGACTAGTGATTTAAATTGTGAGTTTTTCCTATTAGGGACAGTGTCCTAGAAGGCTTACTGATGTATGAACGGCAAAATGAAATGTGTGTTAGGAGGGAGTTTTTTAGCACACAAAACTGGGTGCACATTAAGAAGTTAAAACTGAAAACCAGGTATGGGAGGGGATTCCGCTGAGCCCACACTTAAAGATGAATCTGCCTCATTTGCCCTTTGTGCTCAAGAAGCAGACTGAATCACAGCCACCCATCAACATTTGCAATTCTCTGGATTTTCCAGTGCAGTTCTCCAGCCAAGTAATAAGTGCAGCAGTTAATCAAATTATATAAAATTACTTTATAAAATGTGTATATTGGATGGGAAATGCACACTATATTGCTGATGAATGTGGAAATGTGAATAACTGAATTTAAGATTGAAAAATTAAAAACTGAGAAAACCAAAACTGACTGATTCAGCCATTCCTACCCAAAACTTTGGTGTGTGCCAGGCAGACTGACATCAGAGAGCCAGGCGTATCCATTCCAGGGTTTGAAGGGTCTTTCTAGTGTGGTCTGTGGTGTGCAATGATTTGTGTCCTCTTTTTCCCTATAGGATGTGAGAAGCACCTTGCAGAGGTAAGTGGCTCTTGCTCATTTCCATTAGCATCACTCTGTGAGGTCAGAAAAGGTCCAGGACCCCAGGACCCTTTGCCCTTTGTGCTCAAGAAGCAGACTGAAGAAGCAGACCCGTCAGGGGTCTGCCTTAGGAGAGGCTGTAAGGCTCCACACCCTACAGCATTTGATAGGTAAGCATCAGATCTCTCTCTTGCTTTGTAGGACCCTTAAGGGCTGTCGCATGGAAGGTGGAGCCAGCTTGTTTTCTCCTCCTCCACAGAGTAGGATTTAAACCAATGGATACATGTTGTAAGGAATAAGATTCCAACTCAACATCAGAAAGAGCTTTCTGACAGTGGAAGGACTCCCTCTGGAAGTCATGGGCTGTCCTTCACTGGAGGTTTTAAAGCAGAGGTTGGATGGCCACTTGTCATGGATAATTTAGTTGAGATTCCTGAATTGCAGGGAGTTTGACTAAATGACGCTCAAAGTCAGATTCCGCTGTATGATTCTATGAACGGACTAACATTCTTTTTCTTTTCACCAGGTATGAGAAACGAGAGAGATTGGAGAAGACACTGGATTTCCCTCCAGAGCTGAAGAAAAGGATCTCGGATTTCTGTGATATAAGCCCTCTCTTGGAACGTGTTAGGAAGCAATTCAAAGGTAATGAAAAATGGCTGTAAGGATTTTATGCGGGACGTTATAATTAGTCCAGAACTGAGCATTGCATTGTGTTTTGTTTTGTTCCTGCTGCAGACAGGGGTATCCCCCATGATGCTTGCCTTCCTGTTGCTGCAGCCATCATTTAATTTCCCCCAGGATGCCCCATAAACATTGTCACTCTGGTGCATGGGGGGTCGGAGGAGAGAAATGGTGGCATCCGCAAAGAGAGGATGAACCAAAGTGCATAGCAAGACCACAATTTTCTGCCTAATGTGTATCTGTTTACAATTATGCAGAACTTCCTTTTTCATTTTGTCACCCATCTCCCCAATCTGGGGTGGCCCTTTTGGAGGATCTCAAACTCTGATGGACAGTAAAATAGGGCATTTTTAAACACCCTGTTCCGCTCTTTGCCTCGTCCTCAGGCTTGGATCCCAGCAGTAGAACAAAGGCCTGATCCATCTCCTGGTGGGTCTGCTCTAACGCTCTCCCCAACTCTAACCATTTTTTTCTTCATTTTTTTTAATTGCTTTTCATCATTTATCTCAAAAATAACATAACAAAATACACAACAAAGAGAGGGGGGAAACACACCACACTACAATAGACAATAAACACACAAGAGGAAAAAAAGGGGGGGGAAATATTATCTCTTCAAATATCCAACTTTCATCACATTGATGACTGACTTCCTCAGATCCCCTTTAACTGAATTTCATTATATCTCCTTTATAACAGTTCTCCAAGTTCATCAACTTGAGGGCACAAAGGGTCCGTAGCTGTTCTCTTAATTCTCATTCCCCAAACCTCTGAAGCCTTGAATGCCCAATTTTACACAGGGAGTGTCAGAGGAGGGGAATTTCTCTCCTCTCCTCTCCTGCTCTCTCTCACTCCCCTTCATTCTGATGAAGGAGAGGAATGTCCAAATCCTGGATGCGATATCTGAGAGGGAATCTGGTTCTTGGGGTGTTTCTTGGATCACAATGTCAGTCTCTGACTCTGCATATTCTTCTCTCTCCCTCATCTTCTCCCCAACAGCAAATGTCACTCTGGATCCAGACACAGCCCATCCCAAACTCATCCTGTCAGAGGATGGGAAAAGCGTGAGATGGGGAGAAAAACCTCAAGCCCTGCCTGATAATCCTGAGAGATTCAGGCGCTACTCTTGTGTGTTGGGACGTGAGGGATTCACAACAGGCAGCCATTTCTGGGAAGTCACTGTGAAAAGTGGGGAATATTGGGCTTTGGGGGTCGCCAGGAAGTCTGTGGAGAGAAAGGGCAGCTTCTCCTTAAGCTTTCTCGACTTCTGTCCTTGTCCTGAGGGAGGAATCTGGGCTGTGGGGAAGTCGGGAGGGAAGTACTGGGCCTACTCATCCCCTTTTCCCTCTCCTCTGTCCCTGAGTGAGGAGCCCAGGAGGATCCGGGTGACTCTGGACTGTGAAGGGGGACACGTGTCTTTTTATGCTGCTGACTCAGGAGCCGAACTCTACACGTTCTCAGGAGCCTCGTTCTCTGGAGAGACCCTCCTCCCTTTCTTTCTTCTGTGGGAAAATTATAAAATCTGGGATCTCCTGAGGAGGATCTCCTGAGGAGACTAAATCTGCCTCTCAGGCCCAGCAGGAGTTTCTTTCCAGACCGGAATGACAAGTATAAAAACCAACATTTACCTCACAATAGCATTTTTTGGGTTGCCCTTTGAGAGGATTCATTCCAGTAATGATCTGCAGAAGCAGCAAAACAGACAAAAATTGTAGACTCCCCTCCCCCGCCATTCCCTTGGCAGCAGACAGTAACACTATAAGAGTTCCAATAAATAATACCTCAATAGGAATTCACTGAATTTATCTTCAAACAGGCCTTTGGCTGATTGTTTTCCAATGCCCTTTTAAATGTGTTGTGGGAGTGTGGATTATTGGTTTGTTTTCGTTCGTTAAATGTTTTGTAATGCGGGTGGCATTTCACTGAGCCTCTTGGGCTTGCCGATCAGAAGGTCGGCAGTTCGAATCTTCTTCTTCTTCTTCTTCTTCTTCTTCTTCTAAAATAATAGTTTTTATTTGGTTTTACAAGTATAAAGTTATAACATTATCAAATACACTCAAATTTAGATTTCCCTGAATCTCAAGACTTCCCACCATCCCCTCCATGGGTCCTATTGTCATCATTTTCAGCTGCATATTATTTCATCATCTATATTTTAAGTCTATCCAAGTTATCCAATGTATTTGTTACATTACAAGTGTTGTTAAAATCCTTAAATAAATTATAAATCGTTCTCATTCTTTGTTAAAACTCTTTTGTCTTCTTGGTTCCTAAGCCTTCTGGTCAGTTTTGCCCTTTCAGAAAAACTGCTAGGCAGTGTTTCCCCAATCTTCAGCCTCAGATATCTCTAATTTGTTCATTTTCTTTCCACGCAAAAAGTCCAAAAGGGGCTCTTCAATTGTTACCATCACTAAATATAAAGACTATCAATCTTCCAGTCCAGTACAACAACTTTATCTCCATCCACTCTCATGTGAATTTTCTGGTGTCAAAGAAGAATGGAGTTTGAGGTAAAACTTTTCCCACAGTATAAACAGTCTCAGCCTTGTGTGTATTCTCATATGGATGAGAAGGTTGGAATTCCTATCAAACGTTCTCCTGCAGTCTGGGAACCTGTGTGAAATCTCTCATGCAATGCAAGGTAGGAACTCCTCCAGAAGCATTTGTAGCAGTGGGAGCATTTGTATGGCTTCTCTCCTGCATGGGTCCTTTCATACGATTTAAGATAAGGGACATGTCAGAAAACTTTCCCAAAAGACTAAACACTTGTGTGGCTGTGTAGGATTAGATTTTTATGCTGCTGCATCACACTGTTGACTCATGTTAAGCTTGCGGTTTGCTAGGACTCCTAGATGCTTTTCCCATGTACTACTGGCAAGTCAGGTATCCTCCATCTTAAATTTGTGCTATTCCTCCCTAAGTGTAAAACCAGACATTTGTCCATATGGAAATTCATTCTGTTACAGTGGTACTTCGGGTTACAGATGCTTCAGGTTACAGACTCCGCTAACCCAGAAATAGTACCTCGGGTTAAGAAGTTTGCTTCAGGATGAGAACAGAAATCGCACGGCGGTGGCATGGTGGCAGTGGGAGGCCCCATTAGCTAAAGTGATACCTCAGGTTAAGAACGGTTTCAGGTTAAGAACGGACCTCCAGAACGAATTAAGTTCTTAACCTGAGGTACCACTGTACTGGGGCCCAGTTCTCCAATCTGTTAATGTCATCCTGAATCCAGATATAGTATTCTGTGGCATTAACTATTTCTCCCAGTTTGGTGTTACCTGCAAATGTAATCAGCATCCCTTCAAATACCTTCACCCAAGTGAACGGGCCCAGGACCCTGCAGCACCCCACTTGTCACTTTTTTCCAGGATGAGGAACCATTAATGAGTACTCTTTGGGGTCAGTCAGTCAACCAGCTACAAATCCACCTAAGAGTAACATATGGGGCTGGGCAGATTATGGACAACACTACTGGTTCCTTTTTTCCACATTTTATTTTTATTGATACTCATCCAAAGATATACAAAAGTTTATACACAGTGCAAAGTATATTCTTATACCTGAATAAAAGAAATATTTTTTTAAAATCTAATCTAAAAACAGGAGCAGGGAGAAGGGAAAAAATAAACAGAAGAAAAAGGGAGAAATAGAAAAAGATGGAAAGACTTATGATTCTCTGTCAAGTAAATATAACAACTTGTTCAAAGCATTCACTCAAATTGACATCCAATCATTCTATTTTCTATAAGCCAATATTATTTTCAGTCTTCAGATCCAGATATTGCATGTTGACGGTCTCTTTCACGCAAAAACCCCACAGTAATTTTCCAATCCTTAATAAATATCAATTGATTTCTTTTTATTAAATTCCCACCCTTCTTCCTCCCAAAAGAGCCCAGGGTGGCAAACCAATGAGTAGCTAAGGAACACAAAACAAAACAAAACAAAACAAAACATATTTAAGCCATTTAAAAGCAGTCTAAATATCTGAAAACGTTTTACAACACCAAAAGGTCATTGTTAACATCTCTCAGTCGGGTTACCCACATGCCAACGTTTTTTATTTATTGTTACATTTATACCTCACATTTTCTCTAGGGAGATAAAGTAGGTCCGTGGTTTTTCCTGTCCTCATTTCCCCTTGTGAGGTAGGCTAGGGTCCTCAGAAGCACTCAATGGACTTTGTGGCTGTTGGGCGGGATTTGAATCTGCATCTCCCAAGTCCTTGTGCTACACACTGGACCACACTGCCTCTCTCTATGGTGGTGGAGGTGTTAATGGACTGCAAAATGTTTTTTAAATGGCTGAAAAGAAACATGCTGTATAAGAGCATGAAAGCTGAATGGCATTGAAAGGGAAACAGGTGGGGGCATGTCCAGTAATTATATAATAGGAGAGGTGTCACTAGTAATGGGGTCAGAAGATAAATGTACTTTTTTAAAAAATGGGGGGGGGGTCAAGGGAATGAGAAGTTGTGCCACCTCTGCCACAATGGCCTTCCTGCTATTCTCTTCCTTTCCTTTGAGAGGGTCTTCCTACTCAGCCTCGTCCCCACTGCCCTGCAGCTGTCCCTTTGGCGCTTGTGTTTCTGCCGCTGCCCCCAGGAGTTCTCGTTCCAACTCAACGGACCCTCCTCCTCGCCCCCTCATTTTTTTGGCCCCCACTAAGCACTTCCTACCAGAATAAGGGCGGGTACCACCATCATGACACCAACTGGACACAGCACATGTGCACCCCAGAGTCCACCATCTCCCGAGGGAGACCATTCCGCTGTCAAACAGCTCTTACCATCAGAAAGCTCTTCCTGATGTTAAATCGGAATCTCCTTCCTTGTAACATGAAGCCATTGGTTTGAGTCCTAATCATCCAGAGCTGGAGAAAACCAGCTTGCTCCATATTCCACATGACAGCCCTTGAGATATTTGAAGACAGCTATCCTATCTCCTCTCAGTCTCCTCCAGGTTAACATACCCAGCTCCTTCAACCAGTCCTCATAAGGCCTGGTTTCCTTAGTTTTCTGGGGAACTCCAGCACATGAAGTGGCTGATGGCTGGCACATAGGTGGCACAACAAAGTTAAGAGGAGCCTTCTGGATCAGTCCCTGATCTATCTAACCCAGCATTTTTATTGCCTTATATGACAAAATGTATCGCTTGATTGTAAAAACAGAACCTCTAAGCAGTTTACAAGAAATATTAAACAGATCGGTTAAAAGCAGTTAAAAACAAGTAATTAGAAACCTTTAAAAAAATTGAAATCAGCAGTAAATTGAGGACAAGTTAAAACTCTCCAACGTCTACACGTCTGGACAAAATGCTTTTCAGCAGGTGTCAAAAAGAAAGCGGCAAAGGTACCTGCCTGATGTCCAGAGGGCTAAGTCCCACAAGCATCCTGTTCTCGCAGGAGCTAAGAGGACGCTTGTGAGAAACCCGCAAGTGGGAACTGGGCACAAAAGTCCTTTCCCTTCCTCTGCTTTCCATCAACCAGATTTCAGATGCATACACAGGCAGTCCTCGTTTTGTGTGGGGGTTACGTTCTGGACACTTGCGTGCATAAACCTACCCTGCCCTGTCCGTCCCCCCTTTTGTGACAACTTTATGACCTTTGGGGGCTACTTCTGGGTTTGGTGCCATGCACGCCTGCGAAATCAGACGCCGCTAAACCGGTCGTCGCCTGTAATGCCTCTGAAATCTGACCAAGCGCAGGTTCACGCACGCCCTTCATATTCACGAGGAATTTTAAAACATTACAATTTTAATATTTTTAAATCAGGCCTTTGATGGCTAAAATATACAACACCAAGAGAAGTACGTTGTGCAAGCGGGAGGCAGTGATTGGCTGTCACCCATAACTTCTAGTTCACGGGCTTACAAACTGTTCTTGAAGACCTCCACAAACCGAGCATTGAAGCTGGTTCTCTCTGTGCTTCCGCACATGGGCAAACAGTTCAGCACTGACTCCAAAGTTTTCCCCACAGATAAAACACGCCAACGGCTCCTCTGCTGTGTGGGTCTTCTCATGTTCAACGAGCTCCGAGTTTTTTATGAAGCCTTTCCCGCAGTAGCAGCAGAAGGCTGTGTGGCTACTCTTGCGGGACAGAAACTGTGAGTTCCAAAGGAAGAACTTCCCGCAGTGCGAACATTTATATGGCTTATGTGGTGTGTCGCCTCGGTGAGTTTGCCGATGAGCTTTGAGCTCCCACCAGTTTATGTAGGATTCCGGGCAAAAGCAGCATTTATAAGGTTTCTCGCCTCTGTGGAGTTGCTGGTGTTTGAGGAGGACCGACTTGGAGGAGTAGCTTTTATCGCATTCTGTGCAGGAATAACGTTCTTCTCTCCCACGGGTTTTTACTTGAGGGATCCAGTGAAAGTTTTTCCCGCAGTGGGAACATTTATGCGCAGTCTGGCCAGTCTGGATTGTCTCTCTCTTTCCACAGTGGGAGCATTTATACAGTTTCTCACCTACGTGGCTTCTCTCATGTATCAAAAGGTCTGAGCTGCTGCTGAAGCTCCGACCGCATTGCCAACACTTGTATGGCGTCTCCTCTGTGGGAATAGCCCCGTCTGTACTCCCATGGGCCTTTTGACCACAGATTTCCCCACCCGTGTCATATTCCATGTCATTCTTTTCATGCTGCTGGGTGGCATCTTTGCAAACACCCTTTTGGATAATAATTGGATCTGCTTTCTTCTCTGTGTCTTTTCTCTTCTGTGTCTCTGCCCTACGCTGGTTCTTATCAGCTTCTCCCTGGAACAGGAAATCCTTCTCTTGGCCTGCTTTCAAGGTTGTCTTCCGCTGCTCTGTTTGTTCAGGACTTTCTCGCAAGCGCTTCTGCCTCTTGCTTTCACTCAGTCGCCTGTCCCCTGCTGGAAGAAAAACAGAATCAGGGTAGGAATCAGACACAGCTCCAATCCGGGCTTTTTTTTCAGCCGGAACACACTGGAGTTTGGTTTGGTTCTGGCTCCTCTCAGGTGGGTGCCATTGCCATTATAAGAGAACAAGGGAAGTGTTCACGGTGAGTTCCGGCACCTCTTTTTTCTAGAAAAACAGCACTGGCTCCAGCTTTGCTCTTTGTGAAGAAGTGCTTCCTATTTTGTCTCTCATGAATCTTCTACCACTTGTGATACAAAGTATTATGAGGAAGTGGACTTCTTTTTTGTCCCTATTCCCTTTCTCCATTCCATGCCTAAATGTAGACAGCTCTACTATGTTTTCCCCCACCAAATTAAATAGCCCCCAAAATTTATAAGACGTTTGATTTTAGAGAACCCCAGAACAGTTTTTAAAAATAATAAAACAGTAAGATTGCAGTAAAAACAATTAAAATACTCAGAAAATTAAAACCAGCAATAAACCAAAAACACATCAGCATTCTAATATCTTACTAGGGTTGTCTATAAACAAAAAATGTTTTAACAGGAATCAAAAAGGGTATGCCTGCTTAATGTCAACAGGCAGGGAGTTCCACTGTGTAGGTGTCACCACAATAAGAGATCAATTTCTAACAAATGCGGAACCTTTTATTCTAGAGGAGGTGATCAGTTTTGAAGGTCGTTTCTGCACATTTTCCAGTTCTAAATCTATCTATCTGTGTGTTTCTGAATTGTATATATAGGTACTGAATTTTTTGAATTACAGATGCAAGTTTCCCTCTCCGTGCTTCTGCCACCTTTGCAAAAATGATTGATCTGCTCCATGATTGAGCAGGCCCACTACAGTGGTGCCTTGCAAGACGAAATTAATTCGTTCCGCGAGTTTTTTCGTCTAGCTAATTTTTCGTCTTGCGAAGCACGAAATCCCATAGGAATGCATTGAAATTCAATTAATGCGTTCCTATGGTCAAAAAAAGTCCAAACAAAGCCAAATTTGGTACAACAAGAGTTTATTAAGTGCTCTTTAAAGTCACACATACTGTAAAGAGCATTTCAAAAATTGAAGGAACAATTAAGTTTCTAAACATGACAGAAAAACATTTAAAAATCAACAAAGTGTACAGTACATTTTCTAAGACTCTGGGGGACAACTCGAAGAAGGTTCCTCTTCCACTCTTTGCTTCTTGCTGAAGAACCTGTCCATGGTCTGCTGATTCATCCGCCTTTTCAGCACCTCCCTGAAAGGCGACATGACTCTCGTATCAAAAGTGTTCACAAGGTCATGTGCCACGTGCTTGTCAGGGTGGTGCCGCTGTGCAAAAGCCTGCACATCCTTCCACTTCAGGCAAATGTCCCTCAGTTCTTTGGAGGACAGCCGTTCCTCAGTTGCTTCCTCCTCTTCCAGCGAGGCCTGCTCCTGCGCAGCCTCTGCCTGCAGTTCGACCAGCTCCTGGGTGGTCAGCTCGTGGTTGTGCTCCTCCACCAGCTTGCTGATGTCCTCCTCTGTGACCTCCAGGCCCATGGTCCTCCCCAAGGCAACAATGTCCTGCACCACTGTTGACTCTGGTGCATCAGAGTCACTTGGTGCCACACAGTCCGGCCACAGGCTGCGCCAAGCGCAATTCAAATTTCTCTGGCTGATCCCTTTCCAGGCCGTGGTGATCATCTTCAAGCAGGTGACGATGTCGAAGTGGTCCTTCCAGAATTCCCACAGAGTGATGGTGGTGCAATCAGTCACCTCGAAGCATCGCCTGAAAAGCTCCTTGGTGTAGAGTTTTTTGAAATTGGCGATGACCTGCTGATCCATCGGCTGGAGCAGTGGCGTGGTGTTAGGCGGCAGGAACATGATGCTGATGAAGCTGAACTCCTCCAACAAGTCCTCCTCAAGGCCTTTAGGATGAGCAGGAGCATTGTCCATCAGAAGCAAAGCCTTCAGCGGCAGGTCGTTGTCCAGCAGGTACTGTTTGACAGCAGGGCCAAAAGCAAGATTGACCCAGTCCACAAACAGCACACGTGTGACCCAAGCCTTACTGTTGGATCGCCACATGACACTCAGCTGCTCCTTGTCGACCTTGTGTTTCTTGAAGGCCCGTGGGTTCTCCGAGTGGTACACCAGCAGGGGCTTGATCTTCAGGTCGCCGCTTGCGTTGGCACAGAAGAGCAGGGTCAGACGGTCCTTCATGGGCTTGTGGCCAGGCGACTCGGCCTCCTCCTGTGTGATGAAAGTCCTTTTGGGCATCCTCTTCCAAAACAGCCCGGTCTCGTCGCAGTTGAAGACCTGCTGTGGAACGTAGCCCTCCGTCTTCACAACCTCCAGGAACTCCGCTGCAAAGTCTTCAGCCGCAGAAACATCAGAACTGGCAGCCTCTCCATACCTGACCACGCTGTGGATTCCAGATCTTGTCTTGAACCGGTTAAACCAGCCTCTGCTTGCCTTGAAGACTTCTGGCCCGCCTGAGGTTCCTGGCTGTTCCTGGACGAGGTCTGTGTGCAAGGCCTTGGCCTTCTCACAAATGACGGCCTCAGTCACTGTGTCCCCTGCACGCTGCTTCTCTTCTAACCAGATGAGCAGCAACTTCTCCACCTCATCCAGAACAGCTGGGCGGTTCTTCACGAGCCTGCTGACTCCCTTGGCTGCATCAGTCGCAAGGATCTTCTCCCTCATCTTCAGGATGGTCCCGATGGTCGATGGATTCCTCCTGTACTCCCTGGCGAGGTCTGTCACACGCATTCCACCGTCGTGCTTCCGGATGATCTCCTTCTTCATTTCCAGCGTAACCTTCGCCTTCTTCCCCTCGCCGGCCTCTGCAGCAGCAGTCTTCTTGGGTCCCATGGCAGCACAGCTCCTACCTTCGCAAACCAAAAAATAATAATAATCAGTGCTTCACATCCAAAAAATTCAAAAGCACCCAGCCACCCACCACACAGAAATTCAAACCCAGAACTAGGTCCTTGAATTCCAAACACCCCAACCCAAAATCCAAAAACCCTAAAAAAAGTTTTAAAAGTTTAACTTACCAAATGGCTGCAAAAGAAGTTTTGGAAAAGCTTCAAAAATCACCAAAGTCTTCAAAAACCTCAAAAAAGGCTACCACACCGTGTGCTATGAGTTGCTCCTCGAAGTCAAGTCGCAACTGTTTGAAGAACAAAGAATCCCTTGGCCAGAGAGGGAACCTTCTTCTCTGAAGCCAAACTGACATGGACAAGAATTGACCAAATATGGGTAACTAGAGGAATGGCACCAAAGACAAGAAAAGTGGAAATTTGCCCAAAAACCTGCTCCGACCACAATGCTGTGAAGATGGAGATGAAACTAACACCAACTGGTTCCTTCAGATGGAGGATGAATGACACCTTATTTAGAGATGAAGAAGTGATTAAGAAGGCCCAAAAAACCTTGAGAGACTATTTCGAGATAAATATGAACACCAATGTTGAAAAAAGAGTAATCTGGGACGCAAGCAAAGCTGTTATGAGAGGGTTCTTGATACAACAGAACGCAATAAAGAAGAGAATCCAAAATGAGAAGAAGGATAAAATATTGGAGAAAATAAAGGAAAGTGAAAAGAAATTGAGAGCAAAACCAAAGTCGCAAGAGATTTTGAGAGAAATAAAGTTACATCAAGTACAATACATGAAAATGATGAATCAGGAGATAGAATGGAAAATCAAACAAATGAGACAAAAGACATTCGAGTCGGCTAATAAATGTGGGAAATTGTTGGCTCGGCAAATGAAAAAAAGACAAAAACTAAATACTGTTACAAATTTAGAAGTGGAAGGAAGGAACATACAGAACCCAGTTGAGATTAGAAACTGTTTCCAGAGGTATTTTAAACAACTATATACACAAGGGCCACAGAAAGAAATTGATGTAGACCGATTTTTGAAAATAAATGGATTACAAAAAATCTCTCAAGAAAATAATGCTGAACTATAAAATAACTGAACAGGAGGTAGAAGGCGCCATTCAGAATATGCAATTAGGTAAATCTCCAGGACCGGATGGACTGACTTCTAGATACTACAGATCCTTAAAAGAATGGTTAGTACAACCTTTAAAGGAAGTCTGCCACAAAATAATGGATGGGAAAAGGGGACTAGAGTCGTGGAAAAAAGCGTACATTACACTTGTACCGAAAACAGAGACTGAAAAGACGCAGCTTAAGAACTACCGCCCCATATCACTGCTCAATGTGGATTATAAAATCTTTGCAGACATTTTGGCTAAAAGACTAAAAAAAGTGCTAGTGGAAGAGATACATAAAGATCAAGCAGGCTTACTCCCGGGTAGACATCTGTCTGATAATGTGAGAAACATAATCAATATCTTAGAAAAATTACAAGTGAATATAAATACTAAGGCAGTTTTGATATTTGTGGACGCGGAGAAAGCTTTTGACAACATTTCTTGGAATTTTATGAAGAAGAACCTACAGGGGATGGGGGTAGGCCAAGGCTTTGGAAACGGTATAAGTGCAATTTATTCAGAACAAAAGGCTAAATTAATTGTAAATAACATGGTGACGGAGGAATTTAAGATAGAAAAAGGGACACGACAAGGTTGCCCAATCTCCCCATTGCTTTTTATATTGGTCCTGGAGGTCCTGCTGAATATGATTAGAAGGGACCAATTGGTTAAAGGTATACAAGTCGGAGCTAAACAGTACAAATTGAGAGCATTTGCAGATGACTTAGTATTGACATTACAGGAGCCAGAATCTAGCACTAAAAGGGTTTTGGAACTGATTCAAGAATTTGGTCAGGTTGCAGGATTTAAACTGAATAAGTTAAAAACAAAGGTCTTAGAGAAAAATTTAACAGCGATTGAGAGAGAGAGAGGTTTCAGAATGAGACAGGTTTAACAGTGGTTAAGAAAGTGAAATACCTGGGGATTAACATGACATCCAAAAATGGGAATCTATTTAAAGACAATTATGAAAAATGCTGGACTGAAGTGAAAAAAGATTTAGAAATTTGGTCAAATTTGAAGCTTTCACTGCTACGCCATATTGCTGCGATAAAAATGAATGTATTGCCTAGAATGTTGTTTCTGTTTCAAACATTGCAAATTTTCGACAAAATGGATTGCTTCAAGAAGTGGCAGAGAGATATCTCTAGATTTGTCTGGCAGGGCAAGAAGCCTAGAATAAAATTTAAAATACTAACGGATGCAAAGGAAAGAGGTGGATTTGCCCTGCCAGACCTTAAACTTTATTATGAATCAGCAGCTTTTTGCTGGCTGAAAGAATGGCTGCTTCTTGAAAACACTGACATTTTGGACTTAGGTTTTAATAATGTATTTGGATGGCATGCATATTTGTGGTATGATAAGGTCAAAGCACATAAAGCATTTAAAAATCATATTGTCAGGAAAGCGCTGTTTAATGTTTGGATAAGATATAAGGATTTGTTAGAAAACAAAACCCCAAGGTGGCTGTCACCAATGGAAGCGAAAGCCTTGAAAAAGCTCAATATGGAGGTCAAATGGCCGAAATATTGGGAAATTTTGGAACAAGATGGAGATAGACTGAAATTGCAGAGCTTTGAAAAACTAAAAAACAAAGTGCGAGACTGGCTTCATTATTTTCAGATAATGGAGGCATTTAAATTGGACAAGAAAATTGGCTTCCAGGTGGAAAGATCAAAATTAGAAACTGAACTGTTAGAACCCAAAACCAAGAATTTGTCAAGAATGTATAACTTGCTGCTGAAATGGAACACTCAGGATGAAACGGTAAAATCGGCTATGATTAAATGGGCACAAGACGTTGGACATAACATTATGTTTGTTGACTGGGAACAGTTGTGGACCACAGGTATGAAATTTACGGCATGTAATGCCTTAAGAGAGAATATTATGAAAATGATATACAGGTGGTACATAACCCCAGTCAAGCTTGCAAAAATCTATCACTTGCCCGATAATAAATGTTGGAAATGTAAAGAAACTGAAGGTACATTCACCTTTGGTGGACGTGCCCAAAGATTAAGGCTTTCTGGGAAATGATATATAATGAATTAAAAAAGGTATTCAAATATACCTTCCCCAAGAAACCAGAGGCCTTTCTCTTGGGCATGGTCGGCCAAATGGCGATAAAAAAGGATAGAACTTTCTTTATGTATGCAACAACAGCAGCAAGAATACTCATTGCAAAGTATTGGAAGACACAAGAACTTCCCACGCTGGAGGAATGGCAGATGAAACTGATGGACTATATGGAACTGGAGGAAATGACTGGTAGAATCCGTGACCAGGGAGAAGAGTCGGTGGAGGAAGATTGGAAGAAATTCAAAGATTATTTACAGAAACACTACAAAATTAAAGAATGTTAGAGTGATGTTGGATTGAAAATAAGTGGTTTCCAGCTGTACAGGATTTAAAGTTATAGATAGACTAAGATGAAAGATTAGGATTAAAGAAGTTTAAGGAAATGGAAATTTGGTATTTAAGAGGTAAAATTTTAATGCTATATTATATTAAGATTAAAGATTGGGATTAAAAAGTGGGAAAGAAATTGCTGGACAAACAATTTGAATTGGAATACAAAAGAGGGAGGTATGAGGAGGTCCAGAAAATAAGTAAATTTAAAAACGGAAATGAAAAGGTGATATTGTTTTTAATTGTTCTGTTTCTTTTTCTTTGTTTTTTGTTTTCTGTGCTTTTTTCTTCTTTGGATTATGTACTGTGTATTTGTGTATTTCTTTTTTATGTTTTTATGTTTAATTTTTTACTGAAACCTTAATAAAAATCATTTTAAAAAATAAAAAAATAAAAATCATATTGTCAGGAAAGCATTGTTTAATGTCTGGATAAGATATAAGGACCTACTGGAAAATAAAACCCCAAGGTGGCTGTCACCGATGGAAGCGAAAGCTCAGAAAAAGCTCAATATGGAGGCCAAATGGCCGAAATATTGGGAAATTCTGGAACAAGAGGGAGATAGATTGAAACTGCAGAGTTTTGAGAAACTAAAAAACAAAGTGCGAGATTGGCTTCATTATTATCAGATAATGGAGGCATACAATTCGGACAAGAAAATTGGCTTCCATGTAGAAAAATCAAAATTAGAAACAGAACTGTTAGAACCCAAAACTAAGATTTTGTCAAAGATGTATAACTTGCTGTTGAAATGGAATACTCAGGATGAAACGGTGAAATCTGCTATGATTAAATGGGCACAAGATGTTGGACATAATATAATGATGGCTGACTGGGAACAGTTATGGACCACAGGTATGAAGTTTACGGCATGCAATGCCTTAAGAGAGAATATTATGAAAATGATATACAGGTGGTACATGACACCAGTCAAGCTTGCAAAAATCTATCACATGCCCAATAATAAATGTTGGAAATGTAAAGAAACTGAAGGTACATTCTTTCACCTTTGGTGGACGTGCCCAAGGATTAAGGCTTTCTGGGAGATGATCTATAATGAAATGAAAAAGATATTTAAATATACCTTCTTGAAGAAACCAGAGGCCTTTCTCCTGGGCATAGTCGGCCAATTGGTGCCAAAGAAGGATAGAACTTTTTTTATGTATGCCACAACAGCAGCAAGAATACTCATCGCAAAATATTGGAAGACACAAGATTTACCCACACTGGAGGAATGGCAGATGAAGGTGATGGACTATATGGAACTGGCGGAAATGACTGGCAGAATCCGAGACCAGGGAGAAGAGTTGGTGGAAGAAGATTGGAAGAAATTTAAAGACTATTTACAGAAATACTGCAAAATTAATGAATGTTAGAATGATGTCAGAATGAAGTTAAGTGGTTTTAGCAGCAATGTTATAAAGGTGTATGTAAAAATGGATTGTTAACAGGTGAGAATCTAAAGTTATAACATATTAAGTTAAAGGATTAAGACAAAAACAAAGAGGGAAAGGTATTGCTGAATTAACTAATTGAACTGGAATACAAAAAAGGGAGGTGTGAGGAGGTCAGGGAAGCCAGGAAATGAAATGTAAGGCATGGAAGATTGATTTGTTTTTAAGTGTTTTTTTTTATCTTTTTTCTGTATTTTGTATTTTTTCTTTTTTTAAATTTCTTTCTTTTTTTCCTTTTCTTCTTATCTATGTAATCTTTTTTTTGAAACCTTAATAAATATCATTTAAAAAAAAACACGAAGTCAAGTCGCAACTGCACCTCTTCAAGCAATGCACCCTGGGTATTAACGGTTTTAAGAAAAAGGAAACAGACTTGCAAGACGTTTTCGTCTTGTGAAGCAAGCCCATAGGGAAATTTGTCTTGTGAAGCAGCTCAAAAAACGCAAAACCCTTTCGTCTAGCAAGTTTTTCGTCTTGCGAGGCATTCGTCTTGCGGGGCACCACTGTACTTAGCAGGCAGTGGCCAGTTGTGTGGACAGTTTTAGGCCCCAAAACCCACAGAGCTTGAAGGTGACCTGGGAAGACGAGCCTTCCATTTTAGGTGGGGGAAAGCAACAAAACTGGAAAGTCAGGAGTCCTGAGATATTCGAAGAGACAGACCCCAGAGGGACTCACCCAATAAGCTCACACTCTGCTTGTCCCCCTGCTTGGGCCTTGTGGAAAGCTGCATCTTCACCATGCCCGGCAGAGCCTGTTCTGCCTTGCGGGGATTTACAAGCTCCTTTTCTGACATCCCTGTGATCTGCCAGTGGGGAAGATGGAGGGGAGAAGAGTCAGTTCAAAACCAAGTCACAGTGCAGGCAAAATGTGTGTTTAGAGGTTGGCGATAAATGTTACTTATTACAAGGACTTGATATTATCACAATCTGTCCAAGAATGTGAGGACATAATATAAGCCCCCTAGTCTCCCAGAACACAAAGGGGAATGAAGAGGGTGGAGCAAAGGGAGACAAGAGGAAGGAGTCCCAGGTTCCTCACAACTGCCTCATTGGGTCAAGATCTACCGGGAAGAATTGCTGTGATCACTAGGCCTGAGCTGCTTTGTTTCTTTGAATAATGAGTGAATTTCACTGACACTTTGTGAGTTACTGCTGACTTGCTCCCCACTCCTGCCTTGACACTGGCTTTGTCAAGGTGGCTGGGTGCCCAACTGGGGCTTTGTGCTTACGAACATTGTTGTATGTCGCTTTAGGTTGCATTGGCAAAAAATAGACTGATAATAAGTTATAATAATAATAATAATAATAATAATAATAATAGTACAGTGGTACCTCGGGTTAAGCACTTAATTCGTTCTGGAGGTCCGTTCTTAACCTGAAACTGTTCTTAACCTGAAGCACCACTTTAGCTAATGGGGCCTCCTGCTGCCGCCACGCCGCTGGAGCACAATTTCTGTTCTCATCCTGAAGCAACGTTCTTAACCCGAGGTACTATTTCTGGGTTAGTGGAGTCTGTAACCTGAAGCGTATGTAACCTGAAGCGTATGTAACCCGAGGTACCACTGTAGTAGTAGTAGTCATAGCCATAGCAACTCAAGACCCAGGAGTGGTTCAAGGGCACCATTTTCGAAACCCAATTCAGGCATGCTTGCAATGCCTGCAGTACACATTTAAAGCACATGGCTTTTCCCTATTGAGTTCTGGGAACTGTAGTTTACCCCTCACAGAGCTACAACACACAGCACCCTTAATAAACTACACTTCCCAGGACACTTTGGAGGAAGCCATATGATCCACACGTGCAACAAATGTATGCTGTGGATGTGACCAAGGACACAACTTTGGAAACATCATCTTACCTGCACTTCCCAGCTGTTGACCTCCTTCTGACTCAGAAGGAATTCCTCCGCCAGGGTCACTGCCCAGGCACAGCTCCCTGGGTTACGTTCTCTCACCCAGCTCTGCATCTCTGAGGGCAGGACAGCCAGGAACTGCTCCAGGGTCACCAGCTCCAGGATCTGTTCCTTGGTGTGTCTCTCCGGCTTCAGCCACTGATGGCAACACTCCTGGAGCTGCCTGCAAAGCTTGTAAGGCCCATCGGCCTCTTCGTAGCAGAGCTCACGAAAACACCGGCGCTGCCTCTCCATCTCGGCACCATCCCCAGACGGAGTTCTTGCCTTCTCCTTCCCACTGGGAGTGGCACCCAGATTGGTCTCATGGTCCTCTTGGGCTTCCCCAGCAAGACGTGGCTGGATTTGGGAAGCCCACAATGCTCTGGGCCAGCTGTGGTCATCTGTCACTCCCTCAGAAGTGACCTCCAATACTTTGGGATTGTCCCAATCCCTTGTCTCAGGCACTTGTGGGTTTCCCTCTCCAGAATGGGAATCCTGTAGCATCTTCAAAAACTCCTGCAACTGGGCGTCCCAGTTCCTTGACGGCTCATCGTTTGGCTCCTGTTTCACATTTTGTTGGGCTTCCACAAGAACTTCCTTGAGCCTCCCAGTTTTCGGACAAATTGATCTTTGCTCTCCAAATTCAGGGCTCCAGCTCTGCTCCATTTTTATTTCGGGTTCCATGGCCAGCTTTAGCACCAGCCACAATCTCTTGCGTCACAGCTTTTTTCTTCCCACAGGGACTGGCCTTGTTGTGCCTCTTCTCTGCTCTCTTTCACTATCAACCCTTTAGGGATGCCTCAGCGCCCTTGCTAATATCCTTGTCCTTCAGCTAAAGATATTCATCCAGCTGGACTCTTCAAATGAGACTGCAAACCATCTGGATCTTTCAACAACCAGCAGAATCTGACTGTCCTTGAAGCTAATATGACCAAACTTCACCTACTGAGGGGGGAGTGGAGGGAAAAATAAGAGAGAAAATCTATAGGACTGTTAACGGAAAAATCCAAGGGCTCCCTTGGACAAAAACAAAGACACCAACCAGGATAACTTGGAGCAAAACAGCAGCCTGTAGGCTTGGCCTTTATTGGTCTGTTGCAACAGGGTGCTCCCCTGACCCGCAGGAGAGAGGAGGGACGCAGAAAAATGGTGTGCAAGGCCTTATAAAGACTTTTGAAATTGCCACCCTGTAGATCAAGACCACCCCCAGAAACATCATACATACATCACAGAAGGGGTGTAACCTAAGACGACCCCTCAGATACATCACACCTACATCACAGAAAGGAGGGGTTGAGGAAGGAGTTGTGGTAGTAACCTGAGTGTCCTGTCACCTGGCTGGTTCCCCCTCCCCCCTCCCCATGAGTACTTTCCAGGTGACAGAGGGAAGTTTGCAGTTTCCTGCCCCCAGAGGGAAGAGCTGATTATTGTCCTTTGTTCCAGTCGTGCTGAATCCACTCCCATATGCAAGTTCTTTGTGATCTTGATGGTCTTCTGTCTAGGACCATCAGGGTTGGCATAGCAACTGGGCAGGGCTCCTGTGGATGTGCTGGGATGTTCAAGGGATTATGGCTGGCCTGTATCAAACCTTCCCCATTATGTAGTCCTTCCTTCATGGAGTAAAATAAAAGTGGAACAGTGAAAATCCAATGTATGGTTGATTTTCTATGAATTTATAACAGAAGCGTAGTGTATGTAGTGTGTGAGTGTGTGTGAAGTTTGTACAAACTGAATGATTGGGGGGGCGGGTTTCCTGCGACAGGACTGAAGACTAAAACCTCTCGGAATCTCTGAATACCCCATATTAATTGGGTCTGCTATTTCCGCACCTCCAAAAATCTATTTTAATTCCCAAGGAGCCTACAGACAAAAATACTAAAGGCACATGATACTTAATTCCCCTCCTGTGCTCACAAGCCAAGGTGATGTAAACAGCCAGGATAGCTTCCTACAGCCTCTAAAACACTTTAAAACAATCCCAGAGTCCCTTAGAAAACGGCTGAATTGAGAAGACACTCTTGGAATTGGAGGGGAATGTGGGCATGTGTCTCTTAACAATTCTCAGTTCCCTTAACAAATTGCGCTCCCCAGGATTTTATGGAGGAAGCAGCGACTGCTGAAAGTGGTATGAGACTGCTTTAAATGTATAGTGGAAATAAGGCCATACATAAGATTGGGAATGGGTGGGGGATCTCAGCAGCCCAGAAGCAGGGCTGGCCTAAGACATTATGCTGCCTGCGGCATGGTGGAAAATAGCACCCTGCACTTGGAAAGTCTAACCGTGCGGTGGGAGGGGACCCGTGAGGGTCATCCAGTCCAACCCCCTGCAACGCAGGATGATGCAGGTGCCGCATATGGGGACTTGAACCCAGACCTCGATGTTATCAGCACCATGCTCTCACCAACGGAGCTATCAGCAACAAAAGGCACAGCACCCAAACCTGGCCATTCAAAACCAGTCCCCCAATTCATTCCGCTTAATGGGAGGGCCAGCTTGCAACTTTTACCAGCAGCTGACCCAAGTGATGGGGATGCCTCCGTCGCCCTGGTCCTCTTGTCTTATGAGACCTCCCCAAGCTCAGAATAAGGAGCAATTAAAAAATTAAATTAAATTAAAACAGAAGCGGACCTGGGCAGACTCTCTGCATCTTCCCACCTTTCACTCACCTGCGCTCTCATTTCCCTCGCGGAGAACCTGCAGCCGACTACGTCATTTTCAGGCGCCAGTCAAGAGAGGGAGGGCGGGAACCGGAAAGCAGCGTCTCCCTTCCGCCCGCCCATGCGCCTCATCTTCCTTTGACATATGCTTGGGCCGCTCTAGGATTCGGACCGCCGTTGCTTTAACCCTTTCATAGCTTGTAGCGCTTAGCTGCGGTCACAGAACTTGCCTGAGCAAGAGATGGGCTGGAAGTCTCATAACTGACTGTCAGTGGTGCAAAGCGATGCCCGCATTTCCCCCAAAAAATTAGCATGGAAGTTTATTTTAGAAATCAAAGTGGACATAAAACCATACAATAAAAAAATATACAAAAGTTTGAAATCAGATAACTAGTGTGGAAACATGTGTTCTTAGTTGCCCAACACGCTCCCTCTGCACTACACTGATTTAGTAATAATAGTAATAATTTTATTATTTATAACCCACCCATCAGCCACTCTGGGTGGCTTACAACATACGTAAATCATAGTAAAATATCAAACATTAAAAACTTCCTGATACAGGGCTGCCTTCAGATGTCTTCTAAGTTATATACAGTGGTTCCTCGGGTTACATACGCTTCAGGTTACAGACGCTTCAGGTTACAGACTCCGCTAACCCAGAAATAGTACCTCGGGTTAAGAACTTTGCTTCGGGATGAGAACAGAAATCGTGCTCCATCGGCGGGGCGGCAGCAGGAGGCCCCATTAGCTGAAGTGGTGCTTCAGGTTAAGAACAGTTTCAGGTTAAGAACAGACCTCCAGAACGAATTAAGTACTTAACCCGAGGTACCATTTATTATTAAAATTTATTATTACCACTGTAATTCTTTATCTCCTTGACATCTGAAGGGAGCGCGTTCCACAGAGAGGGTGCCACTACTGATAAGGCTCTCTGCCTCGTTCCCTGTAACTTCACTTCTCACAATGAGGGAACCAGCAGAAGACCCTTGGAAAAGGACCTGTGCCTGGGCTGAATGATGGGGGTGTAGACGCTCCTTCAGGCAGGGCCAAGGCCATTTAGGGCTTTAAAGGTCAGCGCCAGCACTTTGAATTGTGCTCAGAAATGCACTAGAAGCCACTGAAGATATTTTAGGACAGGTGTTATTTCACCCCAGCGGCTGCTCCCAGTCACCGCATTCTGGATTAGTTGTAGTTTCAAGTCACCTTCAAAGGTAGCCCCACGTAGAGTGCATTGCAGTAGTCCAAGCAGGAGATAACCAGAGCATGCACCACTCTGGCTTGTCATCTCCCCAGTTCTGGCAACAAAACCTCAGGCAAAGGCAGACTAAGGGGGAATTTGAAATATACTCGGAGTTGAGAGTGGATTTCATGCTCTTTATTCAGCTCAAAGTGGTGAGGAGGAATGGAATTCCCCCCAGAATTTATATACATTATTTTTTATATACTTTATATACATTATTTACACAATGGGCCCCACATGATTGGCTAATTCCGGGATTCACCTGTAGGCAATCAGGTTGCGGATTCACTTCCACCTGGAGCTGGATTGGGTGGCTCCTGTGGACCAATCAGACTGCTGCCTTTTGGATCCTATTCAACTCAGTACATAACAATTGTAGAGCTGGAAGATGGATTTTCTTTAAACAGAGCCTGTCTCTCCACAATGCTTATTTGTTTTTAACATTATTTACACATTGCCTTCTTGGGGCAGTGTACATCTCTTTCCCACCCCGCTCTCTGCAAAGCAAGGAAGAGACTATCAAAGCTGCTCAAGAAAACATTAAGCACAGGCCTGTCGGCACTGAAAATAAAAAAAAAGAAGCCACGTGGGCATTGAGTTCCGGAGTCCTTTGCAGGAAGGGGGAAACCCAGCGGCTGAAAACAGAAGAGGTGAAATTTGACTCTTTCTTTGGCGCGAGGGAGCCATGGCTGTTGCTGCAGGGAGTCCCGTGCAAGATCTCTGCGACGAAGCCACTTGCTCCATCTGCCTGGAGTATTTCAAGGATCCAGTGACCACCGCAGAGTGCGGGCACAATTTCTGCCGGTCCTGCCTGGTCCAGTGTTGTGGGGCGAGAGGCAGGCAGGCCTCCTGCCCTCAGTGCAGAAAAACAGTCCAGAAAAGGAATCTCATCCCAAACCGGCAACTGGCTCACCTTGTGGAATTGATCAAGAAGCTCAGTCTGGAAAAGGAGGAGGAGGAGGAAGGACGGAAGGGGGGAGTCTGTGAGAAGCACCAGGAGCCCCTGAACCTCTTCTGCGAGGACCATGAAAGTCCTATCTGTGTGGTGTGTGATAAATCCAAGATGCATGAAAATCACAAGGTGATTCCTCTGGAGGAGGCTTTCGAGAAATACAAGGTAGGATCTTAAAGTGGTGGGGAGCAGAGGGATAGCTGTGGATTCTTCTTCAGCAATTTTCTTTAACTCTTTTTTAAAAAATATTTTTTATTAGGGATTTCAACATAACAATTTGTCAAAAACACATCATCCAAAATTTTCCCCCGTTCCCCCCCCCAAAGAAAACCCCACCCTCGCACCCCACCCCCCAGACTTCCCTCAGCTCCTCTCTGGTTTCTTAGCACATGTTATTCTCTGCATGTTATAAAATTGTAAAGATCCTCAGTTTATCTATCTGTATGTTACCAATAATTCTTTTTTAGTGTTTATTCAAAACCTGCCAAGGAGTCCAGTTCCTTTTGTTGTTTCTTTAAATACTTCGTAAAAGGTTCCCATTCTTCTTTAAAGTCACAGTTATCCTTGTCACGTAGTTTATGTGTAAATTTCGCCAATTCCGTGTAGTCCATCAATTTCTCTTGCCACAGTTCTTTAGTCGGGATTTCCTCATTCTTCCATCCTTGTGCTATTAAGACTCTTGCCGCCATTGTCACATACATGATGTTTTTTAATTTCCTTGGCAGGTCTTTTCCTACAATCCCTAACAAGAAAGCTTCAGGCTTTTTTACAAATGTTAATTGGAACATTTTCTTCAACTCATTATATATCATTTCCCATTTTTTTAAAATTTTACTACAATCCCACTACATATGATAATTTTCTTTAACTCTTATGCCTGAATTATGCATGGTATTAATTGCCTGAATGCAGTTTCCATACTTATTGTTAATAATAATAATAATTAGTAGTAGTAGTAGTAGTAGTAGTACCCCGTCCATCTTCCTAGGTTGCCCCAGCCACTCTGGGCTGCTTCCAACATATATAAAAACAAAATCAAAGAATACACCTTTAAAAGCTTCCCTATACAGGGCAGCCTTCAGATATCTTCTAAGGTTACATTATGTAAAAAGCAGCTGAGGAGAAGCCTGAGGGCTGGCTGGGAGGAGGGAGTTTGGATTCTCTCTTTGCTAGGGTACCAAAAGGAGCTTCCCTTGAAATGCAAACAGCAGCTTCGGAGATTTATGTTGCCACAATGGCAGGAAGAGAAAGTGCTTAAACTAGTGTTAGAAACTCAGATATATAAGCTAGGCGCCAAACGGCTCCGTCAACCGGGGTCGGAGTCACCAAAACGGAATGCCTAGTTGCCATTTTGGGGCCAGGCAGCTCAAAAGTCGTAATTGTCAATAATACTATTTGGTTTCTGAAATTCATTCTGATTTTGCAGATAAAATATAATGGATAGAATTCTACAGGATGTGTTGCTAGCTAGTGTGTGAAAACCGTCAAGATCCAAGGATCCCCAGGCATGTACCTCCAGACATCAGGCGCCATCCTGGCACCCAGGCATCTTGGTCGCAAGTGGCCAATAGCCAGGTGCAAAATAGGCCTGACACCTGGCAAATTTTGAACACTGCTCTAAACTCCACATGTGTTTTGCTGGTTGGTAGCAGCCTTTTGGTGCAGAAACCACAGAGGTGGGGAAATGAGATTAGACAAATCACAGAGCAGGAGAGATCAGACAAATCAGTTGTTTTACTTTGTGTCTTTTTTGCTGATTGGCTGCAGCCGTTTCAGGAAACAATATGGAGAGAGGGGGAAAGAAAGCAGACAGATCTCACATTAGAAGTAATTTCATAGGAAATAATGGTAAGCATACCCTCATTATGCGAACGCTCACCCAATGAACGATTTCCAGGGATCTAATTGTGTTTGGGAAGTGGGACCTGTGTGTACAACCTCTACACTGTTTTGTAACTTTTATTATTTTTGTTTATTCTTTTGTCTGTATTTTTTTATTTTATGTTAATAAAAATAATAACAATAAAAACTTCTGGATGGCAGCAGGTTGGCAAGGACTGCTAAAAATGCCCCCCCATACTCATTTTTTTATCAAGACTTCTTCATTTATAATTATTTTTAAAATGCAAACATTAACTGTTGCATTTTATATCTTCTCAAAAAGAATTTATAAAATAGAAGTGGGGGGAGGACTACAAAGCTACAAACCATTACGTGCAAGGCCTTCAGAAACTAGAAATCAGCAAAATAGTCAATTCCTCTCTCCTCCTCTCTCTAGCTAACCTGAGTTTTTTTCTTTTCTCTTTAGGGACTGATTTGCAGCCGCCTGGAGATTCTGATGAAAGAGAAAGAGAAAATTATGGCCTATCAAGCAGCCCTGGACAAGGAAAGCCAAGACCTTCTTGTAAGTATCACTATTATTATTAGGCAGGGAGTGAGTACTTTATGAATCAAGTCAGGACTGAGTAGGGATGGGCAAATCTGTCCATTTCGGTGTCTTTCCATTTCTCATTTTTCCACAATAGTTTGTTTGTTAGCTTGTTGTTGTTTTTATATAAAAAAACATGCTGAAAATTAATAAGATTTAAGGGTGGATTTCTCCGTATATAAATATATATCTTCAATTTCCCTATATATTTGCAATTTCCCTATATTTAAAATTTAAAATTTTGCAAGACAATCTTCCCTAATATCAGTGCTTTTTTTCTAAAAAAAATATGTTTAGGGGTACTCTCATTTTCCTATTCATATTAAAATACTGCCCCACAATGAGGCCAAACTTAGATTCACAAAATGTTTAGGGGTATGTGTACCCCCAGAAAAAAGCACTGCCTAATAGTATTCAATTCTCTCTGTTATTTATATTAATAAATGCATATTTATTCATACTTCACACACACACCCCCATATATGCATTTCTGTAGACACTACCTGGCTGGGGTAACCTTGCAAAACTTGGAGAAGTGTGAATTTCAGGGGATTGCTGTGTTTTGAATGCAAACTGAATTGAATTTCTTTCCCATTTGGCAGCCCAGCTGTACAGAACATAGATTGCTTGAGACAGTTACTATAAAAATTGTTAATGAAATATGTTTCTGAATGTGCCCGCTTGTTCATCTGTAAGAGACGCAGGCCATATTGAAGCTTTAAAGTAAATTGGGGAGGTGAATGCAGGTGGTATTTTGGTCTAAACCACTGAGCCTCTTGGGCTTGCCAATTGCAAGGTCAGTAGTTTGAATCCACCCAATGGGGGTGAGCTCCCATTCCTCTGTCCCAGCTCCTGCCAACCTAGCAGTTCGAAAGCTTACCAGTGTCAGTAGATAAATGGGTACCGCTCTGGTGGGAAGGTAAACGGCGTTTCCGTGCGCTCTGGTTTCCGTCACGGTGTCCGGTTGTGCCAGAAGCGGTTTAGTCATGCTGGCCACATGACCCGGAAAGCTGTTTGTGGACAAATGCCGGCTCCCTCGGCCTGAAGCAGAAATGAGCACTGCACCCCATAGTCAAAGGACCGTCCAGGGGTCCTTTACATTTACTTTTACCTTAAATAGGGGAGTGCTGGGCATGGGCATGCTAGCTCTGCCAGCCCCCCCTCCTCCATTTTTGTTGTTGTCGTCTTTGTACTCGTGAATGGCACAGGTTGGAAGTGAAGAGTATTTTGTGCCCATGGAGGCTCTCCGAACATCTTAGAACCTTGATTATGCCAAATATGAAATGATGCAGGGAACCTCCATGTCCAGAAAAATGTTCCGTGCTTTAGGGCTGTTGCTTCCCACAAAATGGAAGGCAACAGAAATGGAGACGGCAAATAGAATGTGTTCATCTCTGCCTCCCCTGCTTCTTCAGCCACTGGACGTTTATTTCATGTCTATGAAAAGTCATTGAAAGTGCACTTCCTGCGGAGATCTCATAATTTCCCTCCTGATGTCATGAAGACTGGCCGTATTTCAGATTCTGGTCTCTGCTTTTCCTCCTGCTTCTTGCAGAAATTAACAGAAACCGGGAGGCAGAAGACAGTGGAGAAGTTCAGACAACTGCAGCAGTTTCTCAAAGAACAAGAAAAACACCATCTGGATCATATAGAAGAGGTGGAGAAGGAGATTGCAAGGAAAAGGAATGAGCAGCTGGCCAGGCTCTCCAGGGAACTCGCCCATCTTGAAAAGGTGGTCCAGGAAATGGAGGAGAAGCGTCTGCAGCCAGCAAACGAACTCCTGCAGGTAAGATGGTGGCAGGAACAGCCCAAGGACAAGTCTGCAGAAATTTATGTGCCTCCTTAATTTAAGCAAGTCGTAAAAGAGCTTAGTGGATGGAGTCTCTAGTCCAGTCTCTTATGCACAGGTGCGCCAACAGACCTGGGATGTTTTCCTTACCTTAATGCAAACTAGAGATTCTTCTGCGGAGTTGATGGAACCAGGTGTTGTTTTTTCCTCCTTGCTAATAGTTTGCCTCCTAATGCCTTCCAGTTTGTCAGTGCTGTCTTCATGCCCTGTAGTGGGCTTCCCAGAAGCTACTTTGGCCACCTCAGAGCAGGCGTCAGCAAACTTTTTCAGCAGGGGGCCAGTCCGCTGTCCCTTAGACCTTGTGGGGGGGCCGGACTATATTTTGAAAAAAATAATAATGAACGAATTCCTATGCCCCACAAATAACCCAGAGATGCATTTTAAATAAAAGGACACATTCTACTCATGTAAAAACATGACCCAGAGATGCATTTTAAATAAAAGGACACATTCTACTCATGTAAAAACATGCTGATTCCCGGACTGTCCGCGGGCCGGATTTAGAAGGCGATTGGGCCGCATCCAGCCCCCGGGCCTTAGTTTGCCTACCCATGCCTCAGAGCTTACCAAAAGTAAAATGAATCAAAACAGATGTGAGCTCCAGCATTGAGCACACTTTTTTTGACATCCCAAGGGGGGTGGGGAATTCCACTGAACCCACACTTAAAGGTGAACCTGCCTCATTTGCTCTTTATACATCAGTACACAAACTGAGTCACAACCTTCCATCAACATTTGCACTTCTATGGACTTTCCAAGGCAGCTCTCCAGCCAGGTAATGTGTACAATTCAACCAGTTGCAGAAAATTGTCTGATTTAGCCGTTCCTACCCCAAACTGACATCAGAGGGCCAGAGTGTTCCTCCATTGCAGGGTCTGAGGTGTCTTCCTAGTGTGGCCTGTGGTGTGCAGTGATTTCCATTCTCTTTTCCCTATAGGATGCGAGGAGCACCTTGCAGAGGTAAGTGGATCCTGCTCATTTCCATTAGCATCGCTCCATAAGAGTGGGAAAAGTCACATAAGACCACTGTGGGGGAGATAATAGGATTTCTACCTCTGAAATACACAAGGATCTGTGGGGGTTTAGGGGTCCTGGAGTTTGTTTTCTGTTGTCCCTTGCATAGAGTCCCTTGGAATTGCTCCTCAAACTTCTCCTGGATACGATCACAGGCTATCCTGCTGAGCAGGTCATGAATGACCTCTTGGGAAAATATCTTTCTACCATAAGGGTTTTTCATTTTATTGAAGTTGCATGGAAAATTTCAGAGACTGCCATGATGGGGCCTTTCAGGCAGAGGTGGTTTTCGAATGAAGTACAGTGGTACCTCGGGTTACATACGCTTCAGGTTACAGACTCCGCTAACCCAGAAATAGTACCTCAGGTTAAGAACTTTGCTTCAGGATAAGAACAGAAATCGTTCTCCGGCGGTGCGGCAGCAGCAAGAGGCCCCATTAGCTAAAGTGGTGCTTCAGGTTAAGAACAGTTTCAGGTTAAGAATGGACCTCTGGAACGAATTAAGTACTTAACCCGAGATACCACTGTACTGCCATTTCCCCTGCTAATTTTTGTTTTACTTATTTAAATTGTATAATGTTGTTTTGTATTGGCCTGGATGGACTTTTGACCAATAACTTGGTTTGCTTGTACATCTGTGGAAGGTCTGCCTCATCCTCTGAGATCATTTGGTTCTAGAGCAGAGGTTATCTACATATCAAAGCAAGGTATCGCCAAGCTCAAGAAACAAATGCTTTGAATTTACTCTAAGGGAAAGCTTTTCTCCTCGCACACGAAACACGGGAAATTTACTGCAGTTGCTCTGCAGCTCTGTCTTGGCCACTTCACCAGGTGTGATATATCCCCAGGCGGGGGGAAATCTCACAAGGAAGAGAGTTAGCGGTGTACCTTTGTTCCTGATCCTGTAATTTGTAACTTCAATGTGTCACTCCGGTTCAGGAGAGAGGTTATAAGGAACATTTCACGTATATGAACAGCAGCAACCATCTTTTTTTCTCTACACCTTCCCTGGGGACATCTAGAGAAAGATGCTGTGCTGTCACCAGGCACTCAGAGAATTCATGCCCCCTGATATCACATGATGGTGCTTCTTCTTTGAGTAAATATAAGCGGGGAGACTCAGAGGCCTGTGGTTGCTGTTCTGGTCCTGAAATGTCTGGCTTAGTGCAGAAGAAGAATCTTTCCCTGCTGTGCCTCCCTGTCTGCAGCTCTCTTCCTCTCTCTCAATTCCTTTCTGTGGATTTGTGGAATTGTGGATTTGAACAGACTCATATTGTGTTTCTTTTCACCAGGTATGAGAAAAGAGAGACGTTGGTGAATCCACTGGCTTTCCCTCCAGAGCTGAAGGGGAGAATCTCAGAATTCTGTGATATAAATCCCCTCCTGGAGGATGTCATGAAGCAATTCAAAGGTAATGAAAAATGGCGCCAAGGGTTTTATATTGGGCATATATTACAGGCAACAACTAATTTACGTGGGACCGTGACCACGTGCATCACCGCAACCCGGAAGTGACCGGAAAAGGGGCAGGGGTCAAGAACGTAACCCCTGTGCAAAACGGTCATTGCCTATAGTCCAAAGCTGTTTTGTATTTTGTTCTCATCACAGACATGGGTACCACCAGGATACCTTCCTTCTTGGTGGTGCAGCCATTATTTTATTTCCCCCAATCCTTCCTCATCAAACCAAATCAAATCAAATCAAATTTCCAATCCTTCCTCATCAAACTTCGCTTCTCCTTATGTTTCACCATTTTGGCTTTAATGATTCCCCCCACCACTTTACTTGGGTAAAATGTTAAGGCTGTCTCCATCTCCCCTCTGTATCCTTTTATGGGGTTCCTATTGCTCTGCCCCCCCCTTCCAGTCCTCCAATGTAGAGCCCAATTTCAGTGACAAAGTTCAGAGACTAGCAGGATTCATGCTGAATATTTTTGTTCTGTTATTTGTAAGCTTGTGTTATGTTTGCTAAGTTTTAAAGCTTTAGTTATTTCCATAGATTCTTTCTATGGTTTTCTTGTTTACAATTATTTTTTTCTACTAGTTTATCTTTTCCTTAAATTATAATAATGCTACATTATGAAGCATTATTTTTGTATGGAGATTTATTTCAGGTGGAAGAGAGTCGCCCTTACACTTATATCTTTTTGCTTCCTCAGATGCTCTGTTATTCAGAGAACAGCTTCAAGAAGGTAAATTTCCAGGGAAGGAACAGGAGGAATGGGGGACTGGTGTTTCATGGGTGTTGAACAGTCTGTTCTTAGACTTTGGAACCATCAGCAATAGTGTCAACATGTCTAAAATTTCTGGCTTTAAATAGCCTTTTCCCACCTGTTTATTTCTGGCAGATGTTCACCTTTTAAAAGATGGAAATTGCACTGCCATCCAGTATAGATACCCATTTCATTCATGGATTCTGAATAATTTCATTCTGCCATTTTCCAGTATGGTTTACCATTTTTGATTTTCACATAGAATCAGAATAGTTTTAATTCAACTAGTTCAACCTCCTGCAGTGCAGCTAGACAAGTTGGCTGTTTGAATTTCTTAGTCATACAGTTTTCTCATTAGTAATTTGTTCTATGATTTAATCTTTTGCTTGAAATAAGGAAACAACGGATGATAAGTTATGAAGCATTGTTTTGTAATGTTTTTTTTAATTTTTATTTTAGATATAGCTGTGTAGCCCTTAAACATTATATCTTTTTGCTTCCTCAGAGGTTCTGTCATTCGGAAAACCTCAGAAAGGTAAATTTCACATGGAGTCCCAAATTCATGGGGTGGTGGTGGTGTTTCGAGGGGTGAAAGTGTCTGTGCTGCAGAAATATGTGGGTTATGAGTTCTTTGTGGTGCAAGTGGACATTATTGTCTTGGAAGATGTTTAGTAGGGCCAATTCTGGGGTGATTTCTAATACTTGCTTAGTTATTTTACATATTTCTTGTATGGCTGTTGTCCAGAATAGTTGGATTTTGGGGCACTCCCACCACATATGGAGGTATGTGCCTGTGGAGGTGCACCCTCTCCAGCATTTTGGTGTGGTTCCTGGGCGTATTAGCGCTAGTTTTCTTGGTGTTAGGTACCACCTGTAGGTGAGTTTCATTCAGAGTGAGTTCTTTTCGTTGGTCTTTACCGTGTTGACTGAATAAATCATACATAATAACTTTCTTGTTTCTTTCCTGCCTCTTAGTGCCAACAGGGTGAGGGGGAGAGAATTCCTCAAGCTTGACACCCCCAAGATTCAGAGGCAGCCTTGTAAATAGCCACATTCCCTGTTAGAGCCTCTTATAGCCGAATCTTCCCCCGATGTCAGGACTCAGGAATTGTAGATATCTTGGTTCAATCTTATTTTGCGGAACAAACCATTAAATATGTTGTTATTATAATTTATTAAATTTGTATGCCACCTTTCATCTGTAGATCTCAGGACTGTTCACAACATTAAAAATATAAAGGTAGAAAATACAGGATAAAAACAAGAACAGAAATCAATAACACCCCACCCCACCCCACCCCACCCCAAACACATTTAAAAGGGTATCTGATGTTGAGAATTGGATTGGTGGCGAAGTGACACCGTGTGGTGAGAATAGAAACACCAGGGAAATTACATTTGTTCATTTGCTCCTCTTCTCAGAAACAAAGGAATACAATTTTGTCTCCCTCACTGAGAGGGAACCCTTGAGGCAGCATTAGTTCTGCCTCCAGCTGAGGCAGAATTGGGTCCACATTGACACTCTCCCCAGTTCTAACCATATTGAGGGCATTAAAGGGTCCATGACTGTTCTCTGCCCATCTAAACTGGCTGTCCTCATTCGCCATCCCCTGGGAGCCCTAAATAGCCAATTCACACAAGAGTGTGTCAGAGGACGGCAGTTTCCCTTCTCTTCTAACCTCTCCCTCTCCTTGGCTGACACAGCAGAGCTGAAATAAAAAAAATAATGGGGGTTTTTACTCGGAAGATTTGTGAATTGACAGGAATGTCACAATATAGGAAGTATATTGAATATAAAAATAACAAGGATGCTTTTTATTCGAAGTTTATTCTGATGAGAGTCTGGAAGAAGGAGAGGAGGGTCCTAACCCTAAACGCAATGCAAATAAGTCCTGTTTTTATGAGAGGGAATCTGGTTCCTGGGCTGTTTCTTGGATCAGGATGTCCGTCTCCTGACTCTCGGCTGATTCTGCCTCTCTTCTCTTTCCCTCATCTTCCCCCCAACAGCAAATGTCACTCTGGATCCAGACACAGCCTATCTCAGGCTCATCCTGTCCGAGGATCGGAAAAGTGTGAGACTGGGAGATAAAAGGCAAGCCCTGCCCGACAGTCCTGAGAGATTCAACAATTGTACTTCTGTGTTGGGACGTGAGGGATTCACAGCAGGCAGACATTTCTGGGAGGTCACTGTGGGAAGCGAGGGATGGTGGACTGTGGGGGTTGCCAGGAAGTCTGTGAAGAGAAGGAGCTTTCTTCCCTTCAGTCCTGAGGGAGGAATCTGGGCTGTGGAGAAGTCTGAAAGCAAGTACTGGGCCTGCACCTCCCCTGATGACCCTCCTCTGTCCCTGAGTGGGGACCTCAAGAGGATCCGAGTGACTCTGGACTATGAAGGGGGACGTGTGTCATTTTTTGACGCTGACTCAGGAGCCGAACTCTATACATTCTCAGGAGCCTCGTTCTCTGGAGAGACCCTCCTCCCTTTCTTTTGTCTGGGTGGAGGTAAAACACAGCTCAGTATCTCCTGAAGACACTATATTTGCCCCACAGGCCCAGCAGAAGTTTCTCTCCTGACCAGAATGACTGCTATAAAACCAGCATTTCCCTCTCAAGTGCATTTTTTGGCAGCTTTTCTGGGACCCTTTGAGAGGATTCGTTCTAGTCACAATCGGCACAAGCAACAAAACAAACAAAAATTGCTGCTTTTCCCTTCCCTTTCCCAGAATTTCCTCTGCAGCGGAGTTTTTTAAGAAAAAGAAACACCTGAACATTCCCAATAAATAATCTTTTCCCTCAAAAGCCTCCATATCACGATTGCTGTTATCTATCTTCATTAAGCATTAGCAATAAATAAAGAAGTAAATGAAAGGAAACAAATATTCATTGGCTAGGAATTGAATGCCACCTGTGTCAGTGAGAGCAGTAAATTTTGGAGAGCTGCGGGTGGGATGTGGATTTTGATTGGCCTTATTTCTCTGTGGTAAACAACTAAGAAGAAGATTAAAATTTAAAAACAAGGAATCCACTATTCAGAAATTATCTGGGCTTCTGGGTGAAAATGAGGTGGCCAAATTCACTGAGGACTTTCAATGGTCCAAGGTGGTGGGAACTAGAAGGGATTGATTGTGAGGATATTTCCAAACTGACTGAATGGACATAGAAATATCTAAATGGTAAGTAATGAACTTTGGGGCAAAAGCTTCTAACTTCACTTATAAGGTAATGATGACTGAAGGTGGGGGTGAGTGTGGAGGAAGCGTTTGAGGCCATTCTCTGTGTGCCGCCTCCTCAAGAGGCCCAGAGGGTGGCAACACAAGAATGGGCCTTTTCTGCAGTGTCTCCCCTCCTCTTGGAGGAGGAGTCCGGGAGGGCAAGAGTTAACACCCCCCTGCCCTTAAGGAGAGTCGATATGTACATGTTTAACAGTTTAATAAATTGTTCTTTAATAAATTGTTCTGTGCACACTTGCGTTCACAAAGATGGGAACATGAGCCCAAATAGTTTAATGTGGCAAGCGAGGGAGCCATATGCATTATGACTCAGGAGCCGAACTCTACACGTTCTCAGGAGCCTCGTTCTCTGGAGAGACCCTCCTCCCTTTCTTTCTACTGTGGAGAAATGAAACCCACTTCAGTATCTCCTGGGGAGACTAAATCTGCTTCTCAGGCCCAGCAGGAGTTTCTCTCCAGACCAGAGTGACTGACATAAAAACCATTTACCCGCCAAGAGCAGGTTGGGCAGTTTTGCAAGGGCCATTTGAGAGGATCCATTCCGGTCAAAATCAGCAGAAATAACCAAACAAAAATAAGTTGCTCTTGCTCTGCATTTTCTTTCCTTTTCCCAGAATTCCCTCTGGAGCTTACTTCTTCCAGAGACATTCACACTTTTAACAGTCCCAATAAATAAAATATTTCCTCACCTTCAATCTTGTTTTCCTTTTGAGATGTCTGATTTGGCAGAGCATGAGACTCTTAGTCCCAGGGTTGTGGGTCTGAGCCCCACGTTGGGCAAATGTTTCCTGCACTGCAGGGGGTGGGACTAGATGACCCTCAGGACCCCTTGCAACTCTGCAATTCTAGGAAACCTTCCTCCCCCCACAATATCTTATGCAGCTGTTAAAATGCATGCATTATTGGATTAATGGAAGACTAAAAAATGAACCCCTCCCCCACGTCAGGCAGGATAACTGGGGGAGGCAGTGGGAGACAGGAGTGCCTGGCGTGCTCTGGTCCAGGGGGTCATGAAGAGTCGGACACGACTAAACAACAACAACAACAACAAAAATGAACCCCTTCATCCACGTCAGGCAGGATAGCTCCTTGCTCTGGAGACCTCAGATGGGAAGAAAATGAAAAAGAAATTGAACAGGGCGTCAGCTTCAAATGCCCTCTGCAAATACAGCCTCGCCATCTCCACACGTTGTCAGAAGTAAACCTTCTTGCATTGAGTGGGGCTTCTGCCCGGTTAAATGTGTTTTGAGTGGATGCATTGACGTTCCTTATTTACAGGCTGGATTCTGTCTATCGGGGGCATCAAATGGGGTGTCCTCTGGATAATGCTGGACTCCAATTCCCCTCTGACCCATCCAGCATGGCCAGGGGTCAGAGAGGATGAGAGTTGCAGTCTGGCAGCTTCCAGAAGGGGCTCCATGGCCTGTGCTGCCCCATACATTTCGCAGGAAACCTTCCCTTTGCTCCTCAGCCCCACCTCAAATATACAGTGCTACCCCCACAGTGGCGGAGCAACAAGCTGCAGCCCCCGGAGCGGAGAACAGGCTGGGGCGTGGCTTGCGTCCCGGGGTTGCGCAGCGTGCGGCGCAGGTCCCGCGCATCCCAGGGGAGCAGCCGTGATGGTACCCTTTCCCTAAATGGTACCTGGAATGGCACACCCCGCCCCCCTTCATACCCCGGTGCTCCCCCAAGGAGGGTCATTTTGGCAGCAGGTGCATTTTATTTTTCTCCTGGGATACTAAGAGCTAGAACAACACATGCCTGTGGAATTGACCTCTCTGAGAGACTGGTAGGATTCTCTCAAAGATCTGGCAGCCTGCTCTCCTTTCCCTGCGTTTTCCACGGGGTGGTGGCACATGATGGAATAAAGACACCCCCCCCCCACCTGCCTGAGCACCACCTCCCCTTGCTCCATCCCCTACATGATGTTGGCATCGTTTGTGTGTCATCATAAAAGTTACATTTAGTAGGGAGACAACATAAAAGTAACATTAAAGAAAGTAACATTAGTACAGAGGCGGTGAACACAATTATAATATCTCACTGTGGCTGGAAAAGGAAGCAACACAGCAGACTATGCCGTGGTTTTGAGCATCACAGGGAGCAATGCAGGGGGGCAGACAAGGGGGGATCCTTTACTGATAGCAAATATCTATTCCCTTATTGATACAGAGGAAAAGAAACCTTTATTCAACTCAAAATTCTTATAACACAATCAAAAAGCATTTGCTACTCCTTGAGAAAACATTCAGCAACTGCAAAGACCTGGGGACATTTTTTAAAAAAAATAAAATAAAGATCACGTGCTCACTGAGTCATTTCCAGGAAGGGAAACTCCCAGTGGCTGAAAACGGAGAAAGTGAAACTTAACTCGGATCTTTGGTGCGAGGGAGGGAGCCATGGCTGCTTTTGAGGGTCACATCCAGCGTCTCCGTGATGAAGCCACTTGCTCCATCTGCCTGGATTACTTCAAGGATCCAGTGACCATCCCAGAGTGTGGGCACAACTTCTGCCGATCCTGCTTGATCCAGTGCTGGGGGGAATCGGAGGCAGAGGCTTCCTGCCCTCAGTGCAGAGAAAGAGTCCAGAGAAGGAGCCTCATCCCCAACCGGCAATTGGCTAATGTGGCAGAAATAGCCAAGAATCTCAGCCTTCAGGAGGGAAAGGAGGAAGGAGGGAAAGGAGGAGTCTGTGAGAAGCACCAGGAGCCCCTGAAGCTCTTTTGCAAGGAGGATGAATCCCCCATTTGTGTGGTTTGTGACAAATCAAAGGATCACAAACACCACGAGGTGATTCCTGTGGAAGAGGCTTTGGAGGAATACAAGGTAGGAGATCCCTTGATCTTGAGGGGGAGAAATAGCTGTGGATTCATAGAATCATAGAATCATAGAGTTGGAAGAGACCACAAGGGCCATCGAGTCCAACCCCCTGCCAAGCAGGAAACACCATCAGAGCACTCCTGACATATGGTTGTCAAGCCTCTGCTTAAAGACATCCAAAGAAGGAGACTCCACCACACTCCTTGGCAGCAAATCCCACTGTCGAACAGCTCTTACTGTCAGGAAGTTCTTCCTAATGTTTAGGTGGAATCTTCTTTCTTGTAGTTTGGATCCATTGCTCCGTGTCCGCTTCTCTGGAGCAGCAGAAAACAACCTTTCTCCCTCCTCTATGTGACATCTATCATATCACCCCTTAACCTCCTCCTCTCCAGGCTAAACATGCCCAGCTCCCTTAGCCGTTCCTCATAAGGCATCGTTTCCAGGCCTTTGACCATTTTGGTTGCCCTCCTCTGGACACGTTCCAGTTTGTCAGTGTCCTTCTTGAACTGTGGTGCCCAGAACTGGACACAGTACTCCAGTTGAGGTCTGACCAGAGCAGAATACAGTGGCACTATTACTTCCCTTGATCTAGATGCTATACTCCTATTGATGAGGCCCAGAATTGCATTGGCTTTTTTTAGCTGCCGCGTCACACTGTTGGCTCATGTCAAGTTTGTGGTCAACCAAGACTCCTAGATCCTTTTCACATGTACTGCTCTCAAGCCAGGTGTCCCCCATCTTGTATTTGTGCCTCTCATTTTTTTTGCCCAAGTGCAATACTTTACATTTCTCCCTGTTAAAGGATTCTACTTGGGAGGTTTTCTTTTTACTTCTCAGGTCCAAAGTAGGCATGGCATGGATTCATCCTTGTTTATTATGTAAAAAGCAGCCAAGGGGAAGCCTGAGGGCTCCTGGGATGACTCAGAAGAAGGAGTCACAGTCTTTCTCTCTTCCAAGGGGACAAAGGGATCTCCCTTGATATCCCTGAGAAGCATCTGCAAAGACTAGGTAGAAGTCTGTAAGCAAGGGGTGACCTAACTGGGTCCCTGAGCCCCACAGGGCTGGCACAGAAAAAAGGTAGCTGGTCCAGGGAGCCAAGACCCAAAAAGGTTGAAAACCTCTGGACTTTTATTTCCTCGAAAAAACTACTCTGCTATTATAGCAAGACCACTGGGCGCAAGAAGCCTGTATAATATTCACCTCCTCTCTGTGTGTCTCAATCAGACCTGAGTTTTTCCTTTTCTCTTTAGGGAGAGATCTGTCACCGCCTGGAGATTCTGAGGAAAGAGAGAGTGGAAATTCTGGCCCATCAAGCAGCCCTGGACAAGGAATGCAAAGACCTCCTGGTAAGTGTCTCTATTCTTGCTAGTTACAGATAGTGAGGGAAGAAGCACTTGAAGAGTCGAGTCAGGACTGAGGAGGGATGGGGAAATCTGCCCATTTCAATTTCTCCCCATTTCTCCTTTTTCCATATCAGTCTGTTTATTAACTCTGGTTATGCCATGCCCCAAAGCATGCAGGGAACATCCATGGCTAGAAAAAATGCTCCTTCCTTTAGGCTGTATCCCTCTGCAAAATAGAAGTCAACAGAAACAGCAATGGGGAGGGCCTCCCCTCAAAATAAAGGTTTACTTCTTTAGCCACTGGAGGTTTAAAGTCTATGAAAAATCAAAAGTGTCCTCCCTGTGGAATTCTCACTATTCTCTTCCTGATGTTTTGAAGGCTGATCACCTTCCACACTCAGACCTCCTCTTTTCTTGCAGAAATTAACAGAAACAGAGAGGCTGAAGACTATGGAGAAGTTCAGAGAACTGCGCCACTTCCTGGAAGAACAAGAAAAACGTCTGCTGAATGATGTGGAAGAGGTGGAGAAGGAGATTGCAGGGAGAAGGGATGAGCAGCTGGCCAGACTCTCCAGGAAACTCTCCTCTCTTGAGAGGATCATCCAGGAGATGGAGGAGAAGAGTCAGCAGCCAGCGAGTGAACTCCTGCAGGTAAGATGGTGGCAGGAACAACCAGAGGATCCAGGAAAAGGCTGCCTCCAATCCTTCATGTGCCGCTTTCATGTATGCAAGGAGTGCAGGGGCTGAGATGATGGAGCCTCTGGTCAGGTTTGTAATGGACAGGAAGACCCAAGAGAACTGGGCTGCTTAACTCAACTGAATGCAGACTAGAGATTCGTCTGTGTTCTTGATGGAACGGGAGTTGATCTTCTGCTCTTTGCTGATGCCTTGTCTCCGAACGCCTTTCAGCTGTGGGGGGCTTCATCTAGGATGCGTTCAGGCCTCCTTCCGACATGAGCCAGTCTCTTGACCAAGTTTCTCTTCCCGTTCCCTCCATGATTTCTGGGTTGATCCCCTTCCCCATGGATACAGATCGGTCCAAAATGGTGCTCAGTCACAGTGACCAAAGAGCAAGACAGAGGGACTCATCCAGACTGCTGCTTGTCCCAGCCCTTTCCTCCAGGAAAACCCACTGTTTACTGCTGAATTAGAGCAAACCTCAGCCAGGTTTTCTCCAGATTGATGTTTGCTTTGATGTTGGACTAAGGAGCAGGTTTTTCCTGAGGGAAAGCGGCAGGGCAAAGGCAAAACCACTTGGACTCATGTTTTCTGGGCACAGGAAAGAGAGAAGTGTGGGTGAGCCCAAAGAAACACTGAGCTGTTTTTTTACCCCTTTGGAGGCATTTTATGCTGCAGGTGCTTTTCTAATTTCCAGGTGGAAAATAGAATTTGAAATTTGGGGACTGGGCCCGTGCCCTGGCAGGATTATCCTGTAGGCTTACTTACATCTGAATTGCACAATGCAAACTGGATTAAAGTTATTATAATCTAAGACTAGAGATGGTGTGAATTGTCTCTTGAACCCACAAATGTGAAATTTTCCTAAAATGCTGGTGGGTTTCATAAGGATTTTAAACAAAAATGGCAAACTGATGTGGAAATGTGGAGATCTTGAAATCAGAACAGTTAATAATTTCAGACTGGAAAAATAAAAGCTGTGAGAAACCAAAACTGGCTGATTCCGCCATCCCTACCCCAAACCTTGGCATGTGCCAGGCAGACTGACATCTGAGGGCCAGGGTCTGAGGGGGTCTTCCCAGTGTGGCCTGTGGTGTGCAGTGAATTCCCTTCTCTTTTCCCCTCTAGGATGTGAGAAGGACCTTGCAGAGGTAAGTGGATCTGGCTCATTTCCATTAGCATCACTCTTTGAAGCTGAGATGCAAGAACCTCAGACATGGCCCTCCAGGGGCTGCAAGGGGGAGACTGTAGGACTCACTCCCTGAGGCACCTCACAGGTAAAAGTAGAGCCCCCTCTTCTGAACTTGTAGCCCCCCAATTCTCCCTCCAAGGTTCATGGTCAACTGCCTCCTCCCTCCCTCCCCACATCACTTCACACAGGGATGGGGGTTCTTTTCTTTCTCTTGCACTTTCTGTTCATGGACTTTTTGATAATTGCAAACATCTTAAGAGAAAGTGCCAGAGATACTTGTGAAGAGCTTAGGATATACAAATAGATTTCAATGTCCAGCTAGAAGCCCCCTAACTCTGCAAACTCAAACCCCTTTGAGGCACAGAGAGAGGGAAGGTCTGTTGGTCTAGAATAGGTGGGTTCTTTTTCTTGGGAGCATTTCCAACGTGAGAGGCTGAAGGTGGTCTTGAGTGGGGGGTGAAAGTCCGGTTGTTTCCTGCCTCTGGAGGGAGAATCCCATGGGGCATGGAGTTGTGCCCTTCCTGGGTGAGAGAGGGGGTGAAGGGAGGGTGGAGGTTGTTTTCCTTGACCTCTTGGCAGCTTGGGACATCACTCACATCTTCAGGAGAAGCTCAGGGAGGGAGGGGTTGCAGGCATTCCACCTCAGGGGTTTGGTTCTTCCGTCCTGGGACCTTCCCAGAAAGTTGTTAGGGGGCAGCGTCATTGGAAGCCCTCCAGTGGTGTCGCTTGGGGTTACATCTTGTCCCTTGTGCTGTTTAGCATCCTTACGAAGCCACTGACAGCCGTCCTCAGGGGTTTTGGACTGAGGTCTCATCTGTGGTGAAAATAAACCTGTTGGGGGGGAAATTCCGCTTTGTTCATTTTATTGAGATCTCCTGCAATAATTAGGGAGATGGGGCCATTCATTGTTTTTCTTTTCACCAGGTATGAGAAAAGAGAGAGTCCAGAGAAGCCACTGGCTTTCCCTCCAGAACTGAGGAACAGGATCTTGGAATCCTGTGATCTAAATCACCTTGTGGAGGATACAATGAAACAATGGGAAGGTAATGAATAATGGCTCCCAGGATTTTACACTGGGAATTCTGATACTTCTTCAGAACTGGACATGCCAGGCTCTTATTGCATGGAATTGAGTAACCCCAGGATACCTTCCTTCTTGGTGCTCCAGCCTTCATTTCCTGTCCCCCAGAATGGCCCATGTATATTGTGATGCTGGATCCTGTAAAGAAAGCCTGAACAAGAGTGTAGAGCAAAGTCAAGATTTTTTCCTCCCATGTGCATCTGTTTACAGTTATACGAAACCTCCTTTTCCTTGTGGTTCCCTGTCTGCACAATCTGGGGTTGTCCTTTGGGAGGTTCTCCTGCTCTGAATGGAGTCAATTTAAGGATGCCACGTTATGAAGTGTTACTTTTGTATGGAGATTTATTTCAGGTGGAAGAGTGTTGCCCTTACACTTTATATCTTTTTGCTTCTTCAGATGCTGTGTTATACAGAAAACAGCTTCAGAAAGGTAAATTTCCAGGGGAGGAACAATTTGACAGGAGGGATGGGGACTGATATTTCATGGGTGTTGAACCGTCTGCTCTGCAGACTTTGGGACCCCCATCAATGGTGTCACTCTGGGTAACAGTCCTCTACTGGCGTTTGGGTTCTTTGTCGGTCCCATAAATGAACTAGGAAGGGTTTGAAGGCTTGGACTTGGGGCAGAGCTTGGCCCTTAGAAGAACCTGCACACCAGTCTGAGTTCCTTTCCTGCCTATAGACTATTATCCTGTTTTCTCCCTTAATGTTATAGATTTTGCTTTCTTTCTTAAAATCTATATACTGCTTGATTGTGGGGGAAAGCCTCAGAGCCTTACGATATATTAAAAAAGCCCTTAGGGAGGATCCTGCAGAGTCAGTCCAATGTCCATCTTGTTGAGCTCTCATGTATAAGGAATCTCCCTTGCATTTTGTTTTCCCTCCACATAATCTGGAGAGGTTCTTTTGGGGCTTCTCTTGATTTGCTTGCATTTCTCCCTCGCGAAGTGTGTTAAAAGGGGCACCCGCAAGCACCCAGTCCCTCCTCCACCTCCTGCCAGGCTGGTCTCCCAGCAGCAGAGCAAGGCCTGAGCCGCCTCTTCCTCAGAGTTTCAACCTCACCAGCCCCATTTCTCGTGCTTCAGCCATCCCCATCTCCTCAGAGTTCCCACAATTCTTATGAGATCAGCCCCATTCCATGAAGGAGGACTTGCCATTGCACGAGACCCTTAGAATTACATGACAAAGCTCTGCAGCTTCTTCCACTGCAATTTGGTTTGTCAGCATACTTGGAAATTCCAGTTTCAACAGCTTTTCCCCACCAGTTTACTTGGGGCAGATGTTAAACCTTTCTTCATCCATCCACTTCAGACCCCCATTTCATTTGTGGATTTTGAATGATTGTATTCCCCCATTTTCTAGTAAGGTTTACCATTTCTGATTTTCCCATGAAATTATGGAATAACAGAGTTTGAAAGGATCCCAAGGATTATCTAATCCAGCCCCCTGCAATGCAGGAATTGCAACTAAACACGTTAGTTGTTTTAATTCCTTAGGCCTAGTGATATTACATTCTCAAGAATAATCTTTTGGAGAATATTTAACATCACTACTTAGTCCTACAGTTGTCATCTTTGCATGATTTAACCTTTTGCTTGAAATAAGGAAACATCAGATGCTATGATATGGTGATGTTTTGTAAAAAATATTTTTGTTTTGTTTTTAGCTACTGCATTGTAGCCTGTTAAGCCTGTCTTTTTGCTTCCTCAGATGTTCTATCATTCAGAAATCTTCAGAAAGGTAAATTTCACATGGAGACCCCAATTCACAGGAGGGGGGACTAGTATTTCATGTGGGTCAAGAGTCTCTTGAGAACCAGTGTGGTGTAGTGGTTAAGAGTGGTAGTCTCGTAATCTGGGGAACCGGGTTCGCGTCTCCGCTCCTCCACCTGCAGCTGCTGGGTGACCTTGGGCCAGTCACACTTCTCTGAAGTCTCTCAGCCCCACTCACATCACAGAGTGTTTGTTGTGGGGGAGGAAAGGAAAGGAGAATGTTAGCCGCTTTGAGACTCCTTAAAGGGAGTGAAAGGCGGGATATCAAATCCAAACTCTTCTTCCTCTGTACAGCTTGACTCTAGCCCCTGCTGTTTGTATCACAAAGGCAGAGAGGGTGGACTTGAAGATGCAAAAGGGTGGGGGGGACTGCCCAGAAGGATTCATTCCTGCCTAGAGAGAGTTGGGTTGCTTTTGCATGTGACCTTTTTCAGGACTGGTTGCTTCATGTCCTCTTTTTCTCAGACAGGTCCTCTACTTTCATGATTAAAATTTCTCTCCTGGGCGGATTTTTAAAATTTTAAAATTTGGCAAAATGTCTGAAGTTGTTTGGTTTGGTTTACAGTAACCCATGAAAAAAAATCTAGTGCATTAGACTCATATATAAGGCACCCAGCTAAGCTAGCCTAGAGCAGAGAATCGCAACAGAGCAGCATCTTCAGCTAGCCACATCCTGTATAAAACCCTTTTGTTGTGGCTGAACTAAAAGGACACTGGCCCAGCTACAAGATCTTGGAGAAGGAGTCTGGGAGGGCGAGAGTTAACACCCCCCCTGCCCTTAAGGAGAGTCCATATGTACATGTTTAACAGTTTAATAAATTGTTCTGTGCACACTTGCGTTCACAAAGATGTGAACATGAGCCCAAATACTTTCATGTGGCAAGTGAGGGAGCAATTTGTATTGTTATTTTTATTATTATTAATATTATTATTATTATTCTTTGGTTGTTGAAAGTTAAGAACATTGCTACTAGCAGTATATCACAGCTTTGAAAGCCTACATAGAGTAGGGGTATTTAAAATGAGTGTCGTCATAGCGATCCATGGTTAAGAGTAGAAGTTGGCAAATGTGTCCTCTTTTTGCTCTTCGAAATACAGCAACTCTACACTTGCCTGCCATGAATGTCTAAGCCCCTAACTGGTAACTTTTGAGTTATTCCTCCTCCTCCCAGGGAACTAGTCTTATGGTATATGTTACATCCAAAAGAGAAGCATGGAATAAGCAGTCCTTTGTAAAATTGCCCTGCCACCTGCCTCCTCTTCCCTGGCGGCAAGGCCTAAACTTCCAAGATGGTGGGGAGGAAGGCAAGGAGAGACCAAGTGGGTGAGAGAGATGGAGAGCTGGAATAAACAGGCTCCCCACTTAACGCGATTTTCACTTGTGGGCACGAGGGCCCAGAACGTGACCCCCGTGAAAGTGAGGAGAGGCCTATATGTGGTTTTATGTTGTATTTTTATGCTGTGAACCACCCTGAGACCTATGGATGAAGGGCAGTAGGCAAATATGATTATACTATTATTATTATTATTATTATTATTATTATTATTATTACAGGGGGGTCCTCATCCCCCACCCCAACCAGAGTTCCCCAAAGGCCAATTCCCACAGAGATTGTCAGAGGAAAGCAGCTTCTCTCCTCTCCTGCCTCCTCCAATTCTCCTCTCTTTCCCCTTAGATAACACAGAAGAGATGAGTAAAAGGGTTCCTGGGTGGTTTTTCCCCTTAGAAAATGCCTGGGTTGAGAGGAGGGCAGGCACAATACACATCGAATATTAGAAAGTGAAGGAAACTGATTTAAAAACCATCAAGGAAGATATTTATTCTGAGGAGTCTGCAAGGAGTCTCAGTCTAGCATGCGATGCAAAGAAATCCCCTTGATCTGAAAGGGAATCTGGGTTTTTGGGGTGTTTTTTATTTATCAGGATGTCCATTTCTGTCTCTCAGCTGACTCTGCCTATTCTTCTCTTTCCCTCATCTTCTCCCCAACAGCAAATGTCACTCTGGATCCAGACACAGCCCATCCTGAACTCATCTTGTCCGAGGATCGGAAAAGCCTGCGTAGGGGAGACAAACCTCAAGCCCTGCCTGATAATCCTGAGAGATTCAGGCGCTACTCTTGTGTGTTGGGACGTGAGGGATTCACAGCAGGCAGACATTTCTGGGAAGTCACTGTGGAAAGTGGGGAATTGTGGGATGTGGGAGTTGCCAGGAAGTCTGTGGAGAGAAAGGGCTATTTCAACTTCAGTCCTGAGGGAGGAATCTGGGCTGTGGAGAAGTGGGGAGGGGGCTACTTGGCCTGCACCTCCCCTGATTCCTCTCTTCTGTCCCTGTTTTGGGAGCCCAGGAGGATCCGGGTGACTCTGGACTATGAAGGGGGACGTGTGTCTTTTTCTGACGCTGACTCAGGAGCCGAACTCTACACGTTCTCAGGAGCCTCGTTCTCTGGAGAGACCCTCCTCCCTTTCTTTTGCCTGTGGAGAAATGAAACCCACCTCAAGATCTCCTGAGGAGACTAAATCTGCCTCTCAGGCCCAGCATTTTCCTTCCTTTTCCCAGAATTCCCTCTGCAGCTCACCTCCTAGAGAGACAGTCACACTTTCAGGAGTCCTAATAAATTTTCTCACCTTCAATCTTCTTTTCTATTTGAGGTGTCTGATTTGGCAGAGGACGAGACTCTCAATCCCACGGTTGTGGGTCTGAGCCCCACGTTGGGCAAATGTTTCCTGCACTGCAGGTGATGAGACTAGATGACCCTCAGGGTCCCTCACAACTCTGCAATTCTAGGAAACCTTCCTCCCCCCACAATATCTTATGCAGCTGTGAAAATGCATAAATTATTGGATTTATAGATGACTAAAAAATGAACTCCTTCACCCACGTCAGGCAGGATAGCTCCTTGCTCTAGAGACCTCAGACAGGAAGAAAAAGAAATTGAACAGGCCATCATCTTCAAATGCCGTCTGCAAATACAGCCTCGCCATCTCCACCCGTTGTCAGAAGTAAACCTTATTGCATTTGAGTGGGGATTCTGCCCAGTTAAATGTGTTTTGAGTGGATGCATTAACGTTCCTTATTTACAGGCTGGATTCTGTATATTGGGGGCATCAAATGGGGTGTCCTCTGGATAATGCTGGACTCCAACTCCCCTCCGACTCATCCAGCATGGCCAGGGGTCAGAGAGGATGGGAGTTGCAGTCCAGCAGCTTCCAGAAGGGGCCCCATGGGCTGTGCTGCCCCATACATTTCGCAGGAAACCTTCCCTTTGCTCCTCAGCCCCACCTCAAATATACAGTGCTACCCCACAGTTGCAGAGCAACAAGCTGCAGCCCCTGGAGCGGAGACCAGGCTGGGGCGTGTCCTGTGTCCCGGGGTTGCGCAGTGTGCGGCGCAGGTCCCACGTATCCCAGGGGAGCAGCCGTGATGGTACCCTTTCCCTAAATGGTACCTGGAATGGCACACCCCCACCCCCCTTCGTACCCCGGTGCTCCCCCAAGGAGGGTCATTTTGGCAGCAGGTGCATTTGATTTTTCTCCTGGGATACTAAGAGCTAGAACAACACATGCCTGTGGAATTGACCTCTCTGAGAGACTGGTAGGACTCTCTCAAAGATCTGGCAGCCTGCTCTTCTTTCCCTGCGTTTTCCACAGGGTGGTGGCACATGATGGAATAAAGGCACCTTCCCCCCACCTGCCTGAGGGCTGCCTCCCCTTCCTCCATCCCCTACATGATGTTGGCCTCGTTTGTGCGTCATTTAGTAGGGAGACAACATAAAAGTAACATTAAAGAAAGTAACATTAGTACAGCGACGGTGAACACAATTATAATATCTCACAGTGGCTGAGCAATACAGCGGACTATGCCGTGGTTTTGAGCATCACAGGGTGCAATGCAGGGGGGCAGACAAGTGGGGAGACTTTACTGATAGCAAATATTTATTCCCTTATTGATACAGAGGAAAAGAAACCTTTGTTCAACTCAAAATTCTTATAACACAATCAAAAAGCATTTGCTACTCCTTGAGAAAACATTCAGCAACTGCAAAGACCTGGGGACATTTTTTAAAAAAAATAAAATAAAGATCACGTGCTTACTGAGTCATTTCCAGGAAGGGAAACTCCCAGTGGCTGAAAACGGAGAAAGTGAAACTTAACTCGGATCTTTGGTGCGAGGGAGGGAGCCATGGCTGCTTTTGAGGGTCACATCCAGCGTCTCTGTGATGAAGCCACTTGCTCCATCTGCCTGGATTACTTCAAGGATCCAGTGACCATCCCAGAGTGTGGGCACAACTTCTGCCGATCCTGCTTGATCCAGTGCTGGGGGGAATCGGAGGCAGAGGCTTCCTGCCCTCAGTGCAGAGAAAGAGTCCAGAGAAGGAGCCTCGTCCCCAACCGGCAATTGGCTAATATGGCAGAAATAGCCAAGAATCTCAGCCTTCAAGAGGGAAAGGAGGAAGGAGGGAAAGGAGGAGTCTGCGAGGATCACCAGGAGCCCCTGAAGCTCTTTTGCAAGGAGGATGAAGCCCCCATCTGCGTGGTGTGTGAGAAATCAAAGGAGCACAAACATCACGAGGTGATTCCTCTGAAGGAGGCTTTCCAGGAATACAAGGTAGGAGATCCCTGGATCTTGAGGGGGGAGAAATAGCTGTGGATTCTTCTTGGGAGGTTTTCTTTTTAATTCTCAGGTCCAAAGTAGGCATGACATGAATTCATCCTTGTTTATTATGTATAAAGCAGCCCAGGGGAAGCCTGAGGGCTCCTGGGATGGCTGGGAGGAGGGAGTTTAAGTCTTTCTCTCTTCCAGGGGAACAAAGGGATCTCCCTTGATATCCCTGAGTAGCATCTGCAAAGACTAGGTAGAAGTCTGTAAGCAAGGGGTGACCTAACTGGGTCCCTGAGCCCCACAGGGCTGGCACAGAAAAAAGGTAGCTGGTCCAGGGAGCCATGGACCCAAAAAGGTTGAAAACCTCTGGACTTTTATTTCCTTGAATAAATTGCTTTGCTATTATAGCAAGACCACTGGGCGCAAGAAGCCAGCACACTATTCACCTCCTCTCTGTGTGTCTCAATCAGACCTTAGTTTTCCCTTTTCTCTTTAGGGAGAGATCTGTCGCCGCCTGGAGATTCTGAGGAAAGAGAGAGAGGAAATTCTGGCCCATCAAGCAACCCTGGACAAGGAATGCAAAGACCTCCTTGTAAGTGCCACTCTTATTACTAGGGAGGGAACAAGCACTTGAAGAGTCGAGTCAGGACTGAGGAGGGATGGGGAAATCTGCCCATTTCAACTTCTCCCCATTTCTCCTTTTTCCATATCAGTCTGTTTATTAACTCTGGTTATGCCATGCCCCAAAGCATGCAGGGAACATCCATGGCTAGAAAAAATGCTCCTTCCTTTAGGCTGTATCCCTCTGCAAAACAGAAGTCAACAGAAAGTCAATGAAGAGGGCTGCCCCTCAAAATAAAGGTTTACTTCTTTAGTAACTGGAGATTTCATGTCTATGAAAAATCAGAAGTGTCGTCCCTGTAGAACTCTCACAATTCTCTTCCTCATGTTTTGAAGGCTGATCACCTTCCACACTCAGACCTCCTCTTTTCTTGCAGAAATTAACAGAAACTGAAGACTATGGAGAAGTTCGGAGAACTGCGCCACTTCCTGGAAGAACAAGAAAAACGTCTGCTGACTCACGTGGAAGAGGTGGAGAAGGAGATTGCAGGGAGAAGGGATGAGCAGCTGGCCAGACTCTCCAGGAAACTCTCCTCTCTTGAGAGGATCATCCAGGAGATGGAGGAGAAGAGTCAGCAGCCAGCGAATGAAGTCCTGCAGGTAAGATGGTGGCAGGAACAACCAGAGGATCCAGGAAAAGGCTGCCCCTTTCATGTATGCAAGGAGTGCAGGGACTCAGTTGATGGAGCCTTTAGTCAGGTTTGTAATGGACAGGAAGACCCAAGAGACCTGGGATGCTTAACTCACCAGAATGCAGACTAGAGATTCATTTGTGTTCTTGATGGAACGGGAGCTGATCTTCTTTGCTCTTTGCTGATGCTTTGTCTCTGAATGCCTTTCAGCTGTGGGGGGCTTCATCTAGGATGCGTTCAGGTCTGCTTCCGACATGAGCCAGTCTCTTGACCAAGCTTCTCTTCCCATTCCCTCCACAACTTCTGGGTTGATCCCCTTCCCCATGGATACAGATCGGCCCAAAATGGTGCTCAGTCACAGTGACCAAAGAGCAAGACAGAGGGACGAATCCAGACTGCTGCTTGTCCCACCCCTTTCCTCCAGGAAACCCCAGTGTTTACTGCTGAATTAGAGCAAACCTCAGCCAGGTTTTCTCCGGATTGACGTTTGCTTTGATGTTGCACCAAGGAGCAGGTTTTTCCTGAGGGAAAGCGGCAGGGCAAAGACAAAACCATTTGGACCTGTGTTTTCTGGGCACAGGAAAAGCAGAAGTGTGGATGAGCCCAAGGAAAGACGGAATTGTTTTTTTACCCCTTTGGAGACATTTTATGCTGCAGGTGCTTTTTTTTACTTCCAGATGGAAAACATAATTTGAAATTTGTGGACTTCTATGGAAGACAGTTTGGGACAGTGCCCTGGCAGGATTATCCTGTAGGCTTACTTACATCTGAATTGCACAATGCAAACTGGATTAAAGTTTTTAAATTATAATCTAAGACTAGAGATGGTGTGAATTGTCTCTTGAACCCACAAATGTGAAATTTCCCTAAAATGCTGGTGGGTTTTCAAAAGGATTTTAAACAAAAATGGCAAGCTGATGTGGAAATGTGGAGATCTTGAAATCAGAACAATTAATAATTTCAGAATGGAAAAATAAAAGCTGTGAGAAACCAAAACTGACTGATTCCGCCATCCCTACCCCAAACCTTGGCATGTGCCAGGCAGACTGACATCCGAGGGCCAGGGTCTGAGGGGTCTTCCTAGTGTGGCCTGTGGTGTGCAGTGAATTCCCTTCTCTTTTCCCCTCTAGGATGTGAGAAGGACCTTGCAGAGGTAAGTGGATCTGGCTCATTTCCATTAGTATCACTCCATGATGCCGGGATGCAAGAACCTCAGACATGGCCCTGCAGGGGGGAGACTGTAGGCCTCACTGCCTGCAGCATCTCACAGGGAAAAGCAGGGGACCCTATTTTGAACTTGTAGCCCCCCAAATTTCCCTCCAAGGTTCAAGGTCAACTGCCTCCTCCCTCCCTCCCCACATCACTTCACAAAGGGATGGGGGCTCTTTTCTTTCTCTTGCACTTTCTGTTCATGGACTTTTTGGTAATTTCAAACATCTAGAAGAGAAAGTGCCAAAGATGCTTGGGAAGAGCTTAGGATGTACCAACACATTTCAATGTCCAAGTAGCATCTTGTCCAAGTAGCAGCCACCCAACTCTTGGCAGCTTTGGACATCACTCACCTCCTCTGGAGAAGCTCAGGGAGGGAGGGATTGCAGGCATTCCACCTCAGGGGTTTGGTTCTTAAGTCCAGGCACCTTCCCAGAAAGCTGTTAGGGGGCAGCATTTTTGGAAGCCATGGGAGCCCTCCGGTGGTGTCGCTTGGGGTTACATCTTGTCCCTTGTGCTGTTTAGCATCCTTAGGAAGCCACTTACCAGGGCTTGGAGGTGGGTGTCAAGAGATGAAGCTGAATCCTGAAAATTACCTGTTGGGAAATGAACTTCAACTTTGTCCATGTTATTGAGATCTCCTGCAATAATTTGGGAGATAATACCACAATGGGGCCATTCACTGTTTTTCTTTTCACCAGGTATGAGGAAAGAGAGAGTCCAGAGAAGCCACTGGCTTTCCCTTCAGAACTGAGGAATAGGATCTTAAAATCCTGTGATCTAAATCACCTTGTGGAGAATACAATGAAACAATGGGAAGGTAATGAAAACTGGATGCCAGGATTTCACACTGGGAATTCTGTTACTTCTTCAGAACTGAACATGCCAGGCTCTTACTGCATGGAATTGAGTAACCCCAGGATACCTTCCTTCTTGGTGCTCCAGCCTTCATTTCCTTTCCCCCAGAATGGCCCCTGTATATTGTGACGCTGGATCCTGTAAAGAAAGCCTGAACCAGAGTGTAGAGCAAAGTCAGGATTTTTTCCTCCCGTGTGCATCTGTTTACAGTTATACAAAACCTCCTTTTCCTTGTGGTTCCCTGTCTGCACAATCTGGGGTTGTCCTTTTGGAGGTTCTCCTGCTCTGAATGGAGTCAAAGGGCATTAAGAAGCCCCCAGTCCAAGAATGTAGAGCCCAATTTCAGGGACAAAGTAAGCTTGCTCTATGATTGTTGAGTTTTAAATCTTTAGTTATTTTCATAGATTCTTCCTATGATTTTCTTCTTTTTAATTATTTTTTTGTACAATTCAATTAATATTTAATAATTGTACTTGAATTTAAGGATGCCACATTATAAAATGTTAGTTTTGTATGGAGATTTATCTCAGGTGGAATAATGTTGCCCTTACACTTTATATCTTTTTGCTTCCTCAGTTGCTGTGTTATACAGAAAACAGCTTCAGAAAGGTAAATTTCCAGGGAGGAACAATTTCACAGGAGGGATAGGGACTGATAATTCATGGGTGTTGAACCGTCTGTTCTGCAGACTTTGGGACCCCCATCAATGGCGTCACTCTGGGAAATGATCCTCTAGTGGCGTTTGGGTTCTTTGTCTGCCCCATTAATGAACTGGGAGGGAGTTTGAAGGCTTGGATTGGGGGCAGAGCTTGTCTCTGCAAACAATCTGCACACCAGTCTGAGTTAATTTTCCGCCAATAGACTATTATCTTGGTTTCCCCTTTAATTTTATAGATTTTGCTTTCTTTCATAAAATTTATATACTGCTTGATTGTGGGTAAAAGCCTCAGAGCCTTACAATATCTTACAAAAGCCCTTAAGGAGATTTCTGAAGGGTCAGTCCAGTGTCCATCTTGTTGAGTTCTCAAGTATAAGGAATCCCCTTTGCATTTTGTTTTCCCTCCACACAATCTGGAGAGGTTCTTTTGGGGCTTCTCTAGATTTGCTTGGATTTCCCCCTCGTGAAGTGTGTTAAAAAGGGCACCCGCAAGCACCCAGTCCCTCCTCCACCTCCTGCCAGGCTGGTCTCCCAGCAGCAGAGCAAGGCCTGAGCCGCCTCTTCCTCAGAGTTTCAACCTCACCAGCCATTTCTCGTGCTTCAGCCATCCCCATCTCCTCAGAGTTCCCACGGTTCTTAGGAGATCAGCCCTATTCCATGTGGGAGGATTTCCCATTGCACGAGTCCCTTGGAATTACAGGGTAAAGCTCTGCCGATTTTTCCTCTGCAATTTGGTTTGTCAGCATACTTGGAAATTCCAGTTTCAACAGCTTTGCCCCACCAGTTTACTTGGGGCAGATGTTAAACCTTTCTTCATCCATCCAGTTCAGATCCCCATTTCATTTGTGGATTTGGAATGATTGTATTCCGCCATTTCCTAGTATGGTTTACCATTTCTGATTTTCCCATGAAATCATGGAATAGCAGAGTTTGAAAGGATCCCAAGGATCATCTAGTCCAACCCCCTGCAATGCAGGAATTACAGCTAAACTCGTTAGTTGTTTTAATTCCTTAGGCCTAGTGATATTACATTCTCAAGAATAATCTTTTGGAGAATATTTAACATCACTACTTAGGCCTACAGTTGTTGTCTTTGCATGATTTAATCTTTTGATTGAAATAAAGAAACAAGAGATGCTATGATATGATGTTTTGTAAAAAATAGATTTATTTTTTAGCTATTGCACTGTAGCCTGTTAAGCCTGTCTTTTTGCTTCCTCAGATGTTCAGTCATTCAGACATCTTCAGAGAGATAAATTTCACATGGAGACCCCAATTCACAGGGGGGGGGGGACTAGTGTTTCATGGGGGTCAAGAGTCTCTTGTACCGACTTCCGGTTAGCGCCAGCGCTTAATGGCAGATTTCCCCCGGAGCTCCCGAGGGAGCTCTGCTTCATAGGTTCGGGTCCCGCAGCCACGGCGGAGCGGGGACCCTTAAAAATCACAGGTGCGAAGCCTGTGAACCGGAGACTCGGTGGGCACCTTTGCGCCCCCCCAAAGCTGTGAAGGAGCCTTTTTAAAGGCTACGGAACAGCAGCGGGTGTGTGGCGCGGTGCTGAGAGTCGTTTTACCCAGCCTGCGAAGTGAAGCCGCGTCGCCATTAGCGGAGAGCGCTGACTTCTTCCTGAGAATTGGAGCTAAAAGAAACAACTATCCGTGAGTAGGATACGTGTTTAAGGATTAACTGGGAACTAAATTTAAAGAATTTTGGCACCGAGACGGAAAAGCAATAAAAAGGAAGTCTGCTTTCCGTTCTGCAGCAAGATCAAAGCAAAGGATTGTTAAGCTGAAACCTTTGAAGATTCTGTTGTTGGATAAGTAATCCATCGTCAAAGAGACTGGGATCTCCCCCCCAAAGGCAGGAGTGGGGGGGAAGAAAGTGTGCTTTAAATGCCTGCATTTATAGAAAGAAATAGAAGTTTACACCGCTGTATTTCAACCCTGGGAACGGACTGCCGGAGAAGAGAAACCAGCTGTGGACTGTTGCTACATTAAGGTAAAAAAGTAACTGGGATATTGACTTTGAGCTTGGATACTTTGAGCCTGGAAATATTTTGACTTTGTTGCATTCTGTGGACTTATGAAGGACAGTATCTTTGTGGCTCCTTAAGAAATTTTTAAAGAGACTTTGGGATTGTTTTAAAAGACTTTGGGACTGGTTTATGCTAAAAATTGCAATTGAGAACTTAGATATTTCGCCCTCTAGAGGAAATTTGGATGGTTTCAGTAATAATGGGACTTTAGTCTGTTGAGCTATTGTGAAACAAGTCCATGAGTGTGGGAATGACCTTGACTGCAGGATATTGTTATGGCAGATGACAAAGAGAAAGAGAAAGGAGAATTACAGGAAAAAACCTTGAGATCCGGTAGACAATACAAGATTGACATTTTGAAACAAAGAAGGGCTTCCACATCCGGAGCCTCTGGAACAGCAGCTGTCTCACAGATAAAAGCAAGAGCTATGTCTTCTGAAGACCCACTTGCGAAGGCACTTGGGAAAATTAATGACTCTTTGGAACAGTTAAAAAAGCAAGGAGCAGAGACCAGTAAACAAGTTGCTGAAACCAATAAGAAAGTAGCTGAGATCTCAGGGAAAATTGACCTAAATACTAAAAGTATAATTGAACTTGGAAATAAGGTGAATTTTAACACAGAGACAATTGGAAAATTGCTTGAGGAATCATTCACCACTCGAAAGATAGCTGAGGAGGCTAAAGAACTTGCAACTGCTGCTGACAAAAGGTTTCCACCGGTACTTAGGAAATTGGAGGATCATGATCTGACACTGTCTATGATCGAGATCCAAAGGAAAGAGAGGAATTTGAGGATCAGATCAGTACCGGAAAGTGAAGGAGACAACTTGGTGGATTATTTAACAAAAGAGTTTTTAGATTTTTGGCAGCAGGATTTGGACAAGGAAGAATTCAAGATAGAGAGCGCATTCAGACTGGGAACAAGACAAAGAAAGAACAAGGTAAGAGACTGTCTGATAACTTTAAGATCAAAGGAAGAGAGGGACAAAATTTTGAATCTGCATTATCAAAGAACATTGCGAATTGAAGATTCTTTCGTGGAAATTTTCAAAGATATCCCGAAACTTATCTTGGAGGCAAGAGGTCAATATAAGGATCTGGCGGTACTACTGAAAAGGAACAACATACCATTCAGGTGGGAATTCCCTCAAGGCCTATCTTTCAAATACAAGGGAAGGAAAAGAAGAATAAAGACAGTGAGTGATAAAGATAAGTTCTTACGAGAACACGAAGAGGACCTTCAGGAGGAGGCGGATTTGGGACAAGAACCACTTCTTTCAGGAAAGGGAATACTGGACATAGCAAACTTACCATACGGACCGAAACCACTGACAGAAGAAGAACAACAACTTGGAGCAGTAGGAGGGATAAATAAATAGCCCCATCATGGCTCTGCAACTTCTAAGTTGGAACTGCAACGGTCTAAACATTCCCCGGAAGAGGAAAAGTGTCTTTCACATACTAAAGAAAGAGCAATTGGACTTGATTTGTTTACAAGAGACACATGTGACGAGGTCACACAGGAAAATACTTATTAATAAAAGATTGGGACAAGAATTTATATCTTCAGACAGAGTAAAAAAAAAAGGAGTGGTGATATATGCAAAGGAAAGATTGCTACCGAAACTAATTTTTAAAGACGATCAAGGAAGATATCTGGCAATTGAAATTCAAGTTCAAGGAGAGAAATTTTTGATTGTGGGAATTTATGCACCGAACGAAGGGAAAGCTGAGTTTTAGAAGAAGTTGCATGAGACACTGTTGGATTATATGGACTATAATTTAATTATGATGGGTGACATGAATGGAGTAGTATCGACAAATATGGACAAAGCACAAAGACAGGTAGTTACAAAAGACGGAAGACTACCAAAAACTTTCTTTGACATGACTGACAATATGGACTTGGTTGATATTTGGAGAATAAAACATCCTCTTGAAAGAGAGGGAACCTTCTTTTCTGAAGCCAAAATGACATGGACTAGGATTGACCAAATTTGGGTTACTAGAGGAATGGCACCAAAGATAAAAAAAGTTGATATCTGCCCAAAAACTTGCTCCGACCACAATGCTGTAAAGATGGTGATGAAGCAAACAACAGCTGGTACCTTCAGATGGAGGATGAATGACACCTTATTTGGAGATGAGGAAGTTTGTAAAAAGGCCCAAAAAACCTTGAAAGACTACTTTGAAATTAATATGAAGACTAATGTAGAAAAAAGAGTAATCTGGGACGCAAGTAAAGCTGTGATGGATGAGAGGATTCTTGATACAACAAAATGCAATAAAGAAGAGAAGCCAAAATGAAAAGAAAGAAAAAATTCTGGAGAAGATAAAAGAGGGGGAAAAGAAATTAAGATCAAAACCAAAATCGCATGAGATTCTGAGAGAAATCAAGCTATATCAAACACAATACATGGAATTGATGAACCAAGAGATAGAATGGAAAATTAAACAAATGAGACAAAAGACTTTTGAATCAGCAGATAAATGTGGTAAATTGTTGGCTTGGCAAATAAAGAAGAGACAAAAATTGAATACGGTTACAAATTTAGAAGTCGATGGAAAGAACATCTATAATCCAATTGAGATCAGGAATTGCTTCCAGAGATACTTCAGGCAACTTTATTCACAAGGGCCGCAGAAAGAAATGGACATAGAACAATTTCTTGGAAAAAATGGACTGAAAAAGATTTCACAGGAAAGTAAAAGAATTTTGAACCAGGAAATAACAGAACAAGAAATAGAAGGTGCCATTCAAAATATGGCATTGGGCAAATCTCCAGGACCGGATGGATTGACTTCCAGATATTACAAAGTTTTGAAGGAGTGGTTATTACAACCTCTGAAGGAAGTTTGTAATGAAATTATGGAGGGGAAAAGGGCACCAGATATGTGGAAAGAGGCTTATATTACACTTACACCGAAGACAGAGACTGAAAAGACTCAACTTAAAAACTACCGACCTATCTCACTATTAAATGTGGATTACAAAATTTTTGCAGACATTTTAGCAAAGAGATTGAAAATAGTTTTGATGGAGGAGATTCACAGAGACCAAGCGGGCTTTCTCCCGAGAAGGCATTTGTCAGATAATGTAAGGAACATAATTGACATTTTGGAAAAGTTGGAAGTGAATATAAACACTAAAGCAGTTTTGATATTTGTGGACGCCGAGAAAGCCTTTGACAATATTTCTTGGAGCTTTATGATGAAGAACCTCCGGGGGATGGGGGTAGGCCAAGGGTTTGAAAATGGTATAGGTGCAATATACTCTGATCAAAAAGCAAAGTTGATTGTAAATAATGTGGTTACGGAAGAATTTAAGATACAAAAAGGGACACGTCAGGGATGCCCAATTTCCCCACTACTTTTTATATCAGTCCTGGAGGTTTTGCTGAACATGATCAGAAGGGACCAGTTGGTTAAAGGGGTGCAGGTCGGAGCTAAACAGTACAAACTGAGAGCATTTGCAGATGACTTGGTACTTACATTACAAGAGCCTGAATCTAGTACAAAAAGGGTTTTGGAATTAATTCAAGAGTTTGGTCAAGTGGCAGGATTTAAATTGAACAAGTCAAAAACTAAGGTATTGGAGAAAAACTTAACATCTTTTGAAAAAGAGAGGTTTCAGAATGAAACAGGATTAACGGTGGTTAAGAAAGTGAAGTATTTGGGGATAAATATGACAGCTAAAAATGTGAACTTATTTAAGGACAATTACGAGAAATCTTGGACAGAAGTGAAAAAAAGACTTAGAAATTTGGTCAAATTTGAAGCTTTCCTTGTTTGGTCGAATAGCGGTTATAAAGATGAATGTATTGCCTAGAATGTTGTTTTTGTTCCAAACATTGCAAATTGTGGACAAGATGGACTGTTTCAAGAAGTGGCAAAAAGACATTTCTAAATTTGTCTGGCAGGGCAAGAAGCCCAGAATAAAATTTAAGATTTTAACTGATGCAAAGGAAAGGGGGGGATTTGCCCTGCCAGACTTTAAACTTTACTATGAATCAGCAGCTTTTTGCTGGTTGAAAGACTGGCTACTTCTTGAGAATACTGACATTTTGGATTTAGAAGGTTTTAATAATACTTTTGGGTGGCATGCATATCTGTGGTATGACAAGGTTAAAGCTCATAAAGGTTTTAAAAATCATATAGTCAGGAAAGCACTATACAATGTCTGGATCAGATACAAAGATTTGTTGGAAAATAAAACTCCAAGGTGGTTGTCGCCGATGGAGGCAAAAGCTGTTAAAAAGCTTAATATGGAGCCGAAATGGCCGAGATATTGGGAAATTTTGGAACAAGATGGGGACAGACTGAAATTGCAGAGTTTTGAGAAATTAAAAGGAAAAGTGAGAGATTGGCTTCATTACTATCAAATAATGGAGATTTTTAAGATGGACAGGAAAATTGGTTTCCAGGTGGAAAAATCAAAATTGGAGACTGAGCTGTTAGAATCCAGTATTAAAAATCTGTCAAAAATGTATAACTTGCTGTTGACATGGAATACACAAGATGAAACGGTTAAATCAGCAATGATTAAGTGGGCTCAGGATATTGGTCATAACATTATGTTTGCTGACTGGGAAAAGTTGTGGACCACCGGGATGAAATTTACGGCATGTAATGCCCTAAGAGAAAATATTATGAAAATGATTTATAGGTGGTACATGACCCCAGTCAAGCTTGCAAAAATCTATCATTTGCCTGATAATAAATGTTGGAAATGCAAAGAAAATGAAGGTACATTCTTTCACCTTTGGTGGACATGCCCAAAGATTAAGGCGTTCTGGGAAATGATCTACAATGAATTGAAAAAGGTATTTAAATATACCTTCCTGAAGAAACCAGAGGCCTTTCTCTTGGGTATTGTCGGCCAGGGGGTGGTAAAGAAGGATAGAACATTTTTTATGTATGCTACAACAGCAGCAAGAGTACTCATTGCAAAGTATTGGAAGACACAAGACCTACCCACCTTGGAAGAATGGCAGATGAAGGTGATAGAGTACATGGGCCTGGCAGAGATGACGAGCAGAATCCGAAACCAGGGAAGAGAGACAGCGGAAGAAGATTGGAAAAAATTTAAAGACTACTTAAAGAAATATTGCAAAGTTAATGAATGTTAAAATGACGCTGGATTAGAAAACATGTGGTTATTAGCGGTAATGGATAAGTTAAAGAGAAAAAGTAAGATTAAAATTAAGTCAAAATAAGGGAAGGATTTGCTGAACAATTAATTAGAAATTGGAATACAGAAAGGGGAGGTATGAGGAAGTCGGGAAAGTAAGATATAAGAAATTAAGGGTTGAAATTATACGTGTTTTTTATGTTTGTTATGTTTATTGTATGGTTTTGTTATGTTTTTGTTGTTACAATTTTTTTTGAAACTTCAAAAAAAAAAAAGAGTCTCTTGTACCAGGCAGAGAGGGTGGACTTGAAGGTGCAGAAGGGCGGGGGGGAGAAACTCCCCAGAAGGATCAGATAAAAGAGGGAAGAGTTTCATTCCTGCCTAGAGAGAATTGGGTTGCTTTTCCATGTGACCTTTTTCAGGACTGGTTGCCACATGTCCTCTTTTTGTAGGTCCTCTACATTCATGATTAAAATTTCTCCCCTAAGTGGATTCTTAAAATTATAAAATTGGCAAATTGTCTCAAGTTATTTGGTTTGGTTTGCAGTAAACCATTTACATTTTTCTAGTGCATTAGACTCAGATCTAAGGCACCCATCTAAGCTAGCCTAGAGCAGAGAATCACAACAGAGCAGCATCTTAAGCTAGCCACATCTTGTATAAAACCCTTCTCTTGTGGCAGAACTAAAAGGACACAGGCTCAGCTACAAGATCTTGGAGGAGTCTGGGAGGGCAAGAGTTAACGCCCCCCTGCCCTTAAGGAAAGTCCATATGTGCATGTTTAACAGTTTAATAAATTGTTCTGTGCACACTTGCGTTCACAAAGATGTGAACATGAGCCCAAATACTTTCATGTGGCAAGCGAGGGAGCAATATGTATTATTATTATTATTATTCTTTTGTTGTTGAAATTTCAGAACATTGCTACTAGCAGTATATCACAGCTTCGAAAGCCTACAAAGAGTAGGGGTATTTAAAATGAGTGTCGTCATAGCGATCCATGGTTAAGAGTAGAAGTTGGCAAATGTGTCCTCTTTTTTGCTCTTCAAAATACGGCAAGTCTACACTTGCCTATCATGACTGGTAACTTTCTGAGTTATTCCTCCTTCCCCCAGGGAACTAGTCTTATGGTATATATTAAATCCAAAAGAGAAGCATGGAATAAGCAGTCCTTTGTAAAATTGCCCTGCCATCTGCCTCCTCTTCCCTGGCGGCAAGGCCTAAACTTCCAAAATGGTAGGGAGGAAGGAAAGGCCAAGTGGGTGAGAGAGATGGAGAGCAGGAATAAACAGGCTCCCCACTTAACGCGATTTTCACTTGTAGGCACGAGGGCCCAGAACGTGACCCCCGCAAAAGTGAGGGGAGGCCTATATTTGGTTTTATGTTGTATTTTTATGCTGTGAACCACCCTGAGACCTATGGATGAAGGGCAGCATGCAAATATAATAATAATAATTATCATTATTATTATTAGTACTATTACTATTATTAGAACAGGGGGGTCCTCATCCCCCATCCCATCCCAGAGTTCCCCAAAGGCCAATTCCCACAGAGATTGTCAGAGGAAAGCAGCTTCTCTTCTCTCCTGCCTCCTCCAATTCTCCTCTCTTTCCCCTTCACTAACACAGAAGAGCTGAGTAAAAGGTTTCCTGGGTGGTTTTTCCCCTTAGAAAATGCCTGGGTTGAGAGGAGGGCAGGCACAATACACATCGAATATAAGAAAGTGAAGGAAACTGATTTAAAAACCAACAAGGAAGATATTTATTCTGATGAAAGTCTGCAAGGTTTCTCAGTCTTGCATGTGATCCAAATAAATCCCATTCATCTGAAATGGAATCTGGGTTTTTCGGGGTTTATTATTATTATCAAGATGTCCGTTTCTGTCTCTTGGCTGACTCTGCCTGATCTTCTCTTTCCCTCATCTTCTCCCCAACAGCAAATGTCACTCTGGATCCAGACACAGCCCATCCCAAACTCATCCTGTCCGAGGATGGGAAAAGCCTGAGATTGGGAGACAAACCTCAAGCCCTGCCTGATAATCCTGAGAGATTCAGGCGCTACTCTTGTGTGTTGGGACGTGAGAGATTCACAGCAGGCGGACATTTCTGGGAAGTCAATGTGGGAAGTGGGGAAGAGTGGGCTTTGGGGGTTGCCAGGAAGTCTGTGGAGAGAAAGGGCATCATCTACTTAATCCCTGAGTGGGGGATCTGGGCTGTGGGGAAGTGGGGAGGGAAGTACTGGGCCTGCACCTCCCCTGTTTCCTCTCCTCTGTCCCTGTTTTGGGAGCCCAGGAGCATCTGGGTGACTCTGGACTATGAAGGGGGACGTGTGTCTTTTTCTGACGCTGACTCAGGAGCCGAACTCTACACGTTCTCAGGAGCCTCGTTCTCTGGAGAGACCCTCCTGCCTTTCTTTCATCTGTGGGGAAATGAAGCCCACCTCAGTATCTCCTGTGGAGACTAAATCTGCCTCTCAGGCCCAGCAGGAGTTTCTCTCCAGACCAGAGTGACTGACATAAAAACCATTTACCCGCCAAGAGCAGGTTGGGCAGTTTTCCAAGGGCCCTTTGAGAGGATTCATTCCAGTCAAAATCAGCAGAAATAACCAAAGAAAAATGGGCTGCTCTTGCTTTGCATTTTCTTTCCTTTTCCCAGAATTCCCTCTGCAGCTTACTTCTTAAAGAGACAGTCACACTTTTAGGAGTCCTAATAAATTTTATCACCTTCAATCTTGTTTTCTATTTGAGATGTCTGATTTGGCAGAGGATGAGACTCTTAATCCCAGGGTTGTGGGTCTGAGCAAATGTTTCCTGCACTGCAGGGGGTGGGACTAGAGGACCTTCAGAGTCCCTCACAACTCCGCAATTCTAGGAAACCTTCCTCTCCCCACAAGACCTTATGCAGCTGTGAAAATGCATAAATTACTGGATTTATAGATGACTAAAAAAATGAACTCCTTCACCCATGTCAGGTAGGATAACTGCTTGCCCTGGAGACCTCAGACAGGAAGAAAAGGAAAAAGAAATTGAACAGGGCGTCAGCTTCAAATGCCCTCTGCAAATACAGCCTTGCCATCTCCGCACAATGTCAGAAGTAAACCTTCTTGCATTGAGTGGGGCTTCTGCCCGGTTAAATGTGTTTTGAGTGGATGCATTGACGTTCCTTATTTACAGGCTGGATTCTGTATATCGGGGGCATCAAATGGGGTGTCCTCTGGATAATGCTGGACTCCAACTCCCCTCTGACCCATCAGCATGGCCAGGCGACAGAGAGGGTGGGAGCTGCAGTCTGGCAGCTTCCGGAAGGGCCTCCATGGGCTGTGCTGCCCTATACATTTCGCAGGACATCGTCCCTGTGTTCCTCATCAGGGCTTAGATTGAACCCTTTTAAAATCAGGCCATGCTGGAAATAGACATACATAGAACTGAGGAAATGCCAATATTGCATGAGGTTGCAGAGCAGAGAGAGAACCCAATAAGGGTTATTCCATTGCTATGGCTCAGAGCTGCCTTGGGCTCTTCCGCAATTGTCCCCTAGTAACAGTCACTCCATCACTGTTTCTACCCCAACTGGTCATTATAACTTGAAGAACTAGTACCTGAGCTTGTTCCTTTCCTCCTCCCTCCCCATTCCCCTTTCCTTTTATGTCACCTATTTCAGCTTGTTTTTCATTGATCTGTGAAACTGCATTCTTATTTCACCACAAACACATGCTTATGTTCAAAGAAAGTGGCTTAGAAGCACATTCATACTAAAACAAGCATTGCTGCAACCAGCAAGATTTCAAACCGTAGTGATGGGTGGAGAAGAGACACAAACTGCTATGACTGTTGGAAACGCAGCTTAAATTGTGGCAAGGTGTTGTGAGCAGGTGCTAGCAACATGGGTTCCCAGTGCTAGTGAAATGGCTTATTCCCCCCTCACCCCACTTTTTATCCCCAAAACAGCTCTGTGAGGATGACTGGTATCAGGAACAGCAACTGGTCCAGGGGACTCTGAATCCCTAAAGCTAGAAAGGGACTTGAACCCATCTCTCCCCAAGCCCAAGTTTCTAGGCACCTGGTTGTCTCCCCCCTCTCTGCTGTCAAGGAGGGCCGGTTGGAAAGTTATGCATTTACCTGCTTGCGCATATTGTTGTTGTTTATTCATTTAGTCGTGTCCGACTCTTCGTGACCCCATGGAGCAGAGCACGCCAGGCACTCCTGTCTTCCACTGCCTCCCGCAGTTTGGTCAAACTCATGCTGGTAGCTTCGAGAACACTGTCCAACAATCTCATCCTCTGTTGTCCCCTTCTCCCCTCCATCTTTGCCAACATCAGGGTCTTTTCGAGAGAGTCTTCTCTCCTCATGAGGTGGCCAAAGTATTGGAGCCTCAGCTTCACGATCTGTCCTTCCAGTGAGCACTCAGGGCTGATTTCCTTCATGGTTAATGGTTGTAACCATGGGGTAATGGGCTGATTCACAGCAAGAATAAGAATAAGTGGGGAGCTTTATCCTCCAAGTTGCACTCCCAAGTTTCATTTCTTAAAATGATAAGCAACTGGGAGCTGCTTCTCTAGCCTAGTGGAGCAAGCAGTTTGCATTCTTTTCTTCGTTTTATCTGCTGAAATCACAAAGCCTCATTTTCTGGTGTTCTCTGAAGTTGCATGGATGGTCGGAGATTCTCCCAGTGTGGTGTAGTGGTTGAGAGCGGTAGTCTCGTAATCTGGGGAACCGGGTTCGCGTCTCCGCTCCTCCACATGCAGCTGCTGGGTGACCCTGGGCCAGTCACACTTCTTTGAAGTCTCTCAGCCCCACTCACCTCACAGAGTGTTTGTTGTGGGGGAGGAAGGGAAAGGAGAATGTTAGCCGCTTTGAGACTCCTTAAAGGGAGTGAAAGGCAGGATATCAAATCCAAACTCTTCTTCTTCTTCCCACCATCGGGGCATTTGCATGGCTCTATTGTGTTATTGCTCTATTGCCATCTGAAGGGGCCCTCTTGCCCAAGAAGCAACAGTGGAGTCTTATGGACCCTCCAGGTGTCCATATTTTCCAGGGACAGACCTGGATTTACTGAAGCCGTCCCAGTTTTGGATTTGATCCCAGAATGTTCCGCTTTTCCCTGGGATGTCCCTCTTTTTGTCAGAGAAATGTTGGAGGGTATGGAGTTATGTGACCCCGAAGCCAAGGTGATAAGTAACTATACAACCTTTAGAAGACATCTGAAGGCAGCTCTGTATAGGGAAGTTTTTTTGATGTTTAAGGTTTTATTATATTTTATATATGTTAGAAGCTTCTCAAAGTGGCTGGGGCATCCCAGTCAGATGGGTAGGGTATGATGAAGAAGAGGAGGAGGAGGAGGAGGAAGAAGAAGAAGAAGAAGAAGAAGAAGAATCGGACACCACTATTTCCATCGGAGTAATGTTGGAGGGTATGCCACCCCCTCGGGCCCAGCCAGGTGTCCCTGTTTTTTATCAGCCAAGGGGGCAAGGGCTCAGAGATATAAGCTATTTGGAAAGCTCAGTTGGCAGAGCATGAGATTCTTAAATCCCAGGGTCATGGGTTCCAACCTCGTTGCCTTGATGATCTTCGTGGTCCCTTCCAACTTTACAATTCTATGATTCTCTCTTCTTCTTTTTTACAAGTTCTGCCTCACAATGTAGAGCCATCGATGCAGTGTACTAGATTAAAAGTGAGATGAGATTCAAGTTCTAAACCCAAAGCCATTCCTACACCCCCCAAAACAATGAAAGCATTTCTACAGATGTACAACTGATATTTTATAAAATGACTGGGCCAAAGACCTCAGGGAAAACCACGTTTAACAAGTGGCGCCTAAAATTCATGAGCCCTGAGCACATGTTTAATATCAGCTGGGAATTAAAACAGTTAAAGCCATTGTTCAGATGCCTGATTATCATCTTCCAAACCAATAATAATAATAATAATAATAATAATAATAATAATAATAATAATGTTTATACCCTGCCCATCTGGCTGGGTTTCCAAACTACTCTATTCCAAACATAAAAATGGAAAGCGTAACGCTGGTGGTCAACGAAAGAGGTTTAAAGACTCTCTCAAGGCAAATCTTTAAAAAGGTAGTATAATAATATAGTATAAACACTGACAACTGGGAAACCCTGGCCTGCGAGCGCTCCAATTGGAGAACAGCTTTTATCAAAGGTGTCATGGGCTTTGAAGACACTCGAACTCAGAACGAAAGGGAGAAACACGCTAAGAGGAAGGCACATTTGGCACACCCTCACTGTGATCAACTCCCAGCCAGAAACCTATGTCCCCATTGTGGAAGGACGTATGGATCCAGAATTGGCCTCCACAGTCACTTATGGACCCACTGTTAAGACTGTGCTCATTACTCGCTTACGAGTGATTGCCAGAGATGAAGATGAAGAAGAAGAGACTAGACCATGAAGCAAGGATGCTACAAGCCTTCAAACTGCATGGGAATCAGAATTTGGCCACCCACACAAATGGGAGGGAATCTGGACCACTCCCTGCCCCTTAAAAGCACCTCTGCTCACTTACAAGATGTCTCCTTCAAGGTCATGTTCTGCGGGCACCAGACACTAGTCAGGTTGGCAAAAATCAATCCCTTCCTTTCCCATTTATGTTGGAAGAGTTGTGGAAAACTTGTTTCATTTATTCCTGTTTGCTGGGAATGCCTACATGTTAAAAACTTTTGCAATATTCTCCATTATATCTGCAGTTACAAGCCAACCCCTCTCTCCAAATCCTGTCTTAGCCCTATTATCTAGGCCTGTCATACGTCCAGGTTATCCCAGAGATATCCAGGAATCGGACTGCAAAAACAGTGTCCGGGGGGATTTTGGCTGACTCGGCAAATTGTCCAGGAAAACCAGGGCATATGAAAAGTAGCTTGTGCTGGTTTTTTAAAATAGAAAACAGAGCTTTAAAAAGCCCCAAAACTTAATTGGGGGGGGGGGTGTTGCCAAAAAAGCTCTACTCTGTCCCTATATTATCTTTAGATGTAGACTTGGGTTCTACCTTGCACCACAGAGAACTAGTAGACTTCTTACAGACTGTAGCACAATTAGCAATAGCTCAGCAGTGGAAGAACTAGACTGAAAATAATATCTGGGATATAGCAATGTCTAAACGTCTCACCAGATATAGGAGGGCAATTAAATTCCAAACAGAAAGTAACACTTTCCAAGAAATTAAAGTTAAAGAAACACTTTCTTTAACTTTGTTGTTGACCAAAATCAAAACCTTGTTATGCCAACCGCCCAATAGTCTCAGCAGAGAGATTACATTAAATAGTATGTTTGAGCCTTGAATGTGTAAGTTTATGTCTAAAGTCAATGGACAGAACCAACACCATTAGATGTATTGCTGGATAAGTGTTTAATGGTTCTAGTATTTCTTAAAAAATCAGTTTAAAAATGTTTAAAAAAACAACTACCAGGAAAGGGTGTGAGTGCCTAATGACCAGAGGAGGGGATGTTTTGTTGCCCAGGTTTCAGCACAGCAAAGGCCACATCCTCTGAAAATATGCAGAGCAGGACCTTGGCATAAGACCTTAAGAAACAAGAAACAAGTTCATCAGGATTGGGGGTGCAAACTTTGAAGATCAGCTGACACTGAACCCCATCAGGTGTTTTTGGGACATGGGTGTGGCTTGTCACCCGTGTGCATCTTCCTACAGTGCTTCACGAGGTTGGCTTTCTGCGTTAACCTTTTCTTGCAGCCCAAACAATCATAAAGCTTCTCCCTGGTGCGGATCCTTTGGTGGGGAAAGAGGTCCGAAGCGAGCTGGAACCTCTTCCCGCACTTGCAGCACTTGTACGGCTTCTCGCCCATGTGGATTCTCTCGTGGCGGCTGCAGTCCGAGTGGTGCTGAACCTCTTCCCTCAGACGGAGCACTCAGAGGGCTTCTCCCAGTGTGGGTCCTCTGGTGCTGGATGAGATGGGAGCTGTAAACAAAGCTCTTGCCGCATGCCAAACATTTGTGTTGGTTTTCACTCGGGTACATTCCCTTATCTTTATCAAGGTCTGCACTCGGCCAGAAATTCTTCCCGCTGGCGCTGTGTGCCTCTTAACAGGGTGGGTTCTCTGGCGGGCAGCAGTTTTCCTTAGGTGCTTGTCACCACCTGCCCCAGGAACGGATTCATCCTCTCTCTCCCCTGAGTGGCTTTGCTGTGGATGCTCCAGTCTGCGCTGACCCTACAGAGCATTTCTCACTCGGAACTCCAGGAAACATGGTCCCTCTCACTGAGGAGCTCTCATAAGGATCTCGAAGGGAGCCTTCCCCGCCAATCAGGCTGGGTTTCCCCAGCCACTCTGGGCGGCTCCCAACAGAATATTAGTATTAATAATAAAGAAGCAATAAAACGTCAACCATTTAAAACATCCCTGGCTTTAGATGTCTTCTAAATGTCAGTTGTTTACGTATTTCCTTGACATCTGATGGGAGGGCGTTCCACGGGGTGGCGGCACATGTTGGAATAAAGACACCTTTATTCCATCCTGTCTTTGCTGGCTCCGGGAATGGACAATATTTAAAAATGCAGATTTACTAGATTTGGAAGGACATGGCAACAGATTTGGATGGCACGCATATTTATGGTATGAGAAGCTAAGGTGGAAAGGTGTTCAGAATCATCTAATAAGAAAATCAATCTTTATGGTATGGGAGAAATACAAAAACTTCTTGGAGCAAAAAAACACCCTGGTGGTTTTCCTCTTTAGAAACAACATCTTTGAAAAAGTGAAAATGAGAACCAAATGGCCGACGTATAGAGAGCTGTTAACCAAAGTAGAATATCAGGTGAAACTAAAAGACTATGATGAGATAAGGCATTTATTAAAGGACTGGTTACAGTTGCACCAACTAAATGATATATTGAAGATAGTTTAAAGGAAAGGTTTTAGTTGTGAAAGACTTGCCTCTGAGTAAACATGCTTGAATCGTAGCCAATGGGCCCTGGTAGAGTTGAGTATGAAAAGAAAGTGCTTCAGTCTCCCCAGTGGGGCTGACCCCTTGTAAACACACTTAGGATTGCAGCCTGAAAAGTTTGTGGGGTTTGCTGCAATCCTCACCCCACTTACCTGGGAGTAAGCATCCCCGGGACTTACTTCTGAGTAGACCTAGTTAGGGCTGAAGCCCTAGGGCAGCTGTGGGGAACCTTCGACCCTCAGATGTTGCTGAACTACAAATCCCATCATCCTTGACCATCGGCCACGCTTCCTGGGGCTGAGGGGAGATGTGGCTCAGCCCCACCTGGAGGACCATAGATTTTCTCCTCTGAAACGCTATTCCTTACCCAGAGAGCCCACAATGCGGCAGTTCTCCTCTTTGACTTGCCAGAACATCGTCCTCTGGCCTGGCTGTGTCAGGGATGCCTCCTCCTTGCCGAAAGGCCCCTCCTTCTCCTTGGCGCTCGCTAGGCCCTGAAACAGCAAAACGTCCCCCACTCAGGTTCTGCTGTTCCGGAAAACACCATTTAAAGATGGACGCCCAAGACCCCACACACACTCCCACTCCCGATTTTGCAATGCCAAGCTGTGTAAAATCACAGCCCCCAGTCCCATCCCTAAGCATCTACTGAGAGGCAGTGTGGTGTAGTGGTTAGAGCTTGAGTGTGGGCTCATGGAGGCCAGGGTTCAAATCCCCACTCAGGCATGAAGCTCATTGGTGACCTTGAGCCAGTCACAGGCTCTGTCTAGCCCACCTCACAGGAAATTATTTTATAATTTCCACCCTTTTTCATTGTACGGAATACTATGTGCACTGCTTAGAGACAATGGCAATCAAGTGGTATAGAAACGGTTGAGACAAATTAAACGGGGCTGGGAAGTTGCTCAGTGATGGGGCATATGTGCTCTGCATGTGCTCAGGTGTGCTCAGGTCCTTAGCTTGGCATTACATTCGCCCTGCTCAAGGCCTCCCTCTAACCTTGACTTCCCTCAGGATAACCTTCACTTACCTCAGTCAGCCCAGCTTCAGCCATTTCCAGTCCCTCAGGAGGAAGCAAGGAACAGGGGTGAATTGGGAGCGTCGTTCCGTTGGCTGTGAGGGACAGAAGAGAGGAAGACGACTGGATCAGGGACAGGGCACAAGCATTGCCTGAAGATCCCGCTCCCCATCCCTGGCACATCCAGTTAAAAAGCAGTCAAGTAGCAGATGATGGCAAAAGTCCTCTGCTGCAAGACCCCCTGAGAGATGCCACCAGTCAAGACTGGGTGCTGGCCAGGTCCTTTGTGGACTTATTTTCTGGCTTCTGGGTTGCTTCAAGCAGGAGCAGATACACATCTTGGGTGGCATTCATAGAATCATAGAATCATAGAGTTGGAAGAGACCACAAGGGCCATCGAGTCCAGCCCCCTGCCAAGCAGGAAACACCATCAGAGCACTCCTGACATATGGTTGTCAAGCCTCTTCAATGAAAGGTACGCCAACTGGAGGTTTAGGACTAGCACAATGAGACTTTGTCCCCTTCCTCCCCTTCCTGCACACCCATATCTGCTAGGGAAGGTCAGGGGGAAACCCAGAACAGATTCAGGCAGGGGGAGCCACAGATTCTTCTCTGAGTTCCTGAATTCACTGAGTTCCGGAGTCATTTCCAGGAAAGGAAACACCCAGTGACTAAAAACTGAAAAAATGAAACTTAACTCAGGTTTTTGGCTGGGGCTTTCCCCCCCTTCCTCTTGGCCCCACTGCTCTGCCACTTAATTGGGTCAAAAGGCAATTCAGGTTTGCTACTACTTGTCAGTTATCTTCTCTGAAGTAGCCAGAGATCACGTGTGCTTATTATTACTATTTCCTGGCGTTATCGACATTGCATGGCACAGGAGCATTTTGCACCTCTGTAGTAGAAGTGAATTTTTAAGGGGATTAAAAGGCATTTTTTAAAGTTTCTTCTGAAGCAGAATAAGAATCTTATCTTTTTTATATAATAGCACAGGTCCGATTCTGAGTTGCCATGGAAAAGTCACCTTCCCCCTTGTCTCTGCAGATGCTACTCTGAACCACGGAGTCCTTTGCCATTTGGGATGGGAGGAGATCCTCAGCCCCCCCCCCCCGCGGCTGAAACCTCATTGCACAGGCCCCACAGCACCCCCAGAATAAGTGTGTTCCCCACCAGTAAGTGCTTCCACCCCCCCACTCCTAAATCTACTTCCAACAGTTACTTGGGGGGAGGATCCTGCACCATCTGGTCAATTCCTGGCCACTGCCCCCCCTGTAACTGATCCCTTGCTGCTCTCTGTTTTGCAGGGCATTGAGGAGGCATCCTGCTAGCCAAAGGAGACATGTACTTAGTTGTGTATGTGCAATTTACATTTGTAGTGTTCTAAATATGTACAAAGCAACCTTGCTGGGGGATGTGGACGAGGTTAACCCTTTCACTCTCTCCCATGGTATCCGTTCAAATCTTTGAAGCTGCTGTGAGTATTTCAAGGGAAGGGTTTGATTGGTCTTTGGTTGTGGGACTTGGCAGCGAGGCCCCTTAGGGCCTCGAGTGGCGGTTTTTAGGCCTTGGCAAGGTAGCCTTTATTTTTATTTTTTAAAAGATATTTATTAGAATTTTACAAAATGAAAAAAGAAAAAAGAAAAATACAACATAAAAATAGATAAAAAACAATTCCATCTTTCCATCACTTTCTTTCATTTGCTTATTTCCCGGACCTCCTCACACCTCCCTTTTTGTATTCCAGTTCAATTTGTTAGTTCAGCAAATCCTTCCCCTCTTTATTTATCCTAATCTTTAATCTTAAAATAATGTAACGTTAAGTTTTTGTCTGTTAATAGTCTATTTTTTTTCATACGCCTTATAGCGTTATAGCTAAAAACCACATAACTTTTCATCCAACATCATTCTAACATTCATTAATTTTACAATATTTCTGTAGGTAGTCTTTAAATTTCTTCCAATCTTCTTCCACCAACTCTTCTCCCTGGTCTCGGATTCTGCCGGTCATTTCTGCCAGTTCCATGTAATCCATCACCTTCATCTGCCATTCTTCCAGGGTGGGTAGATCTTGTGTCTTCCAATACTTTGCGATAAGTATTCTTGCTGCTGTCGTGGCATACGTAAAGAAAGTTCTATCCTTCTTTGGCACCAATTGGCTGACAATGCCCAGGAGAAAGGCCTCTGGTTTCTTCAGAAAGGTATATTTAAATACCTTTTTCATTTCGTTATATATCATCTCCCAGAAAGCCTTAATCCTTGGGCACGTCCACCAAAGGTGAAAGAATGTACCTTCAGTTTCTTTACATTTCCAACACTTGTTATCGGGCAAATGATAGATTTTTGCAAGCTTGACTGGTGTCATGTATATCATTTTCATAATATTCTCTCTTAAGGCATTACATGCCGTAAACTTCATACCTGTGGTCCATAACTGTTCCCAGTCAGCCATCATAATGTTATGTCCAACATCTTGTGCCCATTTAATCATAGCAGATTTCACTGTTTCACCATTTCAACAGCAAGTTATACATTCTTGACAAAGGGCAAGGTAGCCTTTAGTCTAACATCAAGTCAGGGGAGATGCATTCATGCTCCCTCCCCATGCGGCGGCGCTTGCAGGGCCTGTTAAAGGGCAAAAACTGGGAGTCCCTGGCCCTAGAGCAGCGGCATGTAGGTCAAACTCCTGGGATATGGTCGGTGGAGAGGCATGCTGTGTAAGTTTGCACTTTGCAGTCCCCTCTCACTGGACCTCATCTGCCTGCATATCCTCAGCCAGGAGGGCTGAGAGGGTTACCTGCCAAGGCCTGTGCCAAGTTTCCCACTTCTGAAGTTCAATAAAGTTGTGGGCAATTTGAACGCATACTCTGGTCTCTTGTCTCATCATTTGAGATAATGGGGTAGTTACCACAGACAGGGTTTAGCCCGTGGGCCCGCAAAAAACAACCACCAATTAATGCTATGCCTGCTTTGGACCTGAGAATTAAAAAGAAAACCTCCCAGTACAGCCTGCACCACAGAAATCATGGATCCACGGCTTCCTTGCGACACTGTGGCCGAAAAACATGGTTATCCACTACAGTGTGGTGTAGTGGTTAAAAGCAGTGGACTTGTAATCTGGTGAACCGGGTTCGCTTCCCCGCTCCTCCACATGCAGCTGCTGGGTGAGCTTAGGCAAGTCATGTAGCACCCTGCTTGTGGTTAACGCTTAGCTGGAATGAAATATTCAACGCAGCAATAGAGAAATTAAAATAATAATTTATTTGTCAGACAAATAAATGAGAGACACAGTGGTACATGGTTACCAAAGCTCTGCCCACTCCAGCCCTGATGGCCAGCACTTATATTTCCTCAGCCCAGCCCCCTTGCTCCTCCTTTGGCTGCCTCTGTCCAATCAGCCTGGTTGAAATTCCTATTGGCTGTTTGCTAGAACCAATCATAAAAGATACACCCATTTCCTATTACCTTTTATGGGAGACAAAGAGCTATATTTCCTTCTATCCATAAATGGCAGACAAGTAGCCATATATCTTACATTTACCTCAACAAGGCACCTTAATTACCAGATCACCTTTTGCCCTATTGCCCTATTCACTGCAAAACAGATGGCTAAAACAGATGGTGCATGGTTTTTAATTTCATTTTAAACAGAGATCTTGGGTTCACCTTCTCACACACCGTCAATGAAATAAGAATCTAACATTTCTAAATCCTTTGCATACTTACATTTAAGCCAATATATTTCATACATTAACATATATAGCTTTTTAGAAGGAAAGGAAAGGCCTTTTCAAAGTAAAAAGGAACTTAGTAAAAACACTTTCCAAAAGCAACTTCAGAGAGAAGCCTCTTCGGTTTTCCCAGCCAGCTGCTGTTCCTATTAGCTCTTGCCCTTTAACCTTATGAAAATATGGCTCAAGTCTAATGGGAGGCACCTAGTATTATTTTCTGTTAAACAATAAATCTCACTATTTACCAACTCTTAGTGTTTTTGCAGCTTGATTGTATTCTGTAATTTGTATGGTCAGTATGACCTTTGCTCCCAGCCTGTAATTTCCTTTTACAACTTTGAAGTACTGCTATAAATCAGTGGGGTCCCTGAGCAGGAAGACAAACAACTGCCAAAGCACCCAGCCAGCTGCTTTATGCCTGGCATGAAACAAGCATTTGCAAATATATTTTTAAAGCTCATTTTAAAATGCAGGTCTTGATCAGATGCCTCAGTCACACTTCTCTGACGTCTCTCAGCCCCACTCACCTCTCAGAGTGTTTGTTGTAGGGGAGGAAGGGAAAGGTGATTTTAAAATATGATTTCATTTCTAGATCAGACAGGATTTCTTTTACTATATATCTTTATCATATACACACAAAGCTTCTATTTTGGGGCCATGGTGTCGCCAGGAAGCCATGGATTTGTGATTTTTGTGGTGCAGGCTGTGCCCATGGCCATGATGTGTGATTTGAGGGTGAGTTAGGGGTAGCCCGATGCAAAAACCCTGAGGATCCCTTAGGATCCGTGCTTTGCTGCCATGTTTTTGGCCATTGCAGCCCCACAAAACAGTGGGTGCGTGATTTTTGTGGTGCTGCCTACAGACTAAGATGTAGTCTAGAGTATCATGGTGGTTTTATTTTCTTTCAATATAAAAACCATAGGAATTCATGAGGATCCATGCCTCGGATCCATGTTTTTGTGGTGCTCCCTTATCCCAAAGAGCTGAATTAAGTTTCGCTTTCTCCGTTTTCAGCCACTGGGAGTTTCCCTTCCTGGAAATGACTCAGTGATCACGTGTAGTAATATTGATTAATAATAATTGCCAAGTTAATGCACCAGGCATTCCTATCTAGGGAAGGAGCTCCATAACTTGTCTGCCGCACCACAGATGGTGCCTTCTGCCAGGCCAGCCCATTGCTCCATCGAGGTCAATATTGCCTCCACTGACTGGCAGCTGCTCTGCAGGGTCTCCAGGCAAGAGGGTCTTCCCAACCATACCTGGAGATATCCTGGTCAGGGATGATGGGAGCTGTAGTCTGAAGCAAACAGAGGGCCCCAGGCTGGCAATGGACCCAGACTGGTCCTTTTCAATCTGAAGTTCTTTGCCAGCATGCTAAAAACGGATTAAGTCAAAATTAGCAACCAGATTTTTAGGAGTTCTCTTCACAGAATCAAATCCTGCTGTCCAGAGTGAGCCTGTGACTTGGATTCGGGAACTGAGTATTTGCCATCAAAAAGAATGGCCAGATTGACCAGGTAATGCAAACAGTGACCATTATCAGGTATCCTGGCAGAATGCCCCTTCAGTGATGTATGATGTATTGGGCTGTGGATTTGAGCTTTAATAAAGATCAAGCTTACTAGCTGTTTTGCTTCTCAATATTCTCTGGCTGGCCTCTGTTATTTTTCTCCTATCAATAGTGAACCTACATAAGGACTCTATACGGGCTCTAGGGTACCCCATAAAGGAAAAGGAGCAGTTTTTTTCCTACCCCAAAGCCTACCAATTAAAATGTTACAGTGTGAATACCCCAACTTAGTAGGTACCTGTGTGTTTGTGTGTAATCAAAAGCATGGGAAGCAATCCAGAAGCATTCGCTGCTCCTTGAGAAAACATTCAGCAGCTGCAAAGACCTGGGGACATTTAAAAAAGAAAAAAAGTTCACGTGGTCACTGAGTTTCTGAGTCATTTCCAGGAAAGGAAGCTCCTGGTGGCTGAAAACAGAGAAAGTGAAACTTAACTCGGGTCTTTGGCGTGAGGGAGCCATGGCTGCTGCTGGGTGTTCCGACCAGAATCTTTCTGATGTAGCCACTTGCTCCATCTGCATGGACTATTTTAAGGATCCAGTGATCATCCCAGAGTGTGGGCACAACTTCTGCCGGTCTTGCTTGATCCAGCGCTGGGACGAATCGGAGGCAGAGGCTTCCTGCCCTCAGTGCAGAGAAACAGTCCAGCAAAATAATCTCATCCCCAACCGGCAACTGGCAAACTTATTACAATTAATCAAGAATCTCAGCGTTTTAGGAAGGGAAGAAGAAGAAAGAAAGGGAGGAGTCTGCAAGGAGCACCAGGAGCCCCTGAAGCTCTTCTGCAAAGTCCATGAAGCCCCCATCTGTGTGGTGTGTGACAGATCCAGGATACATGAAAATCACAAGGTGATTCCTCTGAAGGAGGCTTTAGAGGAATACAAGGTAAGAGATCCCTGGATCTTGAGGGGGAGAAATAGCTGTGGATTCTTCTTTTTAATTCTCAGATCCAAATTAGGCATGGCATTAATTAGTCATTGTTTATTAAGTTAGAAGCAGTCAAGGGGAAGGCTGAGGGCTCCTGGGATGGCTGGGAGAAGGAGGTTGAAGTCTTTCTCTCTGCCAGGGACAACGGGATCTCCCTTGAAATACTCACAGCAGCTTCAAAGATTTAGTACCATGGGAGAGAGTGAAAGGGTTAACCTTATCCAAATCCCCCAGTAAGGTCGCTTTGTACATATTAAGAACAGATGTACATTGCACATACACAACTAAGTAAATGCTCCTGTGCCATGCAATGTCAATAATGCCACATATTAGTAATAATAACGAATGAAGCTGCCCCTTTTGAATTTGCGGAATGACCAGACAGCAATCTTCTGACCGAAGGAGCTACTTAGGTGGATTCTGGGCCAGCAAGAACTTCTTTGCCCAGAAATGGAAGAAGTTCTTAAATCTCCCCTGGTGGCCCAAGCACACGTGGGCTCTGGCTACTGCAGAGAAAAGAACTGACAAGTAGCAGAAAACCTGAATTGCCATCTGACCCAGTTAAGCGGCAGAGCAGTGGGGTCAAGAGGAAGGGTGAAAAAGCCCTAGACTTGCAGAAGAGGGGTTTGGAATGGGTGAAGTTTTGAGAAGCGCTGCTCTATCCCTGTCTCTCTAGCCTCTTGGGCTGACCTCATTATCTCTTTGATGCTAGACTGATACATCCCAGATTGGATCCTGTCTCACCCCTTCCTCCTCCTCCTCCTCCTCCTCTTCCTCCTCTTCCCACGTCTCCCTGGGACCTCAAGAAGAGAAGTCAGGCTGGGACTTTCCTCGGAGGAGATAAAGGAGCAAGCATGGCTGCCTTTGCTCTTCTCCAGACTAGCTTGTTGTGCTAGAAAACTTTCCCATCCCAGTTCCGCAGTGGTTTTCAACAAGTTTGCTGTGGCACCTGGGCTGCCTTGAATGATGCTCAGGGGTGCTGCTGGCAACACTGGCCTCTGTCCCTCTTTCCTTCCCTCCCTCCTTGGATGTCCCAAAGGCTTGCACAGCTGTTTGGTGCAGCAGCCCTGGCTACAAGATCCGCTGGCGAATGGTGCCTCTGGGGCTGGCCAGGGGGTGTTGGCTGCCAGGAGCTGAGGCGGCCTCGGAGTAAGCAAGCAAACTGGTGAGGGGCCCTTGCTCTTGGGAATGGACAGACAAGTCCCTGTGGGGCAGCGTGAGGAGGCACCTCTCTTTGGGGCAGCTCAGAGACCAAGAGGAGGACTCCTAAGAAGAGAGGAGAGAAGAGGAGGCTGAGAGAGCCCTCTACAAGGGAGGGTGTTTGAGAAAGGGTGAGGGGCTGCAAGCTCTGCAAGCAAGGGGTGGCTTAACTGGGATCCTGAGCCCCACAGGGACACCACAGAAAGAAGGTAGTTGGACGAGGGAGTTATGCACCCTCTAGACTCCAGTAAACTACTTTGCTATTATAGCAAGGTCACCGGGCCCAAGAAGCCAGTGTAATATTCATCTCTCTGTGTGTCTCTATCAAACCTGAGTTCTTCCTTTTCTTTTCAGGGAGAGATCTGTCGCCACCTGGAGATTCTGAAGAAAGAGAGAGAGGAAATTCTGGCCTATCAAGCAGCCTTGGACAAGGAAAGCAAAGACCTCCTTGTAAGTGTCTCTATTGTTACTAGGGAGGGAACAATCACTTGAAGAGTCGAGTCAGGACTGAGGAGGGGTGGGGAAATCTGCCCATTTCAGCTTCTCCCCATTTCTCCTTTTTCCATATCAGTTTGTTTATTCATTTATTATTCTGAAAATGAATCAAATGTTAGGGTAGCTACTTCCTTGTAGAAATATTTTGATATGTACTTTACCCTCATAAATACATTTTTGTGAACAAAATTGACCTGGCTGGGTCAACCTTGAGCAATTCAGAGGTGTGATTTTCAAAGGATTGCTCTGTTTTCGTCTCCATAATTTTACAGCAATAGCAAATTAGGTAAATTCACTTTTGAATGCAGCTAATTTGAGTTTATTTCCCATTGTCATTTATTATATGAATAGCAGTGAAGGAGAAGCCTGAGGACTTGTGAGCTGAGAGGGTGGAAGTAGGTCAATTCAAATCCTGATTTACCATAAATATTACTAAAGAGTTGTCTTTCTAAATGTACATTTTTACATCCCACATATCCATGGCTAGAAAAAAAAATGCTCCTTGCTTTAGGCTGTAGCCCTCTGCAAAATAGAAATCAACAGAAACAGCAATGGAGAGGGCCTCCCCTCAAAATAAAGGTTTACATCTTTAGCCACTGGAGGTTTCATTTCTATGAAAAATCAGAAGTGTCCTCCCTGTGGAATTCTCACTATTCTCTTCCTGATGTTTTGAAGGCTGAGCACCTTCCACACTCTGACCTCCTCTTTTCTTGCAGAAATTAACAGAAACGGAGAGGCTGAAGACTGTGGAGAAGTTCAGAGAACTGCGCCAGTTCCTGGAAGAACAAGAAAAACGTCTGCTGACTCATGTGGAAGAGGTGGAGAAGGAGATTGCAGGGAGAAGGGATGAGCAGCTGGCCAAACTCTCCAGGAAACTCTCCTCTCTGGAGAGGATCATCCAGGAGATGGAGGAGAAGAGTCAGCAGCCAGCGAATGAACTCCTGCAGGTAAGATGGTGGCAGGAACAGCCCAAGGCTCCAGGAAAAGGCTGCCCCTTTCATGTATGCAAGGAGTGCAGGGACTGAGTTGATGGAGCCTCTAGTCAGGTTTGTATTGGACAGGAAAACCAAAGAGACCTGAGATGCTTAACTCACCTGAATGCAGACTAGAGATTCGTCTGTGTTCTTGATGGAACGGGAGCTGATCTTCTGCTTTTTGCTGATGATTTGTCTCCGAATGCCTTTCAGCTGTGGGGGCTTCGTCTAGGATGCGTTCAGGCCTCCTTCCAACATGAGCCATTTCCATTCTCTTCCTGTTTCCTCCACAACTTCTGGGTTGATCCCCTTCCCCATGGATACAGATCGGCCCAAAATGGTGCTCAGTCACAGTGACCAAAGAGCAAGACAGAGGGACTCATCCAGACTGCTGCTTGTCCCACCCCTTTCCTCCAGGAAAACCCGTGGTTTACTGCTGAATTAGAGCAAAACTCAGCCAGGTTTTCTCCAGATTGACGTTTGCTTTGATGTTGCAGAAAGAAGCAGGTTTTTCCTGAGGGAAAGCGGCAGGGCAAAGGCAAAACCACTTGGACTCGTGTTTTCTGGGCACAGGAAAGGGAGAAGTGTGGGCGAGCCCAAAGAAACACGGAATTGTTTTATTACCCCTTTGGAGGCATTTTATGCTGCAGGTGCTTTTTTAATTTCCAGGTGGAAAATAGCATTTGAAATTTGGGGACTTCTATGGAAGACAATTTGGGACAGTGCCCTGGTAGGATTATCCTGTAGGCTTACTTACGTCTGAACTGCACAATGCAAACTGGATTAAAGTTATTAAATTATGGAATTGTGGAGAACTTTAAATCGGAACAATTAATAATTTCATATTGGAAATGTTATGTACTGAAGTTCTCACCCTGGGCCAGCAGGGGGATACTGTAGATAGTTATGCAAATGAAGGATCGAAAGTGACGTTCAGTGATTGGATAGTTTGTATGCAAATGAAGGATCAAAAGTGACATTCAGTGATTGGATAGTTTTAGAAAATGGCAACAGTTACATTGTTCTGGAGCTCTATATAAGCAGGCTGACTGAGCTCCTCGGTTCAGTTCTGTTCCAGCTTACAAATAAAGAGCTGCTTGGAAGAATTGCTGTGTCGTCTGATATGTTCGCCCACAACTTAACAGGAAAAATAAAAGCGGTGAGAAACCAAAACTGGCTGATTCCGCCATCCCTACCCAAAACCTTGGCATGTGCCAGGCAGACTGACATCTGAGGGCCAGGGTCTGAGGGGGTCTTCCTAGTGTGGCTTGTGGTGTGCAGTGAATAACCTTCTCTTTTTCCCTCTAGGATGTGAGAAGGACCTTGCAGAGGTAAGTGGATCTGGCTCATTTCCATTAGCATCACTCTTTGAAGCTGAGATGCAAGAACCTTAGACATGGCCCTCCAGGGGCTGCAGGGGGGGGGACTGTAGGACTCACTCCCTGCAGCACCTCACAGGTAAAAGCAGGGCCCCCTCTTCTGAACTTGTGGCCCCCCAATTCTCCCTCCAAGGTTCAAGGTCAACTGCCTCCTCCCTCCCTCCCTTCCCACATCACTTCACAAAGGGATGGGGGCTCTTTTCTTTCTCTTGCACTTTCTGTTCATGGACTTTTTGGTACAGTGGTGCCTCGCAAGACGAAATTAATTCGTTCCGCAAGTTTTTTCTTCTTGCGAGTTTTTCGTCTTGTGATGCACGGTTTCCCATAGGAATGCATTGAAAATCAATTAATGCGTTCCTAGGGAAACCGCCTTCAGACCAGGTCCGGGGACAGTCTGTCCCCCGACCTCTTCTGAAGGCTGGGGAGGGGGGGAACAAGGGCTTTTCTTCCCACCCCCAGCATTTTAAAAAACCCCGGGACAGCGGAGGACTTCTCCGCTGTCCGGGGCGATCTTAAAATGCTGGCGGGCGGCATTTTAAAATCGCCCGGGACAGCGGAGGACTTCTCCGCTGTCCGGGGCGATGTAAAAGCCCCGGGGAAGGCAGGCAGGGGGACAAGACTTTGCCCCCGCCCGCCTTCAGAAGAGGTCCTGGATCTCTTCTGAAGGCGAGCGGGGGGCGAAAGTCTTTGCCCCCCCCGCCTGCCTTCAAAAGCCGTCCGGAACAGCGGAGAAAGGCGCTGCCTTTCTCCGCTCTCCCGGGAAGGCAGGCAGGGGAGCAAAGACTTTCGCCCCCGCCCGCCTTCAGAAGAGGTCCTGGACCTCTTCTGAAGGCAGCGGGGCGAAGTCTTGCCCCCGCCTGCCTTCAAAAGCCGTCCGCGATAGCGGGAAGCGCTTCCCTGCTATGCCGGACTGTTTTTAAAATGCTGGCGGTGGGGAGCAGAGCCTGTCGGCCCCCGCCGGCCTTCCTGGACCTCTTCTGAAGGCCGGAGGGGGGGAAAGGCTTTGCTCCCCACCGCCAGCATTTAAAAGAGGTCCCCGGAGATTTCCCTATGGGCTTTCATCTTGCGAAGCAAGCCCATAGGGAAATTCGTCTTGCGAAGCGCTTCCAAAACAGAAAACCCTTTCGTCTTGCGGGTTTTCCGTCTTGCGAGGCATTCGTCTTGCGGGGTACCACTGTAATTTCTAACATCTAGAAGAGAAAGTGCCAAATATGCTTGGGAAGAGCTTAGGATGTACCAACAAATTTCAGTGTCCAAGTAGCATCTTGTGCAAGTAGCAGCCACCCAACTCTTGGCAGCTTTGGACATCACTCACCTCCTCTGGAGAAGCTCAGGGAGGGAGGGGTTGCAGGCATTCCACCTCAGGGGTTTGGTTCTTAAGTCCTGGCACCTTCCCAGAAAGCTGTTAGGGGGCAGCATTGTTGGAAGCCATGGGAGCCCTCCGGTGGTGTCACTTGGAGTTACATCTTGTCCCTTGTGCTGTTTAGCATCCTTAGGAAGCCACTGACCAGGGTTTGGAGGTGGGTGTCAAGAGATGAAGCTGAATCCTGAAAATTACCTGTTGGGAAATGAACTTCAACTTTGTCCATGTTATTGAGATCTCCTGCAATAATTTGGGAGACGATACCACAATGGGGCCATTCACTGTTTTTCTTTTCACCCAGGTATGAGGAAAGAGAGAGTCCAGAGAAGCCACTGGCTTTCCCTTCAGAACTGAGGAACAGGACCTTCAAATCCTGTGATCTAAATCACCTTGTGGAGAATACAATGAAACAATGGAAAGGTAATGAAAACTGGATGCCAGGATTTCACACTGGGAATTCTGTTACTTCTTCAGAACTGAACATGCCAGGCTCTTACTGCATGGAATTGAGTAACCCCAGGATACCTTCCTTCTTGGTGCTCCAGCCTTCATTTCCTTTCCCCCAGAATGGCCCCTGTATATTGTGACGCTGGATCCTGTAAAGAAAGCCTGAACCAGAGTGTAGAGCAAAGTCAGGATTTTTTCCTCCCATGTGCATCTGTTTACAGTTATACGAAACCTCCTTTTCCTTGTGGTTCCCTGTCTGCACAATCTGGGGTTGTCCTTTTGGAGGTTCTCCTGCTCTGAATTGAGTCAAAGGGCATTAAGAAGCCTCCAGTCCAAGAATGTAGAGCCCAATTTCAGGGACAAAGTAAGCTTGCTCTATGATTGTTGAGTTTTAAATCTTTAGTTATTTTCATAGATTCTTCCTATGATTTTCTTCTTTTTAATTATTTTTTGTACAATTCAATTAATATTTAATAATTGTACTTGAATTTAAGGATGCCACATTATAAAATGTTAGTTTTGTATGGAGATTTATCTCAGGTGGAATAATGTTGCCCTTACACTTTATATCTTTTTGCTTCCTCAGTTGCTGTGTTATACAGAAAACAGCTTCAGAAAGGTAAATTTCCAGGGGAGGAACAATTTCACAGGAGGGATAGGGACTGATAATTCATGGGTGTTGAACCGTCTGTTCTGCAGACTTTGGGACCCCCATCAATGGCGTCACTCTGGGAAATGATCCTCTAGTGGTGTTTGGGTTCTTTGTCTGTCCCATTAATGAACTGGGAGGGAGTTTGAAGGCTTGGGTTTGGGGCAGAGCTTGTCTCTGCAAACAATCTGCACACCAGTCTGAGTTAATTTTCCGCCAATAGACTATTATCTTGGTTTCCCCTTTAATTTTATAGATTTTGCTTTCTTTCATAAAATTTATATACTGCTTGATTGTGGGTAAAAGCCTCAGAGCCTTACAATATCTTACAAAAGCCCTTAAGGAGATTTCTGAAGGGTCAGTCCAGTGTCCATCTTGTTGAGTTCTCAAGTATAAGGAATCCCCTTTGCATTTTGTTTTCCCTCCACACAATCTGGAGAGGTTCTTTTGGGGCTTCTCTAGATTTGCTTGGATTTCCCCCTCGTGAAGTGTGTTAAAAAGGGCACCCGCAAGCACCCAGTCCCTCCTCCACCTCCTGCCAGGCTGGTCTCCCAGCAGCAGAGCAAGGGCTGAGCCGCCTCTTCCTCAGAGTTTCAACCTCACCAGCCGTTTCTCGTGCTACAGCCATCCCCATCTCCTCAGAGTTCCCACACAGTTCTTTCGAGATCAGCCCTATTCTAAGAGGGAGCACTTCCCATTGCACGAGTCCCTTGGAATTACAGGGTAAACCTCTGCCAATTCTTCCTCTGCAATTTGGTTTGTCACCATGCTTGGAAATTCCAGTTTCAACAGCTTTGCCCCACCAGTTTACTTGGGGCAGATGTTAAACCTTTCTTCATCCATCCAGTTCAGATCCCCATTTCATTTGTGGATTTTGAATCATTGTATTCTGCCATTTCCTAGTATGGTTTACCATTTCTCATTTTCCCATGAAATCATGGAATAGCAGAGTCTGAAAGGATCCCAAAGATCATCTAGTCCAGCCCCCTGCAATGCAGGAATTACAACTAAACACGTTAGTTGTTTTAATTCCTTAGGCCTAGTGATAATACATTCTCAAGAATAGTCTTTTGGAGAATATTTAACATCACTACTTAGGCCTACAGCTGTCGTCTTTGCATGATGTAATCTTTTGATTGAAATAAGGCAGGGGTCTGCAACCCATGGCTCCGGAGCCGCATGTGGCTCTTTTATACCTTTGCCGCGGCTCCAGGGCGGATACTAGCGAGGAGAGGAGGCGCATTGTGCGCCCCGACACTCCCCACTGTGGCGGGTGCTGTACTGGCTGTGACGTCGCATGGGGACGGTGCGTGCGTTAGTCACGCACCGTCCCGACGTCACCTTCCCGGTTTTGCGGCTCCCAGTGTTTTTTTTCTTCGGAAACGGGTCCAAGTGGCTCTTTTTGTCTTAAAGGTTGCAGACTCCTGAAATAAGGAAACAACAGATGCTATGATGTTTTGTAAAAAAAATTTATTTTTAAGCTATTGCATTGTAGCCTGTTAAGCCTGTCTTTTTGTTTCCTCAGATATTCAGTCATTCAGACATCTTCAGAGAGGTAAATTTCACATGGAGACCCCAATTCACAGGAGGGGGGGACTAGTGTTTCATGGGGGTCAAGAGTCTCTTGTACCACAAAGGCAGAGAGGGTGGACTTGAAGGTGCAGAAGTGGGGGAGAGAAACTCCCCAGAAGGATCAGCTGGAGGAGGGAAGAGTTTCATTCCTGCCTAGAGAGAGTTCGGTTGCTTTTCCATGTGACCTTTTTCAGGACTGGTTGCCACGTGTCCTCTTTTTGTAGGTCCTCTACATTCATGATTAAAATTTCTCCCCTAGGTGGATTCTTAAAATTATAAAATTGGCAAATTGTCTCAAGTTATTTGGTTTGGTTTGCAGTAAACCATTTACATTTTTCTAGTGCATTAGACTCAGATCTAAGGCACCCATCTAAGCTAGCCTAGAGCAGAGAATCACAACAGAGCAGCATCTTAAGCTAGTCACATCCTGTATAAAACCCTTCTCTTGTGGCTGAACTAAAAGGACACTGCCTCAGCTACAAGATCTTGGAGGAGTCTGGGAGGGCAAGAGTTAATGCCCCCTGCCCTTAAGGAAAGTCCATATGTACATGTTTAACAGTTTAATAAATTGTTCTGTGCCCACTTGTGTTCACAAAGATGTGAACATGAGCCCAAATACTTTCATGTGGCAAGCGAGGGAGCAATATGTATTATTATTATTATTCTTTTGTTGTTGAAATTTCAGAACATTGCTACTAGCAGTATATCACAGCTTCGAAAGCCTACAAAGAGTAGATGTCGTCATAGCGATCTATGGTTAAGAGTAGAAGTTGGCAAATGTGTCCTCTTTTTTGCTCTTCAAAATATGGCAACTCTACACTTGCCTATCATGACTGGTAACTTTTTGAGTTACAGTGGTGCCTCGCAAGACGAAAAGAATCCATTCCGCGAGTCTCTTCGTCTTGCGGTTTTTTCGTCCTGCGAAGCAAGCCCATTAGCGGCTTAGCGGATTAGCGCTATTAGCGGCTTAGCGGTCTTAGCGGATCAGCTGATAAGCGGCTTAGCGGCTTAGCAGATCAGCTGATAAGTGGCTTAGCGGCTTAACGGATCAGCTGTTAAGCGGCTTAGCGGATCAGCTGATAAGCGGCTTAGCGATCAGCTGTTAAGCGGCTTAGCGGCTTAGCGGATCAGCTGTTAAGCGGCTTAGCGGCTTAGCAGATCAGCTGATAAGCAGCTTAGCGGCTTGGGAAAAGGGGGGGGGAGGGAAAAAACCCCGCAGGAACTCGCAAGACATTTTCGTCTTGCGAAGCAAGCCCATAGGAAATTCGTTTTGCGAAGCACCTCCAAAACGGAAAACCCCTTCGTCTAGCGGGTTTTCCGTCTTGCGAGGCATTCGTCTTGCGGGGCACCACTGTATTCCCCCTTTCCCCCAGGGAACTAGTCTTATGGTATATATTAAATCCAAAAGAGAAGCATGGAATAAGCAGTCCTTTGTAAAATTGCCCTGCCACCTGCCTCTTCTTCCCTGGCGGCAAGGCCTAAACTTCCAAAATGGTAGGGAGGAAGGAAATCATAGAATCATAGAATCATAGAGTTGGAAGAGACCACAAGGGCCATCGAGTCCAACCCCCTGCCAAGCAGGAAACACCATCAGAGCACTCCTGACATATGGTTGTCAAGCCTCTGCTTAAAGACCTCCAAAGAAGGAGACTCCACCACACTCCTTGGCAGCAAATTCCACTGTCAAACAGCTCTTACTGTCAGGAAGTTCTTCCTAATGTTTAGGTGGAATCTTCTTTCTTGTAGTTTGGATCCATTGCTCCGTGTCCGCTTCTCTGGAGCAGCAGAAAACAACCTTTCTCCCTCCTCTATATGACATCCTTTTATATATTTGAACATGGCTATCATATCACCCCTTAACCTCCTCTTCTCCAGGCTAAACATGCCCAGCTCCCTTAGCCGTTCCTCATAAGGCATCGTTTCCAGGCCTTTGACCATTTTGGTTGCCCTCCTCTGGACACGTTCCAGTTTGTCAGTGTCCTTCTTGAACTGTGGTGCCCAGAACTGGACACAGTACTCCAGGTGAGGTCTGACCAGAGCAGAATACAGTGGCACTATTACTTCCCTTGATCTAGATGCTATACTCCTATTGATGCAGCCCAGAATTGCATTGGCTTTTTAGCTGCCGCGTCACACTGTTGGCTCATGTCAAGTTTGTGGTCAACCAAGACTCCTAGATCCTTTTCACATGTACTGCTCTCAAGCCAGGTGTCCCCCATCTTGTATTTGTGCCTCTCATGTTTTTTGCCCAAGTGCAATACTTTACATTTCTCCTTGTTAAAGTTCATCTTGTTTGTTTTGGCCCAGTTCTCTAATCTGTCAAGGTCGTTTTGAAGTGTGATCCTGTCCTCTGGGGTGTTAGCCACCCCTCCCAGTTTGGTGTCATCTGCAAATTTGATCAGGATGCCCTTGAGTCCATCATCCAAGTCGTTGATAAAGATGTTGAATAAGACCGGGCCCAAGACAGAACCCTGTGGCACCCCACTGGTCACTCTTCTCCAGGATGAAGAGGAACCATTGATGAGCACCCTTTGGGTTTGGTCAGTCAGCCAGTTACAAATCCACTGAGTGGTAGCATAGTCAAGTCCGCATTTTACCAGCTTCTTTACAAGAATATCATGGGGCACCTTGTCAAATGCCTTGCTGAAATCAAGGTAGGCTACATCCACTGCGTTCCCTTCATCTACCAGGGTTGTAATTCTGTCGAAAAACGAGATCAGGTTAGTCTGACATGACTTATTTTTCAGAAATCCATGCTGACTATTGGTGATCACAGCATTCCTTTCTAGGTGCTCACAGACTGTTTGCTTAATGATCTGCTCCAGAATCTTCCCTGGTATTGATGTCAGACTGACTGGGCGGTAATTATTTGGGTCCTCTCTTTTCCCCTTTTTTGAAAATAGGTACAACATTTGCCCTCCTCCAGTCTGCCGGGACTTCACCTGTTCTCCAGGAATTCTCAAAGATGACTGCCAGTGGTTCTGAGATCACATCTGCCAGTTCTTTTAATACTCTTGGATGCAGTTCATCTGGCCCTGGAGACTTGAATACATCTAAACTAGCCAAGTATTCTTGTACTATCTCCTTAGTTATTCTGGGCTGTGTTTCCTCTGCTGAATCATTTGCTCCAAATTCTTCAGGTCGGGCATTGTTTTCTTTATCGGAGAAGACTGAGGCAAAGAAGGCATTGAGGAGTTCATCCCTTTCTGTGTCCCCTGTTTGCATTTCACCATCTTCTCCTCTGAGTGACCCCACTGTTTCTTTGTTCTTCCTTTTGCTACGAACATACCCATAAAAGCCATTTTTGTTGCTTTTAACCTCTCTAGCAAGCCTGAGTTCATTCTGTGCTTTAGCTTTTCTGACTTTGTGTCTACACGTGCTGGCTATTTGTTTGAATTCCTCTTTGGTGGTTTCCCCCCTTTTCCATTTTTTGTACACATCCTTTTTAATCTTAACTCAGTTAAAAGTTCTTTAGATAGCCACCCTGGCTTCTTTAGGCACCTTCCATGTTTCCGTCTCATTGGTATTACCTGAAGTTGTGCTTTTACTATCTCCCTCTTAACAAACTCCCAGCCATCATGAACTCCCTTTCCTTTTAGTATTACTGTCCATGGGATCTCACCCAGCACTTCCCTAAGTTTTATGAAGTCGGCTCTCTTAAAGTCAAGAAATTGAGTCCTAGTATGCTTGGCTGCTCCTTTCCGCTGTATAGTAAACTTCAGAAGAGCATGATCACTCGCGCCTAATGATCCTTCCACTTCTACCCCACTAACCAGGTCATCAACATTGGTTAGGACCAGATCTAAAATAGCTGTTCCTCTTGTTGCTTCTCCCACTTTCTGGACAATGAAGTTGTCTGCAAGGCCAGTGAGGAATCTGTTTGACTTTATGCTCTTGGCTGAGTTTGACATCCAACAAATATCCAGGTAATTGAAGTCCCCCATTACTACTATCTCCCTTCCTTTTGCATGCTTGGCCATCTGTTCCAGGAAGGCATCATCTATGTCCTCTGTTTGGCTTGGGGATCTATAGTAAACTCCCACAATGAGGTCACTGTTATTCTTCTCTCCCTTAATTTTGACCCAAATGCTCTCACTTTGGCTTTGAGGTTCTAAGTCTTGGATCTCTTCACAGGTATACACATCCCTGACATATAACGCTACTCCTCCTCCTTTCTTGTCTGGTCTGTTTCTCTGAAATAGATTGTATTCCTCCATTATTACATTCCAATCGTGGGACTTATCCCACCAGGTTTCAGTGATGCCTATTATGTCATATTTAGTTTGCTGTACCAAGAGCTCAAGCTCATCTTGTTTATTTCCCATGCTTTGCGCATTAGTGTACAGACATTGAAGTCTATTAATCATTCCCCCGTGTCTCTTATTTAAGGATTTTTTCCTCCCACCACTAGGTCTGTGTGCTGTTTGCTCCATTTGGTCTATGACATTTGGATGATCATCTTCATCAATTGATAGACTCCTACCTTCAGGAGCACTGTCTCCCTCCCCCACATTAGTCAGTTTAAAGCCCTCCTGATGAGGTTTCTGAGATTTTTGGCAAAAACATTCCTCCCAACCGTTGTGAGGTGCAGCCCATCGCTTGTCAGAAGTCCATCTTTAAGAAACTGCAGTCCGTGATCTAAGAATCCAAACCGTTCCTGTTTACACCATTTGCGAAGCCAGTTGTTCACTTCCACTATTTTTCCCTCTCTCCCTGGGCCACGTCGTTCAACTGGGAGGACAGATGAGATGACAATTTGTGCATTTAATTGTTTCAATTTCCTGCCCAGAGCCTCGTAGTCTTTTTTGATCCTCTGGAGACTATTGCTTGCAGTGTCATTGGTTCCCACATGAACCAAGAGGAAGGGGTATTTGTCAGTGGGTTTTATGATTCCTTGCAGTCGTTCAGTTACATCTTGGATCTTAGCCCCAGGGAGACAGCACACTTCCCGAGACATCTTGTCAGGCCCACAGATCACTGCTTCTGTTCCCCTCAGTAGGGAGTCCCCTATCACCACTACACGCCTCCTCTTAGGTCTGGTCGGGGTTGTTCCGTGAGCTGTCCGTTCCAAGGTCGCCTGCACATTCCCTGAGGACTGACTTTGCTGCTCGTCTTCATATACCTGATCGACTGTAATGAGGGAGAGATCCTCAAATGGAGTCTGCTCTTCGTCTTCCATGCTAGGGAGAGGACCTCAAAGCGATTGTGTATTTCTAAACAATCAGAGCGAACCCTGGGCCTCCTACTTCTTTGAGTCACATTTCTCCATATATCTGGCTCCTGTGTTGGTGAACTAGCCTCCTTCTCAGGGGAGTCCCCTGTCTCCTCCTTGGTGGAGACGGTGTGCTCTGTTGCTTCCAAGAAGAGCTCCAGCTCTCTAATTCTTTGGAGCATAGCTACACGTTCCTCCAGTTGCTGGACTTTGTCTTGTAAGAGGGCAATCAACATGCAATTGCTGCAAGTAAAGCTGCCTGCAACCTTTGGCAAGATGGCAAACATTGCGCAGGAATCGCAGGCGACTGCAGCTGTTCCCTCACCCTCCATCTTGAGAACATGTCGTTGGGGGTGACTACAGCGGTCCTCCATCATAAAAAGCGTGAAGACAGGACAAATAACTCCCCCCCCAAAAAAAAAACCTAGGTCTCCGCCAACAAACGTGTGAGACTAGCTCCCCTAAATCTAAAATTAGCTCCCCTAAATCTAAAAGGAAAGGCCAAGTGGGTGAGAGAGATGGAGAGCAGGAATAAACAGGCTCCCCACTTAATGCGATTTTCACTTGTGGGCACAAGGGCCTAGAACGTGACCCCCGTGAAAGTGAGGGGAGGCCTATATGTGGTTTTATGTTGTATTTTTATGCTGTGGACCACTCTGAGACCTATGGATGAAGGGCAACATGCAAATATATTATTATTATTATTATTATTATTATTATTATTATTATTATAGGGGGGTCCTCATCTCCCAGCCCAACCCAGAGCCCAACCCAGAGCTCCCCAAAGGCCAATTCCCACAGAGATTGTCAGAGGAAAGCAGCTTCTCTCCTTTCCTGTCTCCTCCAATTCTCCTCTCTTTCCCCTTAGATAACACAGAAGAGATGAATAAAAGGTTTACTGGGTGGTTTTTCCTCTTAGAAAATGCCTGGGTTGAGAGGAGGGCAGGCACAATACACATCGGATATAAGAAAGTGAAGGGAACTGATTTAAAAACCATCAAGGAAGATATTTATTCTGATGAGAGTCTGCAAGGAGGAGTCTCGTCTAGCATGCGATGCAAAGAAATCCCCTTGATCTTGTAGCCTTTTTAATCCATGGGTAGGAATAATTGTTGCACCCGAGCAGAGACAAAAGGAAAGAGCGTTTTATTCTGCCTTGGGGGGGGGGGGAGCAGAGGCACCTGTGTGATTCAGTTCACAAAAGACAGGCCGCACCGAAAACATTTTACAAGCAGGTTTTATCCTTTTTTCAAACCCCTTTTTCCCTCTCCCCCTTCACAGATTCTTACATAGAAATGTTGCTTTTCGTTCTCTGGCTCTGTTCCCGGAAGTATGTTGCAAATCAATGTACCAGGAAAAGGTTATTTGGATCTGGGAAGCGAGAAGCTTTTCTGTTCTCAGCTCTGGGTTTGTTACAGCGTTTTTGTTACAGAGAGGACTGCTTAGCTCATGCTTTTTGTCTTAGAAATGTAGTTTTTAAAATGCGTACGCCGAGGCCTGGCTGGGGGGGGGAATTCACAAACAGTTTTTTAGGGCTTTCTGGGGTAACCCTAACTGTACCCCTTCAATCTGAAAGGGAATCTGGGGTTTTCGGGGTTTTTTTATTATTATTATTATCAGGATGTCCATTTCTGTCTCTCAGCTGACTCTGCCTAATCTTCTCTTTCCCTCATCTTCTCCCCAACAGCAAATGTCACTCTGGATCCAGACACAGCCCATCCTGAACTCATCCTGTCCAAGGATGGGAAAAGCGTGATACATGGAGACAAACCTCAAGCCCTGCCTGATAATCCTGAGAGATTCAGTTACCGGCCTTGTGTGTTGGGATGCGAGGGATTCACAGCAGGCAGCCATTTCTGGGAAGTCAATGTGGGGAGTGAGAAACATTGGGCTTTGGGGGTCACCAGGAAGTCTGTGGAGAGAAAGGGCATCATCTACTTAATCCCTGAGTGGGGGATCTGGGCTGTGGGGAAGTGGGGAGGGAAGTACTGGGCCTGCACCTCCCCTGTTTCCTCTCCTCTGTCCCTGTTTTGGGAGCCCAGGAGGATCCGGGTGACTCTGGACTATGAAGGGGGACGTGTGTCTTTTTCTGACGCTGACTCAGGAGCCGAACTTTACACGTTCTCAGGAGCCTCGTTCTCTGGTGAGACCCTCCTCCCTTACTTTCGTCTGTGGGGAAATAAAACCCACCTCAGTATCTCCTGAGGGGACTAAATCTGCCTCTCAGGCCCAGCAGGAGTTTCTCTCCAGACCAGCGTGACTGATATAAAAACCATTTACCCGCCAAGAGCACGTTGGGCAGTTTTCCAAGGGCCCTTTGAGAGGATTCATTCCAGTCAAAATCAGCAGAAATAACCAAACAGAAATGGTATCTGTTTGGTTATTGGTTATTAAATGGTAACCAAACAGAAATGGTATCTGAAATGTGTATCTGAAGAAGTGTGCATGCACACGAAAGCTCATACCAAGAACTAACTTAGTTGGTCTTTAAGGTGCTACTGGAAGGAATTTTTTTTGTTCAAACAGAAATGGGTTGCTCTTGCTTTGCATTTTCCTTCCTTTTCCCAGAATTCCCTCTGCAGCTTACTTCTTAAAGAGACAGTCACACTTTTAGGAGTCCTAATAAATTTTATCACCTTCAATCTTGTTTTCCATTTGAGGTGTCTGATTTGGCAGAGGACGAGACTCTTAATCCCAGGGTTGTGGGTCTGAGCCCCACGTTGGGCAAATGTTTCCTGCACTGCAGGGGGTGGGACTAGATGACCCTCAGGGTCCCTCACAACTCTGCAATTCTACGAAACCTTCCTCTCCCCACAAGACCTTATGCAGCTGTGAAAATGCATGCACCATTGGATTAATAGAGGACTCAAAAATGAACCCCTTCACCCACATCAGGCAGGATACCTCCTTGCTATGGAGACCTCAGAGGGGAAGAAAAAGAGAAAAAAATTGAACAGGGCGTCAGCTTCAAATGCCCTCTGCAAATACAGCCTCGCCATCTCCACACGCCAGAAGTAAACCTTATTGCATTGAGTGGGGCTTCTGCCCAGTTTTGAGTGGATGCATTAACGTTCCTTATTTACAGCCTGGATTCTGTATATTGGGGGCATCAAATGGGGTGTCCTCTGGATAATGTTGGACTCCAGCTCCCCTCTGACTCATCCAGCATGGCCAGGGGACAGAGAGGATGGGAGCTGCAGTTTGGCAGCTTCCAGAAGGGGCCCCATGGGCTGTGCTGCCCCATACATTGTGTTCCTGAGCCCCACCCCAAACACACAGTGCTCCCCCAAGGAGCATCATTTCGGCACCAGCTACATCTGATTTCTCTCCTTAGATACTAACAGCTGGCACAACACATGCCTGTGGAATTGACCCCTCAGATATCAGGCAGGACTCTCTGGCTCCACTATCAGGGCCACTGACTACTGACCGGTGCAGCCTGCTCTCCTTTCCCTGCGTTTTCCATGGGGTGGTGGCACATGATGAAATAAAGACACCTCCCCCCCCCACCTGCCTAAGGGCTGCCTCCCCTTCCTCCATCCCCTACATGATGTTAACCTCATTTGTGTACCATCATACGTTTTCCTGTGAGCCTCCACTCACCCCGTGGAAAGACACAAAAGTGTCCCATTTGGTCCAGCGCCCAAGAGGGGCCACCCAGACGCCTGTGGAAAACCTGCAAGGAGGACCAGAGAGCAAAAGCAGCCTTGCCCCCCCAGCAGCCTCCAGCAAACCAATCTTTACAAGCATGGGAGCCAACTTGAATAAAAATATTATTGGCGGGGGGAGCAGATAAGCCCTAATCCTTTCCACCTTCGGCTTGGTTTTATCCCTCGCCCTTGGTTACCTCCAGCACCTTCCCCTGCTCCTTGGCAGTGGCACGCACCCCTTGCCGCGGGCACCCTGAGCTGGGGGTCTGGCCAATGCCCACCCCCACTGCTGACAGGCAACACCCCCAGCCCCTTCCACACCATCCTTGGTCCAAAAAGCAGCCCTCATTACAAATGGGAGGGGTCAAAGGCCACGTTGGGAACCCCAGGGAGAAGCTGACTTGAGTGGCCATTTTGCCTAGAATGGACAATGCCCCCCCAAAACACACTCACACACACACAAATGTTGGCTGTGTCCCTAACACATTTCTCTTGCATTGGCAGTCAAAATGCAGAAAAACAATGGGAGCACTAAGCATGTTCAAGAATGCTGTTTCAAGGCGCACAACACAGTGGGACTTTAAATGACACAATGGATGAAACATCAGGGCTTAGACTGAACCCTTTTTAAAGTAGGCCATGCTGGGAATAGGTTTACATAGAACTGAGCAAATGTCAATATTGCATGAGGTTGCAGAGCAGAGAGAGAGAGAGAGAGAGAAACCAATAAGGGTTATTCCATTGCTACAGCTCAGAGCTGCCTTGGGCTCTTCCACAACTGTCACCTAGTAACAGTCACTCCATCACTGTTTGTACCCCAACTGGTCATTATAACTTGAAGAACTAGTACCTGAGCTTGTTCCTTTCCTCCTCCCTCCCCATTCCCCTTTCCTTTTATGTCACCTATTTTAGTTTGTTTTTCATTGATCTGTGAAACTGCATTCTTACTTCACCACAAACAGATGCTTATGTTCAAAGAAAGTGGTTTGAGAATCACATTCACACTAAATCAAGCATTACTGCAACCAGCAAGTTTTCAAACCGTAGTAATGGGTGGAGAAGAGAAACAGCTTAAATTGTGGCAAGGTGTTGTGAGCAGGTGCTAGCAACATGGGGACCTGGTGCTGGTGAAATGGCTTATTCCCCCCTCACCCCAAAACAGCTCTGTGAGGTTGACTAGTATCAGGATGAGCAACTGGTCCAGGGGACTCTGAATTCCTAAAGCTAAAAAGGGACTTGAACCCAACTCTCCCCAAGCCCAAGTTCCTAGGCATCTGGTTGCCTCCCCCCTCTCTGCCGCCCAAAGTCAACGAGGGCTGGCTGAAAAGTGATGCATTTACCTGCTTGCACATATTGTTGTTATTGTTTAGTTGTTTAGTCGTGTCCGACTCTTTGGGACCCCCTGGACCAGAGCACACCAGGCACTCCTGTCTTCCACTGCCTCCCGCAGTTTGGTCAAACTCATGCTGGTAGCTTCGAGAACACTGTCCAACCATCTCGTCCTCTGTTGTCCCCTTCTCCTTGTGCCCTCCATCTTTCCCAACATCAGGGTCTTGTCCAGGGAGTCTTCTCTTCTCATGAGGTGGCCAAGGTATTGGAGCCTCAGCTGCAGGATCTGTCCTTCCATTGAGCACTCAGGGCTGATTTCCTTCAGAATGGAGAGGTTGGATCTTCTTGCAGTCCATGGGACCCACCTTATTTTGGTGACAGTAAGTTGTTTTAAATTGCTGTTAATTATTGTCTTTAATGGTTGTAACCGGGGGGGGGGGGGGGTAAAGGACTGATTCATAGCAAGAATAAGAATAAGTTGGGAGCTTTATCCTCCAAGTCGCACTCCAAGTTTAATTTCTTCAAATGCTAAGCAACTGAGAGCTGCTTCTCTCGCCCAGTGGACCAAGCAGTTTGCATTCTTTTCTTCGTTTTCTCTCTGCTCAAATCATAAAGGCCTCTTTTTCTGGTGTTTTCTCAAGTTGCACGGGTGGTTGGAGATTCTCCCCCAATTGGGCATTTGCATGGCTTCCCCCATGTGTGGGTCCCTCTGTGACTCCGTAATGTGTCTCTCTAGTTTCCCACAGTGGAAGCACTTGTGCGCTTTCTGCTCAGTATGGATCCTCCGATGCAACTGAACCTCTTCTCACACTCCGGAAACTATGGTTTCTCTTCCATGAGCCGCTCTGATGGCGCACCCAGATCTCTCGCTGGGGAAAGGGCTTCTCGCCCTCAGACCCTTCGCACAGTTTCTCTCCCATGTGCCTCCTCTGGTGTTCAGCCAGGGTGGATCCTCCCCGGAAGCTCTCCCCACACACGGGGCATTCGTAAGGGTGCTCTTTGCCATTCATCCTCCCCAGCCCCAAACTCTGCTAGTCGTTCCTCCCATGATTTGAGGAGAAGGGCTTTCTGCTCCAAAGTGCATTGGGCTTCCACTAAAGGGAACTGGACTTCTGGGAGATGGCTGTGTTCATTTGCTCCCTGGTGTCCTTTGGATCTGGAATCTCAGCTAACAAAGGAAGGTTCCTCAGGGATATTCCCTCTGGCACAGCTTCCCTGGGTGGGAATGCTCCACCTTGATCTCTCTCCTTTTACCTGCAGGTGGTGGTGAAACTGAAAAGATTTTTTAAACATATGTGTGGGAAACCCAGAAGCTGGACCTGGGAACAAGATCCCCTCCCCTTCTAGAGTCTCCAGCAACCGCTATTCAGGAGGATTCCTGCTTCCAACCACGGAGGAAGGGCATATAACCATCCAAAGACTTATCCTCCAGGAATTTTATCTAATCCTCTGTTTAAGCCCCCCAGGTTTTTCAGCCATTGCAAGGGACCACAATTTATCAGAAATATAGGAAGACTTCACAATGTGTAGTAATATTGATTAATAATATTGGCCAGGATCGCACCAGGCATTCCTATCTAGGGAAGGAGCTCCATAACTTGTCTGCCGCACTACAGATGGTGCCTTCTGCCAGGCCAGCCCATTGCTCCATCGAGGTCAATATTGCCTCCACTGACTGGCAGCTGCTCTGCAGGGTCTCCAGGCAAGAGGGTCTTCCCAACCATACCTGGAGATATCCTGGCCAGGGATGATGGGAGTTGTAGCGTGAAGCAAACAGAGGGCTCCAGGTAGGCAATGCCGAAAGCGTCCTTTTCAATCTGGAGTTCTTTGCCAGCATGCTAAAAACGGATTAAGTCAAAATCAGCAACCAGATTTTTAGGAGTTCTCGTCACGGAATCAAGTCCTGCTTGATAAATCAAAACTGCCTTCCATTTAGGGCAGAGGCAGATTTTCTCCAATTCAAAAATGACAAGGAAGCCTGTTATAGGAATTTTAAGGTCATAGATATAGATAAAATAAACATTAATAACTGTACAAGGCAAACACATACATAAGTATATAAACCACGTGTCTGAATAGTGCAGGAGAACATTCCTGAAGCCATTTTGACTCCCAAATTGACCTCAAATGTTTCTCTGCAAGGAGGAAGGAAAATGGAAAACCTCCCCATTGTCTCTTTGCTCACAAATCCTGTCTTAAGGGCGTATCTGTGTATGAACAGGGTGAGCCCGTGACCTGGATTTGGGAACTGAATATTTACCATCAAAAAGAATGGCCAGATTGACCAGTTAATGCAACCAGTGACCATTATCAGGTATCCTGGCAGACAGGACTTCTGCTGTAGGCTGCCCCTTCAGTGAGGTATGTATCATGCATTGGGGGGTGGACAATTTCAAAAGTCTATATAAGGGTTTACATCATAGCTGTCAACTTACAGGTTTGAAAATAAGGGACCAGCAGCCTCGAAAATAAGGGATCAGCAGCCAAAATAAGGGATCAACCATTACTTTTATAAAATACATATTTTGTTGTGTGCAAATGGCTTTAGATACCTATTAGGTCCATTAATTACCATATAGCATATATTCAACACAAAAAAAGCAACAATTTGTTGTTGACAAAGCAAGCTGGACATAGAAAGGGCCCCATTACCTTCAGTAGCTTATTTAAGAGACATCATCAATTAGGGACAGCAGCGGGACACGGCGCTGGGATAAGGGACTGTCCCGCCAAATAAGGGACGCTTGACAGCTATGGTTTGCATACCAATGTTCTGGGTTCCTCCTCCCTCCTGTGTGGCAGTGGGGTGTTAGCACCCTGTTGCAACAGCTTTAATAAAGACCATGCTTACTAGCTGCTTTGCTTCTCAATATTCTCTGGCTGGCCTGTTATTTTTCTCCTACCGATAGTGAACCTACATAAGGACTCTATACGGGCTCTAGGGTGCCCCATAAGGGAAAAGGAGCAGTTTTTTCCTATCACAAAGACTATGAATGAAAATGTTACAATATGACTACCACAACTTACTAGGTGTGTGTGTTTGTGTGTAATCAAAAGCATGGGAAGCAATCCAGAAGCATTCCCTGCAACTTGAGAAAACACTCACCAAATGCAAAGACCTGGGGACATACTTTATGATTTTTTTTATAAAAAAAAGATCACGTGGTGACTGAGTTTCTGAGTCATTTCCAGGAAGGGAAACTCCAGGTAGCTGAAAACAGAGAAAACAAAACTTACCTGGGACTTTCGCGAGAGGGAGCCATGGCTGCTGCGGGGGGTCACATCCAGCGTCTCCGTGATGAAGCCACTTGCTCCATCTGCCTGGAATACTTCAAGGATCCAGTGACCATCCCAGAGTGTGGGCACAACTTCTGCCAATCCTGCTTGATCCAGTGCTGGGGGGAATCGGAGGCAGAGGCTTCCTGCCCTCAGTGCAGAGAAAGAGTCCAGAGAAGGAGCCTCATCCCCAACCGGCAATTGGCTAATATGGTAGAAATAGCCAAGAATCTCAGCCTTCAGGAGGGAAAGGAGGAAGGAGGGAAAGGAGGAGTCTGCGAGGATCACCAGGAGCCCCTGAAGCTCTTCTGCAAAGTCCACGAAGCCCCCATCTGCCTGGTGTGTGACAGATCAAAGGAACATGAAAATCACAAGGTGATTCCTCTGAAGGAGGCTTTTGAGGAATACAAGGTAGGAGATCCCTGGATCTTGAGGGGGAGAAATAGCTGTGGAGTCATCTTGGGAGGTTTTCTTTTTAATTCTCAGGTCCAAAGTAGGCGTGGCATTAATTGGTGGTGGTTTATTATATAAAAAGCAGCCTGAGGGCTCCTGGGATGACTGGGATGAGGGAGTTGAAGTCTTTCTCTCTGCCAGAAAGGGTTAACCTCATTCACATCCCGCAGCTGGTTGCTTTGTAAATATTTAGAACACTACAAATCTGCCAGGATTTGTGGACTTTGTTCCCGTTGCCTGGGGGATCCCGGCCACGTCAGAGCCCGGCCAGCCAATCCGGTGGCCAGGGCAGTTTAAACCGAGGAGCAGCCAGAGGACTTCCTCTTTGGCTCGCTTCCTCAATCACCCGCCTTCCCTCCCTATTCGCAGGTTAGGCACTGGCCTTGCTATGGACTTCGGTTGGTTGCCTTGGTTGTCCAAGGGGCCTGGTAGGAATTTTTCCACTTGGCAAATTGGCGCTGGCCACTTGGTTTTTGCCCACCTCACAACTTTGTTAAGGTTGTGGTTAGGCATTGTTTGACCTTGTGTGGGGGAGGGGAGGTGTGGCCACCACCTGCCCCTCCATGCTTAAGGGTATTCTGTTAAAGGAATCTGGGGGTCTTGATCTTGTCCAAAGCCCGGTTGGGGGCTAGGGACTTGACACGACCCCGACGGGAACACCAGGGGGAGATTGAGTTGATTCGCTTCAACAGGGCTCCCCCTACTGGGGACCTACCCTTACTGGACTTCCGGCACAGCGGGCAGGAGCCAGATATAGTCAGGGCCAATCAATACCTAAGCCAATGCCGCTCACATTCTGTAATTCAATAAAGTTGTGGCCAAAATTTGCCCAATAACATAAACCTAATATCTGTGTCCTTGTGTGAGTTATTTCCCAATGAGGGGGTAGCTGCAGGGTCTCGACACGCAAATGTAAATTGCACATACACAACTAAGTGCATGTCTCCTTTGGCTAGCAGAATGCCTCCTCAATGCCCTGCAAAGCAGATAGTAGCAAGGGATCAGTTACAGGGGGGGGGGGGCAGTGGCCAGGAATTGACCAGACAGTGCAGGATCCCCCCTAGGAGTGGGGTGGTGGTGGAAGCACCTACTGGTGGGGAGCACGCTTATTCTGGGTGTGCTGTGGGGCCTGTGCAATGAGGTTTCAGGGGGGTGAGGTCTCTGAGGATCTCCTCCCATCCCAAAAGGCAAAGGATTCAGTGGTTCAGAGTAGCATCTGCAAATAAATGTCTCCCTGGGAATATAATAGATATTCTGGAAAAACTAGAAGTGAATATAAATATTAAAGCAGTTTTGATATTTGTGGATGCGGAGAAAGCTTTTGACAATATCTCTTGGAGTTTTATGAAGAAGAACTTACATGGGATGGGGGTAGGCCAAGGCTTTGAAAATGGTATAGGTGCAATATACTCTGAACAAAAGGCTAAATTAATTGTAAATAATGTGGTTACGGAAGAATTTAAAATAGAAAAAGGGACACGACAGGGGTGCCCAATCTCCCCACTGCTTTTTATATCGGTCCTGGAGGTTTTGCTAAACATGATCAGAAGGGACCGGATGGTTAAAGGTATACAGGTCGGAACTAAACAATATAAATTGAGAGCATTTGCAGATGACTTAGTATTAACGTTTCAGGAGCCAGAATCTAGTACAAAAAGGGTTTTAGAATTAATTCAGGAATTTGGTCAAGTGGCAGGTTTTAAACTGAATAAGTTAAAAACCAAGGTTTTAGAGAAAAATTTAACACCAATCGAAAAAGATAGGTTTCAGAAGGAGACAGGATTGAATGTGGTAAAGAAAGTGAAATACTTGGGGATTAATATGACAGCAAAAAATGTGAACCTATTTAAAGATAATTATGAAAAATGCTGGGCTGAAGTGAAAAAAGATCTAGAAATTTGGTCAAATTTGAAGCTTTCATTGTTGGGCCGAATTGCTACGATAAAGATGAATGTATTGCCGTGAATGTTGTTTTTATTTCAGACATTGCAAATTGTGGACAAGATGGACTGTTTTAAGAAGTGGCAGAGAGATATTTCTAGATTTGTCTGGCAGGGCAAGAAGCCCAGAATAAAATTTAAGATATTGACAGATGTAAAGGAAAGGGGTGGATTTGCCCTGCCAGACCTTAAACTTTATTATGAATCAGCAACTTTTTGCTGGTTGAAAGAATGGCTACTTCTTGAAAACACAGACATTTTGGACTTAGAAGGTTTTCACAATGTATTTGGATGGCATGCATATTTATGGTATGACAAGGTCAAAGCCCATAAAGCATTTAAAAATCATATTGTCAGGAAAGCTTTGCTTAATGTCTGGATAAGATATAAGGACTTGCTGGAAAACAAAACCCCAAGGTGGCTGTCACCAATGGAAGCAAAAGCTTTGAAAAGGCTCAATATGGAGGCCAAATGGCCGACATATTGTGAAATTTTGGAACAAGAAGGAGATAAATTGAAATTGCAGAGTTTTGAAAAATTAAAAAACAAAGTGAGAGACTGGCTTCATTACTATCAGATAATGGAGGCATATAATTTGGATAAGAAGATTGGCTTCCAGGTGGAAAAGTCAAAATTAGAAACAGAACTGTTAGAACCCAAAACTAAGAATTTGTCAAGAATGTATAACCTGCTGTTGAAATGGAATACTCAGGATGAAACGGTGAAATCTGTTATGATCAAATGGGCACAGGATGTTGGACATAATATTATGTTTGCTGACTGGGAACAGTTATGGACCACAGGTATAAAGTTTACGGCATGTAATGCCTTAAGAGAGAATATTATGAAAATGATATACAGGTGGTACATGACCCCAGTCAAGCTTGCAAAAATTTATCATTTGTCCGATAACAAATGTTGGAAATGTAAAGAAGTTGAAGGTACATTCTTTCACCACTGGTGGACGTGCCCAAAGATTAAGGCTTTCTGGGAAATGATATATAATGAACTGAATAAAAAAAAGTTTATGAAGGTCTTTTGGTCTTTTGGCAAACTGTTTGGGGCTGCAGGGACTTTAATGGCGAATAAATTTCTTTACTTTCTATGAACTACAGTAATACTCCCCCTAGTGGGGTTTTGGATTTACAAGTGCCTGGGAACAAACTTTATTTTGACTCTCTGCTGCCTTGTTATTTACACTTTGGAACTGTCTTTCCCATGGGACAATATACAATTTGACCTTGACTCATAGACAGGTGTGGAATGAGTGGCCAACCGAAAACAAGATCTGCTAAAACGAAAGCAAGACAAGCCCAACTTGTGCAAACAACTTTGACTACTCAGTCACGTAGATCATCTGTCCCAGCTGTTTTGGGAGTACAAGAAAAGGAAGCTGCACAGCCTGCATCAGAGGATATGGCTGAAGGAGGATCTGATACCTTCCTAAAACAAATGCTAGATCAATTTGCAATCTTGAATAAGAAGGTGGATGACCAATCGGCAAAAATTGATCAAGCCACATCCTCTATTACTAAACTGTCTGACCAAGTTGCACAACATACACAAGTTATTGGGAATCTCAAGGAAGCAACTGTGGAAAATCGGAGACTGGCTGAGGCAGCCAACGAAAAAGCAGAACAAGCAAACCAGAAAGTTGAGGCTATAAAAGGGGAGGTAAGGCCGCTACACAAGCACATCAGTGACCAGCAGGCCTACCTGTCTATGGTGGAATTGAGAAACCGGGAAAATAATCTGAGACTAAGAGCTATCCCAGAGCTCGAATAGGAAGATTTGATTGGTTATCTGACAGCAGAATTTTCTAAGTTCTGGGGTATAGAAGAGGACAAAGATTTCAAGATTACAACTGCGTTTAGATTGGGAAGAGTCGTGAGGAAGGACAGGCCCAGAGACTGTCTGATTATTTTGAGATCCAAGCAGGAGAGAGACAAAATACTAGGCCTCCATTTCAAGAAAGCACTTGATATTCAAGGCAAAAGAGCAGAATTTTACAGAGATATTCCTAAACAACTTTTGGACCTTAGAGCTACATATACAGACCTAGCAAGACTGTTGAGAGGTAACGCGATTCCTTACAGGTGGGAGTTCCCCCAAGGTTTATCTTTCAACTTTAAAGGAAAGAAAGTTAAAATTAAAACAACAGAAGATAACCAGAAGTTCCTGCACGACCACGGAGAAGACCTTCAGAAGGGAGCAGTAGCTTCTTGGCCACCGCCACCGCCTGGAATAGTACAGACACCTACACCCTCGGGCTCAGAAGAAAAGGAAGACACCCCACTATAGGAACAACAGATTGATTCAGGATGTCTCTGCAGCTGTACAGTTGGAATATAAATGGCGGGAATTCCCCGGAAAAAAGAAGAAGGATTTTCCATATTTTGAAAAAGGAACAATTGGATATTATCTGCTTGCAGGAAACGCATGTGACTAGACTCCACAGGAAAGTGCTAATTAACAAAAGACTAGGTCAAGAATTTATTTCATCAGATAGAGTCAAAAAAAGAGGCGTGGTGATCTACGCAAAGGAGAACTTGTCACCGAAATTTTTATTTAAAGATGAGCAAGGAAGAATTTTGGCAATTGAAATTCAAACACGGAGAAAAATTTTTGATATTAGGAATTTATGCACCAAATGAGGGGAAATCGGAATTTTACAAGAAGCTGCATGAGATAATGCTGGACTATCTGGACTATACCAACATCATAATGATGGGCGACATGAATGGGGTGGTGTCTACTCACATGGATAAGTCACAAAATCAAAATTTAACCAAAGACGGCAGACTACCTAAAACCTTTTTTGAACTAACTGACAACATGGACTTGATTGACATCTGGAGGACAAGGAACCCCTTAGGTAAAGAAGGAACATTCTTTTCTGAGGCCCACCTGTCATGGACAAGAATCGACCAAATATGGACAACTAGAGGGCTGGCACCTAAGACTAGAAAAGTGGAAATCTGCCCAAAGACTTGCTCCGACCATAACGCCTTGAAAGTGGAATTGAGACTTACTCCAACCGGTTCTTTCAGATGGAAAATGAATGACACCCTACTAAGAGATCAGGAGATTGTGAAGAAGGCCCAAAAAACTTTAAAGGATTATTTTGAAATCAATTTGAACACCTCGGTGGAAAAGAGAACAGTCTGGGACGCAAGTAAAGCAGTAATGAGAGGGTTTCTGATACAACAGAACACAATCAAGAAAAAACTTTGGAATGAAAAAAAGGACAGGATATTAGAGAAGATAAGAGACGGAGAGAAAAAACTGAGACTAAAACCAAAATCAAAAGAGGTTTTAAGAGAAATCAAATTCCACCAAGCACAATATGCGAAATTGATAAACCAAGAAGTGGAATGAAAAATTAAACAAATGAAACAAAGATCATTTGAATCGGCGAATAAATGTGGAAAACTGCTAGCATGGCAGTTGAAAAAGAGACAAAAACTGAACTTTGTTACTAATCTAGAGGTGGAAGGGAGAAATATTCAGAAACCAGAAGAAATTAGAAAGTGTTTCCAGAAATATTTCAAAAAACTCTACACACAAGGGCCTCAGGAAGTGTCTGAGATAGACCAATTCTTAAAAGTTAATGGTCTACCAAAACTATCTCAGGAGAAGAGGACAATCTTGAATTACAGAATAACACAACAGGAAATCGAGGGTGCCATTCAGAATATGCAACTAGGCAAATCTCCAGGCCCAGATGGACTCACCTCCAAGTACTATAAGACACTAAAAGACTACTTGATACAACCACTAATGGAGGTTTGTAACCAGATTATGGAGGGGAGGAAGGCACCGGAAACGTGGAAAGAAGCTTTCATCACATTGATACCGAAACTGGAAACTGAAAAGACTCAGCTTAAGAACTACCGTCCCATCTCACTCCTAAATGTGGATTACAAAATCTTTGCTGATATTTTGGCAAGTAGACTTAAAAAAATACTTAATGAAGTAATTCACAAGGACCAGGCAGGCTTTCTCCCAGGGAGACATCTGTTTGATAATACCAGGAACATTATTGATATTTTGGAACTTTTACAAACTAATATCAATACGAAAGCTGTGTTAATTTTTATCGACGCGGAGAAGGCCTTTGACAACATTTCTTGGATGTTTATGAAGAGAAACTTGGAAGGGATGGGAGTGGGACGGGGGTTTGAAAATGGAATAGAAGCAATTTATTCTGAGCAAAAAGCTAAACTGATAGTGAACAATGTGGTGACAGATGAGTTCAAAATTGAAAAAGGGACACGACAGGGGTGCCCCCTATCCCCTCTTTTATTTATTTCAGTCCTGGAGGTGCTATTGAACATGATTAGGGAGGACCGGTCGATACAAGGAATACAGGTCGGAGTGAAACAATATAAACTGAAAGCTTTTGCAGATGATTTGGTTTTAACATTACAGGAGCCAGAATCTAGTACAAAAAGAGTATTAGAACTGATTCATGAGTTTGGTCGGGTGGCGGGATTTAAGTTGAATAAGCAAAAAACCAAGGTTTTGGGGAAAAACTTGACATCTTCAGAAATAGATGGGTTTCAGAAGGAGACAGAATTAAGTGTGGTAAAAAAAGTGAAATACCTAGGGGTTCATTTGTCTGCTAAAAATTTGAATTTATTTAAAGACAATTATGAAAAATGTTGGTTGGAAATCAAAAAAGATTTGGAAACTTGGTCAAGATTGAAACTTTCCTTGTTGGGTCGAATTGCAGCTATAAAAATGAATGTATTGCCGAAAATGTTATTTTTGTTTCAAACCCTACAGATTGTGGACAGAGTGGAATGTTTTGGAAAGTGGCAGAAGGATATTTCTAAGTTTGTTTGGCAGGGCAAAAAGCCCCGAATAAAGTTTAAAATACTAACTGATGCAAAAGAAAGAGGGGGGGTTTGCCCTGCCAGACTTAAGGTTATACTACGAAGCTGCAGCCTTCTGCTGGATGAAAGACTGGTTACTTTTAGAGAACACTGATGTCCTAGATCTGGAAGGGTTTAATAATTCGTTAGGATGGCATGCATATTTGTGGTACGACAAGGTAAGGACTCACAAAATGTTCAAAAACCATATTGTCAGAAAAGCAATATTTATGGTCTGGACAAAATATAAAGACTTATTAGAAAGTAAGACCCCGAGGTGGGTATCACCAGTGGAGGCCAAGGCTTGGAAAAAACCCAATATGGAGGCCGGCTGGCTGAAATATGGGGAAATAATAGAAAAAACTGGTGACAATTGGAGGTTACAGAGCTATGAAAAACTAAAGAATAAGGTGCAAGATTGGTTTCATTATGCTCAAATTCAAGAGGTTTTTAAGTTGGATAAAAAAATAGGATTCCAGGAGGAAAAATCGAAACTAGAGACAGAACTGTTAGAACCAAAGACTAAGGTACTTTCGAGAATGTATAACTTGCTGCTTAAATGGAACACTCAGGATGAGACAGTCAAATCAGCCATGATAAAATGGGCTCAAGACATTGGGTACAACATTATGTTTGAAGACTGGGAAAGGTTATGGACCACTGGTATGAAATTTACGGCATGTAAGGCCTTGAAAGAAAACATTATGAAAATGATATACAGGTGGTACATGACCCCAGTTAAGCTTGCTAAGATATATCATCTGTCTGATAACAAATGTTGGAAATGTAAGGAGGCTGAAGGGACATTCTTTCACCTCTGGTGGACTTGTCCAAAAGTGAAGGCCTTCTGGGAAATGATCTATAATGAGTTAAAAAAGGTGTTTAAGTACACCTTTCCTAAGAAACCAGAGGCCTTCCTCCTGGGCATTGTCGGCCAGAAGGTGTTAAAGAAGGATAGAACTTTTTTTATGTATGCAACTACAGCAGCAAGAATTCTCATCGCAAAACACTGGAAGACTCAAGATTTACCCACACTGGAAGAGTGGCAGACGCAATTGATGGACTATATGGAACTGGCCGAAATGACTGGCAGGATCCGAGATTTGGGAGAAGAAGCAATGGAGGAGGATTGGAAAAAATTTAAAGATTATTTACAAAAATTTTATAAGTTATATGAACGTTAAGAATTCGCATGATTAGGGAAATTTAGCTCCAGCAATAAGATTAAGGTATGGTAAATTAAGTTATATTAATGAAAGGACTAATGTTTAAAATAATATCACATACGTTTTTAGTGTAAATTGACAATAAGTATTTTAAACTTAAATTATAATTATTTGAAAGAACAAAAGAATGCACGAAATAAGGTTATAATTTGCTGAAAAATTTTATTGTAAAGAACGCACGGTGAGGGAGACGTGGGGAAGTCCGGTTGGTTATGGAAAAATGTTTTGAAAGGATGACTTTCTTTTTCTTTCTTTTTTTCTCTTCTGTTATTTCTTTGTATATCTGACTTTGTATCTCTATCTGGAAAAAACGTAATAAAAAATATTTTTTAAAAAAATATATAATGAACTGAAAAAGGTATTTAAATACACTTTCCTGAAGAAACCAGAGGCCTTTCTCTTGGGCATTGTCGGCCAATTGGTGCAAAAGAAGGACAGAACTTTATTCATGTACGCTACAGCAGCAGCAAGAATACTCATCGCAAAGTATTGGAAGACACAAGATCTACCCACCTTGGAAGAATGGCAGATGAAAGTGATTGACTACATGGAATTGGCAGAAATGACTGGCAGAATTCGAGACCAGGGGGAAGAGACGGTGAAAGAAGATTGGAAGAAATTTAAAAACTATTTACAGAAATATTGCAAAATTAACGAATGCTAGAATGATGTTGGATTGAAGTTAAGTGGTTTCTAGCGGTAATGGTATAAAAGAATATGAAAAAATTGGATTTTAAACAGGTAAAAATTTAATACTATAATATATTAAGATTAAAGATCAGGATAAAATAAGGATGGAAAGGAATTGCTGAACTAATAAATTGAACTGGAATACAAAAAAGGGAGGTATGAGGAGGTCTGGGAAACAAGCAAATGAAAGATAAGTGACAAAAAGTTGGAATTGTTTTTAACTGCTTTTTATTTTGTATTTTTTCTTTTTTCTTTTTCATTATGTAATATTGTGAAAACTTTAATAAATATTTATATATAAAAAAACAGAGTAGCATCTGCAAAGACTAGGGGGGAAGATGACTTTGCCATGACAACTCAGAATTGGACCTGTGCTATTATATAAAAAAGATAAAATTCTACTTCTGCTACAGAAGAAACTTTTTTAAAAATGCCTTTTAATCCCTTTTAAAATAATTCACTTCTTCTACTACAGTGGTGCAAAAATGCTCCTGTGTCATGCAATGCTAATAATGCCACAAAATAGTAATGATAATGAAACGAAGCTGCCCCTTTGAACTTGCGGGATGACCAGACTGCAATCTTCTGACCGAAGGAGCTACTTAGGTGGATTCTGGCCCAGGAAGAACTTCTTTGGCCCAGAAATGGAAGAAGCTCTTAAATCTCCCCTGGTGGTCCAAGCACACGTGGGCTCTGGCTACTGCAGAGAAAAGAACTGACCAGTAGCAGAAAACCTGAATTGCCATCTGACCCAGTTAAGTGGCAGAGCAGTGGGGTCCCAAGGAAGGGTGGAAAAGCCCTAGGCTTGCAGAAGAGGGGTTTGGAATGGGTGAAGTTTTGAGAAGCGCTGCTCTATTCCTGTATCTCTAGCCTCTTGGGCTGCCTTTGCTCTTCTCCAGACTAGTTTGTTGCGCTAGAAAACTTTCCCATCCCAGTTCCGCAGTGGTTTTCAACAAGTTTGCTGTGGCACCTGGGGTGCCTTGAATGATGCTCAGGGGTGCTGCTGGCAACACTGGCCTCTGTCCCTCTTTCCTTACCTCCCTCCTGGGATCTGCCAAAGGCTTGCGCAGCTGTTTGTTGCAGCAGCCCTGGCTACAAGCTCCGCTGGGGAATGGTGCCTCTGGGGCTGGCCAGGGGGTGTTGGCTGCCAGGAGCTGAGGCGGCCTCGGAGGAAGCAAGGAAACTGGCGAGGGGCCCTTGCTGTTGGGAAGGGACAGACAAGTCCCAGGCCCCTGTGGGGCAGCGTGAGGAGGCACCTCTCTTTGTGGCAGCTCAGAGACCCAGAAGAGGACTCCTAAGGAGAGGGGAGAGGAGGCTGAGAGAGCTCTCCACAAGGGAGGGTGTTCGAGAAAGGGTGAGGGGCTGCAAGCTCTGCAAGCAAGGGGGGACCTAAATGGGATCCTGAGCCCCACAGGGACACCGCAGAAAGAAGGTAGTTGGTCAAGGGAGTCATGCAAACCTCTAGACTCTTTTATTTCCTCCGGTAAACTACTTTGCTATTATAGCAAGGCCACGGAGCCCAAGAAGCCAGTGTAATATTCATCTCTCTGTGGGTCTCTATCAAACCTGAGTTCTTCCTTTTCTCTTTAGGGAGAGATCTGTAGCCGCCTGAAGATTCTGAGGAGAGAGAGAGACGAAATTCTGGCCTATCAAGCAGCCCTGGACAAGGAAAGCAAAGACCTCCTTGTAAGAGTGTCTGTTGTTACTAGGGAGGGAACAAGCACTTGAAGAGTTGAGGCAGAACTGAGGAGGGATGGGGAAATCTGCCCATTTCAGCTTCTCCCCATTTCTCCTTTTTCCATATCAGTTTGTTTATTCATTTATTATTCTGAAAATGAATCAGATGTTAGGGTAGCTACTTCCTTGTATAAATATTTTTATATGTACTTTACCCTCATAAATACATTGTTTGTGAACAAAATTGACCTGGCTGGGTCAACCTTGAGCAATTCAGAGGTAAGAATTTCAAAGGATTGCTCTGTTTTGGTCTCCATAATTTTTCAGCAATAGCAACTTAGGTAAATTCACTTTTGAATGCAGCTAATTTGAGTTTACGGTGGTAGCTTTAGTTATGAACTTAATTTGTTCTGGAGGTCCGTTCTTAACCTGAAACTGTTCTTAACTAGAGGCGTGCTTTTGCCAATGGGCCCTCTTGCTGCCGCTGCGCTGCCGGCACACAATTTCCATTCTCATCCTGGGGCAAAGTTCTCAGCTCAAGGTAACTCTTCCAAGTTAGTGGAATTTGTAACCTGAAGTGTTTGTAAATTCACTTTTGAATGCAGCTAATTTGAGTTTATTTTCCATTGTTGTTTATTACATGAATAGCAGTGAAGGAGAAGCCTGAGGAATTGTGAGCTGAGAGGCTGGAAGCAGGTCAATTCAAATCCTGATTTACCATCCATATTACTAAAGAGTTGTCTTTCTAAATGTGCGCTATTGTTCATCGTAAGGAAATTCAGGGAGCTATGGGGATAAACTCTGCACTTTCTCTTCATCCGCCTCTGTTTCTGCGGCCTTCCTACACCTCAATGGTCCCAGTCTAAACTGAGGGTGTTTTATGTCCATGGACGTTCTCTGGACATCTATGAACTCTGGTTATGCCATGCCCCAAATCATGCAGGGAATATCCTGTGGGGATGTTCAGGGAGGCAGGAGAAGATATATTATTTTATTATATCCTTCATAACTTTCGCTAGCAAGTTCTATAACTTAGCAGAGTTGTTAAATAATCCTCCTTTTAAATTACACAGCGGTTAGCTAGTTGCAGGCTCATCTGAGCCTCACTATTTAGGATTCCTGGTTTCCCCTTTTTATATCCCTCCTAAAAGAATAGACACAACCATCTGATTAAAGTTAACATAAAACTAGTTCACTTACAGTCATCCACTTCACAATGAGATTCCTGAAGGCAGACTTAATTTACAGAACAACATATAACTTTGTGAATTATCCCATAAGGGAAATAGTCTCAAGTGACTGCGACTGAGCAGTCACTTCTCCAAACTCTTAGGAACACACAATGGAGAAGACACAGAGCAGAACATGGAGGCCGTGTGCTCCTCTCCCAAGAACAGGCCACACTCACATTCACTCACATGCAAAGGAAGTCTGTCTCAGCTCACGAGGAACTAGCAAGTTTTCTCCTGAGTGATACAAAGCATTCCCCAGCATGTGCATTGTAAAAAGGTAAAGGTACCCCTGCCCGTACGGGCCAGTCGTGTCCGACTCTAGCGCTGTCCGGAGACACTTCCGGGTCACGTGGCCAGCGTGACAAAGCTGCTCTGGCGAGCCAGCACCAGCACAGCACACAGAAACGCCGTTTACCTTCCCACTATAAAGCGGTACCTATTCATCTACTTGCACTTAGGGGTGCTTTCGAACTGCTAGGTGGGCAGGAGCTGGGACCGAACGACGGGAGCTCACCCAGCCGCGGGGATTCGAACTGCCGACCATACAATTGGCAAGTCCTAGGCACTGAGGTTTTACCCACAGCGCCACCCGCGTCCCGTATGTGTAGGACTGTTGTATTTGCTTGCAATACGTTTTTACATCCCACATATCCATTGCTAGAAAAAAATGCTCCTTCTTTTAGGCTGTAGCCCTCTGCAAAATAGAAGTCAACAGGAACAGCAATGGAGAGGGCCTCCCCTCAAAATAAAGGTTTACTTCTTTAGCCACTGGAGGTTTCATGTGTATGAAAAATCAGAAGTGTCCTCCCTGTAGAATTCTCACAATTCTCTTCCTGATGATTTGAAGGCTGATCACCTTCCACACTCAGACCTCCTCTTTTCTTGCAGAAATTAACAGAAACGGAGAGGCTGAAGGCCGTGGAGAAGTTCAGAGAACTGCGCCAGTTCCTGGAAGAACAAGAAAAACGTCTGTTGACACACGTGGAAGAGGTGGAGAAGGAGATTGCAGGGAGAAGGGATGAGCAACTGGCCAAATTCTCCAGGAAACTCTCCTCTCTGGAGAGGATCATCCAGGAGATGGAGGAGAAGCGTCAGCAGCCAGCGAGTGAACTCCTGCAGGTAAGATGGTGGCAGGAACAGCCCAAGGCTCCAGGAAAAGGCTGCCCCTTTCATGTATGCAAGGAGTGCAGGGGCTGAGTTGATGGAGCCTCTAGTCAGGTTTGTAATGGACAGGAAGACCCAAGAGACCTGGGATGCTTAACTCACCTGAATGCAGACAAGAGATTCGTCTGTGTTCTTGATGGAACGGGAGCTGATCTTTTGCTTTTTGCTGATGCTTTGTCTCCGAACGCCTTTCAGCTGTGGGGGGCTTTGTCTGGGATGCGTTCAGGCCTCCTTCCGACATGAGCCAGTCTCTTGACCAAGTTTCTCTTCCTGTTCCCTCCATGATTTCTGGGTTGATCCCCTTCCCCATGGATACAGATGGGCCCAAAATGGTGCTCAGTCACAGTGACCAAAGAGCAAGACAGAGGGACTCATCCAGACTGCTGCTTGTCCCACCCCTTTCCTCCAGGAAAACCCACTGTTTACTGCTGAATTAGAGCAAACCTCAGCCAGGTTTTCTCCGGATTGATGTTTGCTTTGATTTTGCACTAAGGAGCAGGTTTTTCCTGAGGGAAAGCGGCAGGGCAAAGACAAAACCACTTGGACTCGTGTTTTCTGGGCACAAGAAAAGCAGACGTGTGGGTGACCCCAAAGAAACACTGAGCTGTTTTATTACCCCTTTGGAGGCATTTTATGCTGCAGGTGCTTTTTTTTATTTCCAGATGGAAAACAGAATTTGAAATTTGGGGACTAGGGACAGTGCCCTGGCAGGATTATCCTGTAGGCTTACGTTTGTCTGAATAGCACAATGCAAACTGGATTAAAGTTTTTAAATTATGGAAATGTGGAGAAATTGAAATCGGAACAATTAATAATTTCATATTTGAAAAATAAAAGCTGTGAGAAACCCAAACTGGCTGATTCCGCCATCCCTACCCAAAACCTTGGCATGTGCCCAGCAGACTGACATCTGAGGGCCAGGGTCTGAGGGGGTCTTCCTAGTGTGGCCTGTGGTGTGTAGTGAATTCCCTTCTCTTTTCCCCTCTAGGATGTGAGGAGGACCTTGCAGAGGTAAGTGGATCTGGCTCATTTCCATTAGCATCACTCTTTGAAGCTGAGATGCAAGAACCTTAGACATGGCCCTCCAGGGGCTGCAGGTGGGAGACTGTAGGACTCACTCCCTGCAGCACCTCACAGGTGAAAGTAGAGCCCCCTCTTCTGAACTTGTAGCCCCCCAACTCTCCCTCCAAGGTTCAAGGTCAACTGCCTCCTCCCTCCCTCCCCACATCCCTTCACAAAGGGATGGGGGCTCTTTTCGTTCTCTTGCACTTTCTGTCCATGGACTTTTTGGTAATTTCAAACGTCTAGAAGAGGAAGTCCCAAAGATGCTTGGGAAGAGCTCAGGATGTAGCAACAGATTTCAATGTCCAAGTAGCATCTTCTCCAAGTAGCAGCCACCCAATTCTTGGCAGCTTTGGACATCACTCACATCCTCTGGAGAAGCTCAGGGAGGGAGGGGTTGCAGGCATTCCACCTCAGGGGTTTGGTTAAGTCCTGGCACCTTCCCAGAAAGCTGTTAGGGGGCAGCATTCTTTGAAGCCATGGGAGCCCTCCGGTGGTGTCGCTTGGGGTTACATCTTGTCCCCTGTACTGTTTAGCATCCTTACGAAGCCACTGACCAGGGCTTGGAGGTGGGTGTCAAGAGATGAAGCTGAATCCTGGAAATTACCTGGTGGGAAATGAACTTCAACTTTGTTCATGTTATTGAGATCTCCTGCAAGAATTAGGGAGATGGGGCCACAATGGGGCCATTCATTGTTTTTCTTTTCACCAGGTATGAGGAAAGAGAGAGTCCAGAGAAGCCACTGGCTTTCCCTCCAGAGCTGAGGAACAGGATCTTGGAATCCTGTGATTTAAATCACCTTGTGGAGGATAGAATGAATCTATGGGAAGGTAATGAAAAATGGCTGCCAGGATTTCACACTGGGAATTCTGTTACTTCAGAACTGAACATGTCATCCTCTTATTATTGCATGGAATTGAGCAATCCCAGGTTACCTTCCTTCTTGGTGCTCCAGCCTTCATTTCCTGTCCCCCAGAATGGCCCATGTTATGTAGTGTAGTTACACCCTGGGCCAACAGGGGGATACTGTATATAGTTTTCACTCAGGTCTGTAGATAGTTTTCACTCAGGTCCGCGCCAGTTATTTTAGGCGGGAACTCTGGGCTGTTGTGGTTACAATGTTGACAGCCGGCTGCCTATAAATACAGGCCGGCTGAGCTGTTCGCAGTCAGTTCTATTCCAGCTTACCATAATAAAGAGCTACTTGAAGAAATCGCTGTGCCGGCTGCTATGTCAACCCACGACTCAACACTGGCGACGAGGATGGGATGGATGGACATCAGAGCACAGCCAGATGCGGCCAGCCTCTGAACTGAGCTGAATCACTGAGCTGAATCACAGAGCGAAATCACTGAGCGAAATCACTGGGCAGAACCAATTCAGAGCTGACTGTTCTGGCTAGAGCACTGTGTTCCATCCATCGCCCTTCACGCCGGCATCGGAATCATGGCTTCACTTGTGCCTCTACTGCCGTTTGCGCCAGCCTCTGAATCATGGGACTCCTACCTCGCTCGGTTCGACTGCTACCTCCAAGCCAACGAGCTGACAGCAGTATCAAAGGATCGGAAGCGGGGCCTATTCCTCAGCCTCTGTGGGCCTGAGGTGTTTGAGACGGCCCGAGCGTTGGTTGCGCCTGAAGCAGTCCAGGCAACACCATGGGACACGATCCAAGAGAAGCTCCGCAACCACTACGCACCAAAGCCGTCCAAGATTGCTGCCCGCCATGCGTTCTACCACCGGAACCAGGCAGAGGGGGAGTCAATCAACAACTACACCACCGCCCTGCGACAGGCTGCAATGCACTGTGAGTTCCGAGACTTAGACGATGCCCTGATGGATCGAATCGTCTGCGGGGTCCGGGACATCCATCTGCAACGGCGCCTCCTAGCCAAGCCAGACCTCACGCTACAGAAAGCCATTGAGGAGGCTGTGGCCTCAGAAGCTGCTGAACGCTCCGCCCAGGAGATCCGCAAGTCCAGCAGCCCGCGTCTTGCTAGGGAGCCAGTTCCGGTGCATCATGAAGAGGCCAGCAGTGAGGAGGCATCCTCCAGTGAAGACGATGACGTGCACCAGACAAAGCGGGAGCGCAGGAAGTTCCAACAGAAGTCCAAGGGCCAACCGGAATGTGCTGGCTGCGGAGGCAACCATTCCCGTGCCAAGTGTCGATTCAGAGACGCCATCTGTAGGAAGTGTTCCAGAAGGGGCCACATCGCTAAGGTCTGCCGATCGGCTCCGTCTGACACCCCCTTCATCGACTCGCAAGTCCAAGTCTTCACTCCAGTCTGCCAAGGAAAGTTGTTTCGCTCTCACCAACTGCCGCTGCCCGTCTGGAACCACGATTGGCCAAACCGACTCGCCTACGCGACGCAAGCTGAACGTCACGGTGCTCATTGAAGGAGCTCCATGTGACATGGAGATCGACACCGGGTCTGCCCTGTCCATCGTGTCATGGAGCACCATCAAAAGACTGGTACCCAGAGTGTCCAAAAGGCAACTCGACTCTCACCGCGTACACCTGAGAGACTACCAGGGAAACGACATTCCCGTGGTAGGCGTTGGCCGGTTCCGGATCGCCTTCAAGGATTTTTCGGGCCTGCTCCGGTTGGTGGTGGTCGAAGGTCAGCGGCCAAGCCTCCTAGGGCTAGACTGGTTTGATGCCCTCGGCCTGGAAGTCACCGGCATCAACTGCATCTCTAATGCAGAGACTGAGGGTCTGGTCAAAGACTTTGCCGAGGTTTTTGACGGCACCTTGGGCCAATATACAGGTACGCCCATCTCCTTTAGCCTTGATCCACAAGTCGCCCCCATCAAGCTAAAGCCACGCCGGGTTCCCTTTGCTCTCAAGGCTAAGGTGGACGAACAACTGGACAAACTGATCGCCCAAGGAGTTTTGGAGCCGGTTGACCACGCAAAGTGGGAAACCCCCATCGTCACGCCTGTCAAGCCAGATGGGTCGGTGAGAATCTGCGCTGACTACAAGTGCACGATCAACAAGGCACTTCAGCAGCACGCTTATCCGGTTCCTGTTGTCCAACACCTGCTGCATTCCCTGGGTGAGGGTAAGGTCTTCGCTAAGCTGGACCTTGCCCAAGCCTATCAACAACTGCCAGTCGATGACGCCACTGCTGAAGCCCAGACGATCGTCACCCACCGGGGGGCATTCCGTTGCCGCCGGTTGCAGTTCGGGGTGAGTGTGGCTCCTGGCATCTTCCAAAGCCTTATGGAGCGTCTCCTGCAAGGGCTTCCAGGCGTGGTACCATATTTTGATGACGTCTTGGTGTCTGCAGACTCACACCAGCAGCTGTTCGAGCGCCTCCGTGCCGTGCTGACCAGGTTCCAGGAGGCCGGGCTCAAGGTAAAGAGGGAGAAGTGCCAGATCGCCGTTCCACAGGTAGAGTTCCTGGGCTATCTTATCAATGCCTCCGGTCTTCATCCAACCACATCCAAGATCCGCGCTATCCAGCAGGCCCCCACTCCAAAGAACAAAACAGAGTTGCAGGCATTCCTGGGGCTGCTGAACTTTTATAACATGTTCCTGCCCCACAAAGCCACAGTGGCTGAGCCTCTTCACCGACTCCTTAGCACTAAGACGCCTTGGGCCTGGGGTCATCGGGAGACGGCGGCCTTCAACGCGGTCAAGGCTCTCCTTTCTTCAGACAGTGTGCTGGTACAGTACAGTGAATCCAGACCGCTGGTCCTTGCCTGCGACGCCTCACCTTTTGGCATCGGGGCTGTCCTTAGTCACCGTTTTCCAGATGGAAGAGAAGCACCGCTCGCCTACTTTTCCAGGACACTATCTCCAACGGAACGGAATTACAGCCAGCTCGACAAGGAGGCATTGGCACTTGTGGCTGGAGTGAAGAGGTTCCATGAATACCTCTATGGCAGGACTTTTGACCTCATCACTGACCACAAGCCACTCCTGGGCCTCCTCGCCGGTGATCGTCCAACTCCACCGGTCCTCTCACCACACATGCTGCGATGGACTGTTTTCCTGGCTGCCTACCACTACCGGCTCATCCATCGCCCGGGGAAATCGATGGGCCATGCCGACGCCCTCAGCCGTTGCCCTCTTCCAGCATTTGTGGAAGACCCGGCTCCAGCTTCATCGCTCCTTCTGATTGAGGATCTTCCGGCAGCGCCTGTATCGGCTGCCACTGTGGCCTCCGCATCTGCCCAGGATCGCACCATCAGCCGGGTGCTCAACTGGGTGTGGAGGGGGTGGCCACAAGGGCCCTTTGCATCGGAGTTCCAGCCCTTCGCAACCAGACAACATGAACTCTCAGCTCATCGCGGCTGTCTGCTGTGGGGAGACCGCGTCGTGATTCCCCAGGGACTCCGTCAGCGCGTCCTGGAGGCTCTGCACGTTGGCCACCCGGGAATTGTCAAAATGAAGGCGTTGGCTCGGTGTTACGTCTGGTGGCCTAATATGGACGATGCCATCACTGCCTGGGTGTCCGCCTGTCAAGCGTGCCAGGAGTCGAGGCCTGCACCACCGGCAGCTAAGGGACACACCTGGGAGACGCCAAAGACACCCTGGTCGAGGGTGCACATCGATCTGGCTGGCCCCTTTCACGGCCGGACCTTTATGGTAGTGGTGGACGCCTATTCCAAATGGCTGGAGGTCGCCCTGATGCCCTCCACCACTACCGAAGCTGTCATCCGGGTGCTGCGAGGCCTGTTTGCAACGCATGGGTGTCCTGATGTCCTTGTCTCTGACAACGGACCGCAGTTCACGTCAGGCACGTTTGAGCGATATCTTTTGGGACTGGGCATCCGCCATGCCCTAACGGCACCCTTTCATCCATCCAGCAACGGGCAAGCGGAAAGAATGGTGCGCTCGACAAAAGAGGCACTGGCGCGCCTGGACCGGGGAGACTGGCATGAGCGGGTCGCCGAATACTTGTTCGTGCAACACATCACCCCTCACGCGGCCACAGGGAGGAGTCCTGCTGAACTGCTTATGGGCCGCCGCCTCAGGTCACCGCTCGACCGGCTACACCCAGACTTTGCCGTGGCTGAACCCCCAGGCTGTGCCAACGCACCACGGTCATTTGTCCCAGGAAACCAGGTCTTTGCCCGGAACTATGTGGGGGACATCCCTTGGGTGCCAGCCACAGTAGTGGGAGTCACTGGACCTCGCTCGTACCAGGTGGCACTCGAAGACGGACGCTTGTGGCGACGGCACATAGACCAGCTTAGGCACAGGGTTGGGGACTTGGACACTACCGAGGTGCCCCCAACTGCGCTGGCGGCTCCAGAAGAGACACGTACAGATGGCGAGGCCCCACCTACACCTCCCTCGCAAACTGCCAGCGTGGAGCCGAACCAAGCCGTTTCAGAACAGGCTCAGACCACTCCACTTGCGGAGGCTCCACCCACAGCAGCGGATCCAGGGGAGTTGGTTCCAACGCCACCTAGGGTCGCACCACAGCCTCAGCGAGAACTGTGTGGCCCTCCGGACTTGGCTACCAGCCCCCGGCGGTCTGGCAGAGTTTCCAAGCGCCCAACTCATTTAAAGGACTATGTTGTTGGACAGGTATCACTGTTGGTCTAAGTATGGGAAATGTAACCGATATGCTTTTGTGCCTAATTGAACCATTACGCGTAGTGCTGTATATAAGAAAACCATTACGATTGTAACTAACGCCTTATCTCGGTGGGGAGGGGTGTTATGTAGTGTAGTTTCACCCTGGGCCAACAGGGGATACTGTATATAGTTTTCACTCAGGTCTGTAGATAGTTTTCACTCAGGTCCGCGCCAGTTATTTTAGGCGGGAACTCTGGGCTGTTGTGGTTACAATGTTGACAGCCGGCTGCCTATAAATACAGGCCGGCTGAGCTGTTCGCAGTCAGTTCTATTCCAGTTTACCATAATAAAGAGCTACTTGAAGAAATCGCTGTGCCGGCTGCTATGTCAACCCACGACTCAACAGCCCATGTATATTGTGACGCTGGGAAAGAAAGCCTGAACCAGAGTGTAGAGCAAAGTCAGGATTTTTTCCTCCCATGTGCTTCTGTTTACAATTCTACGGAACCTCCTTTTCCTTGTGGTTCCCTGTCTCCACAATCTGAGTTTGTCCTTTTGGAGGTTCTCCTGCTCTGAATGGAGTCAAAGGGCATTAAGAAGCCCCCAGTTCCCCCTCTGCCTCCTGCTCAGGCTTCTTTCTCAGCCGTGGAGCCAAGGCCTGAGCCGTCTCCCCCTCAGACGTCCCCCTGCAGCTGCCATATCTAGGGCTTCAGCCTTCAAGATCTCCTGAGAGTTCCCCCATTGAGAGTGGAAGCAAGAGCACATGAGCCTCAAAGGGCACAATTATGCTTGTGAAGAACCTTAAAGATTTGTAGAAGGTTTGTGAGGAAGGGTTTCCTTTTGCCTGAGAGCTCTGCCAGTCCTTCTACAGCAACCTTTGCTTCTACTTATGTTTCACAATTTTGGCTTTAATGATTCCCCCCACCATTCTCATTTAAAGCTTTAGTTATTTTCATAGCTTCTTCCTATGATTTTCTAGTTTTTGATTATTATTTGTACAATTTAATTAATATTTTATAATTGTACTTGAATTCACTTTATATCTTTTTGCTTCCTCAGATGCTGTGTTATTCAGAAAGCAGCTTCAGAAAGGTAAATTTACAGGGGAGGAACAACTTCTCAGGAGGGATAGGGACTGGTATTTCATGGGTGTTGAACCGTCTTTTCTGCAGACTTTGGGACCCCCATCAATGGTGTAACTCTGGGTAACAGTCCTTTATTGGCGTTTGGGTTCTTTGTCTGTCCCATGAATGAACTGGGAGGGAGGTTGAAGACTTGGATTGGGGTCAGAGCTTGTCCCTGCGAAGAACCTGCACACCAGTCGTCTGTTCCTTTCCTGCCTATAGACTATTATCCTGGTTTCCTTGTTAATTTTATAGATTTTGCTTTCTTTCATAAAATGTATATACTGCTTTGTGGTAGGGAAAAAGCCTCAGAGCCTTACAGTATCTTACAAAAGCCTTTAAGGAGGATCCTGCAGGGTCAGTCCAATGTCCATCTTGTTGAGTTCTCATGTATAAGGAATCTCCCTTGCATTTTGTTATCCCTTCACATAATCTGAGAATGTTATTTTGGGGCTTCTCAAGATTTGCTTGGATTTCCCCCTCGTGAAGTGTGTTAAAAGGGGCACCCGCAAGCACCCAGTCCCTCCTCCACCTCCTGCCAGGCTGGTCTCCCAGCAGCAGAGCAAGGCCTGAGCCGCCTCTTCCTCAGAGTTTCAACCTCACCAGCCATTTCTCGTGCTTCAGCCATCCCCATCGCCTGAGAGTTCCCCCAGTTCTCAGGAGATAAGCCCCATTCCATGTGGGAGGACTTCCCATTGCACGAGTCCCTTGGAATTATATGGCAAAGCTCTGCCAATTCTTCCTCTGCAATTTGGTTTGTCAGCATACTTGGAAATTCCAGTTTCAACAGCTTTTCCCCACCAGTTTACTTGGGGCAGATGTTAAACCTTTCTTCATCCATCCAGTTCAGATCCCCATTTCATTTGTGGATTTGGAATGATTGTATTCCGCCATTTTCTAGTATGGTTTACCATTTCTGATTTTCCCATGAAATCATGGAATGGCAGAGTCTGAAAAGATCCCAAGGATTATCTAGTCCAGTCCCCTGCAATGCAGGAATCACAGCTAAACATGTTAGTTGTTTTAATTCCTTTGCCTAGTGATATTACATCCTCAAGAATAGTCTTTTGGAGAATATTTAACATCACTACTTAGGCCTACAGCTGTCATCTTTGCATGATTTAATATTTTGCCTGAAATAAGGAAACAACTGATGCTATGTTATAGTTATGTTTTGTAAAAAATATTTTTGTTTTGTTTTTAACTATTGCATTGTAGCCTGTTAAGCCTGTCTTTTTGCTTCCTCAGATGTTCAGTCATTCAGACATCTTCAGAGAGGTAAATTTCACATGGAGACCCCAATTCACAGGAGGGGGGACTAGTGTTTCATGGGGGTCAAGAGTCTCTTCTGTACAGCTTGACTCTCGCCCTGCTGTTTGTAGCACAAAGGCAGAGAGGGTGGACTTGAAGGTGCAGAAGGGGGGGAGAGAAACTGCCCAGAAGGATCAGATAAAAGAGGGAAGAGTTTCATCCCTGCCTAGAGAGAGTTGGGTTGCTTTTCCATGTGACCTTTTTCAGGACTGGTTGCCACATGTCCTCTTTTTCTCGGACAGGTCCTCTATTTTCATGATTAAAATTTCTCCCCTGGGTGGATTTTTTAAATTTTTAAATTTGGCAAAATGTCTCAAGTTGTTTGGTTTGGTTTACAGTATCCCATGAAAAAAATTCTAGTGCATTAGGCTCAGATCTAAGGCACCCAGCAAAGCTAGCCTAGAGCAGAGAATCGCAACAGAGCAGCATCTTCAGCTAGCCACATCCTGTATAAAACCCTTCTCTTGTGGCTGAACTAAAAGGACGCTGGCTCAGCTACAAGATCTTGGAGAAGGAGTCCGGGAGGGCGAGAGTTAACAACCCCCTGCCCTTAAGGAAAGTCCATATGTACATGTTTAACAGTTTAATAAATTGTTCTGTGCACACTTGCGTTCACAAAGATGTGAACATGAGCCCAAATACCCAAATGTGGCAAGCGAGGGAGCAATATGTATTATTATTATTATTATTATTATTATTTGGTTGTTGAAAGTTAAGAACATTGCTACTAGCAGTATATCACAGCCGTGAAAGCCTACATAGAGCAGGGGTATTTAAAATGAGTGTCGTCATAGCGATCCATGGTTAAGAGTAGAAGTTGGCAAATGTGTCCTCTTTTTTGCTCTTCAAAGTACGGCAACTCTACGCTTACCTATCATGACTGCCTTAGCCCCTGACTGGTAACTTTTTGAGTTATTCCTCCTTTCCAGCAGGGAATTAGTCTTATGGTATATATTAAATTCAAAAGTGATGCATGGAATAAGCAGTCCTTTGTTAAATTGTGGGCACGAGGGCCCAGAATGTGACCTCCGCAAAAGTGAGGGGACACTTATACAGTATGTGATTTTGTGTTGTATTTTTATGCTTTGAACCACCCTGAGACCTATGGATTAAGGGCAGTAGGCAAATGTCACTATATTATTATTATTATAACAGTGGGGTCCTCATCCCCCACCCCAACCAGAGGTCCCCAAAGGCCAATTCCCACAGAGATGGTCAGAGGAAAGCAGCTTCTCTCCTCTCCTGCCTCCTCCAATTCTCCTCTCTTTCCCCTTAGATAACACAGAAGAGATGAGTAAAAGGTTTCCTGGGTGGTTTTTCCTCTTAGAAAATGCCTGGTTTGAGAGGAGGGCAGGCACAATACACATCGGATATAAGAAAGTGAAGGAAACTGATTTAAAAACCATCACGGAATATATTTATTCTGAGGAGTCTGCAAGGAGGAGTCTCAGTCTAGCATGTGACACAAAGAAATCCCCTTGATCTGAAAGGAAATCTGGGTTTTTTGGTTGTTTTTTATTTATTTATCAGGATGTCCATTTCTGTCTCTCAGCTGACTCTGCCTAATCTTCCCTTTCCCTCATCTTCTCCCCAACAGCAAATGTCACTCTGGATCCAGACACAGCCCATCCTGAACTCATCCTGTCCGAGGATCGGAAAAGCCTGAGTAGGGGAGACAAACCTCAAGCCCTGCCCAACAATCCTCAGAGATTTAGCCACGAGATTAATGTGTTGGGAAGTCAGGAATTCACAGCAGGCAGACATTTCTGGGAAGTCACTGTGGAAAGTGGGGAATTGTGGGCTTTGGGGGTCGCCAGGAAGTCTGTGAGGAGAAAGGGCAGCTTCTCCATATTCCCCAAGGAGGGGATCTGGGCTGTGCGGAAGTTGGGAGGGAAGTACTTTGCCTGCACCTCCCCTTATTACTCTCTTCTGTCTCTGAGTGAGAAGCCCAGGAGGATCCGGGTGATTCTGGACTATGAAGGGAGACGTGTGTCTTTTTCGGACGCTGACGCAGGAGCCGAACTCTACACGTTCTCAGGAGCCTCGTTCTCTGCAGAGACCCTCCTCCCTTTCTTTTGTCTGAGGGGAAATAAAACCGACCTCAGTATCTCCTGAGGAGACTAAATCTGCCTCTCGGGCCCAGCAGGAGTTTCTCTCCAGACCAGAGTGACTGACATAAAAACCATTTACCCGCCAAGAGCAGGTTGGGCAGTTTTCCAAGGGCCCTTTGAGAGGATTCATTCCAGTCAATTCAGCAGAAATAAAAAAATAATTAAAAAATGGGTTGCTCTTGGTTTGCATTTTCTTTCCTTTTCCCAGAATTCCCTCTGCAGCTTCTTAGAGAGACAGTCACACTTTTAGGAGTCCTAATAAATTTTCTCACCTTCAGTCTTGTTTTCCATTTGAGTTGTCTGATTTGGCAGAGGATAAGACCCTTAATCCCACGGTTGTGCGTCTGAGCCTCACGTTGGGCAATTTTTTCCTGCACTGCAGGGGGTGATATTAGATGACCCTCAGGACCCCTCGCAACTCTGCAATTCTAGGGAACCTTCCTCTCCCCACAAGACTTTATGCAGCTGTGAAAATGCATATGTTGTTGGATTTATAGATGACTAAAAAATGAACCCCTTCACCCACATCAGACAGGATAGCTCCTTCCTCTGGAGACCTCAGATGGGAAGAAAAAGAAATTGAACTGGGAATCATCTTCAAATGCCCTCTGCAAATACAGCCTCGCCATCTCCACACGTTGTCAGAAGTAAACCTTATTGCATTGAGTGGGGCTTCTGCTCAGTTAAATGTGTTTTGAATGGATGCATTAACGTTCCTTATTTACAGGCTGGATTCTGTATATTAGGGGCATCAAATGGGGTGTCTTCTGGATAATGCTGGACTCCAGCTCCTCTCCTCATGCTCGTCCAGCATGGCCAGGGGACAGAGAGGATGGGAGCTGCAGTCTGGCAGCTTCCAGAAGGGGCTCCATGGCCTGTGCTGCCCCGTACATTACGCAGGGCACCTTCCCTGTGTTCCTGAGCCCCACTCCAAATACACAGTGCTCCCCCAAGGAGCGTCATTTCGGCACCAGGTGCATCTGATTTCTCTCCTTGGATACTAACAGCTGGAACAACACATGCCTGTGGAATTGACCCCTCTCAAAGATCAGGCAGGACTCACTCTGGCTCCACTATCAGGACCACTGACTACTGACCGGTGCAGCCTGCTCTCCTTTCCCTGCGTTTTCCACGGGGTGGTGACAGATGTTGGAATAAAGACACCCTCCCACCTGCCTGAGCGCCAACTCCCCTTGCTCCACCCCTATATCAGGGGTAGCCAACTCCCAAGAGACTGCAATCTAATCACAGTAGGGTTCAGGGAGAAATTGTTGAGCTTTTTTTAGGGAGGAGGAAGCAGAAAGGGGAACAGCCACTGACAGATTGCTAAGGAAACAAACAGTCTCACTGAGTAAACTCCATTCTGCAGATTGTGCAACAATAGAGGGTGGGACAAGGGGGCAGGGCAGGATTATATTTTACCAGCGTTAAGGAAAGGGACCCAGCAATCGACCGTGATCTACCAAAACATCCCGGGGATCTAGATCACGATCGACCTGTTGGACATCCCTACCCTATATGATGTTGGCAACGTTTGTGTGTCATCATAATTTCTCCTGCAAGTCTCTGGCCTCCCCCCCCCCCCCTCGGAGGCTTCCAGCAACTGAGATTTAGAAGAAAAGGAGTTGGATTTGATACCCAACTTTATCACTACCCTAAGGAGTATCACTCTTGAGAGTCCCATGGACTGCAAGAAGATCCAACCTATCCATTCTTAAGGAAATCAGCCCTGAGCGCTCACTGGAAGGACAGATCGTGAAGCTGTGGCTCCAATACTTTGGCCAGCTCATGAGAAGAGAAGACTCAATGGAAAAGACCCTGGTGTTGGGAAAGATGGAGGGCACAAGGAGAAGGGGACGACAGAGGAAGAGATGGTTGGACAGTGTTCTCAAAGCTACCAGCATGAGTTTGACCAAACTGCGGGAGGCAGTGGAAGACAGGAGTGCCTGGCATGCTCTGGTCCATGGGGTCATGAAGAGTCCAACACGACTAAACGACTAAACAACAAAGGAGTCTCAAAGCGGCTAACAATCTCCTTCCCTCCCTCCCCCACAACAAACACTCTGTGAGGTGAGTGGGGCTGAGAGACTTCAAGGAAGTGTGACTGGCCCAAGGTCACCCAGCAGCTGCATGTGGAGGAGCAGGGAAGCGAACCTGGTTCACCAGATTACGAGTCCACTGCTCTTAACCACCACACCACCCTGGCTCTTCCTTCTGCCTCTGAACTGTGGAGGCAGAGCATAGCCATTTTACTGAAGAGCTAATAACAGCCTAGTGCTCCATCAATTTGTCCCCAGCTTGGTGGGTGGAACATGATACAGTGGTACCTCAGGTCACAGACGCTTCAGGTTACAGACTCTGCTAACCCAGAAATAGTACCTTGGGTTAAGAACTTTGCTTCAGGATGAGAACAGAAACTGTGGCGCGGCGGCAGTGGGAGGCCCCATTAGCTAAAGTGGTGCTTCTGGTTAAGAACAGTTTCAGGTTAAGAACGGACCTCCAGGACGAATCAAGTTCCTAACCCGAGGTACCGCTGTAGTCTTAATCTAAGGGTCACCGGCCTGAGCACCATGTTGAGCAAAAGGTTGCTGCATTGCAGAGATCTGGACTGGATGACCCTTGTCCACTCCCATCATACCCCTACTTGAGGTCTAGCGCCGAGGGCCTTCTGGCGGTTCCCTCGCTGCGAGGTTACAGGGAACCAGGCAGAGGGCCTTCTTGGTAGTGGCACCTGCCCTGCGGAACGCCCTCCCAGCAGATGTAAAGGCAATAACTATTTTACTTTTAAAAGACTACTGAAGTTTAGGGAAGTTTTTAAAGTGTGACACTGTATTGTTTTTAATATTCGGTTGGAAGCCACCCAGAGTGGCTGTGGAAACCCAGATGGGCGGGGTATAAATAAATAAATAATAATAATAATAATAATAATAATAATTATTATTACTGTGGTCCCTTCCAACTCTGCAATTCCATGATTTGAAGTTGGTTGCCATCTCTGCCTCCAGTGGCAGTGAGTTCCATAGTTCAGTTATGCGCTGCACAATGAAATGCTTTTATCTGTCCTGGATCTCCCAACGTTCAGCTTTCTTGGAGGGCCACGACTTATACTGCTGAGGATCTGCAATGTGGAGATAATGTGTCTCTGCCTCCATCGTGGGGACCACAGCAATGCGTGGGCAGATTGTTTGTCCCCTCCTGGGGCAGGAAGCCTCGACAGAGAACTTTCTTGAATTAACAACAATACAGTGGTGCCTCTGCTTACGAACGCTTCTGGTTACACACGCTTCAGGATACGAACTCTGCTAACCTGGAAGTACCTGCTCCTGATTGCGACCTTTGCCCCGGAATTTGAGCAGATATCGCACACCAGAGGCCCCATTAGCGAAAGCACACCTCAGGATAAGAACGGTTTCAGCTTAAGAACGGACCTCCAGAACAAATTAAGTTCATAACCAGAGGTACCACTGTAACTGGTTTCTTGAGACAGCCGGAAAACAAATCAGGAAGGAGCAGGCCTCTCAAACACAACACAACATCTCTCAGCTCCAGCCTCCCTGAACTGTGGGAACAGAAAGTCAATCTTGGAGATGCCATGCGTGTATGTATCATCTTGCTCTGCAGTGTCTACACTGCGTTGCTGTGGCTCTCCTGGATTTCAGACTGACACCTTTCCCAGTCCGAAATGGGCGATGCAAGGGATTGAACCTGGAAGCTTTTCCATGCCAAGCAGACGCTGTTCCCCTGAGCTGCTGCTCTTCCCCATTTTTGAAGTAATGCTCATGACCTTCTTGATACTATTTGTTTAACTTTCTGAAATCCCAGCTAATCTCTATGTTAAGTGAAAAGCAATTAATAAGGAGTCCGACAAGTTCATATCCAAAAGTGACACTCAGAACAAGACCCCATTTAGAGCCCCAGAGAGGAACATGAATGATACAGACCAGTCACGATGTTACAACCACAAAACCAAGATGGCGTCATAAGAGTTGAACAGAAAACGGTCTCTTCTTATCTTAAATGGTCTTCACGACAAGGCAATGCTGAAGGGGCATATTACAATATAACTGTTCTATTATTATAGTAAAAGGGGAGGTTTCTACACCAACCAGAAGGACATGCTTAAATGTTACAATGCAAATGGGCCTCTCGTTGGAATGTCTAGCTTGGGCAGATAGAGATAAGGAACAAGGAGTCATTGTAATACCCGGATGAGGGAGGTTGCAGGAAGGAGGAAGAAGACCAAGACCTTACATGGTAATAGGAACTTATTATAACTTTCGATTTCTCAGAAATCAGGTGGTTTACAAGAAATCAAGTGACTTACAAGAGATCAGGTGGCATTCTATTCTGCAAATCTATAAAAGGGGGCGCACCCTGACTGGGGTGTGCAGATTGCAAACTTATTGCTCTGTACCTTTGTTTTGCATATGCACTTCAAATAAAATCCTGTTAATAACCTGCAAGGACGTTTTGCCGCCTTGTGTGAATCTGTCCTTCAGGGACCCAATAGCAGATGTTGGTGGTCCTTCATTCTAAATCCAGAGGCCCATCTAGTCCAGATTCCTCTTCTCCCAGTGCCCAGTCAGATGCCCCAGTGGGAAGCCCCCAAGAGGACCTGAGAGCAACACCCCTACTCTCCCCCACCCCGGAGATTCCCCACAACTGGAACTCAAAGGCACCTGGTGCCTCCGACAGTGGAGGCCCCACGTAGCCATTCCTGAATGTGTCTAGTCTTCTTTTAAAGCCAGCCAAGTTGAAGACCTTCCCTGCCCCTTATGTGAGAGAATTCCACTTTCTTTTGTCAGTCCAGAATGTACCACCATCTGGGACTAAATGGACCTTTGGCCTGATCCAGCAAGGATCTCCTTATTGTCCCTGCCAAGTATGCAAAAAGAGAGTGGAGTCCTATTTCTCCCATTTGTGGAGTTCACACTTCCACATCTGTACACTGTCACTGGGAGCTGTTGTTCTCATTGTGGGTCTGTAGCTGCCCTTGTGATGTGTCCCTGGCCTTAGTTGGGAACCATCAAAATGAGATACTTCATAATGGAGTCTAGAACATTTTGGGACTTAACGAATCAACTTGGGCTGGGGTCTTGCTTCTTTTTTAAAAAAGAATAGCTATTCATCCACAAAACAAAATCCATTTTGTTATCAATTGCAGTTGGTGCAACACAGACTCTTCAAAATAAACTTTCCTCCCACTCCATCCTTGAACCCCATTATTTTTCTACTCAGATCATATATATCTTCTAGAATAATACCTATGACATCAACTGTATCTCCTCCTTTAAAAAAAATCTTTTTCTGATAGCTGAAAACATCCAATTTCTATTATTAATCAATTATTACTTTAACCTTCCTGCTGAATCAATTTACTTATTTCAGCTTATTTTTGCTAGGTTTCTCTGTTGTCATCCGCCTATGTCTCGTGACATAGATAAGGTTTGGCTTCCCCACTGCAAATCAGGATGTAACCAACACTTCTCCCTCTTCTTTCTGTGGAATGTGGCATTTTCAAGAATATTAGCTGGACGTATTCCCTAAATGAATTATTTGGTGTCTGATGAATGCCTTCTTCTGAATGAAGCTTTTCCCACACTCAGGACATTCATAAGGCTTCTCCTCCGCGTGGGTCCTTTGGTGTTTGATCAGCGTATCTCGCCGAGAAAAGTTCTTCCCGCACTCAGGGCATTCGTGAGGCTTCTCTCCTGTGTGAATCTTCTGGTGGTCAATCAACCTACAAGGATGATGGAAACTTTTCCCACACTCGGGGCATTCATAAGGCTTCTCCCCTGTGTGGGTTCTCTGGTGCTTGATCAGCGTATCCCGCCGGGAGAAGTTTTTCCCACACTCGGGACATTTGTGTGGTTTCTCCCCTGTGTGCGTCTTCTGGTGTTCAATTAAGTTGCACGGGTGGTTGAAGTTTCTCCCGCAATCGGGGCACTCGTACGGCTTCTCCCCTGTGTGGGTCCTCCGGTGATTGAGTAAAGTATCTCTCCGGGAAAAGCTTTTCCCGCAGTCCGGGCATTCGTGAGGCTTCTCTCCCGTGTGCGTCTTCTGGTGCCTCTTCAAATGGAGTTGCCACCGGAAGCCTTTCCCACACTGGGAGCATTGATACGGCCTCTCTCCGGTGTGGATTCGCAGGTGACTCACCAAATTGGTCCTCTGGCTGAAGCTTTTCCCACAGTGGGAGCACTTGTGCGGTTTCTCCTGGGTGTGGATCCGTCGATGCCGCATCAGAGTCGCTCTGTAACTGAACCCCTTCCTGCACTCGGGACACTCGTATGGTTTCTCTTCCATGAGGCCGCTCTGATGGCTCACCCAGATCTCTCGCTGGGGAAAGGGCTTCTCGCCCTCAGACCATTCGCACAGTTCCTCTCCCATGTGCCTCCTCTGGTGTTCAGCCAGGGCAGATCCTCGCTGGAAGCTCTCCCCACGCACGGGGCATTCGTAAGGACCTTCTTCTGCATTTAGCGTACCCAGACCCAAACTGTGCTGGTTGTTCCTCCCGTGATATGAGGAGAAGAGCTTTTCCACTCCAAACTGTGTTGTGTTCTCGCTAACGGGAACTTCTGGGAGATTGCTGTATTCCTTTGTTTCCTGGTGTCCTTTGGACTCACGCTTTTGCTCTGCAATCTCAGCTAAACAAGGAACGTTCCCCTGGGACATTCCCTCTGGCACAGCTTCCCCTGGGTGGGAACTCTCCATCTTGATCTCTCTCCTTTTACCTGCAAGTGGTGGTGAAACGAAAAACATTTTTTTAAAAAATTATTGAAACTAGATGCCCAAGGGAAACCCACAAGCAGGATCTGAGCAGAAGAGCCTTCTCCCCTTCTAGAGTCTCCAGTCTGTTAAAGCCCTCCAGGTTTAATATTAATAATGGTCAAGATGGTACCAAGCAATCATATCTTGGGAAGGAGCCCCATAACTCGGGTGCCACCATGTAAAAGGCTCTGTCTCCAGTGGCAAAGCACATGCATTGCATGCAGAAGCACATCCCATAGGACCACTGGTCCATCGAGGTCAGTATTTCCTCCACTGACTGGCAGTGGCTCTGCAGGGTCTTCAGGCAAGGGCATTGCTAGCCATACCTGGAGATGTACTGGGAGCATGATGGGAGTTGCAGTTTTAAATGGACAGAGGGCACCAGGTGGGCAAGGCTGGAAGGGGCTGTTTCTATCTCAAATTCTTTGCCAGCAGGCTAAAAATAGATTAAGTTAAAATTAGCAAGCAGACTTTTAGGAGTTTTCTTCACGGAATCAAGTTGAGGAGACTAAATCAGAACTCCTGTGGATTTAGAGCAGCAGATTTCTTTTTTTCCAATTCAAAAATATCAAGGAAGCCTATGAATGAAAATGGTACCACTACATACTAGGTGTTTGTTTGTGTAAAAAGCTACTTAACAACTTCTGCCAACTAAGATCAGAACCAAGCAAATATCCCAGATGTTGGATCCATAGTCCCTGCTACCCTTTAACAAAAAATTAAGGGAGACCTGTTTTATTATCTGAATTACACCTTAGCACTCGCCCCTTTAATAAAACAGGACTTCAAATCCTTCATGGCTTCTTCATTGCTGAGTGACAAGTGACTGATCGCTAGAGCTCTCCTTATTCAGACTCCACAGCGACAGTCGCTGCTCTTTTAATTAGACATGGATTTAACATGCCCCAAACTTTTCTTCTTTTTTTGCAGAGAGAGGCAATACTAAGATGACTGTCCTGTGAGCCCTAAACACCTCCTAGCCTAAGGTCTCCCAATGAATCTCACCTCTTCACAACCCCCTGACTCGGCCAAGTGAGCAAACATGGCTGTTTGTTCCACAAATAATTTTGGGGATGAACTTCTGCATTGTCAGGAAACTTAGGTGATCCACACTGAACAATGACAGTTATCAGGGGATCCTGATTATCATTGTCTACTCCCGCCACAGATTCCTGAAGGGAGTCTCTCTAACTTTGGGTTATAAGTATGGAAAAAGAGCTCTGCTGGAACAGGCCAAAGGCCCACGGAGTCCAACATGCTCTTCTTCCAGGGGCCGACAACACCCTCCCCACTTGTGATTCTCAGCAATGGGCATTCAGAGGCATCTCTCCCCCCCCACTCAAGAGCACAGGTGAGAAACAGGGTCATCCTCCATGAACTTGTCCTAAGGCCAGCCAAATTTGTGGCTACAGTTATCTTTTGTGGCAGCAAATCCCACTGTTTAACGATGCAGCCTGTGAAGAAGTCCTTTCTCATGTCAGTCCTGAATCTTTAAAGGTATTTTTTAGCCTGGGGGGGGGGGGGAGCAGTCAGGGCAGGCATCGGCTGTGGCCCTTGCCATAGCACAGTGGCCCCCGGCAGCTGCCGAAGAAAGTCAGGTGCCATTAGCACGCAGAGCTCTTCTCAAACTGCAAGCGTCACCCAGCAGATTTCACCAGCCTCCTTTACCTGGCTCTGGTTCCTGCAAGAACATCTTTTCTCCTTTTTCCGATTGGAAGGAAAGGTCCAGTTTGGGAATCAGAAGCCCCTCTGGGGATGGGAAGAGAGAGAGAGAGAGAGAGAGAGAGAGAGAGAGAGAGAGAATTATTATTATTTGCAGAATCTGGATCCAAGTAATATTCCTGGAATTTAGTCTATTCTGGGCACTGGACACATTCCTTTTTGACATTTTCATACCCCTTCTTAAAAAAAAACAAAAGCAAGAGGTAAATATGAAAAAACCACAGAAAATTAAAGAGTTATATACTGCTGTGCTATAACTCGTATTTATTTCTTTGTTGGTTGACATGCAGAACGGGGCTTACAAAGTAGTGGTATTTATTTTGGTTTGTGGTTTTCAATGGGTAGAGACTTATGAACTAAGTTGCTGCATTTTTATCTCCTTATATAAGAATTAAAAAGAAAAATAAACAGATTGTTTTCGTAAACAGTATTCCAGCAGAGTGCATTTAAATCATTCAGTACACACAGATGTACATGCGTGGATACATACATTCACCCAAAGGACACATTTTTATTGTTTATGGGACACAACCTAGCCAAAATTAAGCACCTTTTAAATCCCACTCTGCACTCCCAAACTATGTTTATTGGGCAGTAAGACTCACTGAACACACAAGACTTGCCTCTGAGTAAACATGCTTGAATCGTATCTAATGGGCCCTGGTAGAGTTGAGTATGAAAAGAAAGTGCTGCAGTTTCTCCAGTGGGGCTGACCCCTTGGAAACACGCTTAGCATTGCAGCCTGAAATGTTTTTGGGGTTTGCTGCCACTTACCTGGGAGTAAGCCCCCCCCCGGGACTTACTTCTGAGTAGACCTAGTTAGGACTGAAGCCCTAGGCCAGCTGTGGGGAACCTTTAACCCTCAGATGTTGCTGAACTACAAATCCCATCATCCTTGGCCATCGGCCACGCTTGCTGGGGCTGATGGGAGATGTGGCTCAGCCCCACCTGGAGGACCATAGATTATCTCCTCTAAAACGCTATTCCTTACCCAGAGAGCCCACAATGCCACAGTTCTCCTCTTTGACTTGCCAGAACATCGTCCTCTGGCCTGGCTGTGTCAGGGATGCCTCCTCCTTGCAGAAAGGCTCCTCCTTCTCCTTGGCGCTCGCTGGGCCCTGAAACAGCCAAACATCCCCCACTCAGGTTCTGCTGTTCCAGAAAACGCCATTTAAAGATGGAGGCCCAAGATCCCACACACACTCCCACTCCCGATTTCACAATGCCAAGCCATGTAAAATAGCAGCCCCAGTCCCATCCCTAAGCAGCTACTGAGAGGCAGTGTGGTGTAGTAGTTAGAGTTAGAGTGTGGGACCAGGACCTGGGAGACCAGGGTTCAAATCCCCACTCAGGCATGAAGCTCACTGGTGACCCTGAGCCAGTCATGGGCTCTGCCTAGCCCACCTCACAGGGTGGTTGTTCTGGGGATTGTAAGAGAAAGGGGAGAACCTGGAGCTCCTTGGCGTAAAGGTGGGATATAAAGCACTCCATTGTGGGCCCCATTTTATGGAACTCCCTTCCAGGTTGCGTTCAGACAGACGCTTCTCCCTGTTGAACTTACTGAAGACATTATTATTATTATTATTATTATTATTATTATTATTATTCTAGCAGGCTTATTTTATAATTTCCACTCTTTTTCATTGTACTGTATGGAATATGTCAGGGAACTGCCATTAGTGCCGGAGGGAGAGAGCAAAATCCAGAGGGATTCCGGAGAGCGTACCGGGAGTGGGAGAGGCAGCCCATCTTCTGGGGAAGAGAATCAGCGTAGCACCAGTGGAGAAGGGGGGCAGATGGGGGAAGCGGCGAGGCGGTCCCATGACTCCTTGCCGGGGACCAGCGGGGAGAGTAGAGGTCCTCCGCTGCCTACGCCCTCCTTGCGCAGAAGGCTTTCGCGCAGAGAGAGTAGGAGGAGACTAGGCGTCAAAGAGCTTCTTTGCTGGAAGAAGTTTAAGAAACGCCCACTGGCGGATTCTGCCAGCGATTGAGACAGCCACGGGTGAGTGGCTGTCCGGACAGAAAAGGTTCATTCAGGCAATCCAGCCAGGTGTTTGCACCGGCTTACGCACGAGCAACCCCTAGAACCATTACAGAATACTTTGCACACTGCTTAGAAGCAATGGCAATCAAGCGGTATAGAAATGGTTGAGACAAATTAAACTGGGCTGGGAAGTTCCCCAGTGATGTGGCAAATGCGCTCTAAACATGGATTTGGATTTGATATCCCGCTTTATCACACTACCTGAAGGAGTCTCAAAGTGGCTAACATTCTCCTTTACCTTCCTCCCCCACAACAAACACTCTGTGAGGTGAGAGGGGCTGAGAGACTTCAGAGAAGTGTGACTAGCCCAAGGTCACCCAGCAGCTGCATGTGGAGGAGGGGAGATGCGAACCCGGTTCCCCAGATTACAAGACTACCGCTCTTAACCACTACACCACACTGGCTCTCACACATTCTCAGGTGTGCTCTGATCCTTAGCTCATCGTTTACATTCACCCTGCTCAAGGGAACACCCCAGGCCTGCCGCTAAGAGAGATGTCCACTTACCTCAGTCAGCCAAGCTTCGGCCACTTCCAGTCCCTCAGGAGGAAGCAAGGAACAGGGGTGAATTGGGAGCGTCGTTCCGTTGGCTGTGAGGGACAGAAGAGAGGAAGACGATTGGCTCAGGGACAGGGCACAAGCATTGCATGAATATCCCGCTCTCCATGCCTGAGACCTCCAGTTAAAAAGCAGTTAGGAAACAGATGATGGCAAAAGTCCTCTGCTGCAAGACCCCCTGAGAGATGCCACCAGTCAAGACTGGGTGTTGGCCAGGTCCTTTGCGGACTTATTTTCTGGCTTCTGGGGTGCTTCAAGCAGGAGCAGATACACATCTTGGGTGGCATTCAATGAAATGTACGCCAACTCAAGGTTTAGAACTAGCACAAGGAGACTTCCTCCCCTTCCTGCCCACCCAGATCTGCTAGGGAAGGTCAGGGGGAAACCCCAGAACAGATTTGGGGAGAGGAGAGGGGGAGAACGTTCCGCCACACAAGGAAGGCTCTTCAGAGTCTCAGGAAAGCAGGATTTCCATCCCATTCAAGTGCCAAGTTGACAGAAACAACGCACAGAGGGAGGTGTTCTGAGAATCCGATATGCAATTAGGACATTCCCTCACCCTGGAGAATCCTCCAAAATCTTGAACCTGCTTACAGGTCCTCTGGAAGACCTCCTTCCAATGCCTGCTGGAGTTTTACCCAGTAAACGTTTAAAAATAAAGCCTTACCTGGCAAAATCATGTCCTCATCACATTTCAGTGCTGTGGTGTCCATGTAACTTTGTCTCTGGGAGTTGTCTGGTGAAGCCTCATCTGTCTCAAGGGGCCTGGTGGCTGTCCCCTGAGACGGCATCTGAAACACAGGGAGGAAGTCAATGCTGCCCTAAGCCAAAGTCCCTGAGCCACATACTAGTTCCCCTAGCGTAATGGCTTGTGCAAAAGACAGTGCAGAAAATTGACATGTTTGTGGGGGCAAACGTCTGCCAGCACTGATCACCCTGCTAGCGAGATTCCCACAGGCTGCCAGTCAGATCCTGGGCCAAGTTCAAGGTCCCATATCCCCCAAAACCAGGTGATTTGAGAGAGGGGCTTATGCCTTACACACCACGAGATCCCTGCAGTCTGTGGGAGTGTCTCTCCTGCACACCCCAAAAATCTCAGAAGCCTTTTTGCACAGTGACTCTGAGCAGGGCCTTGAGAGTGGCTGCCCCTCTTGTCTGGAATATCAGTCCTGTCAAGATGTGAAAGGCGCCCACTCTCCGTACTTTCTGGAGACATTTTTGCTCCAACAGGCTGGAGGAATAGCTTTTTACCACAAGGGCCCACTTGGGATGGTTTTTAATGTGTTTGCTGTCATTTAAAACTGTTTTCAATTGCGTGTCAATTGCCTTGAAATGGTGGTTTAGTGAGGCAATTAACAAACCGATGGTAATAATAACGATGGTTCCCTTGGCAGATTCCTGCAGCCCACATACTTCCAGTGGCTCCCAAACTTTTGGGGGGCCATCGCCCCTTTCGGTTCTATAAATGCAACCCCTGCGCCCCCTACCCTACCCTATAAAAAGCATTATTCAGAACAGCGGTTTGTACAGCCCACTACAGAAGGTAACAGCATAATATAGTGGTACCTCGGGTTACAGACACTTCAGGTTGCAGACGCTTCAGGTTACAGACTCCGCTAACCCAGAAATATTACCTCGGGTTAAGAACTTTGATTCAGGATGAGAACAGAAATCGTGCTCCAGCAGCACGGCGGCAGCAGGAGGCCCCATTAGCTAAAGTGGTGCTTCAGGTTAAGAACAATTTCAGGTTAAGAACGGACCTCCGGAACGAATTAAGTTCTTAACCCGAGGTACCACTGCAAAATCCAAAAAGTTCATGATTAATTGCACATTTATTCAGCATCCAGTTGAAACTATTTTAATTTAATGAGTGCAACAAAACTGATGAACTTGTTCCAGTGATGCCAGCTTTTCCAAGTCTGGTAGTCATTTCCATCGCCAGCTCCCCACTGCCCCCCCCCATGTAATGCCCCCTCCCCTTTCCCAGGGGGCAGTACTGCCCACTTTGAGAAGCACTGCTTTAAACACTAGCATGAACACCTTAAATTGAGTGCAGAAACAACCTGGCAGCCAAGGCAGCTGTTTTAGGGGTTCTGTGAGTACCAGCGGCAACCCTACCCAGGGATCCAGCCGCTAGTGGTCTCCGAGGGCAGCCCCATGCACAGCACACGGCAACTACCCAACCTGGAAGTGCCTGGAGAAATTGGATTAAGCGCTCTGACCTGCCACTTCCACGTCTCAGCTTTCAGGAAATCCTCCGTCAGGGCCACGGCTTGGGCGCAGCTCCCTGGCCCCTCTTCCCTGACCCAGCCCTGCAGCTCGTGAGGAAGGATGGCCAGGAACTGCTCCAGGATCAGCAGGTCCATGATCTGCTCCTTGCTGCGTCTCTTCGGCTTCAGCCACCGGTGGCACAGCTCCCGCAGCTGCCTATAAACCCTCTGGGGGTCTCCGGCCTTCTGGTAGCAGAACTGCCTGAAGTCCCGGCGCTGTGCCTCCATCCTCACAGCATCCTCCCGCAAGACAGCGGCCTTCACTTTCCCATAATCTTCCCTGTCAGCGGCTTCCAGTCTACCCAAAGCCTGTTCAGCAGAGCTGCTCAGCGCAGGCCGGAGCCGGCCCACCCATTCTCCTCTGGGCCATTGGCAGGCTTCGGCGATTTGCTCGAAAGAGGAGAGGAAAGCTCGGACGTTGTCCCGTTGTGTGTCTTCCAGAGGAACTGGGTTGCCCCACACCCTCAAGAACTCCTCAGGACGGTGCAACCCCTTCCGCTCTTCTTTGCCTGACCACTCTAGATTCCCCTTCACGCCTTCGGGTAGGTCCCCTCCTGCTTCCGGTCTCCCTTCTAGTTCTGGACTTGCAGGGTTTGGTTGCTCCATTTTCAGCTCCAGAGCAAGCAGAGGTGACCATCCAAGTTTGGGGTGATCCCTGGTCTAAGCCGATTGACTTGACCCTCTGGTTTTGTAGACAGGATGGGCCCGGCTTGGGGATCACAGGCAGCTGTGTCCTCAGGGGCCGATCACAGCCTGGGTGCCCTGATTTGCATGATGGGGAAGCTCTTCCTACAAGAAAAACGAAAAGCGACTCATACACAACTGCACCTTGCTACGTGGCAATCTTATTTATTTATATTATACGGCGAGGATTGCTTGGATTGGAGATGAGTTAAGGAAGTTCAAAGAACGACGTTTGTGTCTCCCTCATGCCTCCAGCATTAGTGTTATCAAAGCTAATAACGACAACCTACATCTTATACCCCTTTTAAATGTTTTTGTGGGAGGGGTGGGGAGAGGGGAGGTATTGGTTTGGAGTGGGGTTCTAGTTTTTATCGTTTATTTTGTGCTACTATATTGTATTTTTATGTCGTGAACTGCTCTGAGATCGGCAGATGAAAGGAGCCATACAAATTTTTAATAATAATAATAATAGCAACAGAAGTAAAAAATAAAAATAATAGCGGCAACAGCTTGGTTTGGACAGACAGAGGCAGATGTTGGCCTTTCAAATTTCAGCAGCACTCTTTGCGAGGCCAAAATTCAGCACACCCCCTGCGCCTCTGCGATCCTATGACTCTACATGAGGCAGATTTCCACGTTCCCATAAAACGTGCGGCTTGCTCAAATCTGCCTGGAAGCGACACTTCTCTGATCTGTGGGGATATTGTTCCTTTAAGGTCCCAGATTATCTGCCCTTCTTCCAAGGAAGGGGACCCCCATGCTGTCAAAGACCTGGACACCCCCCTCGCTGGTTTTTTTTTGGGGGGGGGGGTGTCGTGGTGGGATGCAGGCTTCTGCCACTCACCCTCCTCTGATGTCTCCATTTCCTGGATCTCCATCTTTCTTTTGCACAAAGACCTTTTTTGGGGAGGAGAAAATATATATATATATATATATATATATATATATACATATATATATATAGACAGACTTACCTCTCCCGCAGCCATTCAGAAGCAAAAATCCCTGCAAGAAGAGGAAGCGGTCTTTCTTTGTGGGGGGAGGGAATCCCCACTGACACCCCCACCCGCTTCTCGCGTTTCTGCATTGCTCCCTGGAAGCCCAGATTTTAACCCTTTCGAGTGTTTCAGGAAAAACAAACCCCCCGGAAACAGCGGCCGCGCGAGGGGAGCAACGAAGGGTCCCGCCAGACTCTGCATTTCTCCCTCCACTCTGCCACCCTCTTCCCACAATTTTTCCGGACACGAAGGGGAAAAGAAAATGTCCTCCTCCCCATCCCGCGGCTTCATTTATTTGTGTCAGTCTGCTGCAAAAGGGCACAGGAGCAGAGGCAGGGGTGGAAGTTGGCAAACCCCGAGCACCATGTTTGCCAGGGTGAAGTCTTTTTCTAGTGGTTTTATCTGTCTTTTTTAAAAATCGTTTTTCTTGTTGTTTTTTTAAGGTGCCGTTTGAGTCAAGCGCTGCAAAGGGCACAGGAGCAGAGGGGAAAGTTAGCAGCTCCTAGCGTCCTCTTTGCTACACAGAAAGCAGATTAGAGTCTGTCCATGGCAGGGACAGAACTGCTCCTGGTTTGGTTTGGTTTTTAATTGACTTGGGAGGTTTTAAAATTAAGATCGGGATGTTAATTAGTTCAAACTATTACCCCCCTCCCAAAAAAATACCACCACTTAACACCAGCAAAAAACAAAAAAATCAATAATCCAAGGTCAGCTGATGTACTTTGTTTTTAAAATAAAAATTGTTGAAAGCAACTGTAAAACAGACAAATTCATTTTTATTGATTTAGCTTGTGAATTCATTACCAACAAATATTCTCTAGCTGACAAACACAGTGAAACAGACAAAATCAAGACCAACAAAGGTCCGTATAGTTAAAGTTATGGTTTTCCCAGTAGTGATGTATGGAAGTGAGAGCTGGACCATAAAGAAGGCTGATCGCCGAAGAATTGATGCTTTTGAATTATGGTGCTGGAGGAGACTCTTGAGAGTCCCATGGACTGCAAGAAGATCAAACGTATCCATTCTTAAGGAAATCAGCCCTGCGTGCTCACTGGAAGGACAGATCCTGACGCTGAGGCTCCAATACTTTGGCCACCTCATGAGAAGAGAAGACTCCCTGGAAAAGACCCTGATGTTGGGAAAGATGGAGGGCACAAAGAGAAGGGGACGACAGAGGATGAGATGGTTGGATAGTGTTATTGAAGTTAACAGCATGAGTTTGACCAAACTGCGGGAGGCAGTGGAAGACAAAGTCTTGCAATAATAAAATCTAGTGATGAGCCAGTGTGGTGTAGTGGTTAAGAGCGGTGGACTTGTAATCTGGTGAACCAGGTTCGCTTCCCCGCTCCTCCACATGCAGCTGCTGGGTGACCTTGGGCCAGTCACACTTCTCTGAAGTCTCTCAGCACCACTCACACCACACAGAGTGTTTGTTGTGGGGGAGGAAGGGAAAGGAGAATGTTAGCCGCTTTGAGACTCCTTCGGGTAGTGATAAAGCGGGATATCAAATCCAAACTTTTCTTCTTCTCTCCCGGCAACAATGGTGCACCCTTTTCCCTCTGAGGACTGGCTTGGGAGTGCTAATCCCTGCATCCCCAGCTCCTGACAACATTTCCACTGGGCAGACTGCCCTCCTAGACCACGGGGGGGGGGGGGAGGGCTCCACGGGGGGAGTCCATTCGACTGCCGAAATGTTCAGAAACCAAGGCACAGCTTCTGATTAGTTTCCAATTGTGCAGGCGCACTGGAAACAATAGCGGAAACCATGCCGGACGTTCGGCTTCCAAAAAAAGTTTGAAAACCGGAACACTTACTTCCAGTTTTTGATTGTTCGGGGGCCGGAATGTTTGACTCCCAAGGCATTCGTGTGTGTATATATAGTTTTATAAGGCTGCTGGGAATTGTAGCTCTGAAGAATAAACTATCGTTTATTCTTTTTTTGGAGGGATGTTTTAAATGTACGCTGTTGTAAAGAGCCACAGTATGCATCTTGTAATTCAAAAAACAAAGCAATCCCTCTCAGGCTCCGCCCATCAACAAGGGGAGGAGCCTACAGTCACATGAGCAGGAAAGCAAAACTTACTTAGCTCCTGTCCTCATACAGTGTGGAAATAAAGCATGTGAAGGCCGTCTCTCACCGCACAAACCTGATGCCAAGCTCCCCAGCATGCTGAGAGGAAGGTGACTGACTTGTGGCAAGGCAAGGGTGAGTACGTATTGCGACAAGCTATAGCTTCGAAACAGAACCCCATTTTTTAGAGTTTGGGCAAATGGCATCATGGCTTAATAAGCCGGGATGTGAAGAAGACTTTTGTGCGCAGACACAGGCCCTTAAAGCAAGCGAGCCAAGCGGGGAGTCTTCACCAGGTTCCCGTTTACATAGAAACCAGGAAGCTGTGGTTAAAATGGCTCCGCAGCAGTTGGAAATAAATAACAAAACTTCAGTTAAAAACCACTGGTATACTCACACACACGTGTGTGAGTCATAGCCATGGAGGAGAAGGAAGATCTAAATCATCCTGTTGTGGCAAGACCACCTGGAAGAATTTTACCCTCATGATTTCTATATAATCATATATCCATATATAACCATATATCCTAGAGATGATTTTTATGTACCCATGTATCCTGTTGTTGTTGTTGTTTAGTTGTGTCCGACTCTTCTTGACCCCATGGACCAGAGCACGCCAGGCACTTCTGTCTTCCACTGCCTCCCGCAGTTTGGTCAAACTCATGCTGGTAGCTTCGAGAACACTGTCCAACCATCTCGTCCTCTGTCGTCCCCTTCTCCTTGTGCCCTCCATCTTTCCCAACATCAGGGTCTTTTCCAGGGAGTCTTCTCTTCTCATGAGGTGGCCAAAGTACTGGAGCCTCAGCTTCACAATCTGTCCTTCCAGTGAGCACTCAGGGCTGATCTCCTTAAGAATGGATAGGTTTTATCTTCTTGCAGTCCATGGGACTCTCAAGAGCCTTGTCGTACTCATCTCCCAATTTTGAACCAATCAGTTGTTCCAAATCCAGTTCTGATTGTAGCTTCTTGTCCCACATAGAGATTTATCAGGAGACGGATGAGGTGATCAGGCACTCCCATTTCTTTAAGAACTTGCCATAGTATCCTAATGATGCTTAAAATCACTAAGGCTTCAGCAGAGCTAAAAGTGCTTAAATCTCAAGAATCCAAAGTTTCCCCTTTGCCCTCTTTCTCTCTGCCCTGCTATTGCGCTTGAAGGAAACAATAAATCTGATGTGTTGGCATTTTTCTATAGGGAACCTTCGCCAGACTGCTTCTCATGTTCACGAGATGGGGTGGGGGAGTGGTATAGGAAAGAGCAGCCAGCCACAATGCAATGTTCTAAGTCAATAACGGATGGTGGGGGTTATTCAGGCTTCAATGGTCAAATAGGTTTTCCTCTTTATTGCTGAAAATTGACGCACCATTTAAGAAAAGCAGAAGTATTCTTTACATGGTCAGAGGAAGAGCTTGTGTGCGCTCATTGGTTTGATTTTTGCTGCAACATACAAATATGTCATGTTTTATGCTGTTTGTACTCAGGTATAAAACCCCAATGCACAGGGGCTTCGGGGCCCAGGCTCTGGAAACGATTCCACTGGGTCTTTATTGCTCAGCAATAAACTTTGCCTTCTTTTTCTCCACTGCTGTTTCTGTTGATTCTTGGACACATTTTGAGTGGGCAACAGGTATTCCTTATATACCGTATTTTTCGCCCTATAGGACGCACTGTTTCCCCTCCAAAAATGAAGGGGAAATGTGTGTGCGTCCTATGGGGCGAATGCAGGTTTTCGCTGAAGCCTGGAGCGCGAGCGGGGTCGGGCCCCCCCCACCCCTCCCGCTCTCCAGGATTCAGGAAGCTATCTGCAAGCCTGCGGAGCCTGGCGGGAATTCCCGCCGGGCGCCGCAGGCTTGCGGATAGCTGCCCGAAGCCCGGGGTGCACAGCGGGCTACAGCGCCGTGCTCCCTGGGCTTCGGATAGCAGCAAGCTCCGGGAGCGATGGTGAGGTTGAGCGTAACCTCGCCATCGCTTCCGGACCCGTTCTGGGGGCTGGGGTCAGGGGAAGCTCGGGCTTCCCCCGCCCCCAGCCCCACAAGCTCCGGGAGCAATGGCGAGGTTCAGCGCAACCTCACCTTTGCTCCCGGACCCCCAGCCCCAAGGCTAAAAACGAAACCAAGGCAGCTAGCGGGATCCATCCCGCTCGCTGTCATGGCTTCTTTGCTCTTTGGGGCTCGGGGGGGGGGGGGGAATAATTCTTTTTCTTTATTCCCCCCCCAAAAAATAAGTGCGCTCTATGGGCCGGTGCACCCTATAGGGCGAAAAATACGGTACTTGCAACACTGTGATGACTTTGCTGGTGGCGCATCTCAGGGCCGTGGGTTCGTGCCCCACCTGGGGCAAAATATTTCTGCATTGCAAGGGGTTGGACTAAATGACCGCCGGGGTCCCTTCCAACTCTACAATTCTATGAAGCAATATAGGGCCTGAGGACACATCCACACCATACATTTAAAGCACCGTGATACCATTACAACAGCCATAGCTACCTCCACCCCAAAGAATCCTGAGAACTGTCATTTGTTATGGGTGCTGAGAGTCTATTCCCTCTCTCCAAGCTACAGTTCCCAAAGTGCTTTGACAATCAATCCCTCTTTAAAGGGAACTCTGAGAATTGTAGCTCAGAGAGGAGTCTCCTAACATCTCTCAGGGATTTATGACAGTCAAACCTCGGCTCCTGAACGGCTCTATTTTCGAATGATTCGGCTCCCAGACGCCCCAAACCTGGAAGTAAATGTTCCGGTTTTTGGAAGCCGAACGTCTGATGTCGCTTCCGCTGAGTGCAGGAAGCTCTTGCGACCAATAGGAAGCCACGATTCCGTTGTCAAACGTTTCGGAAGCCAAACAGGCTTCCGGAATGGATTATATTCCACAACTGAGGTTTGACTGTATTATTATTATTTTAAAAATCATACCACCATTCATCCAAAGATCTCAGGGCAGTTCACAGCATAAAGAAGCGATAAATAATAGTAATAACTTCTGCCTGTCGTCACATGGCTGCAAAAGGCAGAGGAGCCCTCCTCCAAAGAAGAAAGAAAAAGTTGGCAACTCTTTACTTGCTTTGTTCTTATTCTTGCGCTCAACATGCACAGCCACAACCGGATGGTTGGCTACTTTCCCCCGGGATGTTCGCCTGGCACCTTCATTATACACCTTTAGGCACCAGGAGAAAGTATTCCTTTTCTTCCAGGCCTTTGGCTGATTGACATCCAACGCCCTTAAATGGATTACGGGAGAGGGATTATTGGTTTGTTTTTGTTCTTATGTTTATTATTTATTTTGCATGGGGTTTTTTGTATTGTAATTTCATGTTGTGAACCCCCTGAGTTCAATGGATGAAGTTGTTGTTGTTGTTGTTGTTTAGTCGTTTAGTCGTGTCCGACTCTTCGTGACCCCATGGACCAGAACACGCCAGGCCCTCCTGTCTTCCACTGCCTCCCGCAGTTTGGTCAAACTCATGCTGGTAGCTTTGAGAACACTGTCCATCCATCTCATCCTCTGTCGTCCCCTTCTCCTTGTGCCTTGCCGTGGCGAAGGGGCTTGAATAACTCAGAGAAGCTATGAGCTATGCCGTGCAGGGCCACCCAAGATGGACAGGTCATAGTGGAGAGTTTTGACCAAACGTGATCCACCTGGAGCAGGAACCGCCAAGCCACTCCAGTATCCCTGCCAAGAAAACTCCATGGACAAAGACAACAGGCATGGATGAAGGGCGGTATACAAATTCGATGATGATGATGATGATGGGAGGGCCATGGGCATAGCTGTCAACTTTGCCCTTTTCTTGCGAGGAATCCTATTTGGAATAATGGAATTTCCCTTTAAAAACAGGGAAACGTTGATAGCTATGGCCCTGGGGAAGCAGAAAGCCACGGATTCCTCTCCTTATTGCTCCCCTCCGCTCCGCTTCGCAGGGCAGCCGCGCCGGGTTTTGTCCCCGGGCGCTGTCCGTGTGAACGGTGAGCTCAGCCCGCGCCTCCGCCCGTCCCGGATCCCTGGACCCCGAGGGGCGCGGGAGACAGGCAGCGGGGAAAGAGGTCTCCTGTCCTTAAGCGGCGCGAAGCCGCGTCTACACGGCGCCCCTTTAATCCGGTTTCAAACCGGTTTCCTGAAAAGAAACCAAACTCCAGATGCGGGGCGATGAGAAAGGCAGGAAGTAAAGAAACTATAAATGAAAACAAAAGCCCCCTGCTTTGAAGGTTTATCCCCCGCTGACTCTTTCTTCTCTGCAAAACTGGTCTCTGCTCCAGGCGCTTCTGCTCCGATCCCTTTGCAAAGCTCGCCGCGTCCATCGCCTCGCAAGGAACCCTGGGAGTTGTAGTCCCGGAGGCCGCGCGGAGAATGGCCGCGCCGGGCCTGCCGCCCTACAACTCCCAGGGTTCCGCGGGAGGGGAAGCGAGTGGGTGGCTAACCGGTTTAAGTTAGCAATGCAGACGTTCCTCCCAAAGACTCGGGGATTAGAGAAGCTGGACTCCGCTGGAGCAGCTCCGACAGATTTGCAGACTTAGTAGTATTATTTTTATATTTATATTTATATTTATATTTATATTTATATTTATATTATTGATTTTTCCTCCCGCTTTCCTGCACAAGAAAGGATCTTTTAGCCTGCGGGCGGGGGAAGAAGAGAGGGGTGCACTTTGCACATGCTCAGAGGCATTCTCTTAAACGATTTCCGCCTTCCCCCGCCCCCAGCCCTGGGTGGGTGTGGGAGGGGGCGGGCTGGTGGGTGGGCGATCCTTGCAGGAAAGGGTAGCGGGGCGCGCTTTGCACATGCTCAGAAGGAGCCTGGCCTTCCCTGTTGCATCACCCTCCGCCTGCCGGAGGGACTTCTCGGCGCCTTCAGACGAGCTTGGCTGCGCTTCGCCATCCGTTTCCGTAGGTTGGGGTGCGGGGGGAAAGAGAAGACTTTTTGCACATGCTCTACAGCATTTTTTAATAATAGTAATAATAATAGTAATAATAATAATAGTAATAATAATAATAAACTCCTTCCGCCTCCGGCCGCAGCCACCTTTTCTTTTCCCTGAAATATTTTTTTTTGGGGGGGGGGGAGTTGAAGTTAGGTTTTGCTTGCTTCCCGGGGAGAGCTGGGTGGTGCTACGATTTGCACTCTGCACGTGCTCAGGGGCTCGGCGCAGCAGCACGTGGGGCCTAGCGCTCTCGACCGAAGCGATTGCTCCTCCTGATTTTTCTCCTGATGCGGAAGGAGATCGAGAAGCAAATGTTCTACGATGGAGCCTTGGTAGCGCTGCAAACTTGAACTTACGACTTTTCTGCGCCCCCAGAGAGAGAGAACCGGGTTGCTTGCTTGCTTTTTCTCTCCCACCGCACCCCGCTTTCCCTTTCAACCATTTTTTAAAAAAAATTAAAACTCCCTTTTCTTTTCTTTTCCTCCCCTCCCCTCTCCCCCACTAAAAGCAGAAAATTTCCGCAATCACCCCAGCTTTACCATGGACGCCGGAGTTGAAAAGGGTGCAGAAGAGAAAATTCAGGTAGGAATTATCAGGGAGGAAAGGGGAGCAGGCAAAGGTCCACATTCAACAAAGATAATTTCCTTTTAAAAAATTTAAAAAGCTGTATTAATTGGTCTGGATTAGAGCGTTGCTTTTGAATGGAGGAGTTTGCAGGTTCAAACCACAGCTGCATGGGTGTAGCCAAGGCGAGGCGGGGGAGCACCTGCCCCCCCCCAAAAATCAATCTTTAAAAAATCAATACAAACCTGAGGTTCTGCTCCCACATTTTATGGGGAAGGAAGGAAAATTAGTGGCAGAGAACCTGCTTTTTTTGCAGAAGGGCCCAGGTCCAAACACCAGTGGCATTTCCAGGTAGAATCATAGAGTTGGAAGGGACCCTGGGGGTCATCTAGTCCAACCCCCTGAAATGCAGGAATCTTTTGCCCAACGTGGAACTCGAACTCACAACCCTGAGATAAGAGCCTCCTGCTGAGCTATCCCAACTGGTAGGGCTGGGGAAGGGGGGGGGCGGTCTCCTGCCTGACACTCTGGAAAGCTGCTGCCAGTCTGTGTTGACATTACTGAGGTAGATGGACCAAGGGTCTGATTCAATACATGGCAGCTCCCTTTGTTCCTAAATATCTGAGGACAGGCTGTAGCTCAATGGGAGAATGCGTGCTTTGTCCCAGGTTCAATCCCCGAAATCTCTTAAGTTTTTTTTTTTTTTTAGTTTTTTTTAAAGAGCATCTGATTGGCTGCCGTGAGAAAAGGGTGTTGAACTTTATCCAATAGCTGAGCTTTCTTATGTTCTAAAACAGTGGTTCTTCAAACTTTTTTCTCCAGGCCACACTTTCAGAATAAAAAATGTGCTCAGACCACACCAGTTTTTTATTTGATAAGAAATACTTTGGAAAGCAAAAGGAAACAACACCTTGCAGCGCTTCATTTATAACGTCAAACAAAACTACAGTGGTACTTCAGGTTAAGTACTTAATTTGTTCCGGAGGTCCGTTCTTAACCTGAAACTGTTCTTAACCTGAAGCACCAGTTTAGCTAATGGGGCCTCCTGCTGCCACCGTGCCGCCGAAGCACAATTTCTGTTCTCATCCTGAAGCAAAGTTCTTAACCCGAGGTAATATTTGTGGGTTAGCGGAGTCTGTAACCTGGAGCGTATGTAACCTGAGGTACCACTGTACTTTATAATGTAATCGTGCGATACTTAGAAAGTGTAAAACAATGCATCCACATAGCAACATGAATTATAAACGAGCCTCGTACCTTAAGTATGTATAGACTCAATGAGTCGTGAGCTTGCAGCATCACTCGATGCTGTTGCTCGCATTTTGAAAAAAAATATCTGGACATACTCTGCAAATAAATAAAATCATTTTGATGCTATACTACGTTGAAATGTTTAAATATTTCTTGGTGGTTCACAAACTGCACCTGGTTCAGAGCCTGGCAGCCAGTTTGCAAGTTGGTCTGGGCACACAATGGCAATCCTGGCCCAACTGCAGTGGCTACCAGTTAGTTTCAAAGTGCTGGTTTTGACCCATAAAGCCTTATGTGGATCAGGAACCCATTACCTCGACCGGGACATTTGCAGGGAAACCAAAATGCTTGTTTACAAAGCTATTGTACTACCAACCTTACTGTACGCTTGTGAAACACGGACCACTTACAAACGCCATCTCCAACTCCTCGAAAGATTCCATCAACGGTGTCTCTGAAATTTTTTTGCACATGACTTGGGAAGACAGGTGAACTAATGCCAGTGTACTGGAAGAAGCAAAGATCGCCAGTGTCAAAGCAATGATTCTTCAACATCAACTTCATTGGACTGGTCATGTTGTGCGGATGCCTGATGATCGTCTTCTAAAGCAACTACTCTATTCCGAACTTAAAAATGGAAAGCGTAATGCTGGTGGCCAACAAAAGAGGTTCAAAGACTCTCTCAAGACAAGTCTTTAAAAATGTAGTATAAACACTGATAACTGGGAAACACTGGCCTGCAAGCGCTCCAGTTGGAGAACAGCCTTTACCAAAAGTGTCATGGACTTTGAAGACGCTCAAACTCAGAACAAAAGGGAGAAACGTGCTAAAAGGAAGGCACGCTTGGCAAATCCACACCATGATCAACTCCCGCCTTGAAACCTTTGTCCCCACTGTGGAAGGATGTGTGGATCCAGAATTGGCCTCCACAGTCACTTACAGATTCACTGTTAAAGCCTTATTCATGGAAGACAATCTTAATTGGCTACGAGTGATCGCCAAAGAAGAAGAAGAAGAGAAGACCATGAGGACTACCTCTCTCCATTTGAACCTCCTGCAAACCCTGCGATCATCCATGTGAGAAATCTGCAGGATGGAAACATGAGAAACAGGCCTTTTCAGTGGTGGCTCCCAGTTTGGGGAATCCTCTCCCCAGGGACTCTCGCCTGCAGCGCTCTTTGTCGAGTTTTAAAAAAATTTCTGACCCTAAGTCTGAAAGGTTTTTAAGTATTTGTGGCTTGTCTAGGGCAGGGTCTGCTAGGCCCTGTGGTTATTTGTACGGAAGGTGTGTGTTCGTTTTTTATTGACTGTGTTTATTGTAATTGTTTCTGATATTTCTTTTCGTGTGTCTGTAAGTTGCTTTGAGCTGTTTTTATGAGTGAAGCGATTAGTAAGTATTAATAATGCCTGAGGAAGTACCATCCACCTTGGGCCCATAAAAAGCAAGTTGAGACTTTTGTGGGTAAGCTGAGAGCCTTTTTGGACCCTGGGAGATAACCTGGTGTGTCAGATGGAAAATGAATTGAGATATATATAGTAACTTTGTATTAAGGTAACTTTTTTATATGTAACTATATTTTGCACTATTTTATTTAAGTTGTTGTTTCAGTTTTCTGTATACCACTTAGAGATATTTTTAATATATTAAGTGGTATAGAACTTAAATGATGATAATAATATTTTTAAATGCAGCAAGTGTTGGGCCTTATCCCAATGAAGTACAATTAAATTTATTAAAACAGGAATAAAATAAATGTTTCTATTTTTGTAATGTCCTTTGGACCTGCGTCCCAGACCAGTACATCACTACTCCCTGTTCCTTATCTTGAAACAATGTGTTTAACGTCTCCTGTTATAAAAATAAAACTTTGAATTGGTCCAACTTAATCAGTCTTCTAGATTAGTCAAACAAGTTGTGTTCACAGCAAATGCTGTTTTTAGCACTGATGCTTTTAGTATGCCCAGATGCGAGCCAAGCACATTCTTGGTTTTGGTAATATGTCTTACGTAACTTCTATCCGGATACACCTTTTAAAAACAACCGTTGTTTGCTGTTTGATATAGTTTTATTAGATGTTGCTGAAATTGTTTTGCTTTAATGATAGTAAGCTAAGTTGAATCAAAATTGTTGCAGAAGTTGCAATGCATGTATTTTGGGCATACGATTTATCAAATCCTTTCATGTGGTTGGATATCTGTGGAATGTAATCTTGCTTTTCTTTGATAATGGTGGGGGGTGGGGGTGGGGAGTCTCCTTCCAAAGAAAAAAATGGCTACAAATATCCCTTCGTTTGAGCATCTCTCATCCCTTTTCCTTGTACAATTCTAGCTTTGCTGATTCTGGTAATTATGATTTAATTTCTCAACTCTGCTTCAAATCAATATTTTAGATTTGTAGTAATATTCATAACAATACTTTTATTTTTGTACGGCTTTTATGCCATTAGCCTCATTTATCTTCTTTTCTGTAGTGCTTAAGTTCTGAAATGGTCAAAACGGCATGGTGGTTGTGGGGAGAGAATGGGTGAGGACAGAATGGTCCCTGAGCTTTTTGGAGGAAGGAAGGGATAACTCAGCTTCCTCCCACCCCAGTTTATTATTTTCTTTATAAAAAATATTTATATACCATTGTATCATAAAAACACACCACTGCAGCTTACAGCATTACAAAAATAAAAAACGGAGTAAAATAATAAAAATAAACATCAATAGACAGATGGCTACATGGCATGCAAAATAGTGTTTGATATTGAACACGGACTCTGGGGGGTTGGTCTTGTTTTTTTTTTAATTATTATTAATTGAATTTATATACCGCCCTATACCCAGAGGTCTCAGGATTGTTCACATAAAAGATATATATGAGCATACAGACAGTAAGGGTGGTAGTAGGATGCCAGAGGTGAACTTATTTTGGAAATAAGTTCTTGAGATTGTTAGAAATGCACCACTTAGTCCATTACAGTTATAGGAAAGAAGAGGTTAGTATTCCCCTCAATAAAGATGGAAGCTCTCCTAGTGGCTTTTAATACATGCGCATGATTTAAGCCACAGGGGTCAGCAAACTTTTTCAGCCATGGGCCGGTCCACTGTCCCTCAGACCTTGTAGAGGGCCGGACTATATTTTGAAAAGAAAAAAAAATGAACGAATTTCTATGCCCCACAAATAACTCAGATATGCATTTTAAATAAAAGCACACATTCTACTCATGTAGAAACATGCTGATTCCCGGACCGTCTGCGGGCCAGATTGAGAAGGCGATTGGGCCGGATCCGGCCCCCGGGCCTTAGTTTGCCTACCCATGATTTAAGGCCTTGCCACGTAATTTGTGGCCTTTAATCAGTTGGGAAGAAGCTGTAGCATAGAGCAAATGTTTCAAAGGTAGAAACGTCCAGGTTCAGTTCCTGGCATCTTGAAGCAAATCAGCAAGCAGGTAACGTTTCTCTTTCTTCAGGTGGTGCCGAAGGAACGCCTCACCCTCCTTAAACAAAAGAGAGGAGACAGTGAAGCTAAGCCCGAGAAGCCAGCAGACAGCAAGAAGATGCTGACTGCAGAGAAAGCTGAAGCATCAGCTGCCACTGAGGAATTAAAGGTTAGAAACATCCTCTCCTGTTTTTCTAGGGCTCCGTAAGCCCTTGGCATGCTGCACACAAAAAAATTAGGAGATTATCTCTGTGATGTTAGGGTGCCAAAAGGCAAGAAAGAGATCTGAAAGCCTTTATGAGGAGGGGGTGTAGTTCAGTTGGCAGAACATCTCTTGTACGTTCCTGGGTTCAATCCTCAACATCTCCAAAAAGAATTGGGAATGTTCCCGGCCTGAGCCACTGGCCTTAAGTGTAGACAGTCCTGAGGTGCCTGGACCAATGTCCTGATTCGGTATCAGGCAGCTTTCTGTAACTCTGGCAAATATTCCCACCTCTGCACCAGTGTTAGTGTTGCAAGTATATATGGAATGCCTGTGGCCCACTCAGATTGTGTCCAAGAATTGACAGACGCAGCAGTGGAGAAAAAGAAGGCAAAGTTTATTGCTGAGCAGTAAAGACCCAGTGGAATAGTTTCCAGAGCCTGGGCCCCGAAGCCCCTGTGCATTGGGGTTTTATACCTGAGTACAAACAGCATAAAACATGACATAGTCGTATGTTGCAGCAAAAATCAAACCAATGAGCGCACACAAGCTCTTCCTCTGCCCATGTAAAGAATACTTCTGCTTTCCTCTGATGGTGCGTCAATTTGCCCTTTACCCTAATTTTCAGCAATAAAGAGGAAAAGAAACCTATTTGACCGTTGAAACCTGAATAACCCCCACCATCTGTTATTGACTTAGAACATTGCATTGTGGCTGGCGGTTTTTTCCTGTTCCCTAACTCAGAGTCGGTCACGACTGGACCTAATGGTCAGGGGTCCCTTTACCTTTACCTAACTCAGCCCGATCTTGTGAGCCTGAGAAGCTGTCTGGAGAAAGATCCCTATAGAAAAATGCCAAAACATCAGATTTATTGTTTCCTTCAAGCACAGTAGCAGGGCAGAGAGAGAAATAGGGCAGAGGGCAACTTTTGGATTTTTAAGATCTAAGCACTTTAGTTCTGCTGAAGCTTTAGCGATTCAAACCTCATTAGGATACATGGATATATAAAAATCATCATTAGGATATATGGTTATATATGGATATATGATTATATAGAAATCATAAGGGTAAAATTCTTCCAGGTGGTCTTGCCACATTAGAAAACTCAAATATATAAGCTAGGCGTCAAACGGCTCCTTAAAAACCAGGGTTACAGTTGCCAAAACAGAACGCCTAGGTGCCATTTCTGGGCCAGGCGGCTCGACAGTTGTATTTTTCAATGCAACGTTTGCGTTCCTGAAATTCATTCCAATTGTGCAGATAAAATATAGCAGATATAATTCTACAGGATGTGAAAACGGTCAAGATCCAATGATCCCCAGGCATTCACCTCCAGATGGTGGAGACATCAGGCGCCATCCTGGCACCCTGGAATCTTTACTCGGTTGCAAGTGGCCAATAACCAGGTGCAAAATACGCCTGGAGAATTTCAAACGCTTCTTTGCACCAATGCTGCTGGTTCCAGAGATAACTGGAAAAGGACCTGTAGCTGGTTTTCCTCACCCCAGTTAGGCACAATTCAACTTCTTGGAATGGAAATGCAAGGTATCTTTCTATTTGTGACGTCCTTCAGAGGCAAGCCAGACCGCCATACCAGACTGGTTCTCCACCACTTCCCCATCTTGAACCAAGGCGGTTATGTCTCACCTCCTCCTTTAAAAAGAAAGCCTGGAATAGGGCTTTATAGATTACTTAGTTGTCTTCACAGCAGATGCTATTTTTAGCGTTGATATTTTTGGCATGCTCAGATGTGAGCCAAGCACATTCTTGTGTAATTTAGGATTTGATAATGCGTCCACGTAACTTCTGTCCAGATACGCTTTATAAAAATAGCAGTTGTTTGCATTTGATGTCATTTTATTAGTCATTGCTAAAATTATTTGGTCTGAGAGTAGCAAACTGTTTCATCAGAATTATTGCAGAAGTTGCTTATGATTTATCAACTCCTGCAGTATAGAAGGAACTTTGGAAATCGGACATAAGCCTAACAACCAGCTAAACCAGTAAACGATTCCTATAGGCCCTTCGGATGCTGTTGGACTCTGAATCCCATCAGCCACCCAGCCAGCACGGCCATGGATGATGGGACTTGTAGTCCAGGAACGTCTGAAGGGCAACAGGTTCCACATCTGTGAAGTAGGAGATAAAACCTGGCCTAGCCACATCTGGAAGGTTGCCCATCCCTTGTGTAAGCTGTTAAATGTAATAACACTGTAAAACAAAAACACACCACAAAGCTGGTCCGAGGTGTGAGTGGTTCTACCTGGTGGTTTGCTTCAGACAGTGGACCATTTTTCTGGGCTTATCAGACAGCTTGTGTCTGATTTCCAAGCTACTCAAAGTATATCTATGTCACTGCAAGATGCAGAGGTACATGTACATCGAGTTGAGGTGCTGGCCTGTGGATTGTTTAAACCATGGTTTCCTGTTACACCCATACCAGGAAACTGATTTAATCCCCAGTTATGAAACCAGGACTGATTTCTAACTAGTAATTCAGCCACGTGCCCAGTAAACCATGGTTTCTGTCAGAGAAGGTGGAGCCTGTGACCGACATTTGCACAAATGGCAGACAGAATAATGCAAGCCGGATTCATAAGGGAACACTCCATGATGACCCTACTGCTGTTGCTTGCTGAAACCTTTTTAAACCACAGAAACTGCCTTGGTGATCAGGAATGTTATTCCAAATCAGATCCTAAGGGTTTCATTCTTTCTCCTTCCCACCTCCCATTTTCAGCACGAGAAATTGCAGGAGAGTCCGTTAGATATCATAAGCGAGAAGGTTAAAGACGAAAGCAGCAGCGACGAACTGATGATCGAGGATCCTACGGAAGAGGAAAGCGGAAACAGCAACGAGGTACTGATCAGCCGGAGGGGTGGTTTTTCTTTAGGGTTGTGGCTAAATTTTCCTGGAAATACAGGCAGAAATATTTTCCTGGAAATAAAGGAGGAAAAAATTATTCAGTAGTCCTTCCAAGACCATCAGCAATTTTCAAGTGGTCTGCTGGGGAAAGGGGGCAGGGAGTTTGGGAATTTTGTTTGTCAGTGTTGACACCTTGAATTGGGCTTGGCAACTGGCAAGCAGTTGCAGGAATAAGCCATGATACAATCAGTGCAATCCCTGTTAAGGCTTCTGCACATATCACCACTATGGGCCAAGAGTTTGATGGCACAATGATTTTTAATCTCTGCTAAACCAGCATCCCAAGGCCATTTGCGCGGAAGAGAATACAACGAATGCTTTTTAAACTTAAAGCCCTAACAAGTGGCCGCTTGTGGTGAAGACCCATTTAGTCAGCCGGGAAAGACTGTTGGAACCAAAATGAGATTTGATCGCTTCCAGGAAGTGGGTGCTTGTTGTATCTCGACCAGAGTGCTATTCCACAGAACAGGGGTTGCCACACTAAAAGCCCTGTGCCAGGTTACTCCTGAGGCCTTTGGGAATTTTAGGATAAAAACATTCCTGCAGACTGCAGCGTGATCTACTTGGGTGTAAAAGGGATAAGGCAGTCTCCCAAGTAAAGTGGTCCTGAGCTGTATGAGGGTCTTACATGTTAGTACCAACACGTATACAGTCATACCTTGGAAGTCGAATGGAATCCGTTCCGGAAGTCCGTTTGACTTCCAAAACGTTCAGAAACCAAAGCACGGCTTCTGATTGGCTGCAGGAAGCCCCTACAGCCAGTTGGAAGCCCCTTAGGACATTTGTGTTCCAAAGAGCGTTCACAAACCGGAACACTCACTTCCAGGTTTGCGGCGTTTGGGAGCCACAACGTCTGAGTACCATGGCATTTGGGATCCAAGGTACAACTGTATATCATAGCTGAGGTGGCTGAAAATGTGGATAGACTTTGTGGCTAGGTTGGGATGAAAACTGAAGAGGGACACTAGGAGAGTGTCTGGCCACACAAATTCTTAATCTTCATAGTAACTGGAGCTGCATATTTCTTTAAAAAGGAAATCCTCAAAAGGAGGAAGCGGCGGCCGTTGGTTTCTGTTGATCTTAGTAATTTTATTCATTGGAAGGTGTTGCTGGATTCCGAAGCAATGGACCTGAGGAAAGAGAAGAAGGAAGAAGATGGAGAAGACGGAAACAGCAGTGAGGAGATAGTGGTAAGGTTTTTGGGGGGGATGGAGTTCAGTAGGGTAAACAGACTCAATAGTTAATCTGACACAGGTGGGCAGATTCCTTATTGACCCAAAACACGGAGCCAGACCGGCTATCATAAATTACAGGGATTGCTAGCATACTGCCCAAGGATGCCAGCCTGCCTGCCAGTACCTCCAGCAGTGGCACCTGCAAAAGGCCTTTGTAAATATCCCCTGAAAAATCCACAATGTACAGGAGACCCTTTGCTCTTCTTGCCAAATTCCTGTTGCACTGCCTCAGCTTCTCCTAAATTAAAAACTCCCTCTTAAACGTGCCCACATTTCATTGGATGAGAGGACTGGGCTCCTTCCCTTCTGCGCTGAACAGGGGAGAGGTGCAAAGAGCTTCTCCCTGTGACTGGCGGGGGTTGATGTGGGTGCCTCTTCCCCCATTGATTGGGGGGCATTCCCACATCATCTTGGGGTCCTGTTTCTTTTTTTTGCTCATCAGTGTTACACCATGCCACCATGGCGGCCATTTTGTGACTGGTGCCCCCGGCACTTTCTCAACCTCTTTAATATCTATATATTTATTATCTATATATTTTAAAAAGGAGAAAGAAAATGTGTTACTACTGCAGTAACTGTCCAGTTATTATCCAGTGTCAGTGAGTTCCACAGCTGCTGTCCATTTTTATTAGCTCCTTTTTCCAAACGAACATTAAAAACAAGTGCAAGAGAACAATCTAAAATTTTCACCCAGAACCTCCATACAGGTTTGTGTCCCGGGAAGGTCACTTTGGTACTGCGGTTTGACTGCACCCCTGGAGGTGCACTCCATTGCCTCTTGGGACAGAGGCCAACAACCTGCTGCCTGTTGCTCCTGCTGGGCTCTCATTTTTTGTAAGAAAATGAACAATTTTTCCCTGTACAGCTCATGGTTTGTGCCTTCTCTCTCTCTCTCTCTCTCTCTCTCTCTCTCTCTCCCTCCCCCTCTCTCCCTCTCTCCACCTCCGCCAACACTCTGCCTTTGTAGGATTCGGGAAGCATTGAAATCAGGTAAGAATCCACCTGCTTTAGGGCTTTTTTCCCAGAGGTGGGGGTGGGAATCGTCATACTTGTGTACATCTGACGCCTCATCCGTACCATACATTCAAAGCAGTATTGTGCCAATTTACACAGTCACGGCTTCCCCCAAAGAATCCTGGGAAGTGAAATTAATGGGCCTACAATAGCCATGTCCATTAAGAGCCAGCATAGGGTGTTGGGGCCTGGGAAATCAGGGTCGAGTCGTAAGATAAGAACGACCTACGACCTTCCAGGTGTTGCTGGAATCCCAGTTTGCCACCATCTCTGGCCATGCTGGCTGGGGCCAGTGGGAGTCCAGCCTTACCCCTGTTGCCCATCTTTCCTGCAAAGAGCGGAAAAATAAAACACTTCTCTGAGGTATTTTGTGCTGAAGGTCATGACAGGGATATGAACCCAGAACCTCTTGTGCATTAAGGAGGCTTTCTATTAATGTAGAGTCTTTTTCTGCTGTTCAAACTTAAAGCTATTTACATGCTTCATTTTCTGTTTACGTATTCCCCCACTCCTCTCTCCCACTGCCTCATACTCCTCAGGGAAGAAGAGGACACTCTGGCGCAGAGACTTGAGGAGCTCAAACGGAAATACGGTGATCTCTGTCAGAACAGCCCTGCTTTCCAGGAGATGATGCTGAGACTCAAAGGTCTGCATCTTCCACTCAGCGTTGGGCAGACAGACATTTGTTTATTAAGGGTTTGGGGATTTTTAGCTCTGAAGGGGGAACAAGGGTCCCAGGGTGGGTGCCCTTTAAATGCATGTCCCTTAGCTGCTTAGATCTCTCTTTGCGGTGAGCTGCCTAGTTTGCTTCCTCTTTTATTTGAAACATTTTTGCTCCACTCTTTAGTCAAAAATGCTCAAGAGTGACTTGGAAAGATCAGTCGTAAGAGGGTCGGCCCTCAATCCGAAAAACACAACGCATGTGGAAAAAGTGATGGGGAGGGGGGAAGGAAAAAAGCAACTGCACCTGTTCCTTGAAGTTGCAGTTCTTATAATGACTAGCTCAGATAGATAATTACTATTTATACCCCACCCATCCGGCTGGGTTTCCCATCCTCTGTGGGCGGCTCCCAACAGAATATTAAAAACACAATCAAACATTAAAAAATTCCCTAAACAGGGCTGTCTTCAGGTGTCTTCTAAAAGTCAGATAGTTGTTTATCTCCTTGACATCCATGGGGGAGGTGTTCTACAGGGCGGGTGCCACTACTGAGAAGGCCCTCTGCCTGGTTCCCTATAGCCTCACTTCTCACAGGGAGGGAACCGCCAGAAGGCCCTCGGAGCTGGACCTCAGTGTCTGGGCTGAACGAAATAGAAAAATTCCTTCCTGTAGCACCTTAAAGACCAACTAAGTTAGTTCTTGGTATAAGCTTTCGTGTGCAAGCACACTTCTTCAGATACACTGCTACACTGGGCTGAACGAGTTCGGGTAGCTTGATGGATTGGCTGCTAGTTGATGTCAGTTCAAGGATGGCCAAATGCAGTCAGACTTCCTCAGCAGCGGTGATGGAGTAGCCTAATGGACTGGCTGCCACTAGGTAATTTAATTTAAGTTGCCAGCTTGATTTCAGTTCTATCTTTGCAGCAGGAGTAGATCTGCTGAAATGAGTGGACCTCATACTTAGCCGCTTTCGTAGATTTCAGTGGGTCTGAAACGCAACCCATGAGGACTAGAACCTTGCTTCCAAACGGCGCCTGCAATAATATCTACCTTTGCTTAGCCAAATCTGCTGCTGCTGCTGCTCCGTTTCATGAATTCTCTCCCTGTCTTAACGCTCTCATTCCTGCAGCCGGCTGGTTAGGCCACAGCAAGGAAGGGGAGCCTTCTCTGGGGAGCTCGGAGCGGCTGCAGCTGAACCGGATGATGTGGGGGGGAGACGAGGTCAGCTTCCCCCGGGGGGACGGCCAGGCCGGAGCATCCGAGGGCCACTCTCTGGACAGCCGGGGACCAATTTCCATCCCTTTCGGCAGGGGCTTCTTCGACTTCAGCGAGTTTGCCGTGCAGCAGAGCTTCTTGCAGAAGAAGGGTCTCCCAGAGGTCGCGAAGGGCTATGGGGTGGTGGGCCTGAGCCCGGGCGCCGCGAAACCCCCGCCGGCCGAGAAGCCCTACAAGTGCAACGAGTGCGGGAAGAGCTTTGGCAAGCGGTCGACGCTGAACACGCACGGGCGGACGCACACGGGCGAGAAGCCCTTCAAGTGCTCCCACTGCGACAAGCGCTTCAGCCAGAGCTCCCACCTGCAGCTGCACGAGCGGACCCACACCGGCGAGAAGCCCTACAAGTGCCTCCTGTGCGAGAAGAGCTACAACCAGCGCTCCAGCCTCATCATCCACGAGCGCAGCCACACCGGGGAGAAGCCGTACACCTGCCTCGAGTGCGGGAAGAGCTTCAGCCAGAAGGCCACGCTGGTCCTGCACGAGAAGAGCCACCGGGGCGAGAAGCCCTACAAGTGCCTGGAGTGCGGCAAGGGCTTCAGCCTGAGTGCTGACCTCATCCGCCACCAGAGCATCCACACCGGGGAGAAGCCGTACACCTGCTCCGAGTGCGGGAAGAGCTTCAGCCAGAACTCGCACCTCATGGCCCACATCCGGACCCACACGGGCGAGAAGCCCCACAAGTGCCTGGAGTGCGGCAAGGGCTTCAACTGGACCTCGGAGCTCGTCGCCCACGAGCGGACCCACACGGGCGAGAAGCCCTACCAGTGCCTCTACTGCGAGAAGAGCTTCAGCGTGCGCTCCAGCCTCAGCAAGCACGAGCGGACCCACACCGGCGAGAAGCCCTACATCTGCCTGCAGTGCGGCAAGGGCTTCATCCAGCGCTCCAGCCTGGTGGCGCACGAGCGCTCCCACACCGGCGAGAAGCCCTACATGTGCCTGGGCTGCGGGAAGTGCTTCCGCGAGAGCTCCCAGCTCATCGCCCACGAGCGGACCCACACCAGCGAGAAGCCCTACGTCTGCCCCGAGTGCGGGAGCTGCTTCAAGGCCAAGGCGGCCCTCATCCGGCACCAGCGTTGCCACCTGGGCCTCAACTCTTTCATATGCGCGGACTGCGGGAAGATCTTCTCGTCGGCCGCCGAGAGCCCGGAGAAATGCCCCGAGTGCGTCAACCTGGGCCTAATGGCCGACCTCACACAAGCCTCCGGAGAGGCCTACCTAGAGGGGGCAGAAGGAGAAGGAGGAGAAGACGGAAGTGAGGTGAAGATATGAGAAGCGTTTTTTACTTTCCTCTTGGCCGGTGACCTCTTGCACCCTCTTTCAGGTGAAAGGATGGCGTCAAAGAACTGTGCCACAGCTGAGGGTGAACTCTGGTCTGGTCACTGAAGGAAGAGCCGGTGGGCACGGTTGCCTTCTCCAAACATAGCTGTGAAAAGGATGGGGCGGCCCTCCCCTCCATTTTGGGCTAACTTCTTTTCTTCTCCTTCTCTTTCCTTCTCCTCTTTTTTCTGGCCCTACGGCTCTCCCTTCTCCATGTTGGGCTTGGTAAGGAAGGGGCGCTATAGAGGTGTGAGGCTGCTGCCTAGCGACAGCCCACCATGTTCTTCATTGGCCTCCCAGGAAGCAGGAAAAGGTCTGTGCAAGAACAGGCCCGAATGCCTAACGGTTCTCTCCTTGTGGCAAAACAATGGACATTTTCAGACCACTGGGCGAGGAAAGCATGGGGTATGGGGGGAAGAGAAGATTGTGTATAAGAAGGAGGGATGGTGACGTGGTTTGAGGCCTACCCTATTAGTCTCGCCCTCAACTCTTGCCTCATTTTGTTTTTATCTGGTGAGGAGGGTTTGGCGTGGCAGTTAGGCAGCCATTTTAGCATTGATTCATGCTGTGGCTTGGCCCAGATAACCCCCTCGCTGTCAAGCCCTAACCGGACTGCAACGTTGCTTGGATTTGGCAAATGAATTTCGCCCGGGCTTTGCTTTCCGCAGAATAAGTTTATGAAGAACTGCCCATCAGGACAAGGTGGACCCAAGCTGGGGTGGCAGAATGGGAATAGCACTGACCGCCAATCTGAGCCGGCCGAGGTGCCGGTCCATGTGTTGGCACACGGCAAAGGATTCGAATCCATGCCGGCCATTTTACCCTGAGAAATGGGTTGGAACCGTGGCAGCATAATAGGAATGGACCAGGAACAGAAGCAAAACTGGCTTTCTTTTTTAGATGAATTACGTTTTGATTGTAGGAAATGAATTCAATTTTTTGTCTTGTTTAGCATCTGGCTTGGGTAGCAGTCTCAACTAGCGGTGTATGTGATATTATTTATTTATATATATATATATGTACGTCTGTGAACTGTCTCCTCTTTGTCACGCTGAGGGTAGGCTTTTTGCTGGGGCATTTTTATCCTGTCTCACATACATTTTTCAAACATCTCCAGACTGCTGGAATGGGCACAGAATTGGACTTTAATTTAGAGATGTAGCAGGATGCGGTGGTAGAATCCAGAAAAGGGTCTAACACCACTCCCCCCGCCTTTTGAATCACACAGATATGTTTGGTTGAAAGGAGAAAGCTAGCAGATAAGGGGGGAAAGAGTCTAGCCCAGACCACTTCTTGCAAGGGAGTTTGTTAAGTGAGGAATCATTTTTTAGAAGTTACAGCCCCATTTTACACTTCAGGACTCTGCCACCTCATTCCATTCTTTGTGGAGACAAGGCCTTAGAGCAGAGATGGGGAACCTCTGGCCTTAAATATGGTGTTGGACTCCATTTCCCATCAACACCAGCCTGCAGAGCAGCTGGACATGATGGCAGTTGTAGTCCAGCAACACCCGGGAGGACAACCGTTTTTGCCATTTCTGCCTCGGGAGACTGTCAGCACCTCATACCAGGTTCAAGGAACCTTTGGGTGTTGCTGAACTACAATCCCCTGGCTACTGGCCATGCTTACTGGGGCGGTGGGAGTTGTAGTTCCTCACACCGGTTTTAGACAATTGGGCGCCAGCCCAAAGAATCATGGGAGTTTCTGTGAAAGGGACAAAGAGTTTCTCCAGCAAATAATTGTCAGCAACCTTCCCCAGCCTGGTGCCCTCCAGATTTTGTTGGACTCCGGTCATCCCTGACCATTGCCGTGCTTCCTGAGGCAACATTTGGCTCTCCAGATGTTGATGAACTGCATCTCCCATCAGCCCCCACAAGGGTGACCCAGGAATGCTGGGTGTTGTAGTCCAACAGCAGGGTACCATTTCCTCATCTTGGCCTTAGAAGGGCTATTGAAGGCCTCATAGGAAGGGCCACCCCCCCTTCACCCCACTCCTGAGCTGCTCGACTGCGGGGTGGGGATCTTGAGTGATCCTTTCCCCTCTAACGCCGGTTCAACAAATCTTGACTTAGATTGACTTGGTTCAGAAGTAGTCCCTTTTTCAGATGTGGGTGCTATTATCTCATGGCCCAGATGCCTCGTTTGAAAGTAGAAATTCAGTGTCGGATTCTCCCTTTACGTGACGAGCTTTCAAGCCAGGGAGAAGAGTGGATTTAGAAGTCTGGCACCCATGTGCTTCAGATACTGGAAAAAGATTATAAAGAGGGAGAAAAGCACAGGTGCCTTTTCAAATAAGTAATGTCCCTCTGCGTGTGATGTTTCTGTCACTTATTTCAGATAAACACATAACTGTGGAGAATCTATGCCGGTATTCGGGAAAGGCCTCTTTGGAGTGTGGCATCTGACGGGGACCCTTTACTAGATCCCAAATACAGGAATCTGCGGTCTGAAAGTTGTGTGGTTACCTAAAAAAAAATAACCACAGAAGGAAGAATCACACATTTCATTCCCGCCAGCAATTATAGGAGGTGAAATTGTGACCCTCCAGAGGATTGTTCGACTCCAACTCCCATTAGGCCTGCAGCCACCATGGGTTGGAGGGTGTTGGGATTTGTAGTCCCACAACCTCTGGAGGGCCACAGGATCCCCAGCCCTGATCTGTATCTGCACCACCAGAATCTTCACTGGTGTACGCAAGACACAGGGAGCTTGCAGCCTTCAGTATGTTTTTGAACTCTCAGCTCCCATCCCCAGCCTGCATGGAAAATGGTCACGAATAATGGGAGTTGTAGACCATGTTTGGAGGGCCACAGGTTCCTGTGTTGCATTCTAGGGTTTATTTAAGGCCATGAATTTCCCCTGAAAAATTGGACGCTACTAGCAAGAAAGGGGAGATGTTACTGAACAGCCCTAACAAACAAACCGACTGCCTGTGTGTAGCTCTTTTTAATCCCTTTTTGCTGATTTTTGTTTTATTTTATAAAATAGTATTGTTCGCTTTCTCTTTCTCTTCATCTCTAGCTTTCCTTTGAATACAAATATGCTTTGTTTTGAATACCTTTCTGCCTCTTTTTCTGCTTTATTTCTTAAGCTGAATAAAATGATCTTTGCAAAAGCAGGATGTTTCCATGCTGGTTGTCTTGCCACACCGTTGGACTCCAACTCTCAGCATCCCTAACCTTTCTGGCTGTGCCTGATGGGTGTCGGAGCGCCATCTGGAGGGGGCTTCCCTGTCCTAATGATTAAAAAATATATACATTATTTAAGTCAAGACTCTTGATCTATGTCGATAAGATGTAAAAGGTAAAGGGACCCCTGACCATTAGGTCCAGTCGTGGCTGACTCTGGGGTTGCGGCGCTCATCTCGCTTTATTGGCCGAGGGAGCCGGCGTACAGCTTCCGGGTCATGTGGCCAGCATGACTAAGCCGCTTCTGGCGAACCAGAGCAGCGCACGGAAATGCCGTTTACGTTCCCGCCAGAGCGGTACCTATTTATCTACTTGCACTTTGACGTGCTTTTGAACTGCTATGTTGGCAGTAGCAGGGACCGAGCAATGGGAGCTCACCCCGTCGCGGGGATTTGAACCACTGACCTTCTGATCGGCAAGCCCAAGAGGCTCTAGTTTAACCCACAGTGCCACCCGCGTCCCATAGATAAGATGCACACACAAACACCCCAACTTGGAATAAATTTGTTTATAGACTTCTTTTTCCAAAGAATTTAAAGCAGAGCTTTCCAAACTTGTCATGTTGGTGACACACTTTTTAGACATGCACCATTTTGTGACACAGTAATTCAGTTTTACTAGCAAACCAGAGGTTAAACTAACCCTTTTCTAGCCCCCAGGAGAATTTGCGTGACAGACCTTCACACTGCAGTCGACGCACTAACATGTCGCGACACACCGTTGGGAAAGCTCTGATTTAAAGGCTCTGTTCCCCCCACCATTTTATCCTTCCAACAATCCTTTGAGATAGATGAGGGTGACTTACCTCACAAAACGTCACCCAGTGAGCTTCATAGCTGAGGGAGGGGTGGGGATTTGAACCGGGGTCTCTTAAAAAGCACAATGCCAAACCCAGCCACAATTTGAGAAACCACCATTGGGTGGGATGTGTTGGGTGCCTCGGTTTTAGTCAAGATCCCATCTGTGGATGAAACCAATTTAACACTTGCTGTAAATTAATGGAGAACAGTCCTTCAGCCCATGATGTTCCCTTCAGTACAGTGGTACCTCGGGTTAAGAACTTTGCTTCAGGATGAGAACAGAAATTGCGTGATTGATGGCGCAGTGGCAGCGGGAGGCCTCATTAGCTAAAGTGGTACCTCAGATTAAGAAAAGCTTCAGGTCAAGAATGGATCTCCAGAACGAATTAAGTTCTTAACCCGAGGTACCACTGTACTATCGGTAGCTGTGGGGACTAGCCCACGGCCTTCCAGTTGTTGCTGAACTACAACTCCCAGTCAGGGATTATGGGAGTCGCAACCCTGCATCTAGAGGCTGTGTCGACACCTGGGAAACTCATGCTATGCCAGCTACAGCTGGTGAGGTTTGGAAGGGCAGCAACTTGGGCAAGGAGTGCCCTTCAGGCATTACAGAAGAATCCTTGAAGGCTGATGGCAGCAGTTCCCAGGGGATGGTTCAGGATCCTACAGTGACAGGGGACTCTCTGCAAAGGACCAGGAAGCAAGTCCCTCTCTGTGCTGCTTTTGGCCTTTGCCTCTGAACAGTCTTGGCTCAGAGCCATAACACCAAGAAAATCAAAAATTGTTACAACCCACCTGTACCAAACACCCCATTCCAAATTTCCTCTCCACATAAAACCTGGCAATAATAAATTTCCATTTTGTGTGGCTAGGAGTGGTTCCAGCGGAACTCTTGGGGAGATAGGAAGCTTCGTAGTAATCTGCCTTATGCGGAGTCAGACCACTGGTCCATCTAGCTCAATATTGTCTACACTGACTGGCAGCAGCTGTCCAGGTTTTCAAGCAGAAATCCTTCCCAGACCTAAACTGGAGATGCCTGTGTTTGAATTTGGGATTTTCTGCATCCAGAGCAGGCATTCCTTGAGCTACATTCCCTTCCCTTCAGAGCTGTCATGTGTTGACTAGCTGGAGGGCAAGTTAATCTTGAAATTCTTCTCTGGCACAAATTTTTAATCTCAGCCGGAGAGTAGTTTGGCATTCTGATGCCCATCTCTTATTTGAGGTGGGCATTACTAGCCGCCTTTCACTCTGCTCTCATTTCGGATACGTCAAGCTTTACCACATCTCTTGTTCTGATTCTCCACAGTCAAGGAAGTTTATATTGAAAGCTGGCAGGTAGTATTAATATCCCTAGCTGTCTCCTAACAGGTGCACCGCAGGATGGAGAAATTCAAAAAGCAAGCTTACACCCATCGCTGCAGCACCCGTTGAATTCTGCCTGTGTCACATGCTCTCTGTTTCTGTAATCCACTTGCCTTGCTGCTGAGATCGCTTTTGTTTTTGATTGTTTTAAAAGACTTTTATACAGTGGCTAAATTCGTGTGGTCAGGGGAAAACCCAAGAATAAAACACAAAATAATGATAGATAAGAAGGAGAGAGGAGGATTTGGCCTCCCTGACATGGAGTTATATCATGATGCGGTGGGTCTGACCTGGCTAAAAGAATGGATCAAATTAGATGACTCGGATGTATTGGATTTAGAGGGAGTAGAGACGAGATTTGGATGGCATGCCTGTCTAATAGATGAAAAAGTCAAAGTGCATAAAGGCTTCCTAGGGCATATAGTTAGAAAGTCTATATATAAAATATGGGAGAAATAGAAAAGACTCCTAGAACCGAAAACTCCCTGGTGGGCATCGCCAGCAGAAATTGTCGCAGTGAAAAAATTAAATATGAAAGAAAACTGGGCTACCTATAAAATGGTATTAAAGGAAGAAAACGGAGAATTGGAATTAAAGGATTATACAGAAATTAAAGCTCATATTAGTGATTGGTTTCAATATATTCAAATTAAGTACAGATTAGCGAAAGACAAAAAGTTAGGATTTGAAAAAGAAATATCAAAATTCGATAAATACTTAATACAAGAAAAATAAAAAAAAATCTAAATTGTATAATTTGATTTTAGAGTGGGAAACAAAGGATGAATTGGTTAAAGCATCAATGATCAAATGGGCGCAAGATACTGGGAAAAATATTATGTTTGAACAATGGGAAAAATTGTGGAAGGAAGATATGAAATTCACTATGTGTTATATATTGAAAGAAAATTATCTCAAAATGCAACACAGATGGTATTTAACACCTGAAAGAATAGGAAAGAATAGCAAAAATGAATAAAAATTGTAGCGATGTCTGCTGGCGATGCAACACTGGAAAAGGTACTATGATACATATATGGTGGAATTGTTTAAACATCAAACAATTTTGGGAAACAGTATATAACGAAATGAAAAAAATGTTCAGTTATTCATTTAGGAAAACACCAGAAGGTTTTTTATTGGGAACAGTACCAGGAAGCCTAAAGGAAGAAGACAAGACCTTATATTTATACGCAACGGTAGCCGCAGGGCTATTGATTGCGAAAAATTGGAAAAGTGGTACTGTACCAACAAAGATAGAGTGGCTTGCCAAATTATTGGAGTACTACAATATATCCAAAACAATGGGAGAAATTGGAAGGATCTCAAAAGAGAAGGCAGACAGGGACCGGAAGGTGTTTAAAAGATACTTGCAAAACTATATCGAAAAATCAGAACTCCTATTAGAATAAATAAGTTTCATTTCAAATATTGGAATACTAAATAAGATGGATAATAATGTCTAATAGAAAAAGAAATATGAAATTAGGTTAAAGGTGTGTGAAAGAAAGTAATAGAAGTAGAAAGAAATTGCAATTGAGTAGATTGGAAGTCTAACACAAAGGGTGAGGGGTGGTGGATGGTGATGGGAATTATCAGTGGGATTTTGTAGGTATGTTGTATGTATGTAGGTATGTAGGTATGTTGTATGAAATGTATGTTTGTATGTTTGTATGTGTATTAATGTCGAATTATTTTAACAAAAAAATATATAAAAAAAGACTTTTATACAGTGGTACCTTGGTTTAAGAAGAGTTTAGTTTATGAACAACTTGGATGAAGAATGCTGCAAACCCGGAAGTAGAGGTGTTTTGGTTTGTGAACTTTGCCTTGGAATAAGAACATGTTTCGCTTCCTGTTGAGTGTGTTCCATTTGTAAATTGAGTCCCCCGCTGCTATGGGAAAGCACGCCTTGGTTTAAGAACGCTGTAATACATAATCTGTTTTATTTAATGTTTGTGTGTGTTTCAGTTAGGGCTGCAACATTAAGTTCATTCAATGGTTAGATCAGTTGACTGGAAATGTTTTGATTTAATAATAATAATAATAATAATAATAATAATAATAATAATACTCCCAGATTAAATGAGCAGCTTTTTAGTCTGTTACAGTCAGTGAGGGTTCGTGGTTTCATGAGTGACAGTCAGTGCTGTGCAACAGCCCAACTCTGAAAATTCAGGACTGACACAAGTACTGGCCAATCAGTGCTGTGCAAATCTGAGTTCAACTAAAAAATATACCAGCAGATTTTCCTTGGTCCTGATCCTAAGAAGAAATTTGGCTGGGTGTCAGATACACTCCGAGCACACGTCCGTGACATTTACACTCAGCATAAAACCTGCATGTTCTTTGTATCCCAGCCCCGTTAACGGAGCAGAGTGAGAAAGGAAAGAACTTGAAATAAACCGACTAGCTTTATCAAGCAATGTAAGAGATGAGCTCAAGAGAAGTAAAGACTGCATTGGACACAAGGAAACAGAAAAACATAACCAACAAAATAATAACAACAGTGAGACGTATACATCACATTCTTATGTTGAGGACAAGTGCCTTTGCCTCATAAGACCAAATCTTGGGAACTAGATGGGAATCTCCATCTGCTGCAACAGCGGCTCCTCTTCTGGGCCTGAAGATTCGTGTGGAGTTTCCTTTGATGGGCTGCAGTGAATTTTTGCCCTGCCACCCCAGCTCAGCCAACCCATACTTCTCTGCCCCCCAACCCTGGTTCATTCTCCCTCGCCATACAAAATGCATTCTCTCAGTGCGGCTCCACCTGCACGATACACTTAAAGCAGCCTTGTACCACTTTAAACAGCCATGGCTTCTCCTGAAGAACCCCAGGAACTGTAAGAGTGTTGGGAGATCCCCTCTATTTTCCCTCAGAAAGCTACAACTCCCTGGGACGAAGGATGGAAAATCGGTCTTGGAATTGTAAGCGCTGTGAGGGGAATAGGCGGCCGGGATGTGTGTGTGTGTGTCTCCCAATGTCTCTCATCACCCTTAATAAACTACAGTTCCCAGAATTCTTCACACGAGTGTTTAGATGGGGACGCCGAGGCTCTTAAAACTGGGTGCTTGGCCAAGGCCAACTAGCAAACTCGTGGCTGAGGTACGATTCGTTCAGAGGGCTTTTGAGTCGCATTCTGCTATGCCAGCCCAAAGCGTCAAACGTTGAGATGGCTACCTGTCTGTATGCAGTCATGGATGTTGACTGTTGAGCCTGGTGGAAGCCTGACAGTAGGTGGCGCCAGAGAGCCAATGTCAGGCAGAGCCGACTAATTCTAGTTCTGTCCTGCCATCTTCCCTGCTGAATTCTTCCAGGGAAACATGGAGATTAAAGAGGAAGCTGACAGACAGTGCTGCCACCCCCTGGACTGGAAGTCTGGCTGGCGAGGTTGGCGGGGCATCCCCCTATCTGGCCTCGTGTCTCAGCCACCGCTCCTCGCAGGGATTCTTCATTCTACATTAAGCCGCCACCTTCATTTAAAATGCCCTCCCCGATTAAAGCATCGCTGTCAGCCTCCCGCCCGTGGGTTCTTAGGTGGGTGGCAAGGTGGGTGGTTCGAATGAAGCTCTTCCCACAATCGGGGCACTTGTGGGGTTTCTCTCCCGTGTGGATCCTCCGGTGCCGTGTGAAGGCCGACTTCCAGCTGAAGCTTTTCCCGCAGTCGGCGCACTTGTAGGGCTTCTCCTCGGCGTGCGTCACCTCGTGGGACACCAGCTGGGCCCTCTCGCAGAAGCTCTTCCCGCAGTCCAGGCAGTTGTACGGCTTCTCCCCGGTGTGCAGCAGGAGGTGCCTGATGAGGACCGAGCTGCGGCTGAAGCTTTTCCCACAGTAGGAGCACTTGTAGGGCCTCTCGCCGGTGTGGGTCCTCTCGTGCAAGAGGAGCTGCGCCCTCTGGACGAAGCCCCTCCGGCAGTGGGCGCACTTGTAGGGCCGTTCGCCCGTGTGGATTCTCTGGTGTCTGATAAGGTCTGAGTGCCAGCCGAAACGCTTCTCGCAGCCCAGGCACTTGTAGGGCTTCCCTCCGGTGTGGGTCCTCAAGTGCTCGATGAACTCCGAATTCCAGTTAAAGCTCTGCCCACACTCGGAGCACTTGTAGCGCTTCTCCCGGGCGTGGATTCTCTCATGGATGGCGTGGTAGGCCCTGCGGATGAACCGCTTGTTGCAGAAGGAGCATTTGTACGGCCTCTCGCCCGTGTGGATTCTCTGATGTGTCAGGAAGACTGACTTCCTGTTGAAGTCTTTCCCGCACACCACGCAGTGGAAGGGTGTCTCGCCCGTGTGCGTTCTCTCGTGCGCAATGAGCTGCTCCTGCTGCCGGAAGGTGTTCCCGCAAACTAAGCACTGATACGGTTTCTGTCCGGTATGGATCTGGTGGTGCCGGAGCATGTTCGCCTTGGAGCAAAAGCGCTTTTCGCAATCCAGGCACTTGTACGGTTTTTCTGCTTGGTGGACTTTCTTATGCACGGCCAGTTCTGAGCTCCCCACAAAGACCTGCTTGCAGGCGGTGCACTGATGCGCTTTCTCCCTCTTGCGCATTTTCCTGGTTACTGGGAGCTGCGTGCTCTGACCCATCAGCTCTCTGCAGCTTGAGCATGTCGCCCTTGCCTGGGTTTTCTCTCCCAAAAGGTTCGCCCTCCAGCCAAAGTGCTTCCCGCAGTGCGTGCATTTGCGGGTTTTCTCCGGTTTGTAGATTCTTTGACGTCTAAGGCGATGGGAGACAGGCTCTGCACTTTCCCCGATGCGCAGCTTGCGTCTGCCAGCCTTCCCAAGCGCCTGCACGTTTTCCGATTCACTGACATCTGCCGAGAGTCCTTCTTGGGATACACTCCTCCTCTGATCCATTGGGTTACCTGTGAGATCTACAGATGCATCTTCCGGCACATGAGACGTGGAAATGCTCTCTTTGGTTCTGTCAGGTGAGGCTCCGGGTTCGGAGAGCTCGAGGTGTAAGGAAATCTCCTCACTCTCAGTCATGGAAGCACAACCTACGACAACAAGATTTTTTTAAAAAATGAATCTCTTCTTCTTAAAAAGGTAACAGCCTGCTGGCTGGATCAGGTCAGTCCAGCCTCCTGTTCTCACACTGGCCAAGTCCTCAAGCAGGACATGAGCACAAGCGCAATTTGTCTAATCCTCTCAAAGCCACCCAGGTTGGTGGCCATTCCTGCCTCCTGTGACAGAGAGTTCCATAGGTTAACTGAGATCTACAGGTATAGGGCAGTATACAAATTTTATTAATAGTAGTACTAGTAGTGATAGGGAGGCGGGTGGTGCTGTGGTCTAAACCACAGAGCCTAGGACTTGCCCATCAGAAGGTTGGCGGTTCGAATCCCCGCGACGGGCTGAGCTCCCGTTGCTCGGTCCCTGCTCCTGCCAACCTAGCAGTTCGAAAGCACATCAAAGTGCAAGTAGATAAATAGGTACCACTCTGGTGGGAAGGTAAACGGTGTTTCCGTGCACTGCTCTGGTTCGCCAGAAGTGGCTTAGTCATGCTGGCCACATGACCCGGAAGCTGTACGCCGGCTCCCTCGGCCCATAAAGCAAGATGAGTGCCGCAACCCCAGAGTCGGTCACGACTGGACCTAACGGTCAGGGGTCCCTTTACCTTTACTAGTAGTGATGATGATGATGATGATGATGATGATGATAACAATAGCAATAATTTATTATTTATACCCCGCCAATCTGGCTGGGTTTCCACAACCACTCCGGGCAGCTTCCAACAAAATATTAAAATACAATAGTCTGTCAAACATTAAAAGCTTCCCTAAACAGGGCTGCCTTCAGATGTCTTCTAAAAGGCTGGAAGTAGTAGTAGTAGTAGTAGTAATAGTAATAGCACCCGTTATTGTTCATATAGCTGAGAATTTAAATTGCCAATCTCTTCAGCCAAATGAAACTAATCTGTGAAATCCAAAAGCTTGCATCTTTTTACCAGCAAGAAAAATTGATCCAATCAAAGGAATTGCCTTACAGAAGTTTATATTTAATTCTTTGGGCACAACAATTTTTTGTAGACAAAAAATATATTGCATTAAGTCCTGGGAATTTTTTTGTTTGCTTTATATACAAAAAACAACAACTGTGTGTTTTATATACAAAAACAACAACTTTGTTGGACTGGTCATGTTCAGATTATCGTCTTCCAAAGCAACTACTCTATTCTAAACTTAAAAATGGAAGCTCAATGCTGACGGTCAACAAAAGCAGTTTAAAGACTCTCTCAAGGCAAATCTAAAAAAATGTAGTATAAACACGGACAACTGGGAAGCACTGGCCTGCGAGCGCTCCAATTGGAGACCAGCCTTTACCAAAGGTGTCATGGGCTTTGAAGATGCTCTAACTCGGGACAAAAGGCAGAAACGTGCTAAGAGGAAGGCACGCTTGGCAAACCCTGACCATGATCAACTCCTGCCCGGAAACCTATGTCCCCACTGTGGAAGGACGTGTGGATCCAGAATTGGCCTCCAGTGTCACTTACAGACTCACTGTTCAAACCGTGTTCATGGAAGACAGTCTAGCTTGGCTAAGAGTGGTCACCAAAGAAGAAAGACGACTATTACTAAGTTGCATTCCAAAGCTTGAATTGTTTCCCATTCTAGTAGGAGTGAGAAGGAACCTGTGGCCCTCCACAAATTGCTAGACTACAACTCCCATTGGCTCCAGCCAACATAGCCAGCAGAGAGGAATGATGGGAGTTGTAGTCCAACCAAAATATCTGGAGGACCATGCAGGCTTCGCATCCTTGTTTCAGTCAACGGTGAATTATTAGTTCGCCGGTGCCATTCAGATATTCCCTCTTCGGCTCAGATACAGGGGGGCAGTTTTAATGGTATTATATGCATCACCCACCACTGGGATGTGGCCCCTGAAAGGGAATGTGGCCCTCAAGGTGATAAAGATTCCCTCATCCTTGTCACAGCCAGAGTCTTACCTGTTTTGGAGTCCAGCGCCATCTTATAGTGTCTTTGGGAAAAGATAAACAGGCTGAGAATCTTGCTTCACAGACATTCCAGCGAAGCCGGCGTATGTTGTCATTTGCCTCTACGTAAAACAGGAAGGCCAGTCCCTACACGAAAGAAGAAGACAAAGAAAGAAAGAAGAGGGTGGCGCTGTGGGTTAAACCACAGAGCCTAGGGCTTGCCGATCAGAAGGTCGGCGGTTCGAATCCCTGCGACGGGGTGAGCTCTTGTTGCTCGGTCCCTGCTCCTGCCAACCTAGCAGTTCGAAAGCACCTCAAAGTGCAAGTAGATAAATAGGTACCGCTCTGGCGGGAAGGTAAACGGCGTTTCCGTGCGCTGCTCTGGTTCGCCAGAAGCAGCTTAGTCATGCTGGCCACATGACCCGGAAGCTGTACGCCGGCTCCCTTGGCCAGTAAAGCGAGATGAGCGCCGCAACCCCAGAGTCGTCCACGACTGGACCTAACAGTCAGGGGTCCCTTTACCTTTTAAAACAAGAAGGCCAGTCCCAACACAAAAGAAGAGGACAAGGGCACAACAACTGACATCAGAAATGGCAATATCTAGAAATCCATAGAACACGTCAACTGACCAGGGCAGCCCGTTAGTGACCTTACGGTGGCTGCTCCTATATAACAAAATGTCAAAGGGAGACCCCAGAATGCAACTTTTAGCCCCTGCCTGCTCCAAAGACTGAAAACACAAGGAGCTTTGGGTTCGAGAGAAGCTACAAGTTCTTTTATGTACAATGGAGCTTCACAGAACACACAATTTAAGTCGCTCTGAAAGAAGGTGGCAGACTCTTCTTCCTCAGAGGTTTTTTATAAAGCAGAGGTTGGAGGGCCATCTGCCACAGATGCTTGAGATCCCTGCTCTGCAGGGGGTTGGTCTAGATGACCATGGGGAAGTCCATTCAACGCTACATTTTTATGATTCTATATGGGAGCGCTCCCAATAATCTGCCCAGGTATGTGCACAGGTAAAATAGCAGATCTAGCTGAAAGGCAAAACACAGAGAGCCACATCAACTGTCACAGTGCATCCCTAATTATTATGGCATTATTATTTTTATTATTAATAAAATTTGTATATCAGGGCAGTTCACATAATACAACGATTACTGCATATGAAGGTCGTTTCATCTTAGGAAGAGAGTGTCTGTAAGGGGGAGTGGCTACGGCACTCATGAAGGGACCCTGCACTTTGGAATCTGCCACTATATTAGACTACAACTCCCATCATCCCTCACCATTGGCTACAGTCACTGATGGGACTTGGAGTCCAGCAACTTCTGGAGCGTCACAGGTACTCTGTCCCTGATTTAATGGGAGATGCCAGGGATTGGCAGATTAAGTTGGTGGATTATGCCAAATTGGCAAAAATGACCGGAAGAATCAGAAATCAGGAAGAATAATAAGGGATGGGGAAAAATTTATAATTTCTCTTAAAAACCATTGTAAACTGTTGGAACGGTTAGTAGGACTGGAATAACACTTGTAGTTTAATGGTGAATTTTGGACATAACGGAGATGTAAAAGATTTGGATTATCGTGAAAGATGCAGGAGGAAATGGCTAACAATAGGACCCACAAAGAGGAGGAGGAAAGTCTGGGAGATTCTTTGGAATCTTGTTTTTATGTTGTATATTGGATATGTGACTGTAAAACTTTGATCTGAAAGCAAAATAAACAAATGATGATGATGATGATGATGATGGAAGCAGTTGCTCTGACCCTAAACTCCATGTAGGAGCAAAAAGACATGAACCAGGCAGGACTCGGGAGTCAGGCTACAGGGCTGGCATTCCTACTACAGGCCTCTATGCTGTGAACTGCCCTGATGTCTGCGGATGGAGGGCAGTATACAAATTGCATTAATAATAATAATAATAATAATAATAATAATAATAATAATATGCAACTGGTTTTGCTGATTAAGACTCAGCAGTCTCCTTCCCATTCATGAAACTGGAAGCCCTGGGCCCTCTTAAACCCAAAGCGGAAGTGTTGCTCCTGGACCATGGATGAGGGAGTCTGTGTGGCCCTCCAGGCGGTGCTGGACTCCAACTCCCATCAGCCCCTGCTGTTGGCCAAACTGGCTGCAGGGGCTGATGGGAGTTGAAGTCCAACACCGGGTAGAGTTTAGCCAGGCCCTTTTAATCCACGACATACGCAGGGCTTTAATATACTGTGATCAAAAACCGAGGAGAGGAAATGAGGTAATTAGGCATGTAATCATAACCATAACAACAACAGAAACAACACTTTGGGCGCCTGACAACGACTCCAGTCCAGAAAAACTGACAATCTAGCACCCGCCAGATGCTGTTGAACTACAACTCCCATCTCCCCCTGACCACTAGGCTGCGCAGCCTGGGGGCTGATGGGAGTTGGGAGCCCCACAACCTCTGGAGGGGCCAGGGGTCACCCCCCCATCCCTGTAAGAAAGAAATGTGCCTGGATGACATAACTATTTATATTTATTTATAAAGGTCTGGATCCAAAAACTCTCTCAGATCGGATCTCTCCCCCAGGTGCAGAAGACATTAGAGGCAATATATGAGAAATGTTTTCTCACGGAATCTCTCTGACAGCCTTTTTCATGCCTTTGTCTTTTCTGATGGCCTTTGTTCCCAAATGCAGCAGACCCCAGACCGTTCCATACAGCCTGGTTTCTTGATTTCTTTTTCACCCTATTGAACATCTGCCTCTGGCAATAAAAAATATAAAAATGCAATAAATCTGAAGTGAATTGGCTTTAAAAAAAGAAAGAAATATCTCGAGTGGATTGGCATTTATTAAAAAGAAAAGGGCTGGACTGCAGTCCTGTCTCTGCACCCCTATTCCTTAGGAACGTAGCCCTGAGCAGGTAAAAATTAAAATAAATATCAATGCACCCGCGGATCAGTTTGCTTGTGAGTTCCTTCGCTCCACAGACCCGTGGAGATTAAAAATGGCAACAAGGACATAAAGCTTCTTGTATCCAATTTCAGGGCCTCGGATCTTACCTCTGGACACAGAAATAAACAGGCCACATTGCTGGCATCCTCCCCCTTCTTTTTGCAAACCCGATCTCAGATACACACCCACCCGCACCCCAAAATGCACACCCTTCAGTTGCATATTGTGAAACTTACCAGGGGCTGCAGCAAGGCTCCCCCACGGAGACAGCCGCGCCCCGCAAGCCGTGCAAAATAAAATGCATGGGAAGCCCAGGCAGCCCCTTGCAGAGTCGATCATTTAAGGCAGGACGGGATCCCCTTTCCTGTCTTTCCCAGCGCAACCTCCGGGGCCCCCTGGTGGCCGCACGAGGTATAAAATCGTAAAGTTGGAAGGGAACCCTAGAGTCATCTAGACCAACCCCCCGCAATGCAGGAATCTCAGAGAAAGCATCCCTGACAGAGGGCCATCCAACATCTGCTTAAAAGCCTCCAAGGCAGAAGAGGCCACAACCTTCCGGGGGAGCCTGTAGTGACCTCGGAAAGTTTCACAGGCCAGGGGGGAGGATACAGGTGTGCAATGTTTTCCACCCCCAGTTAGAGGGACTCTTTGCTTTTTATACTCCGAGTGAGGAAAATCAAAAGCTGCCTTACAGAATTGTAGAATCGTAGACTTGGAAGACAAACCTAGACAGCATCTTAAAAAGCAGAGACATCACCTTGTCAACAAAGGTCCGTATAGTTAAAGCTATGGTTTTCCCAGTAGTGATGTATGGAAGTGAGAGCTGGACCATAAAGAAGGCTGATCGCCAAAGAATTTATACTTTTGAATTATGGTGCTGGAGGAGACTCTTGAGAGTCTCATGGACTGCAAGAAGATCAAACCGATCCATTCTGAAGGAAATCAGCCCTGAGTGCTCACTGGAAGGACAGATCCTGAAGCTGAGGCTCCAATACTTTGGCCACCTCATCAGAAGAGAAGACTCCCTGGAAAAGACCCTGATGTTGGGAAAGATGGAGGGCACAATGAGAAGGGGACGACAGAGGACAAGATGGTTGGACAGTGTTCTCAAAGCTACCAGCATGAGTTTAACCATACTGTGGGAGGCAGTGGAAGACAGGAGTACCTGGCGTGCTCTGGTCCATGGGGTCACGAAGAGTCAGACACGACTAAACGACTAAACAACAACAGACTTGGAAGCGATCCCAGAGGTCATCTTGTTGAAACCCCCCCCCCAAAATAAAATAAAAATAGTGCAGGAATCACAACTAATGCATCCCTGACAGATGGCCCTCTGTTTAAAAATTTCAGTCCGCCACCTTCTGAGGGAGTCTGTTCCACTATCAGAAAGTTTTCTCCTGCTTCACAGGGTGAGAGCCAAACCAATAGCTTCAGGTTACAAGAAAGGAGATTCCGACTAAACACCAGGAAGAACTTTCCGACTGTGAGAGCTGCTTGACAGTGGAAGGGGCTCCCTTGGGAGGTTGTGGCCTCTCCTTCCTTGGAGGTGTTTAAAGCAGAGGTTGGATGGCCACCCGTCATGAATGCTTTAGCTGAGATTCCTGCATTGCAGGGGGTTGGACTAGATGACCCTTGGGGTCTCTTCCAAGTCTACTATTCTATGGTCCCCAGAAAAGGCAAGTGGTTTGGCTCCTGTGAGCACAGCAAGGTGGACAAGATGGGCCACTAGCCTGATCCAGGTGAAGGCTCCTCTGAAGGATGATGATGGTGATGATGATGATGATATTTATCAAATTTATATACCACTCTATACCCGGAGGTCTCAGGGCAGTTCACAGAAAACATCAACATAAAAACCACAATACAGTGGTACCTCGGGTTAAGTACTTAATTCGTTCCGGAGGTCCGTTCTTCACCTGAAACTGTTCTTAACCTGAAGCACCACTTTAGCTAATGGGGCCTCTTGCTGCCTCCGGAGCACGATTTCTGTTCTCATCCTGAAGCAAAGTTCTTAACCCGAGGTACTATTTCTGGGTTAGCAGTCTGTAACCTGAAGCGTTTGTAACCCAAGGTACCACTGTACGTATATATAATCAAAATAAAAACAACAACCCAATAACACCCCCACCCCCAAAAAACCCACATTTTAAAAGGGTATAGGATGTCAATCAGATCAAAGACCTGGTTAAATGGGAACGTTCTTGCCTGATAATTAATAATAATAATAATACAGCAGCAGCAGCAGCAGCAAAGGAGAGCTTTCTTCATTTCCATGCAGGTTGGGCTTTATCATGAAACCAACAGGCTCTCTTCCTCCTGCTGCACAGCACAGCACACAAACACACAACACTCTTTCTCAGGCATAAGCACACAAACGCACACAGGGAAGGCAGAAGGCAGCTCCGCCCTGCTTCGGAGCGGCTCTCTCAGGGTTAAGCGCAGCGAGTTCGGAGTGCTAGAGCGGACAGTCCTCCCGCCCCCGGGCCCTCCACCCGCACGTGCCGGGGAGAAGGAGGAGGAGGCGGCGGCGGCGCGGGGACTTCCTGGCCCGCCCACCGTGGGGAGGCGGACTTTGGCGGACTCCGGGAGCCTCTTGCCGGCGGGTTGAGAGGAGCGGAGGAGGGAGGCGGCTCCGGGCTGGTCTTCTGCAAGCAGGTGCTTCTTTGGGTTCAGTCCTTGGCCGCGACCCCCTTCCGTGGGGAAGGGAAGGGTCTCAAAGCCCCCGCCGCGCCCCTTAGGATACTAGGGTGCCCAGGTGCGGAAAGAGGGCAGGGGTCCTGCACCTGGAATGGTTGTTCAACAGGTGCAGCTGCCAGGGCTCCAGAAGGAGGAGGTGCAGCAGCATTTTTTATCATTTTTAATGGGATTTGTGAACTCCTTAAATCTTAAAAAAGAAATCCCAAGCACCTCACTTAAAATAAAACGTACATTTAAAAAGTACTGGTAAAAGTCAGTTTTGTTTTGTTTTTTAAAAAAAGGTTGATCTTTTAAAATGCAAAATATAAATGAATCAGCATGGTAAAATGAAATTATATGCTAAGATACAAGTCGGCTTTGCAAAATACCGTCACTGTTCTGATAAAACTGATCATAGCTCTACGTAGTTGCATAGAAGACAGCTGTTCAGCAGGTGCAGCTGTCAGGGCTCCTACAACAATTAATTTCATTTTAATGGGATTTGTAAACGGCTTAAATCTTTAAAACTGCCAAGCACCTTGCTTAAAATAAAAAAGACATTAAAAAGTATCAATAAAAGTCAGATTTAAAAACAAGCTGACCTTAAAAATAAAACAACAAACTATCAATAAATTAGCAGTTTAAAATATACATTGTAAAATAAAGTGATATGTTAAAATGCAAGTCAACTTTACAGCAGTATTCTGGAGCAAAATACCATCACTATGCTGATAACACCCAGTCATAGCTGTGTACAGTTGCTTAGAAGTTCAGCAAGTGTAGCGTTCAGGGCTCCTGCACCATTAATGGTTGTGTAGAAGGAGGAAGTTCAGCAGGTGCAGCTTGTGGGGCTCCAGCACTTTTCACATCTGTGTAGAAAAAGTAATGCCAGGCAGTGTAGCTTGCTCTGCAAGTTCTGGCTTCCCCAGCTTTTAAAAGGGATCTTGAATTGACTTGTAGCAATGAGAAAAGAGAAAACCTTCCTTCCTTATAAGGTGCAATGATGGCCACTGACATACAGATACCTTTAAAAAAGGATCAGGTAAATTAGTAGAGGATAAGACCATTGATGTCTCCTAGCCACAATGGCAACGTTCTCCCTCCATTGTCAAGCATTCTTTGGGAAGAGGGATTGATTTTTAAGCCATTCCAGGAATTGTAGATCCATGACAGGGATAGGGTTTCTCATAACAATACTTAGCACCATTAACAAACCACTTCCCAAAATTCTTCCTATACCGCCTTAAGTGTTTAGTTCAGATGGGGCCCGAGGCTGTAGGTTTTGTCTAATGTGTCTTTGTTGTCTTTCCCTTCCATTAGGGAGAAGCCTCCTTTCCTTAACCCAGATTCCTAAATTCTGTCTGTATAAGAAATCTTCTCTACCTGTGGACTTCTCTGAAAACAACTGGCCACTGCAGGTCAGGCAGCAGTGGAAAATGGCAGCAGAGCGCGGCGATGTATCGACACTGGGTGTAAAGTTAAAGTCTGCCCCCTGGACTACAATTAAAGTTGAGGAGCCGGACCCAGAAACGGAGCAGAGTCTGGTTCTTGAGATCCAGGAAGGGAGCACTAGAGGATTCTGGGAAAGAACCGTTCCGCCACAGGCAAACCGGGAAGGCAACGAAGAGGTGCAGCGGAGCTGGGAAGCTCAACTTCAGGGCTTTGTGAAGGCGCTCGAGTCCCCTCATTTGGACAGGGGCCGCTCTCAACCGCCACGGCCCACCCCGCAGGACAATTGCGTTAGGGAGGTGGCTGGAGGACAAAGGGCCACCAAACTCCCGCCAGGCCTCTGCTCGGAGGAGTCACACAAAACCCTGCTGCCCCAAGATGGGGCAGGCGGCGGGACAGTGAAGGAAGAGGCTCCGGAGGGGGAGACGGTCGCTGAGGATACTCTGCGGCTGCGCTTCAGACATTTCTCCTGCCGCGAAGCGGAGGGGCCGCGGGACGTGTGCCGGAGGCTCCGCGAACTTTGCCATCGGTGGCTGAAGCCTGAAAGGCGTACCAAAGAGGAGATTGTGGAGCTGGTGGTCTTGGAGCAGTTCCTAGCCCTTCTCCCGAAAGAAATCCAGAGCAGGATCAGGGCCTGGGACCCAGAGACTTGCTCCCAGGCAGTGGCCTTGGCGGAAGATTTCCTGATGAGTCAGCGGCAGGATGAGGAGGAAGAAAAGAAGGAGGTAGCTGGGTTTGATAACTGAGTGGTCCTCGTCCAGCCTTGCTTTATTTTGTTTATTCCGGGGATGGGAAACCACGGTCACCTTCCAGTTCTTTGCCAGACTTCAACTCCCATCAGCCGCAGCCAGTGTGACCAATAGGCATTGGATGATGGGAGTTGTAGTCCAGGGATTATTTAACTGTAAGCCACTTTGGGGGCGCAAGAACACTGAGTAATGGCTTTGTCCTTCTCTGTGCAGGATTAGCCAGTGTGGTGTAGTGGTTAAGAGTGGTGGACTCGTAATCTGGTGAACCGGGTCCGATTCCCTGCTCCTCCACATGCAGCTGCTGGGTGACCTTGGGCTAGTCACACTTCTCTGAAGTCTCTCAGCCTCACTCACCTCACAGAGTGTTTGTTGTCGGGGAGGAAGGGAAAGGAGGTTAGGGTAGTGATAAGGCGGGATATCAAATCCAAACTCCTCCTCCTCTTCTTCTTCAGATCACTCATCAAGATGGAAAGGCCAGGGCTCAGTGGCAGAGTTTCCTGACCTCTCTCATAATGCCAAAACTCATGGCCTGAATGTTGGAAGTTTCAGAACAGACAAAAGAAAGAGTTAAACTGTGGAACTCGCTGCCACAAGAAGCGGCAATGGCCACCAACCTAGATGACTTTAAAAGAGGACTAGACGCATTCATTGAGGAGAGGGCTCTCAATGGCCATTAGCTATGATGGCTGTGCTCAGCCGCCACAGTGAAAGGCAGTAATGCTTCTGAACACCAGTTGCTAGAAAGAGACGGGGAAAGGGCTCTTGTGCTCAGATCCTGCTTGTGAGGCAGCTTGTTGGCCCCGTGAGAACAGGATACTGATCCAGCAGGCTCTTCATATATATATTTGCAGAATATACATGTAGGTATCTGTTCAGAATGAGACCAAGAGCATCAAGTGATACTGAGGACAATCCTAGCAACGTTTTCCAGTGTATTTCTTATCAACAAAAAAATGTGGTGCAGTGTGTGAGCACATTTTTATTCTGGAAAGTGTGGCCCAGAGAAAAAAGTTTGAGAACCACTGATCTAGGAGGAAGCCCATGAGTTCTAGTGGTACAAAACACAGGGAGAAAAACCTTTATCTTGCCTGCTTTCCCTGCTCCTCTGTTACGTTCCCCTGCCTAACTTGCCTTTTCCCTTAACTAAATATATAGGCACCTGTCAATGAGATGCTGTTTCTCAATGCTGTTTCAGGTAATGAGGTCATCCAGGGATAAGCCAGATAGTCTTCCTACGGCAGAAGCGGAACCCCTGGACTTGTGCCAGCAGACGCCAGCCCTGAAGGAGATCAAACAAGAGGAGGACTTGGACGTTACCATGCAGGGTAAGGACCTTTTCTGTTACTGGATTCACAGTTTCCAATTAGGGGCTTCGTCAAAAGACATTTGATGAATCTGGCATACGGTTCTGGTATGAATGTTTCCCCACCACCACCCTAATTTTGCCGCTTGCCGAATTCTGCACATGCTATAGGGCTGGGTGCTTTATCAAATATCGCTGAAAACTGGTTTGAATTCCATATTGTCTTATCAGTTTCATAGTTTTTGACTTAGCAATGTATTGCGAATCATGATACGTGTTTGTGCGCGCGCTATGCAAAAATCGCAATGTGGGGAAAACCGTGACCATCCTCATTTCAGACATTGTGATATATCAGTACACTCGTACCTTGGAAGTCGAACAGAACCCGTTCTGGAAGTCCGTTTGACTTCCGAAACGTTTGACTTCCAGAGCGCAGGAAGCTCCTGCAGCCAATCGGAAGCCGCAGAAGCCCTGTCAGACGCAGTTAAAAATGCCGTCGCCATTTTGGGAGGCACTGTCGGAGCTCTTGAGTCTGGGAGGAGAAAGAGAGAAACAGAGTTGTTTACATATCGTGGACTAACTCCTCAGTGGGACTTAAGAGTGACAACTGCCTAATTTATGATGGAAAGAGCGATGTTATCTACGAAGGAGATGATATATGGAAACCATCTGGACTTAGATTGGAAGAACGGGAAATTCACACAGGATTATTATATTTGCTTATCGGCTTAAGGAGATTAACAGAAGAGATCGTAAAGGAAAAAGAGAAATTATATGAACAAGATATGATGTGGAAACACCAAGATAAGATTGGATAGAACTATGAACTCTGTTTGGACTGATTGGGACTGATTTGGACATTAATGCAGTAATAAGAAGATGATTTGAATCCCCCTTTGGATCTTGAAGTATGGGTTCCCCCAACAAAATTTAAAAATTTGGCTTTGTAATTTGGAACGTATGTGATGTGATTTAATTTGATGTGATTGGCCAGTTAATAAAAATTATTATAAAAAAAAACCAAAAAAAACCAACAGAAGCCCCGTCAGACGTTCGGCTTCCAAAAGAACGTTAAAAAACCAGAACAATCACTTCCGGTTTTTGATCATTCAGGAGCCAGAACGTTCAACTCCCAAGGCGTTTGGGAGGCAAGATACGACTGTATATCACAATGTTTAGCTGGTGATATCTCACAAAGTTGAAAAGCAGCTCCATCCTTAATCCAGATCTTGTGCTATATCTGAATATCGTGATGTTTAGCCAGTGATATATTGTCATGTTGAAAACTGGATATCGCCCAGCCTAACACACTGGAAGGTCCCTTTGAACTCTATGATTCTATGACTCAAGGGGGCTGCACCTCTTATCATCCCTGACTGTGGGTCTTGCTGGCTATGCTCTGGCGGAGGCAGTGGGAACCACAGGAGGGGAGAGAGCTCTTGGGCTCAGATCCGGCTTGCAGGTTCCCCCAGGCATGGTTGACCGCTGTAAGAACTGCTGGACTAGGTGGGCCATTGGCAGGATCCTGCAGCTGGGCTCTTGTTACATTCTCATGGCTGTGGAGGCTGATGGGAACTGGATTCTTCACTACATATGAAATAGATCAGGGGTCAGCAAACTTTTTCAGCAGGGGGCCGGTCCACTGTTCCTCAGACCTTGTGGGGGGCGGACAATATGGGGGGGGTGGAATTAACGAATTCCTATGTCCCACAAATAATCCAGAGATGCATTTTACATAAAAGGGCACATTCTACTCATGTAAAAACACGCTGATTCCCCGACTGTCCGTGGGCCAGATTTAGAAGGCGATTGGGCCGGATCCGGCCCCTGGGCCTTAGTTTGCCTACCCATGAAATAGATCACCAGGAGGAATGGAAATGGGATGGAGCAGCTGCAATTCTGGCAGAACAAAGGGTGGCATTCAACGTCACACTGAGTTAAAGGTCCCCCAGCGGTCTACGAGTTGTGCTTGCACAAGAGAAGGCCACGGATCTCACAGCTGGTTTCAAAACTGATCGCTGTAGCCGCTGATACTTCTAGTTGCACAACTGTTTTGCTGGATGTCTTAGCTTGCAACCGTTATTCTTGCCCTTACATTGGTGGACAAGAGAGCATTGAATCTGGACCATAGGTAGGATTCAGCTTTCTCAGAATAGACCCATTGACATGAATGAACATGACTAAGTTTGTTCTGTTAATTTCAGTGGCTCTGCTCTGCATAAAATCTAGTTGAATAACACCTGTAATATACCTTTTCTGCTCATTTTAATTCTTTGTCTTTATATGTATGTCAGCATAGATATCTCTGCTAACAAATAATCCCCGTTCTCAAATCTTTGCTGCAGGGCTTGGGTGTATTGTTCTTAGTATTTGATTTGGATTTCAATAAAGTTCTACATGGGGATCCGAGGATATCTTCTTTATTCAGGTCTCCTGTTGTTTTATTAAAATGTGATTCGAGGATCCCTTTTCCACTGTTCAGGAGATCATTTAGTTTCTGCATTCTCCCCCTTTGTATTCTAGAAAGTAATTTGAGGAAGGAGAAGACCCATACAGAAGTCTCTGGAGACGTGCAGCCATATTGGATGTCGTCAGGGAGCTGCGACCAGCACATTTCCCCCCATCCTGATTTTTGGGAAGCCTCCGAGAGACGCATGGGAAGTGGACCCGAGAATGAAAGCTTGATTCATTGTCCTCAAGGCTGTTGCAAACAATTCAATGGAACAAGCAACCACCAGAGAATCTTCAAAGGCGAGGGACGGATCTCTTGCACTGAGTGTGGGCAGCTTTGCAGAAGCGATCATGGTGAAGATTGGAGAATGCACTTGGAAGAGAAGCCTTACGAGTGCTCGGATTGTGGGAAAAGGTTCAGCCGGAAAGCCGACCTTGTCAGTCATCAGAGAATACACACGGGGGAGAAACCCTACAAATGCCCAGACTGCGGGACCAGCTTCAGCGACTGCTCGAGCCTCAGCAGGCACCGCAGGACCCACAGCGACGAGAGGCCCTACATCTGCTCGGAGTGTGGGAAGAGCTTCGCTCAGAGAGCAAACCTTATTAAGCATCACCGGACCCACACAGGGGAGAGGCCTTATACCTGCTTAGAGTGCGGGAAGAGCTTCAGCCAGCAGTCGAACCTGATCTTGCACAGGAGAACCCACACAGGAGAGAGGCCCCATAAGTGCCCTGAGTGCGGGAAAGGCTTCAGCCGGAGGTCGCACCTCCGTGTCCACGAGAGAGCCCACACCGGAGAGAAGCCGTTCCTGTGCTCGGTTTGCGGGAAAGGCTTCAGCCGGAGGCCTAAGCTGGTGACGCACCAGAGAATCCACACGGGAGAGAAACCGTACGAATGCTCTGACTGTGGCAAAGGTTTCACGGGAGCCTCTAGTCTGAACAGGCATAAGCGGATTCATTCCGGGCAGATCCCACAGGTCACCCCACGGCAACTGATTTTTAACAGAAGCCATGTTTTGAACTGAGCAACGGTTTTGAGATGTTTAGTAGGCCTCAAAAACCTACAGTGTTCAGGAGGCCCCAAAGGCCTACAAGCCCCAATGACCCACTTCTATGCACAGTGGACTCTGGTGTCGTGGTTTGAGCGTCCGGCTAAGACTGTGAATATCCGAGGTTGTAGTCAATTCACTCCCAGCCTGAGCGGACCCATTGAAACGAAAGAACCTACACCAGTCATGTCCGTTAACGTCTGTGTGTCTACTCTGAGTAGGACTAGCATTGAATACGACCGCTGGGATCAAATCCCCACTCAGCCATAAGGCTTCCTTAGGGGACCTTGGGCTAGGGCAGTGGTTCCCAAACTTTTTCGGGTCACTGCCCTCTTGGTTCCATAAGCTCACCCCCCCAGTGCCCCCTACACTATGAAAGGCATTATTCAGAATAGCGGTTTCCACGACCCGCTGAGGAAGATAACAACACAATCAAATTCAAAACAGGAACAATTAATTGCACAGATATTCTAAATCCAGTTAAAACTATTTCGTAGCGTTGGAAGGGACCCTGAGGGTCATCCAGTCCAACTCCGTGCAATAATTTAGTTGAATTCAACAAAATTGATTAACTTGATCCCCTGATGCCAGCTTTTCAAAGTCTGCTGGTCACTTACACTTCCTGTGTATATTGTTGTTCTTTACATTTTAAGCAATGTGCTCCTTGTATTCTCTTTCCTCCACCCCGGCATCCCTTAGAGTCTGCTTGAATTTATTTTGCCACAAGTTTGTGTTCCATTTTGTTCCCTACATTTGAACAAGACTTACGTTTTCTGAAAGATGCCTTCTTGCCTCAAATAGTTTCCTTGACTCTGCTCATTAACCACGCTGGCATCCTCTTGGCTCTGGTGGCACCTTTCCAATTTATTCTAGCTGAGCTTCTGTTATTGAGGTTTTGGTGCCGCCCCACTTTGGGACAGAGATTTGACCCCTTTGGCTTTCCTTTTCAAAATTCTTTATACTAATTCCTTAGTTTTTGTAAGGTTCCTCAATTTGAAGTCAAACATGACTGAGTTGGACCTCCTTGGCCTTTGTTCAGTCATAAATATATTGGATTTGATAGCGCTTGGGTCGGCATTTCCAGTTGGTTCAATACCACTTAAGTATCCTGCCCCAAAGTCCTAAGCAGCACTTAAGATCTCAGCCTAGACTGCCTCACAAGGTTGTTGGTAAGGGGAAATCCTTGCAAGGTGGGGTATAAAAATGTAATAAAACACATAAAATAAGTAGAAAACCAACGTATGGGCAGTGATGTGCGATCCCCTCCCCTGGAAAAGTGGATTTTGTGTGATCCCTTGGCATATTCACTTAATGAGGGGTGAACGATGCATGTGTGAACTTGCCGCAAGAAGGTGATTTCAGGGGCATCTGGGGAGCTTACAGATGGCACTTGAAGCATGAATGGGGAGCCGGTGCCCCTCAATATGTTGCTGGACTCCATTTCCCATCATCCCTGACCATTGGCCATGCTGGCAGGGCCTGATGGGAGCTGGAATACAACAACATCCCGAAGGCCACAGGCTCCCCATTCCTGGATTAAAACATCCACTGTATATTTTGGAATCTTGTTTGTCTGTTTAATGTGCATTTTTGGACACCTCTTAAGATCATTGTGACCTAATTTCCAATTACTGTCCCTGAGTTCAACACACAGGCTTTCTTCCGTGTTTGGATACAGCTGGATGCCATTTTGAATCAAGATGGCTGACTAGACCCTTCAGAACAACACTGATTTAAAAACTGCAGTGATTTTGTTGTGGTCGTTGTTACTTAGGGTTGTATCCAGTGCTGGTCCTACTCAGAGTAGACGGATTGAAGTGAATGGGCATGACTAACTTAGGTCCATTAATTTCAGTGCGTCTACACTGAGTAGGACTTTGCTAGATATAGCCCTTAGGATTCCAGAGGATTGCCTGTGCATGAGGCTGCTAGTCAGTAAATAAAGTCCTGCTTATCCAGAAAGTTCCTTTCCAGTTGTCCTTCTGTTCTCTGGCTTCCATAATAAATGCCCATAACCAACTGTTCCCTGGGTTCATTCCCTTCCCTTCTCTCTTTAGGGTCTAAAAATCCTTTGCAGTGGACTTAGGCCCAATCTGTACTATACATTTCAAGCAGTACTGGAGCTCTTCAAGCAGTCGTGGCTTCCTGCAAAGAATCCTGGGAAGTGTAGTTTTTTTTTAAAAGGGGGGGCTGAGAGTTGCTAGGAGACCCATAATGCCCATTCTAGACTGTAAAAGTGGCAGCTTTTACACTTCAGAACTCCCTGCTCATTGACATTCGGCAGGTGCCTTTTCAGCACCTGCTAAAATCTTTTGTGTTTAGGGAATCCTACCTGGACATGTAAAATTGATGTGCGTTTTAATCTGGAGTACTAGTTTAGAATGTATACTTTTTAAACTCCTGGCTCCAGTCACCTTTTTATATAAACTTGCTATTAACATTGATTTCTACAGACATTTTTCATCTGCTTTGTAAACCGCTTAGGGGTTTCATTTGCAGTCAAGTGGTATACAACTTTTGTTGAATGAATAAAATGCAAATACAGTCAAACCTCAGTTCCTGAACAGCTCTGTTTTCGAACGTTTTGACTCCCGAACGCCGAAAATGCTCAGTTTTTTGAAGATTTTTCGGAAGCCAAACGTCCAACACGGCTTCCGCTTGAGTGCAGGAAGCTCCTGCAACCAGTCAGAAGCCGTGCCTCAGTTGTTGAACGTTTCGGAAGCCAAACAGGCTTCCGGAACGGAGTATGTTCAACAACTGAGGTTTGACTGTAGTACAGCCTGTGTCAACTGAGGAGAGCTGTAGGCCAGGCACAGGAAACCTGTCCACTCTCCAGATGTTGCTGAACTACAACTCCCATCATACTCTGCCATTGGGGGCAGATGGGAGATGTAGTCCAGCGACATCGGGCAGACCAAAGGCTCCCTGCCAGTGTTAGAAACTCAGCGTATAAGTTAGGCGCCAAATTTCTATGATCTCAGCTACATTGCTTGACTGTAACTTGCTATTACAATTCATTGGCCCCAGTATGCAAGGAGAAACACACAACGGAAATGGTACTGAAGATGGGCTAAGGCCGAGGTTTTTAAACTGTGGTCGCCAACCTGGTGCCCACACACCATCATGCAATTGCAATTAGACCCTTGCCAGTAGCAAAACACGCCTGGGGAATTTCTAACATAGCTCCCTGCACCTGCACAAAGGTTTATGCCTTGATAATCATGCCTCCAGCAAGAGAGAGCCTCGGAAAATTAAATGATTGAAATGATAGCGTTTGAGAGATGTAAGGGAGCTTGTAGGTGGTCCAGACTAGCCTTCGCCAACCCAGTGCCCTGCAGACGTTTTGAAACACAAATCCCATCCCCCACTGGACTACTGTGCTGCCTTCCATGTGGGGTCTCCTTTGCGCTTGATCCAGAAGCTGCAGCTAGCGCAAAATGCGTCCGCTCGGTTACTGACAGGAGTGAGACTCTGTCTGCACATGATGCCTCCGCTCAGAGATCTTCCCATTTGCAAACAGGCCAAGTTCAAGGTGTTGCTATTCGGCCCTTAACACCTTGGGAGCAGTTTGCTTTCCGGATCGCCTTACCATATTTGACCACTTCATTCTGCAGAATCGGCACTTGTCACGGGTGCCACATACGGTAATACCCATTCTGCAGGTGTAAGAAATCTTTTAGCATGGCAGCATTTACACTTTTGACACCAGGCAGGCAATTTTGCTGTATTCTTTTTGGCACCTGTTTGAAACATTTTTGTGAGGCAAGCATAGCCAGACATGTAGAAGGTACCTGTATTTTATCTTTTTTTTTATCTTTTGAATGCTTTTGAATTTTGGTTTTATCAATAATTTAAATTTTTAGAGGGTTTTTTTTAAAAGCAACAAAGCAGTTTATAAATTAAAGGTAAAGGGACCCCTGATCATTAGGTCCAGTCGTGGCCGACTCTGGGGTTGCGGCGCTCATCTCGCTTTACTGGCCAAGGGAGCCGGCGTACAGCTTCCGGGTCACGTGGCCAGCATGACTCAGCCGCTTCTGGCGAACCAGAGCAGCACACGGAAACGCTGTTTACCTTCCCGCCAGAGCGGTACCTATTTATCTACTTGCACTTTGACGTGCTTTCGAACTGCTAGGTTGGCCGGAGCAGGGACCGAGCAACGGGAGCTCACCCCGTCACGGGGATTCAAACCGCGGACCTTCTGATCGGCAAGTCCTAGGCTCTGTGGTTTAACCCACAGCGCCACCCGCGTCCCAATGTTTATAAATTAAGTAATCATAAATAAAGTCTTTTGCAATCCAGCCTAGCTCAATACAGGATGCAACTACACCGTCTCTTGACAGATGTCTCTCCAGACTGTGCTTAAATTTTCTAACAGGATAATCTTGTACATGTTGACTCAGAAACAAGCCTCATCATATAAATGCCATCTGTGGAAAAAGCTTCCGACATCAATCACAACTTACCAGAAAAGGGGAACAATGAATTAGGGGAGCAACTCCCCTTTGTGGAAAGGTTGCAACACTGGGGCCTTTTGGTTGAGAGGAAAGGCGAGGAAGAGGGAACAGGCTAGAGGCGCATACAGTTTTGTGCAGTGTGGAGAAAGCACTAAAATTTGTCATCATCCAACGAAGCTGAATGTTCTGGAATCCTGCGCCGCCCAGGCCACGTGACGCAGAGGAGGAGGTGGTGCGCAGGTGCAAGGCAAGAGCATGGGACCAAAAAACGGGACATTCTGGGATGCAATCAGAAGCCACGATGGGTTTCTGTAATTGTCCCTGACAAATTGGGATAGTTGAGCGATAGGACTCTCCAGTCAGGCAAAAGCACCTGAGGGGGAGGGGGGAGCAAGGCTGGTGAGGGACATGTCCCCAAGTGTCACATAGAGTGTCCTGGAAAGCCACACCTGGCACAAAGGCTGGAAGTTTCCCATCTCTATCAGAGGTAAAGGTAAAGGGACCCCTGACCATTAGGTCCAGTCGTGACCGACTCTGGGGTTGCAGCGCTCATCTCGCTTTATTGGCCGAGGGAGCCGGCGTACAGCTTCCAGGTCATGTGGCCAGCATGACTAAGCTGCTTCTGGCGAACCAGAGCAGTGCACAGAAACACCGTTTACCTTCCCGCCGGAGCGGTACCTATTTATCTACTTGCACTTTGACGTGCTTTTGAACTGCTAGGTTGGCAGGAGCAGGAACTGAGCAACGGGAGCTCACCCCGTCACGGGGGATTCAAACTGAGCGGGGATTCGAACCGCCAACCTTCTGATCGGCAAGTCCTAGGCTGTGTGGTTTAACCCACAGCGCCACCCGCATCCCTATCTCTATCATACAGGATTAAAAAAAACCAAGAGTAGATTCCTAGACTCAGCCAAACCACGCTGCCTCTTGTCTGATGGAGTGAAGCCTTTGCTTCCTGTTCCTCACACACTCGCTGCATCATGGGATGGGAGGTTATGGGCTGTTCTTATTTTTATTTTTTATGTGTTTTTATATTGTGATTTTATCTTGGGAACAGCGCAGAGACCTGCGGAATTGAGTCATCTGCTTGGACACTCTGAGAACAGGAAACTGAACTTGATGTACCATTGACCTCCTGCAGGCTTTTCTCACTTTCTGATTTACTGTTGAATGTGGCGCAAGTTTGTGTTGGCGTGTGTGGCTGTACTGTGAATTGAACGTTGCCCTTTGTGGCTTGTCCAAGTTACCCAAGATTGATCGCAAGGCTGATGGAGCAATAAACATGTCCTTCTGTGAATGTGTATGTGCTAGCCACCTTGACAGGAGCACCTATGTGGCCTAATAATAATAATACTTTTAATAATACAGTGGTACCTTGGGTTAAGAACTTAATTCATTCCGGAGGTCCGTTCTTAACCTGAAACTGTTCTTAACCTGAAGAACCACTTTAGCTAATGGGGCCTCCTGCTGTTGCCGTGCCTCCAGAGCACGATTTCTGTTCTCATCCTGATTTAAAAGTTCTTAACCCGAGGTACTATTTCTGAGTTAGCAGAGTCTGCAACCTGAAGCGTATGTAACCTGAAGTGTATGTAACCCGAGGTACCACTGTGATTTTTTAATTAATACCCCACCCATCTGTCTGGGTTTCTCCAGCCACTCTTGGCAGCTTCCAGCAAAATATAAAAACATAATAAAATGTCAAACATTAAAAACTTCCCTAAACAGGGCTGCCTTCAGATGTCTTCTAAAAGTCAGATAGTTGTTTATTTCCTTGACATCCACAGGGACGGTGCCACAGCCGGTTGTGCAAGGCAAGGACCAATTTCCCTCACCCGATCCCATTGTAACAGTTCTCTTTCCCCCACTCCAAGCTTTCCAGAGTAGTTTTCGGTCATGCATTTTACTACCCAAGACAGGCTCGTTTCTTTATTAGTATCACCAACAATGTACAAACGAATAAAAACCAATAGCAGGATTTGCTTCCTCGTTCTTTTAAAAATTCATTTGAAGAATATACATTCCCTGGTGCGACAAGAACTGCCTTCCAGGGTCTTGAACAACTGTGATTGTGTTATTCATAACAACAACCCCGGGGTGTAGGCTGGCAATATTTGCCTCCCTTTCTTGGCTAAGTGAACCCAGATCTCTCAGGTCTTAGCCTGAAACTAATAAAACTGGAATGATTTGACAAAGAAAGGATGAAATAAGGCAGTTTTATACATTTTACTTCCACCAGCCCATCTACTTGAAAGAAGTACCCTAGCTGCTTATCTACAAACCCCTTTGGTTGTTGTTTTTTTTAAAAAATAGAAGCTACCAACTGGGACAGAGAGGAGGAAAGGATCCCTCAAAATCCAGGTGACTTTTTGCAGAGAAAGAGGCAGCAAAATAGTCTGAATTATCTGGAGGGAACTAGACTGAAAAAGGCTAATAAAGAGCATGGCTGGGAATGTGCTCTGTGAGCATACAATTTTCATTTTACAGGAGTTTCCACCTATGTGAGTTCTTTAATTGAGATCAGTGGTTCCCAAAATGGGCAGTACCATCCCCTGGGGTGGGGGTGGGATTTCCTAGCTGGGGGCTAAGAGGCAACAGGAGAATTGGAGGGACCCCAGGGGTCATCTAGACCAACCCCCTGCTGTGCAGGAATCACAGCTAAAGCATCCACGACAGACAACCATCCAACCTGTTTAAAAACCTACAACAAAATGGATCAAGTTCACCAGTTTGTTAAATGAATTAAACTAAATCATTCCCAAGCCGGAATTAAGATTGCCGGAAGAAATATCAACAACCTCAGATATGCAGATGAAACAACCTTGATGGCAGAAAGTGAGGAGGAATTAAATAACCTTTTAATGAGGGTGAAAGAGGAGAGCGCAAAATATGGCCTGAAGCTCAACATCAAAAAAACGAAGATCATGGCCACTGGGCCCATCACCTCCTGGCAAAGAGAAGGGGAAGAAATGGAGGCAGTGAGAGATTTTACTTTCTTGGGCTCCATGATCACTGCAGATGGTGACAGCAGTCAGGAAATTAAAAGACGCCTGCTTCTTGGGAGAAAAGCAATGACAAATCTAGAAAAGCATCTTAAAAAGCAGAGACATAACCTTGCCGACAAAGGTCCGTATAGTTAAAGCTATGGTTTTCCCAGTAGTGATGTATGGAAGTGAGAGCTGGACCATAAAGAAGGCTGATCGCCGAAGAATGGATGCTTTTGAATTCTGGTGCTGGAGGAGACTCTTGAAAGTCCCATGGACTGCAAGAAGATCAAACCTCTCCATTCTGAAGGAAATCAGCCCTGAGTGCTCACTGGAAGGACAGATCCTGAAGCTGAGGCTCCAATACTTTGGCCACCTCATGAGAAGAGAAGACTCAATGGAAAAGACCCTGATGTTGGGAAAGATGGAGGGCACAAGGAGAAGGGGATGACAGAGGACCAGATGGTTGGACAGTGTTCTCGAAGCTACCAGCATGAGTTTAACCATACTGTGGGAGGCAGTGGAAGACAGGAGTGCCTGGTGTGCTCTGGTCCATGGGGTCACGAAGAGTCGGACACGACTAAACGACTAAACAACAACAAGTCATTTGAACTGAATTTTAAATCAATGTGCACTTAATTGCTGCTGTTTAGAATTTTATTGTGTTAATCTCTTAAGGGAGTTGTGCAAACTGCTATCCTGAATAATGCTTTTGAAAGGGTGGGGCACTGGGCACAAGTTTATCAAAACAATGGCCTGAAAAAAGTTTGGGAAACGCTGATCTGCAGTACGGACAGGGAAACCTGTGAACCCTCCGAAGTTGTTAGGCTACAACACTCATAATTCCCGACCATCAGCCATGCTGCCTGGGGTTTAAGGGGACTTGATCCAGAGGAGAGCTATGGGTTTCTCTAACTCTAATGTAAAGAACACGTGAATGACATTTGAAGCACATTCCATTTGATCCAGGATGCCCAAGGATTGTGCTGCTATACAGTGGTACCTCGGGTTAAGAACTTAATTCGTTCTGGAGGTCCGTTCTTAACCTGAAACTCCTTAACCTGAGGTAACACTTTAGCTAATGGGGCCTCCTGCTGCCACTGCGCGATTTCTGTTCTCATCCTGAGGTAAAGTTCTTAACCCAAGGTACTATTTCTGGCTTAGCAGAGTCTGTAACCTGAAGCGTCTGTAACCTGAAGCGTCTGTAACCCGAGGTACCACTGTACAGTGTAATCACACGTCAACCCTCTCTCTGGAGCGGAACAGCAGTGCGTCACAACCGGCCGGAATTTCTCAGGAAATGCTCAGGCAGAGCTTTCATCTGTTCCCACAGGAGTTTCTCCACCTTTGTGGGTTATCTGATGCTTAGTCAGGATTGCGCTTCGGCTAAAGCTCTTCCCGCACTGTGAGCACTGGTACGGCTTCTCTCCCGTGTGCACTCTCAGGTGCGAGGTCAGGTGGTCGCTCCGATGGAAGCTCTTCCCGCACTCCGAGCATTTGTACATCTTCTCCTCCGTGTGGATTCTCCGGTGCAAAGTAAGGTGCGGTCTCTGGCTGAAGGACTTCCCACACTCCAGACACTGGTACGGTTTCTCCCCGGTGTGGATCCTTCGATGCAAAGTGAGGTGCGTGCTCTGATTGAAGCATTTCCCGCACTCCTGGCACTTGTACGGTTTCTCCCCGGTGTGGATTCTCTGGTGAGATGTAAGGTGTGTGCTCTGGCTGAAGCTCTGCCCGCACTCCTTGCACTTGTATGGCCTTTCCCCTGTGTGGATGGTGCGGTGGATGGTCAGCCGCCTGCTGTGACTGAAGCTCTTCCCGCACTCCAGGCACGTAAACGGCTTCTCTCCCGTGTGGGTTATTTTGTGGAGGATAAAATAGGTGCTCTGGCTGAAGCTCTTCCCGCACTCCAAGCACTTGTACCGTTTTTCTCCCGTGTGCATCCTCTGGTGCTGAGAGAGATGCCCACTCTGCCTGAAACCCTTCCCGCACTCAAAGCACTGATAGGGCCTCTTCTCGGTGTGGATTCTCTGGTGTACGTTAAGGCGTGACTTAGAACAAAACATTTTCCCGCACACAGGGCACTTGTTCCTTCTCTTTTCCTCCTGCACATCTACTTGGGCTGGGGCTTCGTGGGCCTCCCCATCTTTGCTGGCATTGGACGGACTCCCGCGCTTATCTCTGGCGGGCGTTTTCCTGCTTTGCTGCCTCGTGGCTTCATCTTGAGTACTGGTGCTGACATCCACGTCTAGATCTTCCATTTTTGTAGACACTCCTCCTGGTTCGCCTTTGTTTTCCCTCTCCCAGCGTCCTCCTACTGGAGCAGAGAAAGAAATGAGAGCCAAGGGGAAGAGACACCAGTTAACTGGAATATTATTTCATCAGTCCCCAAAAGAAGAAGCAAGCATTCCCTATTGACAGATAATCTGGGCCTCAGTCTAATAATAATAATAATAATAATAAATTATTTATACCCCGCCCATCTGGCTGAGTTTCCCCAGCCACTCTGGGCGGCTCCCAATCAAGTGTTAAAAACATTTTTATTAAAAACTTCCCTAAACAGGGCTGCCTTCAGATGTCTTTTAAAGATAAGATAGCTGCTTATTTCCTTCACATCTGAAGGGAGGGTGTTCCACAGGGCAGGTGCCACTACCGAGAAGGCCCTTTGTCTGGTTCCCTGTAACCTCACTTCTCGCATTGAGGGAACCACCAGAAGGCCCTTGGCGCTGGATCTTAGTGTCCGGGCTGAACAATGGGGGTGGAGACGCTCCTTCAGGTATACAGGACCGAGGCCTGAACAAGTATACCTGAACAGGTGTCTCCACCCCCCATCGTTCTGGGCCTTGATGCTCCACCACTAAGCTTCTCCTCCCCAAAGGTTCTCCTCCTCCTCCTTTTCTCTCTGCTCAAGTACACACTGGAGGTTTTTAAGCACAGGCTGGATGGCCATCTGCCTTGCATGCTTTAGCTGAGATTCCTGCATTGTAGGGGGTTGGACTAGATGACCCCAGGGTCCCTTCCAGCTCTACGATTCTATGTTCACCTTACCCAGCGAATCTTGGCCATCCTCCTGCTTGACTCCCTGGGACACGAGCCTCTGTGCACTGTCTGAAGCAGCATCCTCTGCCTCGGGGAAGGTAGCGGCCCAGTCCATCAACAGCACCGACACCTGAAACGGTTAGGGATTACCAAGAGAGGTAAGAGGTGGGGCAATGGGTCCGCGCGCCTGGCTGCTAACCAGAAGGCTGTTGGTTCAAGCCCACCCAGGGATGGCTGTGGGCAGGATTCCTGCATTGCAGGGGGTTGGGCTGGATGACCTCTGGGGTCCCCTCCAACTCTACAATTCTATGAGAAATGAGCCATCTTGACCAGGGGGTGCCCTCAGCCTTGCCAAGTTCAATGAGGCAATTTGGAACAGGTTTAAAGCCACCCCATATGCAAAAAGCACCATCTTGGCGCATGGTCCTTAAAAATGGTGAGTTTCTTGGGTTCTTCCTTTCCTAGGTTGGGAAGGGAAGTGTGTGTCCTCAGAAGCAGGAGAACGATAGGCAGCGCCATGGATTAAGTGTCCCTGCTGATCTTGAACTTCAATCGCCCATGTATTGCCCACCCTTCACTGGCAAGTCTCAAAGCAGCTTACAGAAAAAGTAAATTCATAAATTAAAAACGGCGAAAAACATTTGTTACTAATAATATTATTATTATTAGGATTATTTTGGTGGTGGTTGTTTATTGCCATCCCTTCAGTGGCAGGATAGGTTACAACATAGCTGTCAACTTTTCCCTTTTCTTGTGAGGAATCCTATTCGGAATAAGGGAATTTCCCTTAAAAAAAGGGAAACGTTGACAGCTATGGGTTACAACCGTTTAAAATCAGGAATTAAAAATAATTTAAACAGATTTTGGGCACTGAAAACTGGATGGGTTCCAAAAACACACGTGTGAGGTGTCAAGAAATAAGTGCACCTTTCGCAAGTTTGCAACCCCCGACCAGCTCTCCTCAGATCTTGGGGGTGCCTGGGAATAATAAATAATAATAATAATAATAATAATAATAATACAATGCAGCCCTATCGGCAACACAAAACCTTTGAGGATCTTGAAAAACAGGATAAAACCTTTTTACAACTTGAACAGAAGTAAGAACATTTTATAAAAAAGACAAGCAGGATAAATCACTGACTGAACAGCTTGCTTGCTTGCAATATCCTGCTGTTCAGGATCCACAAACTAAGAAGTCTTCCTAGTCATCATCCCTTTGCATATTATTCCATGAAAAACCCCACTTTTGCCTTCCTGCTTCCCCGCCTCGGCTCTTCTCTCCTAAATCCTCTTTGAGCAAACAGGCTCCGCAGGCGCTGATCTCCACCACGAAACAATTCAATGAACAGCAACACCCCTAAAAACACACACACAACCCTCTCCCTAAAAGAGGAGGGGCAGGAAATGACTTCAGCCCCTTTGCAGATCTTTCCTTCCTGCCAATTCGCTTTTCTAGGGGTGCAAACTCGCACACTTTAACCCTTAAGCCGAATTGCAACGAGGCAAATCCAGTTCCATACTGGGAACTGTAGTTTGCCCGGCACCCGGCGCCCTTACACTACAGTTCTTATGTTTTTGTTTTTTTTCGGGGGGAAGGAGAATGTGCTTTTAATATATGATGCCTACACACGAGAGCCAATGTGATGTAGTATTTAAGGGTGCTGGACTAGGACCGGGGGAGACCTGAGTTCAAATCCCTCCTGGGCCAGGAAGCTGGACAGGCAACTGCCTCTCAGCCTAGCCTACCTGTATTGGGGATCAATTGAAGAGGGGGAGAACCATGAACACTACTTCTTGAAGAAATAAAGGTGAGAAATAAATACCATAATTAGCAAATCAAATCTTTGCAATGGAAGAGCTCAGGGCGAAGACCTCAGTTCAAATCTCGCCTCTGTGCCCAAACTCCACAGAGTAAGGGGTCCCAATTGCTGGAAGCCACAGGAGAGGAGGGGGCTCTTGAGGCCAGATCCTGGTTGCTGGTTTCCCACAGGCATCTAGTTGGCCACTGTGGGAAAAGGATGCTGGACTCGATGGGCCATTGGCCTGACTCGGCTAACTCTCTTTTTCTATGCGCACAGCTAGCAAGGTGTTTGCCCGCGAAGCTGCTCCGTACCAGAGGTTAGCCTATTTGTTACCAAGGCCAGTATTGCCTGCACGGGCTGGCAGCGGCTCTCTCGGGTCTCCAGCACAGAAAGGTCCTTCTCTTCTCCTTTTAAGTGGCCGATACCAAGGGGACCTTTTGCATGTCAAGCATATGCTCTGCCACCGAACTACAGCCCCTAAAATGCATGCGCACTTAGGTTTTTATTTGCACTGTCAGACCAACCCTGATGCTTCCAATTTGGCACAGGCGAGGGATATTTAAAAAATACAAAGGAAAGCCCCTCTGTGCTCTGGTTGTCACAAAGGGTTAAGCTGAGAGAGTCGGATTCCTAGAGCGGCACTTCGGACGGAAATGGTTCTGACTATTGAAGGCCCTCCTCTTCCTTTTCTCCCCCTTAGCGACTCTATGGTGCTTTTCTTTGCTGCAAAGTAGAGGCTGGAAAAAGAGATTTTTCAGCTCCGGGGAGGGAATCCGGTAAGTGAGAAGCGCCTTGAGGCAGGAGCAGAGAGCTCGCCTGGAATAGGAAGGTTTGCTTTAGGGATCTGCTGGATCAGACAGACCCCTCCCAGACCAGCCTCCTGCTCCCAGCCAGACCTGGGCAGCCAGACCTCTCTGGGATGCTCAGAGGCAGCAAGGCAGCAGCAAACCTCTTGCTGCTCTCTGCCTCCAGCATTTTGCAGGTGAACTGCTCCTGAACATGCAGGTTCCGCGGAGCTGTGATGAGTTTTAGAACATCCTCTGTGGATTTCTCTATCCCACCCCCCACCCCTTTTAAACATGAAGTCTATCAAGGACTATTCTTCATCATGGCTATGTCTTGCTTGATCTGTCTTCAGGGACATTATGTCAGGGGTGGCCAGAAGCCAGATGCTTGGCAGGGGGTTGGACTCGATGGCCCTTGTGGTCCCTTCCAACTCTATGATTCTATTCTATGATTGAGGGGGGGGGGATTTCCAGTAGATGACTAAGAGTCTCTAAGGCTCCTTGATTGCCAGTTGATTAGAAATAGCAGTAACAACTCCTTCTCCTGCCCTGCAGCAATGAAACAAACAGCTTCTGAATGTGAGAAAGCGCAGTGGGAAACCAGGACTGGACTCCCGTGTGAAAGGGCTGTAATAAGGGGGCCATCGGCACTATGCATTTAGCGCAATGTAATTCCACTTTAAACTGTCATGGCTTCCCCCAAAGAATCCTGGGAACTGTAGTTTGTTAAGAGTGCTGAGAGGAGACCCCCTATGCCCCTCACAGAGCTACAGTTCTCTGAGGACTGAGCATGCTTACTATCCACTGAATACTGACTGATGATTGGTGGGATGAAAAACATGGGGGCAGAGAATGGAATGGAGTATCCTGAACAGGAGTGTTCCACAATGCAACTTTTCGCTGCAGCTCCCACTGATTCTCTTTCCTTGCAGAGGCACCGGGCCTTATAAACAATCTGGACCTGGCAGTTGACATCACCGAGAAACATGGGATAGCAGTGTGTGAGTGACCCCTGCCAAGCCCCGGAGTTAAGAGAGGTGATGGCGTCCAAACGCAGGAATGCAGCTGTCTGGGCTGTCCCCCGAGATGTCCTGCTGGAGGACACAGTGAAGGAGGAGGCATCAGAGTCTGAACCAGAGGAGGCTGCAGGAACAGGCCCCTTGGCCCTCCGCTCAGAGAGCCTCAAGGAATTGTGGGAAGGGACCATAACAGAGCACATTAAGCAGGAACCCGAGGAAGTGCCTCAGGAGGAGTGCTGGGAAGCTCAGTGTCAGGGGCTCCTGAAGGTTGTGAGATCTCCACAGTCTGAACCAGGAAACCTGCAGCTGGCCAGCAATGGCCCAAGGGACGCTCAGGCTTCCTTTGAGGGGCGATCAGACACTGGGCGAGGCAAGGTGATCCGCCACCTGCCCGGCCCTGGAGGAGACGTCTCCCAGCCCACCCACAGCATATTGGCCCTGGATCGTGGGGAAGTGAAGAAGGAGGCTCCCAGCCAGGAGGTGGAGCGCCTGTGCTTCAGGCAGTTCCTCTACCAGGAGGCCGAGGGGCCGCGAGATCTCTGTGGGATGCTGTGGAGGCTCTGCCATCGGTGGCTGCAGCCAGAGAGGCGCACCAAGGAGCAGATGCTGGAGCTGGTGATCCTGGAGCAGTTCCTGGCTGTCCTGCCCCCAGAGATGCAGACCTGGGTCAGGGAAGGCGGGCCGGAGACTTGCGGTCAGGCAGTCGGCCTGGCGGAGGATTTCCTGGAGAGGCAGCAAGAGAACGAGCACGAAATACAACAGGTGAGAGGGCAGGAGATCAGTCCTGGGAAGAACAAAACAAACAGTGGCAAGGAGCCCATAGGGCTAGCTATTGGGGCAGTTTACGCTGGCTGTAAATATGCATTGGACTGACTGTTCCTTTAGATCCGATATAGGCAAACTGGGCCCTCCAGATGTCTTGGGACTACAATTCCCATCATCCTTGACCCAGTGGTCCTGCTAGCTAGGGATCATGGGAGTTGAAGGTCAAAAACATCTGGAGAGCCGAGTTTGCCTATGCTTGCCCTAGATGGTTCGAAAATGGGATCTGGCCGAATCAGCAGGGGTTGGCTGTATTGGCAGAGTAGAACCTCCAGGTTCTGAGGCAGTGTACCTTAGAACGCCACTTGCTGGGGGAAGACTAAGGATGGTGGGCAGCGCACTCTCTGCCCTAACAGACCAGCTTCCACTGCTGTGAACAGGCAGTCTGTGTTGGTTGGAGAGAAGCTATGTGGACACAGGAGTGATGGATTCCTGTGCTCCAGTCCCTGTCTTGAGATGGGCTGCCACATTCTGCACCAGCTGGTTTAATGCATCCCCCTTCAAAGACAGTGCAGAGGACAGCCTTTGCCTGAAGAAAGTCTACTTGAGATTCTGAAGAGCTGCTGCCGGTCAGTGTAGGCAATACTGTGAAAGATGGGCCAATGGCCTGACCCAGTCAAAGGCAGGGAGTCCTTGGCCCTCCAGATGTTGCTGGACTCCCACTCCCCTGACCATTGGCCATGCTGGCTGGGGGCTGATGAGAATTAGAGTACTGTAGCATCTGGAAAAGCTCCAGAGGTTCCCCACCCCTGAATCTCAGGCGATTCGCACCCATTTCTTTGTCTTGTTCTTTCTGCTGTTTCAGGTCCTCTGGCCCTTCAAGGAGAAAGCGGATGATTCCCCTGAGGCTGACGGGGCTCTGTCAGACTCTGGTGAGTGGCCGCTCACCAAAGTGGAGGATTCGGCTGCTGATGCCCCTTGGCTGGGTAAGGAGTCTTTGGCTGGAGGGAGTTCTCTTGCGGAGCAGGTTGTGCAAATGAGGGGCCACCACAAAAAAGGCTCTGCCCACAGATCTAGTGCACACCAATTATTTTGATTATCATTATGATTTCTTTCATTTCTATACAGCTTTATATTTTTAAGAAAAATCTCAAAGCAGTTTACAGAATATTAAAACATCAATAAAACAATTTGAAGAAAGTCAAATATAGAGTACGCAGCCAAAGCAACATAATTAACAGAAAACTAAAATGTGATCTTAAAGATAATAAAATGAAACATTACAAAGGAGGTGAAGTACAGAATACATATTTAACACAAAGAAAGTTAACAAAGTAAAAACTTAAACATTTTTTAAAAAACCATTACTAGTAAAGTAAAATATTAAATGCACATTTAAAACAGCATAATTAACAAGAGAATAAAATATTTTCATAAGCATGACATGGCTGTTTGGCAGGCACAAAAAGATGGGGCAAAAGAATCCAACTGTTAGGGTTTGTTGTCAGGCATAGCAGTGTCCCTCTGGTTCTCACCAGGAGCCTCTTTAGTAGAGCTGGGGAGTGTGGGCCCCGCCCCCTAGGCCTGGTGGAAAGGGCTTTGCAGGGAGCAGCCTTCAAGACTCACAGCCAGGTAATCTAACTGACCTTATAGATGCACTAGCAAGCAGGATCTTTGATAACTGGGCCCCAAACCCCTTCTTTGCTGTGTAATGTTATCCAAGCTGTGTAATGTTATCCTGGTGAAGGGAAATCTTCCTTTGTAAGGATTCTCTGTTTTTTTCCAACAGACAATGAGAGGGCATGTTGGAAGAAGAATCTGCCAATCAATTCTGAAGGAGCTGAACTACGTTGGATGCTGCCAGGGAGATCAGAACAGACAGTTTCCCGTTATCCTTACTGGGGAGAAGCATCCGAAAACCAGCAGGAAACTCACCCCCATAATGAAGAAGGCAAATCCGTTCCTTTCCAGCTCCCTGCCATGCCAGTCCAGCAAAGGTTCCTCAAGGGTGAGACATGCGCTGAGTGCGGAAAATCCTTTCGCTGCAAGGCAGAGCTCACTGAACACCAGAGAATGCACTCAGGAGAGAAACCCTACATCTGCTCCGACTGTGGGAAGAGCTTCTGCAGTAGGAATGTCCTGGTTGCCCATCAGAGAATCCACAGCGGGGAGAACCGCTTCAGTTGCTCAGATTGCGGGAAGAACTTCAGCCAGCAATCGCATCTTACGGCACATGAGAGAACCCACAGGCAAGAGAAGCCCTTTGTTTGCCCAGATTGCGGACAGAGCTTCAGAGGGCACAGCGGGCTTGCGGCTCATCTGAGAATCCACACGGGAGAGAGGCCCTACCATTGCCCAGACTGCGGAAAAAGCTTCCGGCAGAGATTTGACCTTAACCGACACCAGAGAATCCACACGGGAGAGAAACCGCACCAGTGTCCCGACTGTCCCAAAAGCTTCAGGAACAGGTCGGCTTTTGTCGTGCACCGGAGAATCCACACCGAGGAGAAACCGTACCCGTGCTCTGGGTGTGGCAAGCGTTTCCGTCATCGCACGAACCTCCTCACGCACGAGAGGCTCCACACGGGAGAGAAGCCCTACAAGTGTACGGTGTGCGATAAGAGCTTTGTCGAAAGCTCGTCCCTCATGAAACACAAGCGAGCCCACACGGGCGAGAAGCCCTACAAGTGTGCCGAGTGTGGGAAATGCTTCTCTCAGAACGCCGGCCTGGTTCAGCACGAGAAGATCCACACGGGAGAAAAACCCTTCCAGTGCCCGGACTGTCCCAAAAGCTTCCGGGACAAGTCGGCCTTTGTCGTTCATCACAGGACGCACACAAGGGAGAAACCGTTTAATTGCTCGATCTGCGAGAAGAGCTTCAGCCATCGCTCCAACCTTCTCAAGCACGAGAGAACCCACACTGGGGTGAAGCCATACAAGTGCCTAGAGTGCGGAAAGGGCTTCACTCAGAAGTCAAGCCTCCTCTCGCATGCAAGAAGCCATCGGCCTCGTATACCTGAAGGAGCGTCTCCACTCGCATCGTTCAGCCTGGGCATGGAGGTCCAGCTCCTTGGAGGGCCTTCAGGCAGTTCCGTCACTGTGAGAAGTGAAGCTATAGGGAACCAAGCATTGGGCCTTCTCAGTAGTGGCCCCTGCCCTGTGGAATGCCCTCCCCTCAGAGGTCAGAAAGATAAACAACTGCACGACTTTCCGGAGAAATCTGAAGGCAGCTCCGTATCGGGAAGTTTTTAATATCTGAAGTTTCATTGTATTTTTATATTCTGTTGGAGGCCGCCCAGAGTGGCTGGGGCAACCCACTCACATGGGCGGAGTACAAATAATAAATGATGATGATGATGATGATGTATACATTGGCTTAGAGGGTGGGGAGTACCGTCTCCCTGGGCATCCATGGAGGAGCAAATGGCTGAACAATAAAATAAAGTCACCTGTCTGCTTTTAGAGATCTCCAGTTTCTTGGCATTTACTGCCATTATTAGTTGGCAACGAGGAATATTAGGAGATGTGTGTGCTTTTTATCTGGTGCGAAAGGAAGGGGAGGGCACCGGGCCACAGTCGTGTCTCATTGCAGATGGCAAGACCTTATTGCGAACGTCCTTTCCCTATCATTCAGTAATTAAATCCTGCAGGGATGAAAGAAGCACCTAAGAACATCAGGAAACCCAAAGGCCTGTTGAGTCCCAACAGCAGGTTTACCACAGCTTAGTTTAATTTCTTCAAATGCCACTTTCCCGCAAGAACCTCTGTCCCAAAGCAGCTCCCAATGAACATTATAGCTTTGTAGAACTGAATAATTATAAAGATGCCCGACATTTAAAAACAGCTTCCGGGTCATGTGGCCAGCATGACTATTTTTTTTTAAACAAAATAACAAAATAATTTTTATTAAGTTTCCATTTAACAAACCAATCGTTATCATATTAGTCATTCCAAATTATATCAATACAATTTAATTACACACACACACCGACTACCAAAATCAACACAATCACTTCTGCAAATGTCCCCACAAAACACTTCATTACAGTTTTTCCTACCTATTCAAAGGGCCTCTGCTGCACATAACAATTCCCTGATAAATGCATCTATGCACTGGCTCACTGGGAAATCTTCAGAAATTCATATAGAATCACTCGAGTGTCGGATTTACACCATTCCAACGTTCTTCTGTTGAGGAAGGAAATGGCTGCCAAGGGAGGAGCTTGGGACATGAGTGAGGGCAGCCATAATCTCTAAAGTGTGAGCCCATGTACTCAGCAGCCCCTCTGCCTGAGTGATATAATCTCTGGCATCCTGATACATGAGTGCGGGACAGGTAAGCCATTCCAGAAACAATAGCAAACCCAGATCAAGACAAAAGGGTGTGATTAACTGGGCTGGGAAACAGGGACATGTAAATATCTCTTGCATCACTTGATGAGTGTATGGTGGAGGTCAGTTAAAGCGTGGGGCAAGCCCTGATGCTCAGGTTTCTGTCGCCAGACCCTCCCAATTTGTGATGTAATTTGTAATGTATCCATGATGTAATTTTAGGGGTGTTGTGGGTATCTCTGTAAAACTGATCAAAGTGGGAGCCACCCTTTATTCTGGGCTTCCTTCCGGGTGGTGGGTGGAAGTCCTGTTGCAAGTTTTTTAAAAATAAAGATCAGGGCTCCTGGCTGCTGTTTTGCTCCTATATTCCTGGCTGGCGTCTTTGTTTGGTAGTCCAGGTGAGCCCAAGGATTTTCCTATAACAAGACCCTTGAACTCGCTCCTTAAAATGCAATCTGAACAAAACTGGTGAAGCAGTGAGGACAATATATTCTTGCAAGAGCTGAGAGCCAAAGCAGGCACAGTCCAGCTGGGGCAAAGAATGAGTTTATATTCCCTATGCACACGTTCCCTCCCTCTTATCTCCATTGCTTGGGTGCTACAAGGTTTTCCTTCCCCCAATTATCAAATAACAGACAAGAGGCTGAGCGTGGAAACAAACTCCTTCCTCCTCAGAGTTGCCTCCACTTCCGGCTTCACCAGCAGAGATAATCTCCGGGCTTGCAAAGGAGGGAGGGAGGGGAGGAGGCGGGAAGCGGGGCTGCATCCGGTGGAGGCGGAGGAGGGGGCTGCTTCCTAATCAAGCCTCCTAATTAAGCGCCCTCACTCCCTGCCTCCCACGCGGGGCTCCCATTCCCGCCCCCGATGCCCGGGATTTCGGGTGAGTGCAAAGCCAATGGCGGGGAAGGAGGGAAGGGGCTTTGCGAGGGGGTCCAGGATGAGAAGCCCCCGGACGGGGAGAGGCGGCCCTGCACAAGATCCGGGCGGGGAGAAGAGAAGGGAGGGAAGGGAGCTGTTCTCTTAAAGGGGGCCTGGAGGGGAGGGGGGGGGGAGAAGCTTTCTCCTGCAGAGATCTGGTGGAAAGGGAGTTGCAGGGAAGGAGACAGGTAAGGGGAGAGGGGTGGGCATTGTTGGCCAGGATCGCCTTAATAATAGTATTAATTTTAATTTTAATATTTATACCCCAGCCTCAGTGTCCGGCTTCCTTCCTTCCTTCCTTAGGCACCAAGTGAAAGCATTGCTCTTCTCCCAGGCGTTTGGCTCATTAAACAATCTATAGACTTCACAACTGTATTGGGGGGGGGGTTGTCGTTTTTATTTTCTACTCTGCTAGGCATCTCTGTGTTTTTCTATTGTAAGCTGCCCTGTGATCTTTGGAGGAAGGGCAGTATAGAATTGGAAAGAATAGCAGTAAAAATAGGTTTTAAAGAAGTGCCCTCTTTAAGAAATCACGTGGTGTAAACGTGTATGTTGTCCTCTAGGTCCAAACACACACAGAACACCCACAGTACGAGCAAGCAGTGCTCCAAAGTGCTTCTCTTGTGAACTTGCCATATAAGTTGTTTACTCCTGGCCAAAGCTCCTGTTTCCCAAAAGGACTGGAGGGGGGGTCTCCTCACCGCTTTTAATCCCCCCACTCCCACCGCATGGAAGGCGGAGGACGTGTTCATTCACAATCCCAGTGTTTACCATGTGTGTATCTGAAGTGAACCAGGCGCTGCAGCTCCTTCCCCTCTCACTGGGCTGCAGAGGAGGAAAGGGATGGGTTTGAAGGCTCTTCCTGCCTCTCTCCCCTGAGCAACAAGAGCAAAGGTGTTTGCAGGGCAGGAGGGCAGAGGAGGAGGCAGAGAGGGCAGAGGGAGCAGTGGGCAGATCCCCCTCCTCTCCCAGGGGGTCCTGATGCAAGCAAGGGGCTTCCTTCTTCTCCATGCAAGGGCCACCCATGTATTCAGAGCAGTCCTTTGCAGATTAACTCTTAAGTTCTATGGGGTCTACTCTCAGGCCACTAATATGCATACCATGCCAGCCTTATGAAGGAAGGCGGGACAGGCAGGTGAAAGGAATTGCCAAAAGTGTTGGAAAATGGGTGGAGGCTCTTGGGAAGTGGGTGCCCAGTTGGGGCTTCTTCAGGGGCAGCGGAATGTCTTGGGCAGGAGAATCCCTGCAGGGGTTCTCAGACTCCCTTGGCTTCTTCTTCCCTCCCTCCCAGGAAGCTTGCTCTGTCTTCTGCGCTCCTCAGGAAGCTGAACCTGCAAACCTAGCTGAGACTGAACCTGCAACCCTGGCCAGGATGGAAGGAGGAAGATGGACGGGTGACCTGGTCAGGCTGTCTCCCGCATCCCTCCCCACAACCTCTGAGCATTCCCTCCCAGGACCCTTGGAGAAATCTGGTGAGTTCCAGGGGAGAGGAGATGGGGACAGGGATAGATGGTGGAGGGAGAAAGAGGAAAAGATGGAGAGGAGACAAATGGAAGGAAGTTCCTGACAGGAAGAAGGAACGGGTGAGGCCTTCTCCGGAGCAGCTCTTTGTTTCTTGAATACTTTTCCTAAAGTAGTGGGGGCAGATTTTCTTCCTCCAGGCTTTGAAATCTTAGGTGTTATTTCCACGGCAGGAATAATTGATGATAATGATGTTGCACACCAATCCTGAAAAATGGGTGAAGGGGAATGGAAATGCTTCCCATAATTATTTATAATTAATGTATTTAAATTGTTTCTATTACTCTTATTTTTTATAGACAGCGTCAGAATGATACATTCCACCAGCATCAAAACACAATAAATGCATGCACCTCCCCAGTTTGGTGGGCTTAAGGGACAAAGGACCCGTTATCATGATACACAATTCCTGTGGCTGGAGGCTCTACACTTAGGATTGGGCATATAAAGTCCAAGAGTGTCTGGTATTATAAGCAAGTTGTGTAAATTTTAGAGACTGGGGTTGTTTGTGAGAGGGAGGGAGTGGGATAATAATTTATAGCGCTCCTGTGTAATGGCTTGGTTCTCCCGCACAGACGCGAGACAACTCCAGTAGTAATTATCTCAGGTTTATTGCTCAAACTCATAAATCACTGTGGAGCTCAGTCTTCGGCCTGTTCATCCCAGCTTGCAGTTGCCGAGTCCTCCAGCAAAGAGGACTTTCCACTTTCGCTTTCTTTTCCCCTCTTCTCGCACATTCTCACGAGCCTACGATTTTTTGGACAGGCTATTTCGGGGGCTCTGTGTCAGAGCTCAAACTGGAAATAACAGTCTGTGCCCCCCCCGTCGGCACCCCCTCTTCCTGCTCCTTGTTCTTTCCTCCTGCTGCAGCTTGGCTGCTCCTCCCCTGCTTCACATTCCAACTGAATCACATCTCTTGCGTTCTCAGGCTCTGTCAGCGGAGGCACGAGAGGCTTGAGATTCACGGAGCTGACACCCTGTAATTTTGTCCGTCCCTAAGCTTCCATGGAGACACTGTGGTACAACCTTGGTGCAAATTTCAAAATAAGTACACAAAGCCAAGAAAGAGACTCAGAGGTTTATAGTGGCACCAGCTTTCCTGGTCAAGAGTCCACTAAGTCCCACAGAAGCTTAGGCAATAATACATTTATCAGCTTTTAAGGGCTGCAAAAGATGAATCAACAGAAGTGTAGTTCATCTATGAAATCCATCCTGCAGGAGACAGTGACGGACAGCAACATGGATAGCTTGAAGAAAAGGATAAGACTGACGTCTCTGCTCTGCCCTCGCGGTCCTAGGCAATAATCCTTCTTAATACTAGTTTCTGGAAAGCGCAGGAAGGCAGAGAAGACTCTTGTGCTCCAATCCTGCTTGCCGGTTTCCCACAGGCATCTGGTTGGCCTCTGTGAGAAGTGGATGCTGGACTAGGTGGGCCTTTGCCTGATCCAGCAGGCTCTTCTTAGGTTCCAATATATTGCAATATTTTTACAGTTACATGTAGCACTTAAGTTTTATTTATTTCACAAGGGAAATACTGTTACTTGAGCCTGAGATCATTTCTTCACTTCAGAAAGAAAAAATAGATGTGTCTAATAAGCCAATTCCACCATAGATCTGTATTATAAAACGATGGTGCTTTATTAGGTTTGAATGGAGTGATCATGTGTTGCTCTTGCCACTATCTCGTCAGCTTATGTAAAATTTGGGACCTAGAGAGGATATTGGAGAATGAAGGTGTTACAATGAGAGAAGGTACAGATTGGGATTGACATGTATTCAGTTCCCTTTTTGTCTTTCTTGAAAGTCTAACAGGATTCTCTTTCCTCCCAGACTCCCAAACAGGTGAGGAAGATGAAAGTCAGAATTCTATGAAGCCACATGTGAATTTATGGGGGGAAACAAAGAAATTGAGGATACAACAAAAAAGTCACAAAGGAGAGAAACTATTTGAATGTACGGCATGTGGAAAGAGCTTCAGTGAAAGTGGAAATCTTAGAATACACCAACGAACTCACACAGGGGAGAAACCATTTGAATGTATTGAATGTGGAAAGAGCTTCACTCGAAATGATACACTTAGAATACACCAACAAACTCATACAGGGGAGAAACCATTTATATGTGTTGAATGTGGAAAGAGCTTCAGTACAAGTTGGAAACTTAGAATACACCAACGAACTCACACAGGGGAGAAACCATTTAAATGCATTGAATGTGAAAAGAGCTTCAATGAAAGTCAAACACTTAGAGTACACCAACGAACTCACACAGGGGAGAAACCATTTAAATGTGTTGAATGTGGAAAGAGCTTCAGTACAAGTGGGAAACTTAGAATACACCAACGAACTCACACAGGGGAGAAACCATTTAAATGCATTGAATGTGAAAAGAGCTTCAATGAAAGTCAAACACTTAGAGTACACCAACGAACTCACACAGGGGAGAAACCATTTAAATGTGTTGAATGTGGAAAGAGCTTCAGTACAAGTTGGAAACTTAGAATACACCAACGAACTCACACAGGGGAGAAACCATTTGAATGTATTGAATGTGGAAAGAGCTTCAGTACAAGTGGGAAACTTAGAATACACCAACGAACTCACACAGGGGAGAAACCATTTAAATGCATTGAATGTGAAAAGAGCTTCAATGAAAGTCAAACACTTAGAGTACACCAACGAACTCACACAGGGGAGAAACCATTTAGATGCATTGAATGTGGAAAGAGTTTTAGCATAAGCAGAGCACTTAGAATACACCAACAAACTCACACGGGGGAGAAACCATTTAGATGTATTGAATGTGGAAAGAGCTTCACTCGAAATGATACACTTAGAATACACCAACAAACTCATACAGGGGAGAAACCATTTATATGTGTTGAATGTGGAAAGAGCTTCAGTACAAGTGGGAAACTTAGAATACACCAACAAACTCACACAGGGGAAAAACCATTTAAATGTATTGAATGTGGAAAGAGCTTCAGTACAAGTGGGAAACTTAGAATACACCAACAAACTCACACAGGGGAAAAACCATTTAAATGTATTGAATGTGGAAAGAGCTTCAGTGATAGTGGATCACTTAGAAGACACCAACAAACTCACACAGGGGAGAAACCGTTTCAATGTATGGAATGTGGAAAGAGCTGCCATCAAAATGCAGCACTTAGAATACACCAACGAACTCACACAGGGGAGAAACCATTTAGATGTATTGAATGTGGAAAGAGTTTTAGCATAAGTGGAGCACTTAGAAGACACCAACGAACTCACACAGGGGAGAAACCATTTCAATGTATGGAATGTGAAAAAAGCTTCAGTACCACTGGGGAACTTAGAATACATCAGCGAACTCACACAGGGGAGAAACCGTTTCAATGTATGGAATGTGGAAAGAGCTTCAGTACAAGTGGATCACTTAGAATACACCAACGAACTCATACAGGGGAGAAACCGTTTCAATGTATGGAATGTGGAAAGAGCTTCAGTACAAGTGGATCACTTAGAATACACCAACAAACTCATACAGGGGAGAAACCATTTAAATGTATTGAATGTGGAAAGAGCTTCAGTGATAGTGGATCACTTAGAAGACACCAACAAACTCACACAGGGGAGAAACCATTAAAATGTATTGAATGTGGAAAGAGCTACAGTCACTATGGAGCATTTAGAAGACATCAACGAACTCACACAGGAGGAAAATCACAGATACTTTAATAAACCGTATAGGTGTTCTTTACCTTTCCTTCTATGCTTCCTTGCAATACTGATAAAATCAAACCACCCCAATGCTTTCAGCCCCAGAAGAGGAGCTCCCCTTGGTGTCAGGGGAGGGGTCCAAGGGAGCATCTGAAGCCCTGCCATTCCTTCTGTCCCTGGCCCCTTCCCCTCCTCTCTCTGCCATCCCAGGGCCACTCTTGACTCCACAGCAGGAGACTGGATCTGTCTGTGATAGTGAGATGTCCTGGCCGGTTGAAGGACCACTTCCTGTTTTCTGCAGCTCCATCCTGCCTTCTCATGCAAGTTGGAGTCATGAAGCAGGTGAAGGCTGAGCACACCTAAGGGTGGCGCAGCGGGTGGGTGGGATTCTGCTTAACCTTTTCTCTGCTCCTTTTCTGGATCCAAATCCCCACACGAAAAGGGGCAGTGTGAGGGCGCAATCAGTGTTATGGAGCTGCACTGAAAATCATTGCTTTGTGACCGTAAGAGGCCCTTCTCAAAAAAACAAGCATCAAGAGAATTTAAGCTATAGAATTTAAACTCCAAATATTTAGCCGAATTTTAAATTTTTGTTGGGGAGTACCCATGCTTCGAGTTCAGTAAGGGTCTAATCTCATATTTCTGCTGCTTTGATATTCACAAGTCCCATCTTCCTATCTCCTTGTTGTTATCATTTTTCTTCTTAATAACATCCAAGTTGTTTCCACAGGCGAGTTGAAGCAAGCATTATTTATTTTTCTGTGTGAACTTTTGTAATGCTCTCCCGTAATTCTTCTCACGCTGATCCAAAAGTCCTGTTCAAGCGGCTGGTGCCATTTTTGTCAGTTCCAATGAAATACAGTATAAGCGTCTGCTCCTTAATTTTCCCAGACCAGTTGCACCATAAATCAGTCTTTCCAGGGGAGTTTTTGTCCATTCAGATATACAATCCAAACATGATAGCAAAACAGTGGCTCGCCTCCCGCTTTGACTGTAAATCTGGCAACAAAGTCTGTCTCATAATGGTGGATCCCAATAATAACTGCGCCACAGGAAAGCCTTTCGTTCTTTCCAAGTCTTCCACAAAATAAAGCCTTTAGTTAATATTTTTATTTCCACACAGTTTATTTCCAATCTCACTTGCTATCAATCATGTGACGGTTCTTCTAGGGGAGGGGTTGTCAGGTAAATCATATTGAAAAAGAAAGCCCCCCCCCCCCCCTTTCCGTTCCATTTCAACATACTGACATAGCTGTAATTCTTTGATGTAATCTTCTGTTCATTCCATCTCATCACTCTTGTCTTCTCAGTGGTAGATTTAATTAGCAGATAATACACCCTTTACTTCGCTCGAAACATGTGCATTTACTTCCTCCAATTATTTTATCTTAAGCAATGCAGCTAGTTTCGCTCTTGGAAGAAGCTTCCAGGAGATCCAGAACTCACTTGAGGGCTTTCCGTCCGGTGCCCCCACCCCCTACTTCTTTTGAACTTGGGGGTGATTTATGGGCAACCGCGGGCGAGGCAGCATCTTCCCATCCCTTAGGAAGAAAACGGGAGGCTGATGTACTCCCATAATCAGCCCCTAAATTACCTCGTGTGAGCCGGAGAGATGGTATTGTCGGCCATCTTCCAAGGCGCCCGGAGCAGCACCTGTGGCCAGCATGAATAAGCCGTTTCTTGCGAACCAGAGCAGCGCACAGAAACGCCGTTTACCTTCCCACCGGAGCGGTACCTATTTATCTACTTGCACTTTGACGTGCTTTCGAACTGCTAGGTTGGCAGGAGCAGGGACCGAGCCACGGGAGCTCACCCCGTTGCGGGGATTCAAACCGCTGACCTGATCGGCAAGTCCTATTCTTTGTGGTTTAACCCACAGCGCCACCCGCGTCCCTTACCTAAAGTTAGAATCAATTAATTGTAAGTTGGCCGGGAACCCGAGGGTCATCTAGTCCAACTCCCTGCAATGCAGGAATTTCAACTAAAACATCCAAGACAGATGACAATCAACACTTTAAAAAAATCTTTATTATTATGACAGATGGCCACCCAACCTCTGCTTATAAACCTCCCAGGAAGGAAAGTCCATCACTTCCCGAAGGACACTGTTGCACTGTCAAAACAGCTCTAACCGTCAGAAAGTTCTTCCTGATGTTTTGTCAGAATACAGTGGTACCTCGCAAGACGAAATTAATTCGTTCTGCGAGTTTTTCCATCTTGCGAATTTTTCGTCTTGCGAAGCACGGATTCCCATAGAAATGGATTGAAAATCAATTAATGCGTTCCTATGGTCAAAAAAAGTTTAAAAATCACCAAAGTGTACAGAACTGTACATACATTTTCTAATTACAGATAGGTAGCCGTGTTGGTCTGCCATAGTCAAAACAAAAAAAATTCCTTCCAGTAGCACCTTAAAGACCAACTAAGTTAGTTCTTGGTATGAGCTTTCGTGTGCATGCACACTTCTTCACATACCTGAAGAAGTATCTGAAGAAGTGTGCATGCACACGAAAGCTCATACCAAGAACTAACTTAGTTGGTCTTTAAGGTGCTACTGGAAGGAATTTTATACATTTTCTAAGACTCTGGGGGACAACTCGAAGAAGGTTCCTCTTCCACTCTTTGCTTCTTGCTGAAGAACTTGTCCATGGTCTGCTGCTTCATCCGCCTTTTCAGCACCTCCCTGAAAGGCGACATGACCCTCGTATCAAAAGTGTTCACAAGGCCACGTGTCAGGCCCTTGTCAGGGTGGTGCCACTGTGCAAAAGCCTGCACATCTTTCCACTTCTGGCAAGTGTCCCTTAGTTCTTTCTTCTCCTTCTTCCTCTCACCGGCCTCTGCAGCAGCAGTCTTCTTGGGCCCCATGGCAGCCCAGTTCCTACCTTCGCAAACCCAAAAAAATAATAATCAGTGCTTCACATCCAAAAAATTCAATAGCACCAAACCTCCTAGAAAACACCCCAATCCAAAAAACCCCAAAAAAAGTTTTAAAAGTTTAACTCACCAAATGGCTGCAAAGAAGTTTTGGAAAACCTCAAAAAGGCTACCACACCAGTCGCAACTGCACCTCTTCAAGCAATGCACCCTGGGTATTAACGGTTTTAAGAAAAGGAAACAAACTTGCAAGACGTTTTTGTCTTGCGAAGCAAGCCCATAGGGAAATTCGTCTTGCAAAGCAACTCAAAAAACGAAAAACTCTTTCGTCTTGCGAATTTTTCGTCTTACGAGGCATTCGTCTTGCGAGGTACCACTGTATCTTTCCTGTAATTTGAATACATTGACACTTCCGGGTTGGCGCCATCGCCGAATGGCGGACTCCCTCCGAGCTCCGGAGGGAGCCTGCTCGGCAGGGGCTGGGTCCTACCGCACCGGCGATGCGGGGACCCTTAAAAACCACGGCCACGGGGGCCGTGGACATGGAGACTCGGCTGGCACCGCTAGCGCCCTCCCGACTCGTGAAGGAGCCTTTTAAAGGCTACGGATCGGGTGCCGGGAGAAGCGTGGTGCTTTGAGTCCTCTGCTATCCCTGCCGAGCGAAGCCGCATGCCATCCGGCGGAGAGCGCTGACTTCTTCCATTGAAAATTCGGACTTCTTAACAATAACCCGTGAGTAATTTGGAAACCGGGTTCAAAAGGAGAAAAAAAAAAGAATTATTTTTTTTTTCGGATTGGACACGAGCGGGGGGGGATCCAAAAAGGAAGTCAGTCCCCCTCCCTACTGTAAACCTTCCAAAACAAGGATGGGGAAACCAAGGTCCAAAAAGATTTGTATTGCTGATAAAAACTAAGAATTCCACGATGGGGAACTACAAGAACTGTGCTGGAGGAAGAATTGAGGGAGAAGGGAAATGTAACCCCCCCCCCCCTGGGAACCGGGGTGATTGAAGAGAGAGCCTGGTGAAAAGAGTCGGAGATTTTGACAGCTGTCAAAGTAGCTGTCAAAGTCGGAAAGCAGAGAGGATTTTATTATGAGAAAAATTTGTTACAATTTGCTATAACCCGTTAAAACTTGGATACAAAATGGCGAAAACATGGATAACAATCGGACTTTTGGATTAGAGAAAACAAAGTTACAACAATCCCCCTAGAGGAATTTCGGGACACTACAAAGATGGTCGTAAGTGGAAAAATACCATTGGAATTTTACAGGACTGGTTATCTTCTGGGAAAGCTGCAAAACGGAAATAATATTTTGTCTACAGGGTGTTCAGCTAAAGGAGACAATAGAATTTTCTATTGAAGAAAGGAAGGGACTGAACGCAAGTTTTTGTTCCTGAATAACAATAATCCCTGCAGAGTTACTAAGCTTCTGAATTAGAACGTTTCAGCAGCGGAACAAGAGGAAACTGGACTACAACTTGGAAAGAACAATGGGGGGAGTTTTATTAAAGATTTGAAGTTAAATGTTTTAAAAAATTAATTATAAAAAGAAAAAGCCAGCAAGGAGTTGGGGGAAATAGGTGATTTATGGACTTTAAGAATTCCAGGCAGATAACATGGTTTGGTGGTCAGGGGGAAATTAAACCGGGGACAGGGGGGGGGGGGAGAACTAAAATCCAAAGGCTTGTCAACTTTTTTTTCTGAATGAGCTCTTTCTCATCTATTATACTTTTTATTTCTTATTTCTTATATTTCTATTGTGTGGGGTGTCCTTATCATTAAAAAAAGGGAAATTGTGGAATGAAAATGGGGTGGGCCCTGGGGAGAGAACTTTTGTCTTTTATTAGGGGTATTGATGAGGAGTGTATAAATTTTAAATTCGAATAATGGTCTAAACAAATTAAGTTTCAATTAGAACTGAGAGCTTGTGGAGCCAACAATATGAAAGGAGAATATGGTAGGGGTGGGGGAAGGGGGGAGTCCCGGAAAGTGGATGTATGAAAATAAGGCTTTGAATGTATTTTAATCTTTACTTTCTGTATTTTTGAAAATCTTAATAAATATCATTTAAAAAAAAATAATAATAATTTGAATACATTGGTTCAGGTCTTACACTCCAGAGCAGGAGATCTACGATGGTAGTCATTGCTACTTTTCCTCGACAAAAAAGGCTCCTCTACCCTTTCTATAACTATTTACTCAGAAAGCAGTCCAGCAGTTTTACTCTAAGGCAAGTGAGTATGGGACTGCAACCTTCAGATTTCATTCTGGTAGCAGAGCAAGGCTGGAAGATTCAGTCAATGCTGAAGGCTTTTCAGGAAATGTTTAGGAAAGGAGAAACGTTTAGGAAAGGAGAGGCCCAAGGCTATTTGGTAGTGATTGCAGCCCTGCCATGAAACAGCACACAGGTAGCAGCCCAGAGGAAAAAGAAAGAGATGGGGATACGATCCTATTACAGTGGTACCTCGGGTTAAGTACTTAATTCGTTCTGGAGGTCTGTTCTTAACCTGAAGCACCACTTTAGCTAATGGGGCCTCCTGCTGCCGCTGCATGATTTCTGTTCTCACCCTGAAGCAAAGTTCTCAACCCGAGGTACTATTTCTGGGTTAGTGGAGTCTGTAACCTGAAGCGTATGTAACCCGAGGTACCACCGTATTCAGATGTTCACAACAGCAGTAGCAGCAGAATCTACCCCTTCTGAAGCTGTGTTACTGGGGTGGGAGGGGAATTGCTGGAAACTATATATATTAACTAATAAAACTCTTCAAATCTCTCCAGAAAGGTTCAAATGATGCTCATTCCACTTCCACCAAACACATCCTTCAGATCTCTCACCCCCTGGAAATGTTAACTTTTACTGCCATGCAGGTTATCTTGGGGAGAAGAAAGGGCTCAGGAGTAAACCCTACACAAATCCCGAGCAGCGTCCCTAAGACGGTTAGATGGCACCTTGTAATAATAATAATAATTTATTATTTATACCTCACCCATCTGGCTGGGTTTCCCCAGCCACTCTGGGCAGCTTCCAACAGAACACTAAAATACAATAACCTATTAAACATTAAAAGCTTCCCTAAACAGGGCTGCCTTCAGATGTCTTCTAAAAGTTTGGTAGTTATTTTTCTCTTTGACATCTGGTGGGAGGGCGTTCCACAGGGCAGGTGCCACTACTGAGAAGGCCCTCTGCCTGGTTCCCTGTAACTTGACTTCTTGCAGCGAGGGAACTGCCAGAAGGCCCTCGGCGCTGGACCTTAGTGTCCGGGCTGAACAATGGAGGTGGAGACGCTCCTTCAGGTATACTGGACCGAGGCCGTTTAGGGCTTTAAAGGTCAGCACCAACACTTTGAATTGTGCTCGGAAACATGTCTTTCTGGCAATTCCTGCAGCCAAGCTGGTGCCAAACGTCTTGCTTTCCTTTGGACCACATCAGTGAGGCTGAGATGGGAGACCTTGTTGTCTGGGTAGCTCAGGACCTCCAGACACACTACCCCATGGAGGTCACTATTGCAGCAGTTTTAACTTCACCCCCAGAGGCACACTCCATTGTCTCTTGAGACAGGCAGGTGCCAACATGGCATCCATGCACATCTGCTATGGCTGAAGACAGGATGAACGGGTTAGGGAGAGGTGGATTCTGATCCTTCCCCCCCCCCCTGCCATTGTGGACAGGATGAAAGGTGGCAAGAGAGGGCAAAAGCCTTAATCTGCTCTGCAGGGTTTACTTCCATGTCAGTATAAACCCTGCTGGATTAGGTTTAAGGTTGGAGAGACCAGCATCCTGTTTTCACAGTTGCCAACTGGCTACATCTAGAAAGCAGGATGTGAGCACAGCAGGACTCCCCACATGCGATTCCCAGGAATTTGGGAGTATATACTGTATGGACTCTGACAGTGGAGGGAGAACACAGGCATTGATAGGCACAGACTTATCCTCCATGAATTTGTCGAATCTTCTTTTAAAGCCATTCATGTTTGTCGGCCATCTTACAATCATAGAATCAGAATCGTACAGTCCAAAGGGACCCGGAGGGTCATCCAGTCCAGCCCCCTGCAATGCAATATTGTGGGAGAAAATGTGTGAATAAGCTATTTCCTTCCTCTGAAGGCAGCCCTGTTTAGGGAAGTTTTTAATGTTTGATCTTTTATGTTTTTAATATCTTGGGGAAGAAATGGAGGCAGTGAGAGATTTTACTTTCTTGGGCTCCATGATCACTGAAGATGGTGACAGCAGTCACAAAATCAAAAGACGCCTGTTTCTTGGGAGAAAAGCAATGGCAAACCTAGACAGCATCCTAAAAAGCAGAGACATCACCTTGCCAACAAAGGTCCGTATTGTTAAAGCTATGGTTTTCCCAGTAGTGATGGTTGGAAGTGAGAGCTGGACCATAGAGAAGGCTGATTGCCGAAGAATGGATGCTTTTGAATTATGGTGCTGGAGGAGACTCTTGAGAGTCCCATGGACTGCAAGAAGATCAAACCTCTCCATTCTGAAGGAAATCAGCCCTGAGTGCTCACTGGAAGGACAGATCCTGAAGCTGAGGCTCCAATACTTTGGCCACCTCATGAGAAAACTCCCTGGAAAAGACCCCGATGTTGGGAAAGATGGAGGGCACAAGGAGAAGGGGACGACAGAGGACGAGATGGTTGGACAGTGTTCTTGAAGCTACCAGCATGAGTTTGACCAAACTGCGGGAGGCAGTGGAAGACAGGAGGGCCTGGCGAGCTCTGGTCCATGGGGTCATGAAGAGTCGAACACGACTCAACGACTAAACAACAATATCCTGTTAGAAGCCACCCAGAGTAGGTGGGGAGGCCCGGCCAAATCTGTGGGGTATAAGCAATAAACTATTATTATTATTATTATTATTATTATTATTATTAATCTCTTCGGACTCTTCCGACATTTGGCTTCAATGGATGAATCCGCTGGGCTCTAGTATTACGAGAAGGGAAAAAAGAAGTTCTCTCTGTATAGAAACTAACAGAAGCCTTCTGGTACGTTCTAATGTTCAAAAGTTCTCCGGTCTTTTAGAAGGCGGACACAGCACAGATGTTGTTTTGTGCACTGACTTGTGTTATTTCTGTCCAAGGCCGTTCACTCCCGGGATAAGCTGTATCAATTGACCACCGGGAGCATTTTCTCTCTCTCATTCTTTCACTCTACCCCTCTGTTCATTTTACATTTTTGCATTTGTGTGGTGTATTTTTATGCAGAAACTGGATTTTGCTCTACACAAGCCAAGATTGCCGTGCCAGGGATCTGGTACTGAACGGTAAAAAACCAGTAAACTTGTACTAATGGTTTTTCCGGCCTGCTGTGTCTTTTTGGAATCCCATGTTCCGCTACTCTGCTCCTTTACTGAACAAACAACAGCCGGGGGTATCCTGTGGCCTGGTATACTGTTTCCTGACATTCTCTCCAAACCATGCACACATTTTGTGTATAATCATTTCTCTCTCTATCGGCCCTCCGCTCCTTATTTCTGCACTAAAACCCGCAGCCATCTCCTAAATTTTGAATGTGCCCGGCATGTTTGAAGATGACGTGAAGATGACCAGGAGGTTCTCAGCAGGGAGGGAGCTGAGGGCTGGCAGTGGAACTTATTGCAAGGATGTGGGCTTTGTGTCCAAAAATGCCAATCCTGGACACCAAGCCTGGATCAGGTGCATGTGATAGAAGTATTGATTAAAAAACAAAACTTTGACTGCAAGCTATCCACCTAGAGCAGTGATGGCCAAACTTGGCCCTCCAGCTGTTTGGGGACTACAACTCCCATCATTCCACGCTAACAGGACCAGTGGTCAGGGATGATGGGAACTGTAGTCCCAAAATAGCTAGAGGGCCAAGTTTAGCCATCACTGACCTAGAGGTATGTTTCTTCACCCCACCAAACCTTCATGGTTCAATATTCAGCATGGCATCCTTAAAAGGCAGCGGCAATATGCCTGAACCCTTTACAAACATTTCCAAAATGAATTGCTTTCCTCTACTCACTCAAAAAAACAACAACCAGCCACTCCCAACTTTATTTTGTGTGACAGATGTTTCTGAGCAGCTCTTCAGAGTCCCTGAGTTTGGATAGAATTGTAACACTGGAAATAATCAGTAGGGAAGAAAAACCCTGTAAATGGAAAAACAGGCAAGAAGGACTCAGGAGCAGGCCAGCCTCTTCTGCACTGGGATTTCCAACATCAGGAGGTTGTTCTCTTCAGTGTGCGAGTTTGCTTGGTACCACTTTCTGTCAAATATTTTGTACATGGCACCCGCAGCTTCAGATGCAGCTGGCGAGCTGAAAGCTATTATGTGAAATTCAGTGTTCAGACATTACATGTTTGGCCTCACTCACATTTTGGCTCTTCATCCCTCAAGCCCCACCCCCACCCCTGAAACAACAACAACAAACTCTCAAAAACTTCTTTTCCAGCATCCAATGGTTTCTTGGTTTTCCCCACCTAGTTATGTTGGCCTTTCTCTTCCCTTCCCTTCCCTCTTATCAAAGTACAATTAGTGACAGTTTCCCCGACTGATCAGAAACCATTCCATGACATCACAGCAGCTCTGACCTATCAGCCATTTCTAAGGTCACATTCACACCACCCATTTAAAACGCTCTTACACTGCTTCTTCCAAGGAATCCTGGGAACTGCGGCTTATTATGGGGTGCTGAGAGTGGTCAGGACACAGCTAACAACTCCCGGCACCGAGCTTCAACTCCCTGCACCCTTAACAAACTACAGTTCCCAGGATTCTTTGAGGGAATCCGCGGCTGTTCAAGCAGTGTAAGACCACTTTTAACTTGATGGTGTGGCCGTGTGTGAAATGGCCGAGAGATACAAAAAGCTACTTTATGCTCAGAAAGGAGAGCCAACACAGAGGTTTCGCCAAAAGTCCAGACGCGCTACAAATTCTCTCTCATGTGGACCTTCTTATGTTTTGTAAGAGCTGGCCTCTCCCTGAAGCTCCTCTCGCAGATCAAGCATTTGTAGGGTTTTTCTCCTGTGTGGATTCTGAGGTGCGCCATGAGCAACGCCGTGCGGGTGAAGCTTTTCCCGCAAACAGAGCAGGTGTACGGCTTCTCCCCAGTGTGGACCCGCCGGTGCACAATGAGGTTGGAGTGCTGGCTGAAGCCTTTCCCGCAGTCGGAGCAGGTGTACGGCTTCTCTCCGGTGTGGGACCTCACGTGGTCGGTGAGAGCGGAGCTCCGGTGGAAGCTCTTCCCGCACTCCAAGCACTTGTAAGGTTTCTCGCCCAGATGGATCTTCTCGTGCTGATGGAGCCCTGAGCTCCAAATGAAGCTTTTGTCGCAGTACGAGCATGAATACGCTTTCTCGCCCGTGTGGATCCTCTGGTGACCCAGCAGGCAAGAGCCCTGCGTGAAACTTTTCCCACAGTCCAGGCACTTGTACGGTTTCTCGCCGGTGTGGATTCTCAGGTGCCTGTTAAGGTGGGAAATCTGATGGAACCGTTTCCCGCACTCGGAGCATTTGTGAGGCTTCAGGCCAGGGGGCGCGTCTTCGGGCTCAGCCACGTCCGAACCAGCACCAAAGTCCCTCCCGCAGTCTCGCAACGGATCCTCTTGCCTCGGGATTTCCTGGGGCAAAACGGCCGAGGCTTCCCTCTCAGGCAAGTTATCTGCTGGAAGATCTGCATCAACAAAAAGAAAAGAAAACAGAGTCAAATGAAAACATGGGCAGGGTTCGAATTATGAGCAGCAGATTGAAAACAGTGATAAGTGGAATATGAGGAATGGCTGATGAAGATGATGGACTATGCCAAAATGGCAAAATTGACTGGGAAAAACAAAAACCAGGAAGAGAAGAATTTTAAGAAGGAATGGGGAAAAATTATAATGTACTTAAGAGAACGCTGTAAACAACTAAAAGCTTTGGCAGGGTTTGAGCAATGCTTGTAATGTATGAGAAACCATGGAAAAAATGATTGCTGCTTTTTTAAAAAAACAAATTAGAGCAAATAAGATAAGCAGTTGGGGGAAAAAGATTGATAATGGTAACGACGGAAGGGCAGAGGGATGTCAAAAGATTCAGGGAATCCTAAATGAAGAGGTGAATGATTTGTTAGAATTTAAATTTGATATGTAAAACTTAATAAAAGTATATTTACGGGACCGCCTCTCCTGGTATGCCCCATGGAGGACCTTAAGGTCCATGAATAACCATAGTTTAGAGGTCCCGGGCCCTAAGGAAGTCAGACTATCCTCCACCAGGGCCAGGGCCTTTTCAGTGATGGCTCCGACCTGGTGGAATGCTCTGTCCCATGAGACCAGAGCCCTACAGGATTTAACCTCCTTCTGCCTGACCTTTAATTTGAATTCAGCCTGATCTTTTATTTCCCTTCTCTTCCCTCCCCCTTTTATGAAGATTACCCGCTCTGAGACCCCACAGCTAATTCTCCTCTGGCCTCCTTGCTGGCTCAAGTAGGACTAACCCTGGTGACTATCTAATGTTTATTGGATGGATTTCCCCCAAACTGATTTTTGACCTTTGAATTTTATTGTTATTCATGCTTTTATATTGTATTTTATGCTGCTTCTATGTTGTATTACAATTAAGTGTTTTAAATTTGTTGTTAACAGCCCTGAGCCCTGAGCGAGGTATAAATAAAACAAAGAAATAAATGAAAGCAAGAAAAAAAGAAAACAGCAATAAGTGGAAGAGATGATAATTGTATTAGATTAAAGTATGTCATACAAAGCAGTAGGTATAAGACAGGAATAGAACCATCATGGGAGTAAAGGTGGGAAGTCAAAATTTTAGAAAAATTGTACACTGAAATAGAAGTAAATATGGAAATCAATAAAAAATTACGTCTTAAAAAAATAGAAGAAAATAGAAGAAAAATAGAAGAAAAGAAAAAGTTGTGTTTTAGCCAGATAGAGCAACAGGGGCAGGCCACACACCCTGTTTCAGGCCAACGCTGTTGTGGCGATAAGAGTTTGTGCTGGCTCAGGTGAGCAGTGGTAGCTGCTGCCCTCTCCCTCTTCTTCCTTTTTGCCGTCATAGCAGCCGCAGGAACAGCAGCAGCTAGTGCTTCTCGCCCCCTGCCTCCTGGCCTGGCTCTGAGAAAGGGTCAAGGCGTGTGGGTCTTCCTTCAGAGCAAGGCATTCTGGGAAAGGTGGCAGCAGCGAGAGCCACTCAGGCGCCACAAACGCTTACCCTGCAAAGAAGCATCTCTGCCGCTCCCCTGCTCGTCCGTTTTGAAGGTGCCTCTCGCTTTCGAAGAATACAGGTCCACCTCCGCCAGAAGCCCAGACACCTGGAACAACACAAAGGGCATAACCAGGGCAGAATATGGCAGTACCTCATTTTACGCTCAAATGACTTGTGTGAATCCAACAGTACACGGCTGAAGGCTGAAACTGTGCAACTCAAGGGGACTGGGTGCGAAGAGAGATTTTAAGCTTGGTTCTCAGGTAAGGCCTGCTTGGCACATTGGCTCTGGGATTGCTGGGGATGCTCTCGCACGATCTTGCAGGAAGTCGAGTTGTCCTGCGAGAACTTGCAAGAGCATCTCCAGCACTCCCAGAGCTAGTATGTTGAGAGGGCCTTGCCTGGCATCAAGGCTGGACCTGGTGCAAAAAGAGCTTTTCAGCTCTCAGTCTTGCTTGCTGGGCAACACCCGTCCTGTTAGGAGTGCGGTGGCTTTGAGAGCGTTGAGGGTGCTCTCTGTCTCCTTCACTACACCAGTTGCATCTAGAAATATTTTCTATATTTTCATGTATACACATAGCTCTTGGAACTGAACGCCTGAGAAAGATAAGGTATCGCCATAATCACAAATGGATAACAGCAATGAATTATACATGGGGTCAACTGTAGTACTGTGTCCAGTTCTGGGCACCACAGTTCAAGAAGGACACTGACAAACTGGAACGTGTCCAGAGGAGGGCAACCAAAATGGTCAAAGGCCTGGAAACGATGCCTTATGAGGAACGGCTAAGGGAGCTGGGCATGTTTAGCCTGGAGAAGAGGAGGTTAAGGGGTGATATGATAGCCATGTTCAAATATATAAAAGGATGTCACATAGAGGAGGGAGAAAGGTTGTTTTCTGCTGCTCCAGAGAAGTGGACACGGAGCAATGGATCCAAACTACAAGAAAGAAGATTCCACCTAAACATTAGGAAGAACTTCCTGACAGTAAGAGCTGTTCGACAGTGGAATTTGCTGCCAAGGAGTGTGGTGGAGTCTCCTTCTTTGGAGGTCTTTAAGCAGAGGCTTGACAACCATATGTCAGGAGTGCTCTGATTGTGTTTCCTGCTTGGCAGGGGGTTGGACTCGATGGCCCTTGTGGTCTCTTCCAACTCTATGATTCTATGACTCTAACCTTCAGCTGGTCTGAAATAGGCCAGGAAGATTCGTAACTGGGCTTGGCAAATACAATCCCCCCTTGGTATGCTAGTTTCAGCTGTTCGTGGACCAGGACAGCTTGGCCTCAGGAATCCTCTCCCTCCCTCTCTCTCTATTGGTTTATAAACAATACATCCAATCTGCTTACAACACCAAAACACAAAACTATTACAAACAGCCCACCACCAATACCAAACAAGACAAACAAGACAAAATATCTTGAAAAGAAAACGATAAAAGTAAATTTCTTCTCTGCCTGATGACTTCCGACCTCCTCTGCCTGGTTCTTTTAGTTCCTTGTTAACTGCATCTGTTTTTCAATAAGCTTAAACAATATTACATGTTGTTTATATTCCTTTTAACCTGAGTTATTACAAGAGTTAATCAAAGCATATTAAAGATTTGATGTGGGGACAATGTTCTTTTAGATATAGTCTGTAGATGTTCCAGTCTTTTTTAAACTTTTGGGTCGATCGGTCCCTGACCTTTTTTGTCATTTTCACGAATTCTATGTACTCAAACAGTTTAACCTGCCACTCCTCTTTAGTTGGCAAATAAAACCCCTCCCCTTAGTTTGCTAGTTTCAGCTGTTTGTGGACTAGGATAGCTTGACCTCAGGAATCCACACTCTCTCAATATCCACATGGCTGGATTGGTTAAAACTGTGGCACATGTGCCCACACGAGGTAATACCTCGGGTTAAAGTAGTTTTGGGTTTAGCGTTTTCGGGTTGTGCACTGTGACGACCCGGAAGTAATGGAACGCGTTACTTCCAGGTTTTGCCACTCGCGCCTGCGCAGATGCTCAAAATGACATCACGCGCATGCGCAGCAAATCGTGACCCACGCACGCGCAGACGCGGGTTGTGTTTGCTTCAGGATGCGAACAGGGCTCCAGAATGGATCACGTTCGCATCCAGAGGTACCACTGTACTAGCCACCAACCTGGAGTCACAACACTTCCCAGAGCTACAGAACTCCTTGCCACAAGGGCTGTTTAGGTTTAGAGCACACTTGAAGCACACTTCCTCCTCAAAGGATCATGGGAACTGTTGCTTGAAGCTCTGTGAGTGGCAAATAATTCCCAGCACAAACTACAGTTCCCATGATTCTTCGTGGAGGGGGCGGGCAGATGTGCTGTGAATGTGCGTACACGGCAAAGGAAGATCCTTTGGCAAGGTATTTAGCAACTGGCAAAGAGGGGTTAGCAGGAGAAAATGATCCGATTCCTTCGCCACTGATTATACCCAACTCTGCCTCCATCCACCACCATTTATTTCTGAGATCTATCCCAGAAATCTCTAGGCCTGGGAGGCCTGGGAGTAGAAGATTTGAAAAATCCTAGTCTAGGTAACAGACAATTTAGGTTTGGAGCAGAAGGGAAGTCCGGGCAGGGAAAATGAGAAGAAGAGGGGAAGTCGGGGGGATGGAGAGGCAAAGCAGAGGGGAAAGGCTGACCCATACCACTTTCTCCATATGTTGCAAAGGCAACAGCGCCCCCAAACCCTTCTCTCCTTGTCTGAGAGACTGGGGGACTTCACCGCCTGCCCCCAGGGGCTCCTCTTCCAGCCTCAGCATGAAGTCCTCTGCCAGGGCCACCGCCTGGACGCAGGTCTCCGGGTCATGATTCTTGACCCAGCACTGCATTTCCGGGGGCAGGACGGCCAGGAACTGCTCCAGGATCAGCAGCTCCAGGATCTGCTCCTTGGTGCGCCTCTCGGGCTTCAGCCACTGGTAGCACAGGAACCAGAGGCGGCTGCAGACCTCGCGGGGACCCTCAGCCTCCCGGTAGCCAAAGTGCCGGAACCGCCGGCGGCACTTCTCCGTGTCGGCGGCCTCTTCATCCGGGGACGCCTTCTCCTTGACTTTCCCGCAGGCTGCCTCACCGTCGGCTAGCGGCCCGCCAGTCAGCACTTGAACGTCTCTGCCAGGGCCAGGCCACGGCTGGGCCACCCGCTCTCCTCCGAGTCGGTCGCCAGGTTGACCTGACCCCTGGAAAGAAGAGGGCGAAGCTTCGGCATGGCCCCAGGGGGAGGGCGCGCCCCCCCAGATTGTGTGAAAGGGCCGCGGCTCCCTTGGGAAGTGCTGCCACCGAGGCTCCCACTGCTGTGCCAAACCTTCGTCGGCTTCCTCTTTGATGTGCAGGGACGTCATTCTTTGGGGAAGTTCGGTTGGGATCCTGGGAGACGTTTCACTTTTTCCCTCCAATTCTTCCTCCGGTTTGGGGCTCAGGAGTCCACACTGCAACATTTCCTCCCCTGGCTGTAGCCCGGCTTGGAACCGGGGAACCAGATCTCCCAGAATCCCTTGCTCGGCTGCCATTTTTCTAGGGCCAAGGCTTTACTCCAATTCGCCTCTCTCACACACACAAACAAGAAGCTTTGGGGGGAGTTTCTTCTTTCTAAGTTTACTTGTCCCAGGTTAGCCCCAGCAGCTTCTTGTCCCCGGTTAGCCCCAGCAGCAGAATCCACAAGGGTCTCTGAAAAACATAATTGAGGGGTTCATTTATTTCTGAGCCGGTAACAACAGAGGTTGGTTCAACAGGTGTCTTTTTAAGGAATAAAAACATACACAGGAATGACGGAGAGCACATAAAACTAGAACCTTGGGGGGTAATTTTATTTTGATTCTAGACATCCCAGTTCCTGATTCTTCCAGACCATGCCTCACTTTCAAGCCTATTTCTTCAGGGTCTTAAGGGACCGAAATTTGGTCCCCCACCCCAAGAAACGAAAGCTGAAATACTAAGTTCTGCCACTGACAGCAAGTTCTGGGCTCATGCAGAATACCATATGGAAAGTCAATACAGTAAACATTTACATTCCCCCCCTCATTACTTTTTAAAAAAATGAATTTCTTTTATGTTTGCTAAATTCCCAAATATTTAATATTTCAGGCACAGAACGAGCAAGGAATCAGGAGTTTGATTACTTTTCAAGAAAAGCTAGATATTATAATGCTCTGTTTCTGAACTGTACCATTAGTACCCTGGGCATGACTTAAATACATTTGTTAAATATCATAATATCAAAAAAATTCAGACTGTCTTTTAGGGCATAAATTATTTTATTTTATATTTTATACTTTATATTATGTTAATGTTTATATTATTTAGCCTTTTAACATTGTTTTAAGGGCTGGACAGCTCAGTTTGGTTAGAGCCTGGTGCTGATCAAGCCAAAGTTGCAGGTTTGGTCCCCATATGGGCAGCTGCATATTCCTGCATTGCAAGAGGGTTGGGCTTAGATAATCCCCCCTCCAGCTCTACAACCAAGCAGAGGGCCTACTCAGTGGTGGCGCCCACCCTGTGGAACACCCTCCAATCAGATGTCAAGGAAATAAACAACTACCTGACTTTTAGAAGTTTTTTATGTTTGATGTTTTGTCATGTTTTTAATCTGTTGGGAGCCGCCCAGAGTGGCTGGGGAAACCCAGCTGAAGGGGCGGGGTATTTTTATTTTATTTATTATTATTATTATTATTATTATTATTATTATTATTTTCTATGATTCCTCGTGAATTTATCATGCCATGTGTTTCTGTTTTTAAACATGCCACTTGGAGAGCTTGGTAAGAAGCAACTAATAAATCATAGAATCACCACAGAATCATAGAGATAGAAGGGACCTCTTGGATCATCTAGTCGAACTCTCTGCAAGGCAGGAATATGCATCTGTCCCATACAGGGATTGAACCTGCAACCTTGGCATTATCAGCATCACACTCTAAGCAGCTGAGCTATCTGGGCCCTCCTGGAAATAATAATAATAATAATAATAATAATAATGTCACAAGCAAAGCACTAGAGTATATCAAACAGTACAAGGATACGGGAGACACAAACAAAAAAATAAGATCTAAAAGAACTATGGTATATTACATAGTGAGATAGAACATAGGAACGAACAGAGTCAGTACTACAGGTCTACCTAGATCAGTGCTGACTACACTGACTTGCAGCTGCTCTCCAGGGTTTCAAAATGGGAACCTAGAATTGCCACCAGGGATTGACTGAGCCAGGGATTTTCTGTCCCAGGGCATGAATTGTAGCAGAGTAAAAAAGCAGCACAGATTCCAAAACGACACATGGTTTCAAAAAACGACTCAGATGCAGCCAACTTCATTAGCAAAATTTACCATGGCAAATTCACATAACAAGATCCAGATCCCTGGATAGCAAAAAAAAAAAAACACTTTAAAATCCAGTTGCAGTAAGACTTAACAGTAAAAACGGAAACCTTAAACTTAACGTACGCATGTACAATGCACTCAATGAGAGAAACAAACTGAAGAGAAGAGATAGATGGAACGAAGGGAAGCGAGAAACCAGTCATTCCCAGCCTGTAAATTAATAATAGACAGTTAAAAACATCTTGGCCTTGAGAAACGTGTTAAGGTTCACAGCCAAAATAGCACCTGCGTGCTTCTTAGCAGAATGGAAATTTGCAAACCAGCTAGAAACTTCCAGCTTGTGCCACATGCAGAGAACATACCAGAAACTTCTGCTTGAATTGATAGACGAGAAATGGTTTCTATACTTTATATAAATGGCTTCTATTTGAATCAATAAACTATCAATGTTTCCGTACCTCAGAAGCGCTATACCTGACATCTTCTGTATGCATAGCCAATACTCTGCCACTGAGCTAGGGTCCCCTTCAAGAGAAAGCAAGATTCTAGTCCTCATGGGCAGCTGTTTAAACAGGACTCCTTGTGGGGAGTCAGACCAGGGTAGTCCACAGTGACAGGCTCTCTTCAAAAGGCATCAAGAAACATATGTGTGTTCCAGATCCAATTTAGCACCCCAAAAATGTTTGCCTTCATTTCCCTTTTAAAGGCGCAGGAGCCCTCTCCCACGTCACCTGCCCACCTTTGGCACAGATTTAACACCCATCCGGAAACATAAAACTTAAATCCCAACAGAACGCACGAATATCACAATGCTATCCAGGTTTTCTCAGGAGTAAACCCCGCCATTTCCAACAGAGCTTGCTCCCAGGTGTGTATAGGATTCTTGCAGTCTAGGATTCTCATCCCCAAAGGCCATGTGTCATTTGCTGCTATGAATAAAATTAATTCTAAGTCAACATATCAGGTGGCCGGCCACAAAGCATGAAAACACAGCCAGCTCAATGGGAACGGCATAAAATGATATATATTGTAGACTGAGTCCTAAAGAATAGAGAATCCTGGCGATATATATATATAAAACAAAAGGGGTGTGTGGAAACAATAGCAATCAAACGGAGGAGATTTTAATCCCACCTTCCCCCGCAGCAGTTATGGTGTGGCATAAAAGCACAGGAAAATATTTTAAAGTAACTAGGTAAATTCCCATGAGGTTGCAGTGAGAGCCTTGAGAGATCCTAATTCCTTTTGTAACGCTTGGACTGCAAACAGCAGAGCAATTCAATTATTATAATTATTATTATTATTTTAAAAGGTGGCATAATCCTACGAATGGGCCAATGCAAATTTCACCCTTGGGATTTATTTGTTGCAACTGAAAGGTCCTATTCCAGCCTTTCAAACTCACCCCCACCTCAGGTCTGCAGCACGGAAAACACAACAATAGCTCCACAGCACAAGCTTAGCTGGGAGCTGGAGGAGGAAGGGACTTTGCAGTATTTACAGTCCGCCCCCCTCCTCCTTTTCAAATTTCTTGGCTTCTCTGGGAATCCGTGCTCTGTGGTTTTAACCCTTTTAAAGGGCCACCCTTGGAAGCAAAAAGGAGAGAAATGGTGATGAGCCGCAGCGGCTGATGTCCATCGGAAATGATAGGGCGGAGGGCAGGGAGCCCGACAGTAGGTGGCGCCAGAGAGCCGATGATCAGCAGAGCCGACCAATTCTAGTTGAGCCACCCATCTTCTTCCCTGCCCAGCTCTGCAAAGGGAATGCTGGGGAAGAGGAGGAGGTTGACTGGCAGGGACGCCCCCGGGAATGGCTTTAAAGCAGGGGTCAGTAACATTTTTCAGCCATGGGCCAGTCCACCGTCCCTCAGACCATGTGGGGGTCTGGACTATATTTTGAAAAAAATAATGAACAGATTTCTATGCCCCACAAATAACCCAGAGACGCCTTTTAAATAAAAGGACACATTCTACTCATGTAAAAACACGTTGATTCCCAGACTGTCTGCGGGCCAGATTGAGAAGGCAATTGGGCCGCATCCAGCCCACGGTCCTTAGGTTGCCTACCCCTGCTTTAAAGGAAGGAGATCGCTGGCCAGGGGCTGGCTGAGGGCAGGCTGAGGTTGATGCTGGGTTGCCCTAATGGGCCAGCCTCCATTGTGGGGGCATCTGAGCAGAACTGCAGATTCACTGTGTCAGCGTCAGCGAGGAGTTCGTAGAATCATTGAAGAGTAGGGTTGGAAGGGGATCCAAGGGTCATCTAGTCCAACCCCCTGCAGCTCAGGAATCTCAACTAAAGCATCCATGGGTCAATCCTCAGCGCATCACGAGGTGGGGGCTGGGAATGCCCCCCAACTCTCACCCTGGAGAGGAGCTGCCAGTCAGTGCATGTAGACAATGCTGAAGACACAGAGCTGGGAAGCACAGTGGCAGGAGTTCCTAAAGGCAGTGGAGTGCCCTCGCTTTGAGTTGGCCACCTTGCCACATCTAGATCCCGCGCTGACGTGAGATACAAAGTTGTTTCTGGCCCCGAGGGAAGATGTGGCAGAGACTGGACAGTCCCTTCGAGGGGAGGTGGAAAGGAAGCCGACGGAAGGTGTCCACCAGGCACAAGGTGATGATGAGAAGGTCAAGGAAGAAACCCCCGGAGAGGATCTTTCCAGTAGAGAGACGTGGCGGCGATGCTTCTGGCAGCTCCGCTACCAGGAGGCCCAGGGGCCCCGAGCAGGCGGCTCTGGGAGCTTTGCCACCGATGGCGGACCAAGGAGCAAATCATGGAGCTTCTGATCCTGGAGCAGTTCTTTATGGTCCTTCCCCAGGAGATGAGGAGCTGGGTCAGGGAAGGCAGGCCTGAGACCTGTGCCCAGGCGGTGGCCCTGGCAGAGGATTTCTTGCAGAAGCGGCCCGAGAGACTGGAAGGGCGAGAGAGAGATGTAAGTCAGTAATCACAAGAAGAGGAGAGAGGTGTAAATCAATTATCCCAAAGACTCCCGGCATCAGGGATGTGTTTGAGGTTGTTGTTAAGTTGTGGGTGAACATATCAGACGACACAGTGATTCTTCAAACAGCTCTTGTTTATTCACAGGCCAGAACAGAACAGAACAGAACTGAAGGGTTCAGCCAGCCTGCTTATATAGAGCTCCAGTACAACGTAACTGTAACAACTTTCTGAAACTATCCAATCACTGAACATCACTTTCAATCCCTTATTTGCATATGTGGACCTGAGTGAAAACTATCTACAGTATCCCCCTACTGGCCCAGGGTGAGAACTTCAGTACATAACAGTTGTGATTTAGGATAAGGGAAGGGGCCATAGCTGAGTCGCAGAGCATCTGAGTTGGTTGCAGAAGGCCCCATCTCTAGGTAGGACTCAAGGTTGGGTAAAGACTCCCTGTCAGAAATCCTGTTCAACTGCTGCAAGTCAGTGTGGACAATACTGAGCTGCTTAATAATAATAATAATAATAATAATAATAATAATAAATTATTTACATGCCACCCAACTGACTGGGTTGCCCCAGCCACTCTGGGCAGCTTCCAGCAAATTAAAACATCAAATACAGTAAATTCAGCAACTAGGTTGCTCATTGGTTCAAGAAGGTTTGAGCATATTTCACCGATCCTGGTCCGACTGCAGTGGCTACCGATTAGTTTCTGAGCCCAATTCAAAGTGCTGGTTTTGACCTATATAAAGCCTTAAACGTCTCAGGATCGCAGTACCTCAAGGACCACCTCTTTCCATATGAACCTACCCAGACTCTGAGATCTGAGGCCCTCCTTTGTGTGCCTCCTTCTTGAGAGGTCCGGAGGGTGGCAACACGAGAACGGGGCCTTCTCTGCAGTGGGTCCCTGTCTGTGGAATTCTCTCCTCCCAGGGAAGTTCGCCTGGCACCTTCATTATACACCTTTAGGCGCCAGGCAAAAACGTTCCCTTTTTACCAGGCCTTTGGTTGACCTGATCAACATCCTATATACCCTTTTAAAATGTGGATTTTCGGGGGGGGGGGTGTTATTGGGTTATGCCTACGGAATCTCCACATAGGGTTGGGAGAGATTCCCTGCACGAAACGCCAATCAGTGTAGACATTACGGCTCCCAGTGTTTCCTCTCTGTGTTTTTTCTTCTCCTGGTCCATCCACTGTGAAACACAAGAAGCTGGACTCCCTGCAGACAAGACTCACAGGGCTCACCTCTTCCCATAGGGAGATGCACAAGCGATGTGGCTGGAAGGAATCCAACTGGAACAGCTTTCCTCAACATTTTATGGCCTTGCCAATAATTTATCCCATGGAGCTGGGAAAAGTACAGGAGTTTATTAAAAAACAACAACCACCACAAATGTGTCACTGCGATGCTGTTAATCTCGCCCATTCAAATCTCCTTTATTTTATTACTCTAATCTAATCTTTGTTACAGCTTTCTGGCAAGATTACATTTTATGATCAAATATGTAACTTAACATTGGTATTTCTATGGTTGTTAAACACTGTAAAGGTTGGCGGTCAGAGGTCAGTACTACCCAATCTGTTAAACTTTGCAGAGTAGAACAGTTTAACAGCTTTAAGTGTCTGCCTTAATTTAGAGTACAGTGAGTACATGGGGACCTGGAAGCTTTTCTGAGAATCAGCCTAAGAAACCCAAGCTTCTAGCCCTCATAATTGCAGAAAGACCTTGAAAACATGATATGATCTTACTATATCATAAAGTTGTAATGCTGTCATCATGCTGCCATTTGCAGTGCCCCCAACAGGTGGCCACGATAACTCCTGTGTGGTGACAAAACAGCAGGTAGGCAAGTAAGCGCAGGTGGAGCAGGTGGCCCAGGTGAGCCTTTCAAAGGAGGGAGGGAGGTGCTTCAGAGCGTGGTATATGGCAAACTGAAGTGCCTTCCTCTCTCCCATAAAAACACCACTGAATCAATGTTTAAAGGAGAGGGGTGCTTTAAAAGGGGTTGAAGGCAGGGTGAAATTTGATTTAAATCAAATTGATTTAAATCACTAGTCAGTAAGACTTGATTTAAATCATTATTTTACAGAAAGACTCATTCTTGCTGGCATAATCTTAATATTTATAACCAGATGAAGGTTTCATTTTTGGAAAAATAAATTTTCAGGGTAGTTTTTACAGTTATATCAAAAATTACTGATTTGTTTATACTGTTAGAAATACATAGACAGATATTTATGAAGTTATTGTGAGGCTTAATAAGTTAACTGTTTATATTTGGACAACTTTTCTGTTGCACTTTATTGGAAGGAGAAAAACAATAATTTCCTTAATAACAATTTATTTAACTAAAATAACAACATGATAGCATATGTATCCATGTTCCTTAACTGATGTGGTTAAACAATTTTAAAACCCCCAAAAACTTTGGACTATAATGTAACTTAAATAGAAAACTATCTTTAGAAAGATTTTTCCTCCAAAAGCATTTTATTTTAAAAATCCAATTAAAATAAATCTGATTTAAAGAAAAAAACCTGATTTTTAATTTAATTTAAAAAAATAAAATTAAAAATTGATTTTTATCCACCCTGGTTGAAGGGGAGGTGTGGTGGGAGGGGAAGAAGAGGTTTGGGCAGGCTGGGGGGGGGGTAGATAAGGGTGAGGCACAAAGGAAGGGCATTGGTCAGGTATAAGGGGTGGTTCTTTCCACTGTTAACTCTCAGCTGTCCTGTCTGCATCTGACCTGCAGCAGGAGTAGGGATGGGGGTCTTCCAATTTCAGTTCCCTTTGGTTCTCGGTTTTCCCACTCTTAAATTTGGTTCTCTACATTTTTGCAGCAATCCAGGGGTCAGCAAACTTTTTCAGACCTTGTGGGGGGAAGCCGAACTATATTTTGCCCCCAAAATAATCCAGAGATACATTTTAAATAAAAGCACACATGCTACTTGTGTAAAAACACCAGGAAGGCCCCACAAATAATCCAGAGATGCATTTTAAATAAAAGCACAAATTCTACTCATGTAAAAACACGCTGATTCCCGGACCGTCCGTGGGCCGGATTGAGAAAGCGATGGGGCCGGATCTGACCCACAGACCTCAGGTTGCCTATCCCTGCTTCGAACCTTCTTTTCAGAAACCTTCATGGGACTTCTGCAGCATTTTAGTGTAATATATACAAAATATATATATAAAAATTGTCCAGTAGCACCTTAGAGACCAACTAAGTTTGTTCTTGGTATAAGATTTCCTGTGCATGCAGACTTCTTAGAATCATAGAATCATAGAGTTGGAAGAGACCACAAGGGCCATCGAGTCCAACCCCCTGCCAAGCAGGAAACACCATCAGAGCACTCCTGACATATGGTTGTCAAGCCTCTGCTTAAAGACCTCCAAAGAAGGAGACTCCACTACACTCCTTGGCAGCAAATTCCACTGTCGAACAGCTCTTACTGTCAGGAAGTTCTTCCTAATGTTTAGGTGGAATCTTCTTCCTTGTAGTTTGGATCCATTGCTCCGTGTCCGCTTCTCTGGAGCAGCAGAAAACAACCTTTCTCCCTCCCCTATGTGACATCCTTTTATATATTTGAACATGGCTATCATACCACCCCTTAACCTCCTCTTCTCCAGGCTAAACATGCCCAGCTACCTTAGCCGTTCCTCATAAGGCATCGTTTCCAGGCCTTTGACCATTTTGGTTGCCCTCCTCTGGACACGTTCCAGTTTGCCAGTGTCCTTCTTGAACTGTGGTGCCCAGAACTGGACACAGTACTCCAGGTGAGGTCTGACCAGAGCAGAATACAGTGGCACTATTACTTCCCTTGATCTAGATGCTATACTCCTATTGATGCAGCCCACAATTGCATTGGCTTTTTTAGCTGCCGCGTCACACTGTTGGCTCATGTCAAGTTTGTGGTCAAGGTTTGTCTTCAGATACCAGAATTTTAGTGTGGATTTCTCCGAATCAACACATTTTTGTGTGTGCTGTTTTGACTAACACGAACATCATTTCAAGCAATTTCCCCCAGTATAATGCATTTTTGTATCCTACTTTCACTAATACATTCAATTTACATATACATTTGCCTAATACAGTGTTTCCCAACCTTTGGTCTCCAGCTGTTTCAGACTACAATTCCCATCATGCCTGACCACTGGTCTGGCTAGCTAGGGATGATGGGAGTTGTAGTCCAAAAACAGCTGGAGACCAAAGGTTGGGAAACACTGGCCTAATAGATCCTTTTTGGAAACTTTGGCTTGTTGGTGAACAGCACTGCAAAATTCAGAGAAGTGCAAATATGGGAAGGATGGGTGTGTTTCGGTTATCACATTGTTTCAGAAAGTGTGAATTTGGCAACTTTGATTCCAAATTTGAGCTGAATTTGCCCCCCTCCCCTCATCCCTTGGAGAACTTCTGACTTGGTGCTCTTTTGTTTCCCAGTATCTCTGATCCATGGAGTTGATCGCAGGTCAGCTTCACACAGAATTACCATATTTTTCGCCCTATAGGACGCACTTTTCCCGCTCCAAAAATGAAGGGGAAATGTGTGTGCGTCCTATGGGGCGAGTGCAGGCTTTCACTGAAGCCTGGAGAGCGAGAGGGGTCGGTGCGCACTGACCCCTCTCACTCTCCAGGCTTCAGGAAGCTATCCGCAAACTGTGGGAGAGCTGCGCGACTTTGCACAGCTCTCCCACGGCTTGTGGAGAGCTGCCTGTTCTGGGGGCTGGGGTCAGGGGAAGCTCGGGCTTCCCCCGCCCCAGCCCCGCGCCTGGGGGGGAAATATTTTTTTTTCTTTATTTCCCCCCCAAAAAACTAGGTGCACCCTATGGGCCGGTGCGCCCTATGGGCCGAAAAATACGGTACCTCATTTTTCCGTGTATAAGACGCCCCCATGTATAAGACAAGCCCCAATTTTAAACCTAACTTTTTGGTAAAAAAAAAAACCCTAGTCTTAGACACGGAAAAATACGGTAATTCTTATCTTTAAAATCTCGGTAGATAACAGATAACTGCTACCCATAAAAAGGGGGGAAGGAAATGAGCCCCTAGTTAAGAAGCAGAGTGAGAGGGAGGACAGGGAATGGCAGCAAGCGTTGTAAAATATAAAGTGGGCAGGGCAGATCTCTTGGCCTTTACATCTCCTGCCAGCCTATAAGGGGAAGTCCTTCTTCACATTGGCAGGGAAGGTCCCATTTGCAACACTCAAGCGGCATTGAAATTGTCCTTCTGCAAAAAAAGGGAAAACACAAATTGGCAAGTAGCTCATTTGTATGGCCTGCAGAAGGGACTAGAGCTGGCAAAATAGCACAGCAGATCTTATTAGCGGCTTCCTTGTTAGGTAAGTGGTCTTGTTTTTGAATCTTTGCAAAGTGTCTTGTAATGAATTCATTTAGACATGAATGAATGAATAAGCGAATTAAAAATGTGCAAGAACTTGGTTAAGGAGGATATTAAAATGCAAGGCTGCCGCTGACCTTATGTTCTAACCCTAATAGCCTTAGACCATTTAGCTCAAGGTGGTCTACACAAACTCTGCATTTCTTTCTTTTTTATAATAATATTTATTGTTTGCCATTTTAACAATCCAATAAAAACCACATTAAAAACATTCCAAATTATAATACAATCAAACAGTCCAAATTTTATGCCAAATTATAAATCTTTGGGTGACTTCCCATGCTCTGGAGGTCGAGGGGTGATGATCTCACGTAGTACTGCATTCCTTAATTAGGCCACATTTCTAATCCACGTTTCCCCCAAATATACGCATTTCTGTACATACAGTTTGGCTGAAGACGTGCATTGCAAAAATTGAGTTTTGAAGGTTAGCTGTGTTTTGGTTCTAGAAGTGTGAAATGGGTGTATCCCCCTTAACATGCACAAGTAATCCAGTTTCGCCAAGATAGCTTTGATTTGATCCAGAATCAAGCAAGCCTCACCTCTTCTTCTTCCGTGTGTCCCTCACTACTCCAGAAAGTGCCTCGCGGAATTCCCTTCTGCCTTTCAAAGTGTGTCTAGATGATGAGAGGGCAAATGGGGAGTTTAGCTGGAAGTTCTTCAGACAAGATCCTCTGCAGCCTGGTCGTCATCCTTGTGGGCTTGTTCCTTCTGTCAGGTAAAGGTTTTCCCAGTGCTTCTGTTCATTTACCTACAAATTCAGGAGTATGAGGGCCCGTTCACTATTAATATACTTCTTCTTAATTGTATTTCATTTCAACAATTACTTTGATAAAATACAGCTTTTGTGACATGCAAATGGCCTTAGATACCTATTAGGTCCATAAATTACCATATAACATATACAGTGGTACCTCGGGTTACATATGCTTCAGGTTACTTACGCTTCAGGTTACAGACTCCGCTAACCCAGAAATAGTGCTTCAGGTTAAGAACTTTGCTTCAGGATGAGAACAGAAATCGTGCTCCGGCGGCGCAGCGGCAGCAGCGGGAGGCCCCATTAGCTAAAGTGGTGCTTTAGGTTAAGTACAGTTTCAGGTTAAGAACGGACCTCCGGAACGAATTAAGTACTTAACCCGAGGTACCACTGTACAGTCACACCTCATGTTACGTTTGCTTCAGTTTGCGCGTTTTCAGGTTGTGTCCCGCGGCGACCCAGAAGTACCGGAAAGGGTTACTTCCGGGTTTCGCCGCTCGCGCATGTGCAGACACACAAAATGACATCACGTGCATGCACAGAAGCGGAGAATCACAACCCACGCAGATGCGGATTGCGTTCTTTTCAGGTTGCAAATGGGCCTCCGGAACGGATTCTGTTCGCAACCAGAGGTACCACTCTATTCAACACAAAAAACAGCAACAATTTGTTGTCGACAAAGGACAGCTGGACATATAAAGGGCCCCATTTCCTTCAGTAGCTTAGGGCCGCATCAAACCTAAATCCGGCCCTGCCTTGCAGTGTTGTAACCTGCCCTGTGACCTTAGGGTGTCGGGTGGGAAATGAACAAAGGAATACTAGTAGTGATTAATAATAATGAAGAAGGTATCCTGGACTAGATGGGCCACAGGGCCAGTGTGGTGTAGTGGTTAAGAGTGGTGGACTTGTAATCTGGTGAACCGGGTTCGCTTCCCCGCTCCTCCAAATGCAGCTGCTGGGTGACCTTGGGCCAGTCACACTTCTCTGAAGTCTCTCAGCCCCACTCACCTCACAGAGTGTTTGTTGTGGGGGAGGAAGGGAATGTTAGCTGCTTTGAGACTCCTTCGGGTAGTGATAAAGCGGGATATCAAATCCAAACTCTTCTTCTTAAGCAACTCCAAGCTTTCTCCCTCCGGCGGCTTCCAGCCGCCTCCGAGTGCAGAGGCAGACCAGAGGCCTCCTGGGAAGGAGCCATGAAGGGGCTGAATCTCCTCCGTGAATTTGTCCAACCCCCTTTTGAAGCCATCCAAGTTGTTGACCATCACAATCTCCTGGGGGAGGGAATTCCATAATTTAACTCTGTACTGCATGAAGAAGGACTTTGTGGAGGAATGATTATTTTTATTTTTTATTTACTGGATTTATATACCGCCCTATACCCTCAGGGCGGTTCCCACAAAGGATCACAGTATCCCCTTGATCATTTTTGGGGGTGCCCTTTACTGGACCTTTTCCAAGTCCACAAGACCCTTTTTGAGACGAGGCAAACAGAACACAGTACAGTGGTGCCTCGGGTTAAGAACTTAATTCGTTCCGGAGGTCCGTTCTTAACCTGAAACTGTTCTTAACCTGAGGTACCACTTTAGCTAATGGGGCCTCCTGCCGCCGCCACGCGATTTCTGTTCTCATCCTGAAGCAAAGTTCTAAACCTGAGGTTCTATTTCGGGGTTAGCGAAGTCTGTAACCTGAAGCGTCTGTAACCCGAAGCGTCTGTAACCCGAGGTACCACTGTACACAGTATATTCCAAAAGGGGTCACATCATAGATTTGTAAAATAGCATTATGAAAGTGGCAGTCAACAGTAAGCCACCTACTATAACCCCAGAGTCTCTTTCCTGGTCCATCACCTCCAGTTCAGAGTTTATGTGAAAGTACCTTTTTTTTTGCACTTCAGTCACTACATTTGTATTGTGCAACATTTTAATTTTTTTATTTTGTTATGCTTTATATTTCAACAGTCGCAGATCTCTGTAAAAAATCGCTAGCTGCCCCAGAACACACACACACACACCAGCCAGGTGTGCTCCAGATAGTCTACATATTTTATTTAAAAGGATTTATATAGTGCTTAATCTTAAAAACATCTGAACGGATTGGGGCTGTGCTGACTGGGGCTGGTGCAGGTTGCTGGTCGATACATTCGGGGCACCGGCTTAGGGAAGGCTAGGCTATGCAGCTGATGGATTGTTTGAAAAATGTCCTCATTCTCTTCTCTTATTTCTCTTGCTACCCATGTCATGAACAGAAGCTGCTTCTCTGAAAGGGAAGCAACTGGTCCTGTCTGGACAGACACAGAAATACCCCTCCTTGGCCGGCCGCATTGCCCAAGGCTTGCACATATTTACCGTGTGCATCTATCTGAACAAGACTAATAATAGTGTGGGCACTTGGGCGGCCTTTTCTTATGACATCGGCAGTTCCTCCAGGGACCCCAAAGATGTGGAGCTGGCTTTGTTTGCCAATAACTGTACCCTGCAAATGTCCCTTTTCGGCACCCTGGTTGATTTGGGGAAAGATCTCATGGTCCCCAAGACGCACCAGATGTGCTGTGTGTGGGACGGGAACAAGACCTTGCTCGAGGTCTTCCATGATGGGGGCAGGATGATGAGCAAAGAGCTCCCTGAGCTCAGACACAAGCGCCTGCAGCCTCGTGGGACTTTTGTGATTGGCTGCCTCCGCAAGAAGCAGGCTGAAGACATCGGCTTCGTAGGCATCCTGCATTATTTCCAAATGTGGAGTTCCGTGCTGGAGGAGCAGCAGATGAAGAAGTGTTCCTCTGGAGATGTTGTTAGCTGGGAAGGCGATTACTGGTCCTTGAACGGCGCAACACTCGAGTCCGACCATCACCAAGATTGTGGTGAGTATCATGCCAACAGAGCCTGCGCAGGAGCCTCCTCCATCTTGCTTGCGCCCATCATTTTGAACAATACGTTTTCACGCACACACCCCAATGTCTGAGCCTCAGCAGACCCCAGGGCTGCCTGCGCTCACCCAGGTTTCAGTTTCCTCGGAATGAAGGCTGGCGGAGACTATGGTGTCTTTAGGATAAGAAAGGTAAAGGAACCCCTGACCATTAGGTCCAGTCGTGACCGACTCTGGGGTTGCGGCGCTCATCTCGCTTCATTGGCCGAGGGAGCTGGCGTACAGCTTCCGGGTCATGTGGCCAGCATGACTAAGCCGCTTCTGGCAAACCAGAGCAGCACATGGAAACACCGTTTACCTTCCTGCTGGAGCAGTACCTATGTATCTTCTTGCACTTTGATGTGCTTTCAAACAGCTAGGTTGGCAGGAGCAGGGACCGAGCAACGGGAGCTCACCCCGTCACAGGGATTTGAACCACCAACCATTTGATCAGCAAGTCCTAGGCTCTGTGGTTTAGCCCACAGCGCTACCCGCGTCCGTCTTTAGGGTATATGGTGTTATTTGCCCATATGTACGGGGTGAGCTCCCGTTGCTCGGTCCCTGCTCCTGCCACCCTAGCAGTTCAAAAGCACGTCAAAGTGCGAGTAGATAAATACCGTATTTTTCGTTCCATAGGACGCTCCATCCCATAGGACGCACCTACTTTTGGGGGGGTGGAAATAAAGGAAAAATTTTTTTCCTTTATTTCCCCCCCAAAACCAGGTTGGGGAACAGTGGGATGGCGGCGCTGCGCCTCCCTGTTGTCCCCCGAGCTTGTGGGGCTGGCTGATGTCTGCCCAGCGTGAGGGGCGCTCTGCTTCAGGGCGCCCCACGCGCCAGGCGGCAGGCTGCAGACACCTGCGCGAAGCACGGGGCGTCCTTTGGAGGGCGCCCCATGCTCCGCGCTGCAGGCTGCCTCCCGCAAGCCTTGCGCTCCCATGGGAGATCCCCCGGGTGCGCAAGGCTTGCCGACACCTGCGCGAAGCACGGGGCGTCCTCCGGAGGGCGCCCCGTGCTCCGCGCTGCAGGCTGCCTCCCGCAAGCCTTGCGCTCCCGGGGGAAGATCCCCCGGGGCGCAAGGCTTGCCGACACCTGCGCGAAGCACGGGACGTCCTCCGGAGGGCGCCCCGCGCTGCAGGCTGCCGCCCGCAAGCCTTGCCACCCGGGGGATCTCCCCCCGGGCGCGCACGGCTTGCGGACACCTGCGCTGGCAGGGGCGTCCTCCGGAGGGCGCCCCGTGCTCCGCGCTGCAGGTTGCCGCCCGCAAGCCTTGCGCTCCCGGGAGAGATCTCCCCCTGGGTGCGCAAGGCTTGCCGACACCTGCACGAAGCACGGGGCATCCTCCGGAGGGCGCCCCGTGCTGCAGGCTGCTGCCCGCAAGCCTTGCGTGCCCAGGGGAACTCCCCCCGGGTGTGCAAGGCTTGCAGATAGCTTCCTGGAGCCTGGAGAGCGAGAGGTGTCGGTGCGCACCGACGCCTCTCGCTCTCCAGGCTTCAGCGAAAGCCTGCATTCGCCCCATAGGACGCACACACATTTCCCCTTCATTTTTGGAGGGGGAAAAGTGCGTCCTATAGGGCGAAAAATACGGTAGGTACCGCTCCAGCCCGGAAGCTGTTTGTGGACAAACGCCAGCTCCCTCGGCCTATAGAGCGAGATGAGTGCCACAACCCCAGAGTCGGCCACGACTGAACTAAACGGTCAGGGGTTCTTTACCTTTACCTTTACAACCTGAATATGGGATGGAAGGGCTCACAGCATTAATCCTACAGCAGATCTTGTTTCCCATTAGATTCCCAGGGAGATCCTCAAGCCACAGCTTTGGGTCCAGCACACAGAGCAAGACAAGCCTTTGTCTCTCCAGCTTCCAGCATCAGCCAAAACTCTCAAGCACAGACTGCTTTGGCCTCTTGTTCCCCATCCTTTGATGGCTGGTAGCATCAACCAAATGCTTTGTTATCTAGAGGTTTGTCTGCACTGGAGCAGAAGGTAGATTCACACCAGCTGCCTCCCCATCATTGTAGAGGAATTTCCCTTCCCATGCCAGCACTATCCCAGATCTTCCACCCTTTAGAATCATATCACAGAATCATAGAATTGTATGGGATCCCAAACACCCTCTAGTCCAACTTTCTGCAATGCAGGAATCACAACTTGGGGGGGGGGGGGGCTTAATCCTTGGGAAATCCAAAATGGCCAGGATTTTTTCAAAACCCTAATTCAAGCAGGGTGGGGGGATGAGCCTTGGGACAACACTAGGGTGGGGTGTACGTCACTATGTCAATGGGGAGACAGGCCAGTGCAAACCCACCTAACTCCAGTCTGGACAAGTTCTCTGACCAAGCTTTTGAGATTCTGGTTGGAGACAGAGCGGTAAAGCTTTATTTATTAATCTGCCGTGCGAAATCTCTGCTATGGTGTGTGGGAACTTCTGCACAAGCTATAAATTTCCTCCTTTGCCTTTTATGGCTGTTTTTGACAACCTGAAATTTATGAAAAGCTGATAGTACCTGGAACAGATAATGGGGAATGAGGACAAAGGAGGAGAACAACAAGCAGGTGGTTGAGTTTATTGGAGCGCATGACTGGCCAGCAGATAAGAGCCCCTCTGAGGTCCTGTTGCTGTTCACCGAAAGGCAGCTCTGCCCTTTCATGAGCATCACGGGAAATGGCCCTCAGGGAACTTGTAGGGGGTTCAAGCTGTGGGATTTTATTCCATCTCAACAACTCCCTGCCATAGAAAGCTGTATTCTTGCCCCACAGCTATTTAATCTATTTTTGAATGACATGAAACATCTAGGTAAAGGTAAAGGGACCCCTGACCATTAGGTTCAGGCGTGGCCGACTCTGGGGTTGCAGCGCTCATCTCGCTTTACTGGCCGAGGGAGCTGGCGTACAGCTTCCGGGTCGTGTGGCCAGCATGACTGAGCCGCTTCTGGCGAACCAGAGCAGTGCATGGAAACGCCGTTTACCTTCCCGCTGGAGCAGTATCTATTTATCTACTTGCACTTTGACGTGCTTTCGAACTGCTAGGTTGGCAGGAGCAGGGACTGAGCAATGGGAGCTCACCCGTCGCAGGGATTCGAACCGCCGACCTTCTGATCAGCAAGTCCTAGGCCACCTGCAAAACATCTACCTGTTGTGAATGGCCACCCTCCTAGGTTAGGACCTAAGGCAGTTCCCATATTTTTATATGCAGATGACACTGTCCTCCTCTCCTGCACCAGAGTTGGGCTCCAGAGATATCTAAAAGCATTCTTTCATTATCCTATTACTCAAACTCCAAGATCTTGGTATTTTCAAAGAGTTGGCATCCATGTGAATGGTTTATTGGTGAACCCTGTCTTTATTCGTATTTATGCATTTCTCAATCTTGTGTTTATTCGTCTCTGTGCATTTCTCCCTCTTTTCAACAGGGTCACGTGACTTTAACTATACATCTTTAGCTCCACCACTGACAAGCAAAGCCCCTGACCCCTCAGTCACAGGTACGTAGCGAATAGAATGGGGTGATCCGGGTTAAAACCTTGCCTCATGGGCAGCTGGCCCTGGACAGGGAACCTGTGGCCCTGCAGGTGTTGGGCTCCAACTCCCATCAGCCCCTGCACCCAGCATGGCCAATGGTCAGGGCTGATGGGAGTTGGAGTCCGGCAGCATCTGGAGGACGGTGGCCCCGTCCCAAGTCCTGCATTACAGGGAGATAGCAGGACCCTGGCTGGGTCTTCTTACGATTATTTATTTGCTAAATTTATATCCACTTTTTATTTATATCACAAAATACGTTATATACCAATTGATTGTAGTAAAATCATCATCATCATCATCATCATCATCATCTCAAAGCTGTTGAATCATCCAAGGTAGCTAACAAAAATGTATATAATAAATAATAAAATTCTCTTGATTATATTCTCCTCTCATCAGTTATCACAAATTTAAAAATGCCCAGTTTTCTAAGTTGCGTATTTCTCTTGCCTGGCATAGATAAAAAAATTGTCCCAAGTATCGCTCTCTCAATGCATTATGTAAAGAGCAATATATATATATATATACATATATATATATATATATATATATATATATATATATGTGTGTGTGTCTGTGTACAAGATTTTCACCCTGTTTTAGACCACAAGGACAGGTAGATTCAATTCAGAATACGGCGTGTTTCTGAACCTTCCTTCCGAAACAGTTGAAGCCATCAGATTTGAGTGGGTTTTGTAGAGTGACAGAGATGACATGTATTTCAAGATGTTCATTCCCACTGGAAATGCTACCCTGGAAACCACAGTTGTAGTTATCAAGGACCCCAGTACAGCTTCTACCACATTTCCTATTGGGCCTCCTGAGACTCATTGAAATCCTGAGCCAACTCTAATGTGGTTGTAACTGTGCCTCTGTCTTCTTTAGCAACAACCTCTAAGTCTGAAGTCACACTTCTGGACGATGGTCTTCCATGGATCTCTTCTGGGACTGTTCCTTCACGGGCTGGTGTGGAGGACTCCCTGGTCCTGAATGGAGTCATTTTGGACTCACAGCTGTCCATGGAGGCACAGATCAATTCTGTGTCCAGGGCAGCTGTCTACCAGCTCCATCTGGTATGCAGGCTGAGACCCTCCCTGCCTGCAGACTGTCTCGCCAGAGTGGTGCCTGCTCTGGTTATCTCCTGCTTAGACTACTGCAACACACTCTACGTGGGGTTACCTTTGAAGGTGACTCGGAAACTACAACTAATCCAGAATGTGGCAGCTAGACTAGTGACTGGGAGTGGCCGTCAAGACCACATAACACCGGTCCTCAAAGACCTACATTGGCTCCCAGTACATTTCTGAGCACTATTCAAAGTGTTGGTGTTGACCTTTAAAGCCCTAAATGGCCTCTGTCCTGGCCTCTGTCCTGTATACCTGAAGGAGCGTTTCCACCCCCATTCAGCCCAGACACTGAGGGCCAGCTCTGAGGGCCTTCTGGCGGTTCCCTCCCTGCGAGAAGTGAGGTTACAGGGAACCAGGCAGAGGACCTTCTTGGTAGTGGCGCCTGCCCTATGGAATGCCCTCCCATCAGATGTCAAGGAAATAAGCAACTATCCTACTTTTAGAAGACATCTGAAGGCAGCCCTGTTTAGGGAAGCTTTTAATGTTTAATGCTGTATTGTGTTTTTAATACCCGATTAGGAGCCACCCAGAGTGGCTGGGAAAACCCAGCCGGATGGGTGGGGTATAAATAATAAATTCTTATTACAGTGGTACCTCTGGTTAAGCACTTAATTCGTTCCAGAGGTCTGTTCTTAACCTGAAACTGTTCTTAACCTGAAGCACCACTTTAGCTAATGGGGCCTCCCGCTGCTGCCATGCCGCCAGAGCACGATTTCTGTTCTCATCCTGAAGCAAAGTTCTTAACCCGAGGTACTATTTCTGGGTTAGCCGAGTCTGTAACCTGAAGCGTCTGTAACCTGAGGTACCACTGTATTATTATAATGTTATAAAACCAAATGGACAGTGTCTCCTTCCAGGTCTGATGAAGCCACACCCAAAGCAGAACCAACAACATCAGCAGCTGATGGGGTTCCTTCCAGCTCTTATGTGAAAATACCAACCTCTGACAGAGATGGAACAACACATCAACAGGAGTTGATTGCATCCACCTCTCGACCCGATGGAGCTACCCCTCAGGGCATCCCAACTCAACCCACCTGGTACATGCCAACTTCTCAGTATGCTGAGACAGCTCCCAAAAGCACCTGGACTGTGCACACCTCCAAACCTACCCAAGTTTCTACAACCTCTAGATATGATGGGGCGACACATCAGGCTTCTGAAACCGTATCTGTTCCTCATCTTACCAATACAAAACTTATCACTGAATCGAAAGCATCAACCATCGATATAAATGCCAAGACCACGCTGGAGACTTTTTGGTCTACACCAGCACCCACAGGAGCCATGCCACGTTCAGGTAATAGATGGGATTTACATTAAAACTTAATGTGGAAGCAAGATATTAAGTTTACTGCCTGTTACACAATTAGAGAAAACCAGATGAAGATGATGTACAGGTGGTATATGACTCCCGTCAGACTAGTCAAAATATACAAATTAAAATCAAGTAAGTGTTGGAGATGTCATGAGGGAGAGGGAACAATGTATCGTGTGGGGGGATGAGGGAAAATTAAAAAATTCTGGAGCAATATTCGTGAAGAATGAAAAAAGATGTCTAAAACATCATTTGAGAAAAAACCAGAAGCGTTTCTATTAGCCTTAGTTTCAAAGGACATCCCTAGTGACAATAAAAAAGTGTTTTTATATGCTACAGCCGCTGCCAGATTGCTAATAGCTAAAAATTGGAAAGGGGACAAGATTCTATCAGTAGCAGAGTGGCAGTACAAGCTTTGTGAATTCATTGAATTGGCCAAAATGACAGCAGCTATTAGATTCCAATCAAATCAGAAATTAGGAAAAGAAGGGGAATGTGTGGAAGAATACATGACAAAACATTGTTCCAAAACAAATTTATTGATATGCATTGACTGAAGTTCGTAAAGTTAAGGTTAAAAGATGAAAAGGGATTAATGGGGAATATGTAAATAACTTTCTTTAATGCAATATTAAAGGAATGAAAAACAATGGAAGCTGAGCACAGGTGGAGGGAAGTCACAACAGAAAATAGATATAGATAGATGATAGATAGAAAGATAGATAGATAGATAGATAGATAGATAGATAGATAGATAGATAGATAGATTGATTACCGGTAGGTAGATAGATAGATGATAAATAGATATAGTATGTACTGCAAAGAATGATTAAGGATGTAATTGAATGTAATATTGAAAAATAAAAGGGGAAAAGGGGAAAAAAATAAAACAATGTTTTATTCAGCTCATGTGACCAAAACCCCCTCACAGTCCAACAGAAAATTTCTCCTTATCTGCACTGAAGTGATAATTTATTTGTCAACCTTCTCAGTGGCAAAAGGAGAAAAGATTCCTTAAGCAGAATAATACTATTAACAGCTACCCCATAACAGGAGTCTTGGCACGTAAAGGTAAAGGGACCAGTCGTGGACGACTCTGGGGTTGTGGTGCTCATCTTGCTTTACTGGCCGAGGGAGCCGGTGTACAGCTTCTGGGTCATGTGGGCAGCATGACTAAGCCACTTCTGGCAAACCAGAGCAGCGCATGGAGCAGTACCTATTTATCTACTTGCACTTTGACGTGCTCTCGAACTGCTAGGTGGGCAGGAGCAGAGACCGAGCAACGGGAGCTCACCCCGTGGTGGGGATTTGAACCGCCGACCTTCTGATCGGCAAGCCCTAGGCTCGGTGGTTTAAACCACAGTGCCACCCACATCCCATGGCACTTAACCAGCACTTAACTCTGTTATTGTCTTTTGCTAATTAGCATACAGCTGGAGGAGGGACTGCCCTCCTCTTCATATCTAAGGCTGAATGTCCCACCTTTTGTCAGAGTAATGAGTCTGCCATTACTGTGATGATGCCTCTCTAAGCCAAGCTCCTGGGAAAACAGGCTTGACATTTACCGATTTCAGAAATTATGGGAAGAGCCTGGCACCCAGGAATGGGTGCCAACCCCCAACACTACAACTGCCAAGCCCCAACACTACAAAATATTTGGGAGACCTTTCCAGGAGAGTTCTTAGTAGCAGGAGAATTAATATGTCATTCCTCTCCGCGCAATCACAGTCAGCCATTAGCAATGCAGTAAGCAGCACATTAGAAGAAGCGAATATGGATGTTCTCCTATTATTTGGAGACGATTAATGTGTACAAGCGTGAAGCTGTGGTGATTCCATGATTTGAAGGGCAGTTGAATAATAGAGGACTTGACTGGTAGCTGCAGTTCTTGGATAACATAGATACAAGCCTACTAAACTCTGGAGAGCAAAAATATTTGAGTTTTATGTAGCCCATAATTGCCCAAGACTTCAGAAAAGACGCCCATCCTAAATATCACTTTCTTCGTCTTTCTCATCCATTTACTTAACTAAAAAGTCTGAGACCAATAAGGAGAGATAAGTGACAGGAACCGCTGGGGGGACAGCATACACAAAGCCACCATCTCAGGGCATCAGCCACAGCTTTGCATTCAGCAGATTAAATGCCCAGTTCCCAAAAAAATAGCTGTGTTCCCCACAAAGGATGATGTGTAGGAAAAGTCACTTGCGAATTTCAATGCGGATGTAATTCTCCTTCCTCTCTTGTTGCAGTAACGTTCTATAACATCCAGATGAACTTCTCTGTGTTCTCCAATCCTCCAGAGACATTTGATTACTATGATGTTAAGAAGCTCTCAACAAAATGGGTGAGTACTAATTCCTCTCTTGCCCATCCCTGAACACCAGTTTACATGTTAGCAGATTATAATCAATTCCACTGTACAGAAAGTGGAGCACAAAGTCAACCCAAACTATGTTGTTGTTTAGTCGTTTAGTCGTGTCCGACTCTTTGTGACCCCCTGGTCCAGAGCACGCCAGGCACTCCTGTCTTCCACTGCCTCCCGCAGTTTGGTCAAACTCATGCTGGTAGCTTCGAGAACACTATCCAGCCATCTCGTCCTCTGTCGTCCCCTTCTCCTTGTGCCCTCCATCTTTCCCAACATCAGGGTCTTTTCCAGGGAGTCTTCTCTTCTCATGAGGTGGCCACAGTATTGGAGCCTCAGCTTCAGGATCTGTCCTTCCAGTGAGCACTCAGGGCTGATCTCCTTAAAAATGGATAGGTTTGATCTTCTTGCAGTCCATGGTACTCTCAAGAGTCTCCTCCAGCACCATAATTCAAAAGCATCAATTCTTCGGCGATCAGCCTTCTTTATGGTCCAGCTCTCACTTCCATAACCCAAAGTATAGGCCTCTGGTTTTCATCTAGCACTGAGCTATTGCCCTGGTGGGATGGCTTCCACTCGCCCAACAGAACTTCCTCTGCCCCTATTCCCCCTGGCGACCCTGCAGGCCTGCCCCCCATTTGGTTTAGGGGTTCCCTCAACCCACTGGAGCAGATTTGGGGCAGGCAGGGGACACACACAGGGGAAGGAGAGTGAGGGAAAACTACATTCTGCAAGTGGAAGACTTAATTACAGAACAGCATTTACCATGTATGTGCACTACTATGTGTGAATGCTTAGGGGTCTCTTCCGGGGTGGGTGTATTCGTTTCTAGTTGTGGGGCAAGCTCAATGGTTTAGCAGCAATCAGCTCTTTTAGGCAGCTACTACCGCAATGTTTAATGGTTGGCTTTTCACAGAGGATCACCATTGTTAGACAAAATGCTGAACAATTTTTACCCAGGGAAGCAAACTGTAGTTAATTTTTCTCTCTCCTACAGTTGATGAGTTTATTCCCTGGTCCTGATTTTGTTGTTACAAACCATAACATCAAGGCAAACGCTCGGTGAGTATTTTATTTGTCTGTTTGGTTGTTTTGCTTTCTGCCACTCTTATCAAATGTAGGAATAGGTGGTTAGCAAGAATACATTTAAAACCAGACTAAAAACTCACATTACTAAGGAGCAGCAGTATGGGCAATACAGTACTATATTCCAGGGGGGGAGAGAGAGTTCTCCTCTAGGATCTGCTGTCTCTGATCCAGGGTGGTGTAGTGATCAGGAGATGAGGGATCAAATCCCCACTCAGCCCTGAAGCTCACTTGGTGACCTTGGGGCCCCATCACTGTCTCTCAGCAGTCTAACCTACCTCTCAGGGTTGCTGTGAGGGTAAGAATATGCCACATATATCAGCCAGGTGAGCAGGATGGGGAGGAGGGCAGTGTTTCAATGGAGCTCACTCATTTAAGATGGAACCGACGCTTTTAAGATGTAGGTGTCTGGTGCTTAGCTGAGCAGCTAAGGTCATTGCCAGGGGTCAGCAAACTTTTTCAGCAGGGGGCTGGTTCACTGTCCCTCAGACCTTGTGGGGGGCCAGACTATATTTTTGGGGAGGAGAATGATGCAAGAACAAAGCCCTAAACGGCCTCGGTCCAGTATACCTGAAGGAGCGTCGGTAGTGGTACCCGCCCTGTGGAACTTCCTTCCACCAGATGTCAAAGAGAACAACAACTACCAAACTTTTAGAAGACATCTGAAGGCAGCCCTGTTTAGGGAAAGTTTTAAAATTTAATAGGTTATTGTATTTTAGTGTTCTGTTGGAAGCCGCCCAGAGTGGCTGGGGAAACTCAGCCAGATGGGCGGGGTATAAATAACATATTATTATTATTATTATTATTATTATTATTATTATTATTATTACACCATGAGCCCCGGTGGCTGCTTACTTGTGTCTTGCAAGTGGCAGGGGCTGGCAGCGGAGGGACAATGAGTGGTCCACGAAAGGGCTCTGGAGAGGGGCTGCTTAAAATGGCGGTCGCTGGAGGGCTGCTGCTGCTGCTGCTGGCACCAACAGAGGCCAGCCCCCTTCCTCCTCTAGGCAGGGCAGGAAGAAGCCAGGAGGAGGGAGGGAGGAGCCGCTGCCACCGCCGCCGAAGGAAGGATAGGGAAAGAACGAGCGCGCTGCCGATCCACGTGGCGATTCCCGGACCATCCACAGGCCGGATCCAGAAGGCAATTGGGCCTGATCCGGCCCGTGGGCCTTAGTCTGCCGACCCATGGTTATTGCCTTCACAAAGGGACTAGTTTGGCTGCTCCACCAGGTTCCCTCATACACCCTAGCCTCACAGATATAGATCACAGGTTTTGGAAGGAACCCAGAGTTTCATCTAGACTGGACACATACACCCAGCCCATAATACCATGCAGGGTTGCTGAACGTCCTCCCCTCCCATATTGATGTTTGCCTCCCCCCCCCCCTGTTTTTGTCTGTTTTGTTCCCCCCACCCTCACTGCTTTTTGATCCAGAGTCCCTATTCCACAAAGGAGGGAGCGCATGAGAACTGGGGTATGTATGCATTTTATGCACCATAGTTTGCACAAAGCCTCTTCCCCTCTCTCCTTCTTACGTAAAATAGTCACTTGGGTGTTGTTTTCCTCTTTTCTTCAATCTCTTCTTTGCATCTCATGCTTTTAGGAAATTAGTTCTCACGGAGTTCTCGCGCCTGAAGGGGGGATTGCCATGGCAGCAGTAAAGGATGCGCCATGGCAACTGGTTTGAGGAGGTTTAATGGTAAACATGTCTTGCTTTTGTACATTATGCAAAGATAAACAACGGTGGCATATAATCTTTTACGCAACTGGTCCAGACCAATTCAAGCTGTCTCTGCCACTTCCATTGCCATCAACTATGGGCCAACAGTAGCCAGAACGGAGACATGATGCTTCCTCATAGTGCTGCTTTCCAGGTGTTTGGAACTATAATTCCCATCAGCCCCAGCCAGAGTGGACAATGGCAAGGCATCATGGGAGGAGTTGCAAAGGCCATCTTAAACCTACTCGGACTTGTAACTACCGTATTTTTCGCTCTATAAGATGCACTTTTCCCCTCCTAAAAAGTAAGGGGAAGTGTGTGTGCGTCTTATGGAGCGAATGCAGGCTGTGCAGCTATCCCTGAAGCCAGGAGAGCCAGAGGGATCGGTGCGCACTGATCCCTCTTGCTGTTCTGGCTTCAGGGATAGCCGCGCGAAGCCTCTTCAGGGCAACGGGACGAACGCTCCCCCTGCCCTGAAGAGGCTTGGCATGGCTATTCCAGAAGCCAGAACAGCAAGAGGGTTTGCTGCTTTTGCTGCGCAGGGATCCCTCTTGCTGTTCTGACTTCGCTTCGCTGGAGAGGCGCTGCAAAGCCCCTTCCATTTTTCCTCCCACTTTGCTGGAGAGGCGCTGCGCAGAGAGGGAGAGAATATTTTTTTCTTGTTCTTCTCCTCTAAAACTAGGTGCGTCTTATGGTCGGGTGTGTCTTATAGAGCGAAAAATATGGTGATTTTGCAAGTCGTGGCTACTACCAAGAGTAGCAGCCCTGCCTTTCTTTTCAGTAACATCTGCCTACCTAGAGAATATGGGTGGTGTGATGTCATCATGCTCAGAATTCCCTTGCCTGCCAGTGATGGGGAAAGTGTGTGCGTGCGTGTCAAGGCAAGGCACCTCTGAGCACAATGATGTCGTGCCAGGTATTTTCGGAGATACAAGATGGACCATTTTTCTCTCCTCCCACAGTCAAGCAGCAAACCATTCTCTCTGAATAATGCTTGGTTCCCACTGGGTTGTTATGGAATATTGCCTCCTCCCTTTTAGGGTTCCCCCCACATATGCCTTTTGTGCTTCTGCAGACTTTGAAGTTCTCCCAAACCTGCTGAAAGCTTGTGTGTGAGTGATGCCTTTCCGTCAGAAATCCGTACGCTGAGAATGAGTTGAGTGGTTAAGAGCGTTCTTGCATCCATTGTAATGTCTGCTTTGGAGCTTACTGGAAACTGTCTTCTTGGTTTCCAGTTGAATTTAAGCATGCATAATATTCTCTGGCCTACATCTCAAATATTGGAAATATTATTGTGCTCACTCCAGTCTCTTGAGTGGTGAGAGACTTCGGGGATGCCTGCGCCTTTTCAGAATTTGTTTACTTACAATGAAGGGCATTGGAGATTGTGGTGTCTTTAAAATATATGGTTTAATCTCCACCTATATACAAACTGACTGTAGAATGGAGGGGCTCACAGCATTAACACCCCAACAGATCTTGGTTCTGCATTAGGTTTCCAGGGAAGCCCCTAGTCCAGCTTTGGGTCAGCACACAGTAATACAAGCCCCTGTATATCCCGCTTCCAGCATCAGCCAAAACTCACAAACACCTATTCTCCGTCCTAGGATGATGCCTCCGTCCTAGCATCCTGCCTGTTGTCTTTATACCTGCCTCCATTTGTTTCTATGGCAACAGAGCAGCCTCTTTGGACATGTCAATGGTGGTACTTAACTAGACAGCTAAAGTCATTATCTTACAAAGAAAATGGTCTGACTGGTTCAGCAGCCTTTTCTGCTAGATTCTAAACTAGAGTAGCAGGCCCTGGAGGAATCCACAGATATAATCCAGACTGACCCCTGGCCCCAATCGTGTAACAATATAAATGGTTTTGGTTTGCTTCATAGAATCTCCCTTTCCCGTCCTCAGGTACATCCATTTTTCAGAACTGGCTGTTCCTCCCCCCCCAACCCCCAAAGTCACCCTTTTGAGATTTCCTGTATCCAAGGAACCTGAAATTGCTTTAAATTGCTCCAAATGTTCCAGGAGAGCTGAGTGACTTTCAGTTTTTCCTCATCACAGAGTGAAAAACTGCAGAAGGCAATTATCAGAGCATTTAATAGACAAACTAAGGGACTACTCAAAATGCCGTGTGATGTCAGAGAAACATGGTGTCGTGCCAAAGGCATTCATAGCACACGGAGGGCAATTGACGTTAGAATATTTCATTGCAACAAGTATGAGCTAATCAGCTGCCTTTCTTCTGCTAAATCATCTTGATTGAGCTCTTGCACTTAAGATATCATTCCTTAGTAATCGCCTCTTTTTTATTTTTTTATTTTTTTACTTTGCATATTGTGAACTGAAGAGCGATGAAAAGCAGGCTCCTCAAAGGTAGGCTGTTCATTTTCCTCAAGTAGTTGTTTCTGTACTTTCTGCCTCCGGAAAGTGATTTGCACATTTGCTGTGCTCATGCTGCAGAATCTACATGCACATTGCTGAGGATTCTGGGATATGTTGCCACAGGCCTCACCATTAACCCATGTAATGTCAAGCGCTTAGAACGTGCCACAAATGTTTCCAGGAAGTGGCAAGCTGATGAAGAGGGGGTGGTTTAATAATAATAATAATAATAATAATAATAATAAAATAAATTTTATTTATACCCTGCCCTCCCGGCCAGAGCCGGGCTCAGGGTGGCTAACACCAATAAAATCACAGTAAAAACATAATAGGGGGAAAAGAGAAAAAGGGGGGGGGAAACCAATTTAAAATACAGGTTAAAATGCAATTTAAAATGCAGCCTCGTTTTAAAATAGCCAATAAATCAAGACCATAAGGGGAGGGAAACATAAGGGTCAGACTGAGTCCAAACCAAAGGCCAGGCGGAACAGCTCTGTCTTGCAGGCCCTGTGGAAAGATGTCAAGTCCCGCAGGGCCCTGGTATCTTGTGACAGAGCATTCCACCAAGTCGGGGCCAGTACTGAAAAGGCCCTGACCCTAGTTGAGACCAATCTAACCACCTTGCGACCTGGGACCTCCAAAATATTGTCATTTGTGGACCTTAAGGTCCTCCGTGGGGCACCCCTTCTTACACAGGAGATCCAGGCCAGTGGCAGAGGGTCAGGAAGGCTAGAAGCAGTTGCTACTCAAAGGCAGGCAGCCGTCATGAAAGGGGCAGCCAAAATGATCAAGGGGATGGAGCGCCTCCCCCATGGGAAATGGTTGCAGAGTTTGGCGCTTTTTAGAGAAAAGGGGTGACATCAAAGGCAATTATAAAACGTCGCATGGTGCACAAACAGTGGATGGAGAAAAGCTTTTCTCTCTCATAACATTGGAAGTCGTGGGACCATCCAATGTAGAGGAACGTGGGCAGATTTGACACAGACGAAAGGAAGGCTTTCTTCACACAGGGCATCGTTGAAAGGATGGAAATGGTTCGAACGGGAGGCAGCGATGGCCACCGGCTTGGACAACCTTAAAAGACAACTGGACAAATTCATGGAGGAAGAGAGGGCTGTCGATGGCTGCTCACCATGATGGCTATGCTCTGACTAGGGGGACGAGGCTAGTCCCCTAGAGGGTCCAAGAACCCTCCTGACACCTTCTCAAAGCCCACCCAGCTTTAGAGAAGCAGGCCGTCAGCAAAGTCTAGGCAACACGATGACCATGTACATATGCAATAGACAATCTTTTATAGAATTCCTTCAAACCATAACAAGTCATAAACCCATCTCATAAACTGCTTAGTGACTACATTATTACATGAGCCCTGTCCCACAGCATTTGATATTTTCATTTGCATACATTCATTCAAAATAAGATGGGTTTATGAAGCAATTCTATATCCTCCCACCTCACTGACGAAGAAATCCATGAAACAGTAGTCAATATCCGGAATCACTGTTCAGTGTTGGACATCATATTTGCTGAATACACAAAGCTTCACAGCTTGTCTTTCATCATCGTACGAAGTCTGGTACCTCGCTTCTTTTAAAGATTTTCAGAAGCTTTGAGCCTAAAGATTTCATTTTGGACTTGTTATGGTTTGAAGGAATTCTATAAAAGATTGTCTATTGCGTATGTACTGTTAGGATATAGTTCCATTCCACCTTTAGAACAGGCATGTGGAGTTGTTGTATGTCACATGTCTGCTTACTTCCAGCACAGTCTGCTGGGAACTTCCGTTGTATATAGCTTTTGCCTATGCTGTTTGCTTGGACACGAAGGGAAGCAGACATGTTTTTCTTTTGTCCTGATGCTGAATAAACGCTTGTAAATATGCTTACATATGCCTCTGTCCGCTACTTCCGTTGCAAAGAGTTCTTATCTCTGCTGGCTTGCGTGCTCAGTCTCTAAAGGTCTCTGAGTCGCAGTTTTTGATGCTGTTCTGAGAATCGGGGTTCGCCCGGCTGCCGGCCAGAGGGCTGGAGCCAGCTGGGGGCCTACCAAATGCCCCCGTCTCCCTGGACACATCCCAACATGTACATGGTCATCGTGTTGCCCTAGACATTGCTGACGTTCTCTTTGCAACACAGGGGTTTCTTTGGTTACTTAGGGAAGGAGGCAGCAGGGCTCCGGCATCCTGCCAGAGACCTGGCGCCTCTTTCTCAAAGCCCTGGAGGCTTCTGTCCAGCTTCGGGAGGGAGGCACGAAGCTCATGCATGCTTGCTGTGTTCCCCTACGAACCATTTCATCACATGCCACTGGCTCTGCCTCCAATATGCTTCTGGAAACAGCAGGAGGAGAGAGGGGTGTTCTTGTGTTCAAGTTGCAAGTGTGGGCATCCCAGTAGAGACATCTGGTTGGCCAGTGTGAGAACAGGATTCTGGACTACATGGCCCTTGGCTTGACCCAGCAGGCTCTCTCTGCTCTTATGTTCAAGTTTATGGCAAGGACGTGAAAAGCAAATCCTCGTTTGATGTTGTGGAGCCGGCAGGCAAACGACTGATGAAGTTGCCAGATCACAGCATCTCCCCACCAGTGAGGATCTCCCTCTGAAATGCGAAAATTATTCGAGATTCCAGCTGCCTTGAGCTTTGCAGGGAAAGCACCTTTTACATGTGGTGAATAACTGAACGCTACTTTGCAGATGGGAAGAGGAGGGGCCGTGGCTCAGGGGTCTACTTTGCATATAGAAGATCCCAGGTTCAGTCCTGGTGTCTCTGTTGGGATGCGTGCGGGGAGATGGGGGCAATTGGCAGGCCCCCAGCTGGCTCCAGCACATCGGCCAGCAGCCGGGCAAACTCAAAACTGCGACTCAAGCCTCAGAGACCTTTAGAGACTGAGCACGCAAGCCAGCAGAGATAAGAACTCTTTGCCACAGAAGTAGCGGACAGAGGCATATGTAAGCATATTTACAAGCGTTTATTCAGCATCAGGACAAAGGAAAAAACATGTCTGCTTCCCTTCATGTTCAAGCAAACAGCAGCATAGGCAAAAGCTATATACAGTGGAAGTTCCCAGCAGACTGTGCTGGAAGTAAACAGACATGTGACATACAACAACTCCACATGCCTGTTCTAAAGGTGGAACGGCTGCCAGAAACCACAGAGAGCCACTGCCGGCCAGTGCTGGCAATGCCAAGGCTGTGTGTGCACGATGCCTTTAGCGCACCTTTGAAGCACATTTCCTCCCTCAAAGAATTTTGGGCACCGTTCACCCCTGGCAGTTACAAGTCTAATTATGTTATTTGTTTATTTCATAAAATTTGTATGCTACCTGATTGTAGAAAACCTCAAAGCAGTTTGCAATTCCCAGCAATGCTTGACAATCTTCAGTACTCGGCAGGGCTGGCCTGTCCATGATGCCATCAAATGCCATTTTTAAAAAAATTTATTTTGACGACGTCAGACCAACACGGCTACCTACCTGTATCTAGTGCTCTGAATGTATTTTAAAGGTGTAATGCGTACTCAGCCTGAGCTAGACGGAGCAATGGTCCAACTTAGTACAAGGCAGCCTCCTGTGTTTCAAAAGGAACTCGCCCACCCCAGCAGCCTTTTCCAGTAAATGAGCACTGTGGAAATCCATAGGACTGGCTGACTCAATTAATAATAATAATAATAATAATAATAATAATAATATTTCTACCCCGCCCATCTGGCTGGGTTTCCCTAGCCACTCTGGGCAGCTTCCAACAAAAGATTAAAAATGCATTAAAACATCAGTCATTAAAAACTTCCCTAAACAGGGCTGCTTTCAGATGTCTTCTAAATGTCATATAGTTGTTTACTTCTTTGGCATCTGATGGGAGGGTGTTCCACAGGGCAGGCGCCACTACCAAGAAGGCCCTCTGCCTGGTTCCCTGTAATCTCACTTCTTGCAATGAGGGAACTACCAGAAGCCCCTTGGTGCTGGACCTCAGTGTCCAGGCTGAACGATGGGGGTGGAGACGCTCCTTCAGGTATACTGGGCCGAGGCCGTTTAGGGCTTTAAAGGTCAGCACCAACACTTTGAATTGTGCTCAGATACATACTGGAACCAACCTTCGGAAAGGACTTAATGTGAAAACCCTGTTAAAGCCCCTTGGAAGTTATGAGAGACGCTCCTCCTCCTTTCCCAAACCAGCTCCATCATTAGTGTGTTAGTGCTGGTGGAAGGCTGCCCCAGCTTTGGTTGCAGTTTCACCATTTCTAGACAAAGACGTTGACGGGACGTTCGTTGGCAGCAACACCCTTTGAGCTTAATGCCCTTGTGACTGTATAATAAATGATTGATCGACTGGCCATCCTCTGAGCCAGAAGAACCTCCCCTGATCCCTGATCTGTGAGGGTTCCCTTTGTGTCTTCAGAAATGAGGGAAATGCTCTCTGCACTGGCTTAGGGGCAGAGGTAGAAGTCTGTATTGGAAAGAGATGCCAAGGTTGAGCCCCAATACAAAGTGCAAGTGTCTGTCTGTCTGTCTGTCTGTCTGTCTGTCTGTCTGTTGTGCTTTCAGCTTTTCCTCAAAGTCTGTCATCAAGGCCACATCTGACAAACCCAGAGAAACCATCAGGGGAAAGTTACAGGCTGCCTTGAATGGCAATTATACTGAGAAGCCTCTTTCAATGGAATCTAAAGATGTCGCCGTTGTTTACTTAGGTAATGTATCCATCAGATTTAAGCTGTTAAATCGAGGTTGGCTTATTTGTGCTGTGTAATACAGTGTTGCATGGATTGATTGATTGATTGATTGATTGATTGTGTGTGTGTGTGTGTGTGTGTGTGTGTGTACAGTGGTACGTCGGGTTACAAACACTTTGGGTTACAGACTCTGCTAACTCGGAAGTAGTACCTCGGGTTAAGAACTTTACCTCAGGATGAGAACAGAAATCGCGTGGTGGCAGCGGGAGGCCCCATTAGCTAAAGTGGTACCTCAGGTTTCAGGTTAAGAATGGTCCTCCGGAACGAATTAAGTTCGTAACCAGAGGTACCACTGTATTTACTTACTGTTGTGGTGGTTACTTCTAGTACATTTTTCAGTTTAGCAATTTTATCTACTGCTCAACCCCTCAGCTTCCAAGCACTTTACAGCAGAAATGCAGGAGAGGTTATAATACAGGAATACACTGCAGAAATCAGTTAAAAGTTAAGCACAAAACCAGGGGGCAAAAAACCTTCTTTGAAATGCCTGCTGAGAACATAGTTGTTAGAATGAAGGCTTGCTTGGTTTGTTGTTGTGAGCCACTTTGGGCACAATTCTGTGGGAAAGTGGCACACTACTAAAACAGAAAATGGTGGTTTCTTAATCCTGACCACCCCCCAAGCATAGCTGTCAACGTTTCCCTTTTTTAAAGGGAAATTCCCTTACTCCGAATAGGATTCCTCGCAAGAAAAGGGAAAAGTTGACAGCTATGCCCCCAAGGAGCGCAAAACAGCACACCCAGTTTCCCGTTTTCTGTTCTTACAATGACCCTCCGCGGTAGGCTAGGCTGAAAGATGGTGAACAGCGCAAGATGACGCAGTGAGCTTTGTGGCTGGGAGGGGATTTGAACCCGGCTGTCTGTGGCCTCAAGGCTCAGTTGAACAGAGGTCAGGTGAGTAGTGCAGCCCTGCCACAACATCTGTTGCTGTGAGCATGCCAGTTTCTGCACCCCGCTGGCTCTCTCTCCAATAAAGGAATTGCTGGGTTGCAATTTTGCACTTTGTGCCCTCAAAGGAAAAGGGAAACGCAATTTTCATTGTGGTGGGTGTGAGCGGAGCCCCGGCCAATATAAATCTCTGTGTGTGAAGAGATCACTTTACCATCTCCTGGTAAATTAACTGTTGTATATATACAGTGGTACCTTGGTTCTCAAATGCCTTGGTACTCAAACGCCTCAGTTCTCAAACACTGAAAACCTGGGAATGAATGTCCCCTCACAGTATCTGCTTTATATACATTATTTACACAATGGGCTGCACATGATTGGCTAATTCTGGAATTCTACTGTAAGCCAATCAGGTTGTGGATTCACTTCTATCTGGAGCAGGATTGGGTGGTTCCTGCCAACCAATCATACTGCTGCATTGTTCTAGGACCAATCAGACTGCTGCATTCTGAATCCTATTGTTCTAGGACCAATCAGACTGCTGCCTTTTGGATCCTATTGTTCTAGGACCAATCAGACTGCTGCAGTTTGGATCCTATTCAACTCAGTACATAACACCCTCCCCTCTAAGTTCCAGTCCTGCCCGGGAGGTCGCATTCATAGTCCTCAAGGTATGCCGGCGGCCTACGTGTGCGTTGTGGCCTGGGGTGTTCCCTGGTCCGGGCTCCAGGTTCTGGCTCGTGTTCCAAGGATGCTGGCTGTGATGGGGCTGTTTGGTCTGGTGCAACCGGCTCGCTCAGTCGTGGTTCTGGTTCCGGTGTCCTTTCGGCCTCACGGGTCCTCTCTGTATTTACTGATTCTGCCTCTCCTGCTGGCCCCTCCTGCTCTATGGGCCTCACTGCCCCGCTGTTCCCTTGGGACTCCTCTGACCTGTCCTCCTCCTGGTTTTCTCCCGGGAATCGTCGCCGTATCTGGTCGCAGTGGCGGCGCCAGCATTGCCCCCATCCGTTAGCACCTCGTACGACACGGGGCCAGTGACCCTGGTGACTGTGGCGGGTACCCATGCTGGGCCTGCCCCAAAATTCTTTGCGTACACTGGGTCCTGGGCCTCGAAGGTCCGGGGTTCCTGCCTTCCCCACCACTACCTCATCCTGAGCTCTATCGGGGTGAAGGCGGTCCAATCTGATTGCAAGGCGCCGACCCATTAGTAGTTCAGCGGGGCTCCGGCCAGTCGTTGAGCTGGGGGTGCTGTGCTGTGCTAGAAGGAATGTGGCAAGGCGGTACTCCCAGTCCCCTTGCGTCATGCGGCGAAGGGTGTCCTTGGTGGTCCGCACCATGCGTTCTGCTTGGCCATTGGTGGCAGGGTGGAACGGCGCCGAACGGATGTGGCGGATGGCGTTCTGCGCTGTGAAGGTTTGGAATTCTCCTGACGTAAATGCAGTCCCGTTGTCTGAGACGAGAGTGTCAGGGAGCCCGTGGGTTGCAAACAGCCTGCGTAGTACCCGGATGGCTGCGGACGTGGAAGTGGACGGTACCAGTGCGACTTCCAGCCATTTGGTGTAGGAGTCCACCACTATGAAGAATGTTTTCCCCTGAAAGGGGCCAGCGAAATCCACATGCAGGCGTGACCATGGTGCTCGGGCGGACTCCCAGGACTGGACTGGGGCCCTTGGGGGATCTGGGCGGGATTCTTGGCAGGCCTGGCAGTGTTTGACCCAGGCCTCTATCTCTCCATCGATCCCCGGCCACCACACATAACTCCTGGCAAGGGCCTTCATTCTTACTACCCCTGGATGTGTCTCGTGTAGGGCTGTGAGGACCCTTGCGGAGGGGCTGGGGAACAACGACTCTGCTTCCCCATAACAGGCACCCCTTGTGGGCCGACAGTTCATGTTTGCGGGTTGTGTAGCCGGCGAATTCTGGCCCGGGGCTGCTGCTGGGCCATCCCTCCACACCCAGTCCAGGACCCGGGAGATGACCCTATCTTTCTTGGAATGGTGTGCAACTTCTTGTGCCTGAATGGGGCGGTCGGGAAGCAGCTCCAGGCTCATAACCTCTTGTGCAGGTGCTGGGTCAGGGCCTGTTTCCGGTAGTGGTAGCCTGCTGAGGGCGTCCGCATGGCCCATCGCCTTCCCAGGTCGGTGAATCAGTGCATACTGGTAGCTGGCAAGGAAAATTGACCACCTGAGGACGCGAGGAGACAGCACTTGGGGGGTCTGCTTTTCGGGGCAAACAAGCCAAGCAACGGCTTGTGGTCAGTCACCACGGTGAAGGGCCGCCCGTACAAGAAATCATGGAATTTTTTTACTCCCTTTACGATTGCCAGACCCTCCTTGTCGATTTGCGAGTAGTTCCGCTCGGTTGTGTTGAGTGTCTGGGAAAAGTACGCCACCGGTACCTCTCTTCCATCCGGGAGTTGGTGCCCCAGGACAGCTCCAATGCCATAGGGTGAGGCGTCGCATGCTAGCACCACCGGCAGCCTCTCGTCGAAGTGTGCCAAGACCGAGTTTGAGACAAGCAAGTCCTTGACTGCCTGGAATGCGGCCTCCTGGCGCTGGCCCCACACCCAAGGGGCCCGCTTGTCCAGGAGTCTGTGTAGGGGCTCCGCTACCGCCGCCTTGTGGGGAAGGAAGGAATGGTAAAAGTTCAATAGTCCCAAGAAGGCCTGAAGTTCAGTCTTGCTCTTGGGCGCTGGGGCATCACAAATGGCCCGTACCTTGTCCCCAGTCGGGTGGACCCCTTCTGCGTCCACCATAAATCCCAGAAAGTCCACCTGAGGCACTCCTAGTAGACATTTTTCCCGCTTCACCTTGAGACCCGCCGTCTGGAAACGGTGCAGAACGGTGCGGAGGCGGTCCTCAAACTCCTCTGGTGTGGGCCCGGCAATCAACACATCATCGAAGAAGGGGGTGACGCCAGGAATCCCTTTAAGGAGAGAGTCCATTAGATTCTGGAATATGCCTGGTGCCACGCTGACACCGAATTGCAGCCGCTTTACCCTGAACGCTCCTCTGTGCGTCACAATCGTCTGTGCCTCTGCTGTGGCCTCATCTACTGGCAGCTGTTGATATGCTTGGGCCAAGTCCAGCTTGCCAAAATTTTCGACCCAGCCAGGGTGGCAAGGACATGGCTGACCACTGGCACTGGGTATGCGTGGGCCGTGAGGGCCTTGTTTATGGTACATTTGTAGTCTGCGCAGATGCGGACCGAACCATTAGGCTTGACGGGTGTGACGATTGGGGTTTCCCAGGGGGCATTAGGCACCGGCTCCAGCACTCCTTGCTCCACGAGTCGGTCCAATTCCTCGTCTATACGGGGTTTCAAGGCGAACGGGACCCGGCGGGCCTTGAGCCTGACCGGTCGTACTGCGGGGTCAAGCTGTAGCGCAATGGGGGGGCCCGTATACTGTCCCAATTTCCCATCGAAAACCCCTGGAAATTCCTTGCATATGGCGTCCACGTCCACTTGTAAGCTAGTGTGGTTCACCCCGGTGACAGCTAGCCCCAGTGGTCCAAACCATGCCAATCCCAGTAAGCTAATGTAGGGGCCCTTGACCACAAGCAAGTCCAGTTGCCGCGTCCGCCCTCGGTATTGCACCCTGAAGGTCCCCACCCCCATTGTGGGGACCTTACGGTTCTGGAAGTCCCGGAGGGTGAATGGGGCCGGCCTGAGTTTGGGACCCCCAGTAGGACACAGTTTCCTTAAGGTCCTTGCCGAGATTATGGATAGAGTTGAACCCGTGTCAAGCTCCATGCGGCATGGGGCCCCTCTATCTGTACCTCTACATAAATTTTCTCTACGTTGGGGTGGGGCAACTGGTATACCTGGAAGTCCGTGAGCTCCGTCGAGTTGCCTTGGTGCGTTGGGCCCCGGGACCTGGGGCTCTTGGATTGGTCATCTGATGCCTGGTGTCGGGTGGGCCGAGCCCGACACACCCGGGCGATGTGTCCCGATTTTCTGCACTGCCTGCACTCTGCGTTGCGGAAACGGCAGGTCCTCCTCTCGTGACTCTCCCCGCAGCTTGCGCAGTTCCCTCCTTCTCGTCGAGGCAGCTGTGGTCTGTGCGCTGCTTGAGTGCGCTGCTGTACTCGGTGCACCTCCTCCCTGTCGGATCCTGAGTCGTCGGTGAGGTCTTCGTGGTGGACCCTCGGTTGGGATGGCAGGCTCGGCCGTGCCTCTTGGGTCGACCTCTCGGCAGCTTCTGTTGCCAGGGCCTCCTCCAGAGCGACCTGGAACGTTAGGTCCTTCTTAGCGTAGAGGCGTCGTTGCAGCTTCTCATCCTTCAGGCCACCGACGAGGCGGTCACGAAGCATGTTCTCCAGCTCTGAGAAGTTGCAGAACCGGGCGGCTTGGCGGAGAGAGGTCACAAACCCAGTTATGGTTTCCCAGGGGCTTGCCGCTTTGCGTAGAAGGCATTTCGACGAGCCACCACTGAGGGCTGCGGCGAAAGTGCCCCTTCAGCTGTTCCATTATTGTTTTGTATGGAACAGTAGCGACGTCTTCAGGCGCAAGGAGAGCCCGGGCGATTTCAAACGTCTCCTCTCCGCAGACGCTGAAGAATATCGCCCTCTTCTTGGCGTCTTCTTCGTCGGTGACCCCTTTGGCTTCTAGGAGGAAGGTGAAACGGGAGGCGTACGCTTCCCAGTCTCCAGATGCTGGGTTGAATGGCGAGAAGCTGCTGTTGGCTGCCATTCTGAGTTCCTTGTGTCCCGGAGCTGAAGCCTGGATACACGGTGCGAGGCAGCGGTGCGGCAGTTGGCGGTGCTGCGGTGCTGTGTGTGGCAGTCAGCTCAGCGGGATCCCACCTTCGTCGCCAGTGAAATATACTCAGAGTCGCAAAGTGATTTCATGCTCTTTATTCAGCTCATAGTGGTGAGGAGGAATGAATGAATGTCCCCTCACAGTATCTGCTTTATATACATTATTTACACAATGGGCTGCACATGATTGGCTAATTCTGGAATTCTACTGTAAGCCAATCAGGTTGTGGATTCACTTCTATCTGGAGCAGGATTGGGTGGTTCCTGCCAACCAATCATACTGCTGCATTGTTCTAGGACCAATCAGACTGCTGCATTCTGAATCCTATTGTTCTAGGACCAATCAGACTGCTACAGTTTGGATCCTATTCAACTCAGTACATAACAACCTGGAAGTAAGTGTTCCGTTTCTTGAAGGTTTTTCAGAAGCCGAACGTCCAATGCGGCTGTCAGCTATTGTTTCTGGGGCGCCTGCACCAATCAGAAGCCACACCTAGGTTTTCGAACATTTCGGAAGTCAAACGGACTTCCGGAACAGTTTAAGTTTGGCGTTTTTGTTTTTGCTATTTATTTTGCGTTTTTGTTTTTGAGGCTTTTTTGGTTAATTTGTTTTTGTGACTGTGTGGAACCCTGTTCAGCTACTGATTACTTGATTGTGTGACTGTGGAAATGGATAAAAGCCCCCCATCCAAATAATGGCTATCGTCAGTGCAATTAAGAAAAAAAATTATTTTTAATTTTTATCATCTACAATGCTGTCTTATTTATTTTATAGTACAGTACATTGATGATTGCTTTCATTTTGTGGATGGGTGGTCTTGTTAGATAGTAAGCTTCATGTTAAATCGCTGTTTTAGGGGTTGTTTTTAAAAGTCTGGAACGGATTAATCCGTTTTGCATTACTTTCTATGGGAAAGTGTGCCTTGGTTTTGGAATGCTATGGTTTTGGAACGGACTTCCGGAACAGATTAAGTTTGAGAACCAAGGTACCACTATATATGAAGAGATCTCTTTACCATCATCTGGTAAATTCACTGCTGTATATATACAATTCAATAGCAGTATACTGTGGATGTGATGGCAGTTTTAGAAGGGAGTTAAGACAAATGCATGCAGGGCTGGACTAACTGCTATCAGCCATGACAGCTAGAATCTCCACTTTTAGAAGCCGGCTGCTACTGATTACACTGGTCAATAACAAATTTGTTGTCTGCATTTTTTCAGTTGATTTAGGACAAATCTGATGCGCTGAATCCAAAAATCACATTGGTTTTGCTCAATCAGGTCAAGTTTTTGAGCTATGGCCACATGTCTTTTTTTACGTTTTTGTTCACATATATGCTTGTGTGGAGCATTTTAGGAGAAGTTGGTGGGGGTAAAATGCCATGTCGAATAATTGTTTTGATTGGAAATGATTATTTTAATGACAAGAAGTATTCAGGTCCGATAGTTCTGGGTGATTATGTTGAAAAGGGATCAGTTTGAAGTCATAAAACCTCAAAATCTTCCATAAATTGGTGCGGCAAAGCATAAAGTTGCTTACCATGCTTATTTGGGTATTAAACTTGGTGACCAGGATAAAGCTTGGGCGCCACACATGGTGTGCAAGGCATGCACCGAGACTCTACGTGGGTGGACCAATGGCAAGAGGAGTCTGAACTTTGGAATTCCCATGGTTTGGAGGGAGCCAACAAACCATGTCACTGACTGCTACTTCTGCGCTGTTGATGTGACTGGGATCAACACAAAGAACCGGAGCAGCCTCAAGTATGCTGATCTTCAATCAGCATGTCGTCCTGTAGCTCATTGTGATGAAATTCCAGTGCCTATCTTTGGAGAACTTCCTTCCTGACATTAGTGACGAAGATGCCTCCAGTGTTGAAGGACATGAAGTAGAAGAAGTGGTTCTTGAAGATGATGCTCCACATACATTTTCCGAAAAGGAGCTGAATGATCTAGTTCGTGACCTCAGCTTGTCAAAGGACTCTGCCGAACTGTTGGCATCCAGATTGAAGGGGAAAAAACTCCTCTCTGACAGTGCTCGCATCAGATTCTTCCGCAACAGGCATCAAGAGTACCTCCATTTTTTCTCGGAAGAGAAGGACTTGGTGTACTGTGCAGATATTGCGCAGCTTCTGCTCAAGCTTGGAGTGCCACAGTACGAACCCAAAGATTGGAGACTGTTCACTGACAGCAGCAAGCAATCACTGAAATGTGTTCTGCTACACAACGGCAACCTGGCTCACTTGACTACACTGAAGGAGAACTATAAAGCGGTGAAGCATGTGCTGGAGAAAATTGGTTATGATCAACTTAAGTGGTTTATTTGTGTTGACCTGAAGATGGTGAACTTTTTGTTGGGACAACAGTCTGGCTTCACCAAGTACCCATGTTTTCTGTGCATGTGGGATAGTAGGGACCGTGCTCAGCATTACACGAAGAAGGACTGGCCTGTGCGGGAGGAATTGGTGCCTTGCAAAGAAAGGAACATCATCAACGACCCTCTGGTGGACAGAAACAGAATACTCTTCCCACCTGCACATCAAGCTCGGCTTAATCAAGCAGTTCACCAAGGCTCTGGACAAGGATGGTGACTGCTTCACTTACTTGTGCCAGGCTTTTCCATGACTGACCATGGAGAAGTTAAAAGCTGGCATCTTTGACAGTCCTCAGATCCGTCAGCTCATCAGAGATCCAGAGTTCGGAAACTCAATGAACAAAGTGGAACTGGAAGCGTGGAAGGCATTTGTTCTGGTAGTGAAGAACTTTCTCGGCAACAATAAGGCCAGAAACTACGCAGAACTTGTCAACAACATGCTGACTGCTTTCAGAAACCTGGGCTGCAACATGAGCGTCAAGATGCACTACCTATTTTCACATATGGACCGGTTTCCTGAGAACCTGGGTTTAATGAGTGACGAGCAGGGGGAGAGATTCCATTAGGAAATGAAAGAGATGGAGACCAGGTATCAGGGTCGCTGGGACGCAGTCATGATGGCTGACTACTGTTGGACTCTGAAGAGAGACCTCCCTGCCACTGAGCATTCCAGGAGTTCCAAGAAACGGAAGTTCAAGCCCTGAAGTTTGAAAAATGGTGAAGCAACATGCAATTTACGTGTACTTACCTTTATCAATGCCCACCATTCAGTTTACAGTAATCGATGTTTCTATCAGGTAATCAATATATGTTGTTGGAAAAACATTTTTTCTCTTAAAAACATATTTAGGATGATATGTGTTGACAAAAATCAGCTGATAATGCCACAAAAATGTAATCGATTTTGTCACAAGATCTGATTTTTTTCAAATCAACATAGCTCAAATACCTGACCTGATGGAGAGAAACGGATGCCATTTTCTGATTCAGCAGTGCAAAAATACCCTAAATCAGTTGTAGAAATCTAGACAACATTCAAAAAGTAAAAAATTGTTGCCCAGTGTTATTCGTTTGCTGGGCAGCAAAACAGGGGGAAGGGCTCTTGCCTTCATGCTCTGGAGGTTGTTGGGGGAAAGGATGCTGGATTGGCTGAGTCCAGTGGAATTGGCTCTCATTGTCTGCTCTTGCTCCAAGACCTAAAGAACTGCTCTCAGCACACACCGCCATCCAAATACAAGGGGACCTACGAGTGGCCGGAGACAGCTCCTGCCACTGTGGCATCTCAGCCCTGCAAGATGAACGGAGACCAATCTGCTACCAGAGCGTGGTGAGTTGTGGGTCCTTCTCTCTTCTTCCTCAACCTCAACACATTTCACCTGTATGAATGCTTTTATACCCTACCTTTCTGTGAAGGTTCATAAGGCAGTTTACATGAAAGCAACAGCGCTTTCAAGGCCTTTTACAAGACAAGATTTTTTTAAAAAAATTATTAAGTTTTCCATTTTAACAATCCAATAAAAGCCACATTAAAAAATTCCAAATTATAAAATAATTGAACGATCCAAATTTTATACCAAATTATAAGTCTTTGGTTGACTTCCCATGCTCTGAGGTTCGGGGAGCAATGATCTCACTCACAATTTTGCTGCTTCTCTTAATTAGTCCAGGTAGTTCCAATAAGCCATTCCGATATTGTTTTTAACAGCCTCTGAGTTCATCTAGCAGGCGGATTAGACCAATATAGTATGATTCTGTGTGGAAAAAAATCCTTCATGTTTATTTTCTTTGTTTACCTCTTTCTACTCCAACAATCTGTCCGTGGCAATTCACTTTCACTTCTCACTCCTGTAAATTCCACTGTAACACATCCCAAGCTGGAGGAAATCTGGCTTTCCGCTATTTGTACCAGGCATATACCGTATTTTTCCGCGTATAAGACTAGGTTTTCCCCCTAAAAAATAATGTCTTCCCCCCATTTTCTTAAATCTGAGTCCCCCAAAATAGTCTTATACTTGGGGGCGTCTTATAGATGGAAAAATACGGTATCCAAACTTCTTTGTTTTATCTCCTTCCAAGACAAATAAGCCTGTACTTTAGCTAGAAACCATAATTTCCATTGTCTATTCTTTTATTGATCTGTTAAAAGTAATTGCAAAATTCATAAACCAATTCCACACAGTTAATTCTGTAGTTAAACCTTAATCATAACAATATTGAAGTAATCTTTCTTTCAGGCAGGCAGTCCTTCCAGGGAGATTTGCCAAGTAAGATAGCAAATGGAAAATATAACAAAAGGAAATAATGGAGGTTCACCCCACTTCCGTTCCGACATACCAGTCCCATGATGATGATAATCCTTCTTCCACTCGAATCCTTTGGTACCCCAATGGCTGAATCAGTTAGCAGAATTCTTTATCTCCCCTCGTTCAGAGCATGCCCGTTAATTAAGTCCAAATTTCATCTTAAAAAGCAAGTGTTTGTTGCTCATGGCGACAGCTTTGGAGAGTTTCCAAAGAAATGCATGGTGCTTTACACCCAACCCCCCCCCAGCCCCCTCATTCCTTCCAGACTGGGAGCAAGTGTTGGGTGATCTGTGGGTGGAGCTGCCTCCCCCCGACCCTGGGGGGTTTGGGAGGGTGATTACTCCCATCTCATCCTCAAAATATTCCGTGCGAGACAGCTCTGATGCAATGGGCAGCCGTTCGCCATGGCCGCCAAACAGGAAGACAAGATTAAATGCATAGACTCATTGGAGTTGGAGTTATCCAGTCCAACCCTCTGCAGTGCAGGAATCACAGCTAAACAATGCCTGACAGGTGGCCATCCAATCTCGGCTTAGTAACCTCCAACGAAGGATGGTCAACCATGTTCTGAGGTTCTCCCTTCCACTGTTGAATGGCTCTTAACTGTCAGAAAGGTCTTCCTAATGTCGAGTTGGAATCTCCTTTCTTGTAACTCGAAGCCATTGGTTTGTGCCCTACTCTCCAGAACAGAAGAAAAGCTTGCTCCCTCTTCCATGGGTAGGTCCCTGAAATATTTTAAGATGGCTTTCATCATGCTTCTATGTGACGCACCTCTGTGCTCTCTGAAGCCTTGCTCCCTCTTCCATGGGTAGGTCCCTGAGATATTTTAAGATGGCTTTCATCATGCTTCTATGCGACGCACCTCTGTGCTCTCTGAAGCCTGCGACTGCTGTCCTTGTTCCCCAGGCCCAGAATGATACAGCACGGTTCCTGACAGTCCTGCTTAATTAATAATAATAATAAATAATAATAATAATAATAATAATAATAATAATAATTTATTATTTATACCCCGCCCATCTGGCTTGGTCTCCCCAGCCACCCTGGGCAGCTTCCAACAAAGTAATAAAATACAGTGGTCTGTTCAACTTTAAAAGCTTCCCTAAACAGGGCTGCCTTCAGATGTCTTCTAAAAGTCTGATAGTTGTTCTTCTCTTTGACATCTGGTGGGAGGGTGTTCCACAGGGGGGGTGCCACTACCAAGAAGGCCCTCTGCCTGGTCCCCTGTAACTTGGCTTCTCGCAGTGAGGAAACCGCCAGAAGGCCCTCGGCGCTGGACCTCAGTGTCTGGGCAGAACGATGGGGGTAGAGACGCTCCTTCAGGTGTACTGGACTGAGGCTGTTTAGGGCTTTAAAGGTCAGCACCAACACTTTGAATTGTGCCTTGAAACGTACTGGGAGCCAATGTAGATCTTTCAAGACCGGCATTATGTGGTCTCGGTAATGCATGCTCTTAATTTCTCTTGGTTTCTCTTTCTCTCCTTTACATTTTGAAGTGTGATTAATATCAACACGGGAAATGCTTATTGGAGGAGACAAAACCTGACTGTGTGCCAGCTGGTGCAAACGCTACCTAATACTATCATGGAACTGAAAAACATGACCATCACAGTGGGTAAGTGGGTTTTCTTTGCTTGACATACAATCATAGAATTGTAGAGTTGGAAGGGACCCCCGAGAGTAATCCAGTCCAACCTGCTGCAATGCAGGAACCTCAACTAGATTAAATATGGCAGATGACCATCTAACCACTGCTTAAAAACCTCCAAGGAAGGAATGTCCACCACCATCTGGGAGAGACCATTCCGCTGTTGAACACCTCTTACTGTCAGAAAGTTCTTCCTGATGTTTAGTTGGAATTTCCTCCTTTTTTTGTAACTGGAAAAATTGGGATATGGGTCCGACTCTGCGGAGCAGGATAAAACAAGCTTGCTCCATCTTCCATGGGACAGCCCTTTAGATATTTGAAGATGGCTACCATCAGGCTTTTGTTGGGAAATCTGAATACGTGCAGCTACTCACACAGAGTCAATTAAGGTTTGGCAGACAGCCAGAAAGCAAACTGAAGGAGTAAGTCTGCCTGGTGATAACAGAGGCATGGAGACAGCTCCCTGATTGGTCAAGCTCTCTCTGAGGAGTGATAATTAATGGCCTACTAACTGGAATGTGTTAGTTCAGAGTTCAGTGTTCAGTGTTCAGAGTTCTGTGTGTCAGTGTAGGAGTTGTGAGTTGTGTATGAGAGAGCTAGCAAAAGATCCGTGTTCTGTTCCTGTAAATAGTCCACTGTATATAATAAACACCTAACTACAAGTTCCTGGTTTCTGCTTCGTCTATCCTGTCTGCAGCCAAGTCGCCAATTGCTTCTGTGGATTCTGCGTTTACTCTGCTAGGTCTCGCTAAGGTCCTGCAACTAGTCCGAAAGTTGCGAAACACCAATAGGTTTTGCCAATAGCTTTGGTTCTGGGGGTGCTCAAAGGTACACAGTACTGGCACCTTTTTGTCTTTAGAAGAAAAGCACTGGTTAAATGTGTGGCACTTACTGTAGCAGCTTCATGATGAGTACCATGGAGAAAAGCACTGGCTATCATATGTCCTCTCTGTATCCTCTTATCCATGATGTCATGAGGTTATTGTTTGTCTGTTCCTTCAAACACCAGGGACAGGGGACCTGTAGACCTCCAGGTGTTGCTTGGCTGCAGTTCTAGCAGCCCACGTAACCAATGGTCAGGGGTTTCCAGGACATAGAAGAGAAAGTCCTCTTTCATGCGGCACATGGAGTTTGTTGACGCAAGAGGCAGCGATAGCCACCAATTTGGATGGCTTTAAAAGAGGATTGAAGGAATTCGTGGAGGAGGAGAGGGCTATTGATGGCCACTAGCCATGACAGCTCTGCCCTGCTTTCACAGTCAGAGCCAGCAATGCTTCTGAATGTCAGTTTCTGGAAAACTCAAGGGAGGAGAGGGATCTTGTGCTCAGAGTCAGCAGGCTCCTTTTATGCTGGTTCTCCCGGGCGGCTTTTGTTGCGTTCCCAAAGCAAGGAAGGATTGGACTCTGATTAATAGAATACACACGAGGCTTGGCCAGCAAGACTCTGGGAGGAAGTGCGAATAATAATCTGTCACACCCTGGCCCAGGTCCCTTTATTAACAAAAGAACTTTTAACACAGTGCTTGTAAGAACCAATCAGATGTCCTCTGAGCATTTCAAAAACATCTCCACGCGGGGCAAAGTCAGATCAGTGAAATCCTTGTAACTACAAAGAAACTATTTCCTACTTGAGCATGCATAAAGGTAAAGGTAAAGGGACCCCTGACCATTAGGTCCAGTCGTGGCCGACTCTGGGGTTGCGGCGCTCATCTTGCTTTATTGGCCCAGGGAGCTGGCGTACAGCTTCTGGGTCATGTGGCCAGCATGACTAAGTCGCTTCTGGCGAACCAGAGCAGCGCACGGAAACGCCGTTTACCTTCCCGCCAGAGCGGTACCTGTTTATCTACTTGCACTTTGACGTGCTTTCGAACTGCTAGGTTGGCAGGAGCAGGGACCGAGCAAGGGGAGCTCACCCCGTCGCGGGGATTCGAACCGCCGACCTTCTGATCGGCAAGCCCTAGACTCTCTGGTTTAACCCACAGCGGCACCCGCGTCCCTGAGCATGCATACATAGGAGTAAATAAAATAGGAATCAAGGAGGAATGCTTTTAGCAAACCCCGGAGGTCATAAACAGCAGTAAACAGGAGAGGGAGGATGGCATGGAAAGATAGGCATCTTTATCATCTCCTTGTGAACTCTCTTCCTGGCCCTAAGATTAACAAAACCAAGAGAAGCTAAATCAAAGCTACCTAATATCTTTATGCCTGGTGAAGCAACCGGCAACTGGTCTGTGTACGTGACTTGTCAAGCAAGAGAAATAGGACAGAGATGCAGAGGCGTGGATTGATCAGAAATCATATCAAATGGCTGAAGCCCAGTCAACGCAATGCTTTCATTTCTGACGCAAATGGCGTGCTCCATATTTTTATAACTCCTCATAGCAATCCCACCTGAACACTACAGCTTTCAACTTTGCTAGGAATCTGAACTTGTGCTGACTTCGTGAGCGTGGCTCTCTGGGGGTGGGGTGAACAACGGGTCCACGTTCTTGGGTGCCCTGCCTGTGGCCAAGCTCACACAAGGTTTGGGGGATGGAAATCCAGCAAGGAGCCTTGGGATAATGGTGAGACCCATAAAATTTGGCCAGGAGTTGCCTCACCTGTACAAGGTCAGGAGCCACAGACCAGAGAACAAGGTCTTTCAGGTCCCTGGGCAAGGCAACTTGTTCAGACAGGTTTCTAGATCCTTATAAGCCTATATCCTTCCTTGACTACCATTCCCAGGTCTGCCTCCTTTGAGAGAAAGAAAGGCATGTTCATCCCCATACCAATACAGTAGTACCTCGGGTTACATACGCTTCAGGTTACAGACTCCGCTAACCCAGAAATAGTACCTCAGGTTAAGAACTTTGCTTCAGGATGAGAACAGAAATTGTGCAGTGGCGGCGCGGCGGCAGCAGGAGGCCCCATTAGCTAAAGTGGTGCTTCAGGTTAAGAACAGTTTCAGGTTAAGAACGAACCTCCAGAACGGATTCAGTACTTAACCCGAGGTACCACCGTACCAATACCAAGTAGCCTCCTGGTGATGCCTTCATTCGTGAGGAAGAAAAACCTACTTTTTTTTCTGTTGCAGAAAACGCTGAGGAAGTGGCAGATCTCATTTTGATTCTGCTGAATTCTTCTAAGCTGAGTAAGGAAAAAATTGAGGTCCTTGTGAGCAAGCTCACTGAAATTGCCAACTGTGAGGAGATCAGCGAGGCGCTGGCAAGGAAAGCATTACAAATAATAGATATCATTCTGACACAGGCTACCAACGCCCAGGGCTTGCAAGGACAGATCAACAGGTAAGGGGTCTTGCCAGAGAATCAGTTGCTACCCACACAGGAAAGAAGGATCCTTGTGTGACTTTAAAGTGTAACTAGGACAGCCTTGGGGTGCGGGTGGCGCTGTGGGTTAAACCACAGAGCCTAGGACTTGCCGATCAGAAGGTCGGTGGTTTGAATCCCCACGACGGGGTGAGCTCTGTTGCTTGGTCCCTGCTCCTGCCAACCTAGCAGTTTGAAAGCACGTCAAAGTGCAAGTCGATAAATAGGTACCACTCCGGTGGGAAGGTAAACGGCGTTTCCGTGCGCTGCTCTGGTTCGCCAGAAGCAGCTTAGTCATGCTGGCCGCATGACCCGGAAACTGTACGCCAGCTTCCTTGGCCAATAAAGTGAGATGAGCGCTGCAACCCCAGAGTCGGTCACGACTGGACCTAATGGTCAGGGGTCCCTTTACCTTTACTAGGACAGCCTTTGCCCAGCTGCTTATTCTCCAGAGTTTTTGTGCTCCTGTTCTCATTTGCCTCTGACGCCTATCAGCCGCCACAGTATACAGCCATGCTGGCTGCTGGGAGTTGTAGTTCACAAACATTTGGAGGGAACAAGCTTTGCAAAGCCTGGCTAGGGGATTTAATACTCCCTTGTATTAACCCCTTCCCCCCAAACCCAACATTCATAAAGGAAACTTTGTCAGGGAAGGGCTAGTGTAGGAGGGCCCTCCTTCATGGCATGCAGTCTACATGGAGGGAGTCTGGATCTCACAGCATGGTTCTTTCAAGAGGAACTTGTTCCCCATAGCAGTCAAAAGCATCTCTCCCAGCCAGCCTTCAGCCAGCCTGCCCAAGATGGATCTCTCTCTTGGTTCTCTCCTTCTTCTTCCCAGCACACCTCGCTAAAGACTCTCTTTTCCTGTCACTTCACACCCAGTTACCCTGGCAACCTTCTTTCTCCCAGACCCAAGATCCTCTTAGAAAGACCATCAACACTTTTTGTCACGTTAATGTCTCTAACCCCAGGTGAGGCCCTGGCTTTGAAAGGAAATTTAGCCTGTACTTTTCCACTGGCCTCCAATCTTCCCTTCACTACTCAAAATAATCAAAATCCCTACCATTTATTAATTTCTAGGGTTAGGGGGTTCCGCACCCCCCAAATCTATAACACTATAGTGGGCACAACAGAAACCTCTTGGAATGGAGAGAACCAGTTATCTCTGGATGCAAACTTTTTAAGAAGAGCAGAGAAGGATGTACCAGAAGTGGTGACTGTATGTTAAAGACAGATTGAATCCTGCAAGCTAGGAATCCCCAACGGGGCGAAATCCTCCACAGAATCATGGCGGGTGGTGAGACCAGGCCCCAAGAGCAGTGGAAGCGCTATCATTCCCCCTGGTGAAAATGCTCAGAATGGGGGAGGCAATTGAATCAAAATGCAGCAACTCATTTAAAGCTTGCTGACTGTGGACCAAATCCATTTTGGCAGCCAGATTCACTCCAAAGGCTGCTGGTTCAACCCTGGACCTAAACCAATCTCCTGGTAGGGGGATGAGTTTGGGATATAGAGGAGGTGCCTAAAATTGTCAGGGTCTTTGAAATGCAATGTGGGATCCTCAGCCTCTCATTTTTTAACACCTGGGAATCAAACGTTATGTTGGGGGGCTGAAAATAGACTATAGACTTGCCAAATAAAAAGCGCTGGGTTGTGTCGTGATTCTCCCCACAGTGTTCGCCCTCCTACTGTAGCCTGCCAAGCTGTAGTGATCTGAGTAGCAGCTTTTACACAGCACCTTTTCTCTAGTTAAATTAGGCTGTTTTTTCACATCAGGGTCATAGGCAGGGCGGGCAGATTCCTAGGGCAGCGGAATCCAGGCCAGGGGCGTCTGGGCTGCTCTATCCCCTCCCCTTCACCCTTAGGACAACCAGATTCAAGATGCATGCAAGCGCTTACTAGGAAACGTAGTCTGCAATTGCTATAAGCCGAACTGAAAAATCTGAAGGCTGCTTCCAAACCAGGACCAAACAAGTGTCTTTTTTTGTTTTTGTTTCTCACTTCAGCACCTTTTTGGGTAGCAGATGGTGTGAAAAACTGTGAAACTGGAGGCAGGCTTCCTAACGCTACGAGGAGGCATGATTTGCTCCTGTCCTCCATTTGCCCACTTACCGTATTTTTCGCTCTATAAGACGCACCAGACCACAAGACGCACCTAGTTTTTGGAGGAGGAATACAAGAAAAAAAATATTCTGAATCTCAGAAGCCAGAACAGCAAGAGGGATCGCTGTGCAGCGAAAGCAGCAATCCCTCTTGCTGTTCTGGCTTCTGGGATAGCTGCGCAGCCTGCATTCGCTCCATAAGACGCACACACATTTCCTCTTACTTTTTAGGAGGGAAAAAGTGAGTCTTCTAGAGCAAAAAATACGGTAATTCAGTGTTGGCTATTTGCAGTTTAGTAGCGCAGAGAGCTTGCTGGGGAGACCATGCATTAAAAAGGGACTCAAAAATAACTTAAACAAGCTTTTAATTAAAAACAAAAACTCCTTTTACACTAAATACATCAACAAACAAACATGACCCAACCACCAACCCATCCCCCAGGGTAATGGGAGAGCTAGGTGCTGCTCCTTGTATACTACACCCAATTGCTGACACAGCTTAATCAATACAACTCAGCAGCACCTGCTATGTTTCACAGCTGTAAAGCTGGGTCTCGTTATCTTGCTCTGGCCCCTTAAAGACATACACATCGGGTGGAACAATGATGAACCTTTACATTTAAAGAAACCATTCAACAAGCATCACTGCAGCCAAGCGACTGGCTGCTGGAACAGGCAATGGCCCATCAAGTCCAGCATCCTATTCTCACAGTGGTAGTAGTAATTAATAAATAATAAATAATAAATAATAAATAAATTATACATACATACATACATACATACATAACATACAGGTAAAGGGTGAAGGGACCCCTGACCATTAGGTCCAGTCATGGCCGACTCTGGGGTTGCGGTGCTCATCTCGCTTTATTGGCCGAAGGAGCTGGCGTACAGCTTCCGGGTCATGTGGCCAACATGACTAAGCCGCTTCTGCCGAACCAGAGCAGCGCACGGAAACACCGTTTACCTTCCCGCCGGAGCGGTACCTATTTATCTACTTGCACTTTGACATGCTTTTGAACTGCTAGGTTGGCAAGAGCAGAGACCGAGCAATGGGAGCACACCCCATTGCGGGGATTCGAACCGCCGACCTTCCAATCGGCAAGTCCTAGGCTCTTTGGTTTAACCCACAGCGCCACCCGTGTCCCACGTATGTTGGTGTAGTAAGGACCAAATAGAATAATACATGGGTTGATAATGAGAGAGAAGGGGATACCACCGTCTAGTTGTGAGAGCCATAAAACAAAGCTCACTTGTCTTGTTCCCTTTGTTGTTTAGCATTTTAAAGGTACTGGAACAAATAGGTTTCAAGCTGAGCTTCAGTGGGAAAAGTGAGTCCATCGTTCTCCCAAGGCTGGCTTTGGCTCTCATGCGCCCAGATCCCGTGAATTTCAAGGGAGTTGCTTTTGGGGTCATATCCTATGACTCTGCAATGGATCCACAGGTAAGAGGCCCTTCTTTTGACTCTGTCCTTCTGCCCCACGACCGGTTCCTGCCAGGTCCAGAGGGCTGCTAAGTCAAAGTTTCCCACTCTTCCACTGAAAAATGGGGTAAAAGTGGGCCTTGCTCTCTGGACTGTGGCTTAGATGTACATAGGGAACTTGGAAAGGCACACAGGTGTGAGGAGGAGGAGGATATGTGACCATCTGTAGTTTTGTCTGGAGGTGACTCTAGCCCCCCAAACATTTTCTCTTCCATGCAGATTGATATCCGCCAGGCACCCTTTGACATGGCGCTGGCATCCATATTTTTGCCAGAACTGCTGAAGGGTTACTTGGAGGCCCAGTCGTTTGAGCCAGAAGATCACACAAAGATCCAGTTTTCTTTCTTCGGAACAACTTCGCCGTTTCAGGTAAACATGGCCACTGCCAAATGGCACAGGCAGATCAGGAGGCAAATGGCAAGAGGAAGCTCCAGAATCTCCCTCTCACACATTTCTTTCTTTCTTTCTTTCTTTTTTTAAAGTAAATTTTATTAGTATTTTCCACACAACAACACGAAAAATATCAGAAAATAACAATATACAAAACACAAAAACCAGCATACAAAAAACCCCAAATCCATATCTTACAAGTTAATAATATAAACACGAAAAAGAAAAACAAACATTGACTTCCACCAATCCCACAGCACCTCCTTTACCTCTCATTGTATCTTCCTGTTTTCTTGTTTTCCTTATCATCTCTATCCTAGCATCTAGATATAAATCCCTCTTTCTTATCCTTTCACTTCACAAGATTATTCCAAACTCAGCCAGATTTCTGCCTCGAACCTTGGTTTTTAAGGTATTCATTTAGGCACTCCCATTCCTTTTTCACTTCACTTTTTTGGTTTTGTCTTATTATATCTGTTCATTTGGCTAATTCTAAATATTCTCACACATTTCAGTTGGCCTTCAGCATAGTCTTTTGACTGCCCTTCCTTCCTTCCTTCCTTCCTTCCTTCCTTCCTTCCTTCCGATTTTCCACATAGGTTCACAAGGCGGTGTACACAGTTCTTAAAATTCCAAAACAGATCCAAATCAGGCATATCAACAATCAGACAATCTCAGTTTCCACATGCCTTATTTCTGTCAAAGAGGCTGGGGAGGAAGACAGAGCGCGTCTCTCAAGGTTGCCCCAGAGGCCACCACAGAGAAGGCCCTGTTCCTGACAGGTAGCCCTCTCACCTCATGAGAGGATGGTGCCTGGAGAAAGGGCTTTGCTGGCAGATTTTAACAGCTTTTGCTGGTGGGGTACATGCAGAAGATATCTGGGAGTCCAGACCACGAATGTCTTTGAAGACAGATTGAATTGGGCTGAGGAACCATGTGCTAACAGTTGCAGTTTAACAGCACTCCTTATAATGGCTAATTTCGGTGACGAGGCCCACCAGAATTGTAGCCCATGTGAGAACGAGAAGCAAGTAGCACCAAAAATCTTTAAAGGGGGTGAAAAATTCTTCCAAATCAGTCCAGCAAGGAGTAAGCATGCTCGGTAACTGCAGAATGTAGAGTGATAGTTGGGGGGGGGGGGGACGACAAAAAACTTTGCTTTCTATATTTAAAAATAATGCTTTCTTTGCTTTCTATATTTAAAAATAATAAGAGTTTAAGAAGCAAAGAATTTGTCATCTTTTTGATGGCAGTGGTTGTTTAATTATAGCCAAATATTGGAAGATGTTTGGATGTGGACTTATTAGAAATTTTGTGGGTACTGTTTCTTGTTTTTCAATCCCAAAATTAATAAAAAACAATTTAAAAGAAAAAGAGGAGGTGGGTGGGAGAGGAAGAGCTGGTAGGGCTGACAGTTAATTCAGATCTTTTGCAAATTGCTCATTCAACCAAAAATGTATAAGAAAAAAAGAGGGTTTTTGTGTTGTTGTGTTTACCAATGGTTGGCTCCCAAGCTATGAAACTTTGCACCTGTCTGTTACAGGAAAAGAATAAAAAACTGATCACCTATGTTGTGGGCGCCAGTGTTGAAAATGTGGTTGTTCAAAACCTCTCGGAGCCAGTGAATATAATTCTGCAACATATAAACTCAACGACGGTATAGTATCCTGTTGTCTCCAGTTGCATAAGTGTTGATTCTGCAGCATTAGAGCGCATTGATTGCTGGCAAATAGAGATGCTTTGCTTTGATTTGGGGATGATGCTAAAGGCCAGCTGTTGGAATTCAAGAACGCAGGAAGCTGCCTGAACACGGAGCCAGACCAGTGGTGCATCTAATTCCGTATTGTTTACACTGACTGGCAGCAGCAGCTCTCCAGGGCGTGCGTTGCTTGCCGCGCACCCCCCTGACACGTGCCACGCTCCCTGGGACGTGCGCCAGCCACACCCCTGAATGTACACTGCTCCCGCTGCCGGAGCAGTTAGCGTCACCACTGCGCTCTGCTGCTCACCTGTGGCCCTTCCCAACATCTTGAAGCAAAACACCCCCTAAGCCAGCGGTGGGGAACCTTTTAGAGAGCAAGTGCCCAAATTGCAACCCAAACCTACTTATTTATCGCAAAGTGCCAACACAGCCATTTAATATGGGATAATAACGTGTAATGGGTTTAGGGGTTGCTCGTGCGTAAGTTGCCGCCACTCCCAGCTAGGTTACCTGGTTGAACCCTTTCTGACTGGACAGCCTCTAGCTTCGTGGCTGTCTCAGTCGCTGGCAGAATCCGTCAGTGGGCGTTTCTTGAACCTTTTCCAGCATAAAAGTCTCCTCCTACTCTCCCTGCGCGGAAGTACCCATACTCTCTCCGCTGGTCTCCGACGAGGAGTCTTGGAGCCTCCTCTCCGATTCCCCCATCTGCCCCCCTTCTCTACTGGTGTTACGCTGATTTCCTTCCCCAGCAGATGGGCTGCCTCTCTCCCTACTGGGACCCTCTCCGGCATCCCTCTGGAGCCTTCCCTCCGCCTCTAGCTCCGATGGCAGTTCCCTGACATAACGATTGTCTGCATGCGCACATACAAACAAATAAATAAATAAACCCACCAGATGGGCGGGGTATAAATATATGATGATGATGATGTTTTGCTGTTTGATGAGAATTTGCCTAAGAACCCCATGATGAAGTAAAGGCAGGCTATTGGTGTACGTAGGGGCAGCTATTATGGTGCCCTTCAGATGTTTTTTTTAAAAAACCTTTTAAGGCAGGATGGTGGAGAGCATACCAATCCTTTTTAATGGGGGGCGGCAGATAGAGATAAATAGAGAAGGCCTGTAAATTGGGAATGGGGAATTGGGGGAGGGGGCTCAGGCCCCACCTCAGGGGTCCCTCATCACGGCCTTCTTACGTTGTGCCCCCCACACCTCATTACTGGCCTGAAGGGCTTCCTAAACCTCTTTCCCACCCCCACAAAGACAAAAGTCAAGGCAATAGACCCTAAATCGGGTCAAAATAAAGGGGTCGGGCTCTTTCTAGTCACAGATATTTCCGGGTGGGGGTGAAAGGGATAAAGGGAGGGGAAGAGAGAAATCCTGTCTTCTCCTCAGGCTGCTGCCCGCCGCTCCACTCGCGTCTTCCACCACCGATAGTCCTCCCTGCCCCGGCAGTATCTGGCCATGACTGCCCCCTTCAGATGTTGCTGGACTCCCAACCCCACCAGCATGGCCAATAGGCAGAGATCAGAAGTGTTATAATTCAGTAGCATCTGCAGAGGACCATGCTGGCTACCCCTATACGAAAGAATAATATCAGCTGAAAGAAGGTACATGTCAGGCCACACAGGTCTCCTAGAGAAGGAAAAGCACAGGTCCAGGTGGTTTTGCCTTTCCAACCTGTTATTCAGCTCTAAATCAGGATAAATATCATTCCACAGAAAACCCACTTGACTTTGCTCTGATCCAGAGGGAAACAGCGGGTTCCCCCCTGGGGAAAGTGATGGGTCAAGCGGATGAGCCCTAAGTCATAAAGAGATGGAATCATTGCTTGCTCGACCATTTTAGTCAAAACTGTTGGATTTCAAGCTGGTCTGTAATTTCCAAAATCACCAAGCTGAGAGGAGGCTTCTTCAGTAAAGGTGTAACTGCTGCCCCTCTCGGAACAGATTTCTTGAAATGTCCTTCATGCAGAGAAGCACTGACCACAACCAAGATAAAATCTGAATAATTTGTCCTGCAGGAGAATGCTATCATTCTAAATTTTTTTGGAGCTGGTTGGCTGGTGGTACTGATACTGATTTTGGAGGCTGAACTTGCTTGGGGACTAGTAGTTCCTGGCTGGCTTTATTTCGTGTGTGCATCCACCTTCGGCTTATTATTTTCATAAAAGCTAACAACATAAATAGCTATCTGCCTCTTATCTGATCGGCCTGTCTGTTTTCAATTGGGGGGGGGGAGCGGCTGCCCACTTTGCCAGCCCCCAACAACGGCCATGCTGGGGCGATGGTGCGTGTGCCCACAGAGAGGTCTCCGAGTGCCCACCCTGCCACATGTGCCATACATTCGCCACCACTCTCCTAAGCCATTCCTTTTGCTTTTCAGGGCAATGAGTCTGTGCACTGTGTATTTTGGAACTTTAAGAAGAACGGTGAGTATAAAGGATATAGCTAGCTCTGCTCTGGGCCAGAACAAAGGTCCATCTAGTCTGGTGTACTGATTTCCGTGGCGTCCCTGGGAAGCCCACAGAGCGCTTGAAGGCAAACAGGCCTTCCCTGCTGTTGCTTCCCAGCGATATGCAAACAGGGCATCATTGCATTGATATCTTCTCCTCCAGCAGAAGTCCTCTTGAGCACAAGCCAGCTGTGTCAAATGCAGCTGCCTTAACTTTAACTAGTACTGCAATGCACTCTCCGTGGGGCTACCTTTGAAGGCGACCCGGAAACTACAACTAATCCAGAATGCGGCAGCTAGACTGGTGCCTGGGGGCGGCTGCCGAGACCACATAACACCGGTCTTGAAAGACCTACATTGGCAAAAGGCGAAAGATTTATACGATCTGAAGAGAAACCAGAGTTCCAGACTTTTAAAAACAGCTCCTTTTAAAAATAGCAATATAACGTGAATTTTATTATCTAACGAGACCATTGATCCATAAAATGAAAGCGATAGACCAGGCTTCCTCAGCCTCGGCCCTCCAGATGTTTTTGGCTTACAACTCCCATGATCCCTAGGTAGCAGGACCAGCAGTCAGGGATGATGGGAATTGTAGTCTCAAAACATCTGGAGGGCTGAGGTTGAGGAAACCTGCAATAAACAATGTCCTACAGTCACACACACACACACACACACACACAATCAATCAATCAATCAATCAGTAGCTGGACTGGGTTCCACACAGTCACAAAAACAAAACAAAAAAAAGCCACAAAACAAAAACACAAAATAAATAGCAAAAACAGACAGACCTCAGCGTGATACTCAAAACAGAAGTGTGGCACTCAAAATGGAAGCGTGGCACTCAAATCGGAAGCGTAACACTCAAAATGGAGCATGTTCAGTTTCCAAAAAAAGTTCGCAAACCAGAACACTTACTTCTGGGTTTGCAGTGTTTGGGTTCCAAGTTGTTTGAGAACCAAGGCGTTTGAGAACCAAGGTACCACTGTAATAATAAGCGGTTAAGTTCTGATTTATGGTTTTAGCTGTTGCCCATGAGAGCATTTAACACTTCACCAGCTGGACACAGACAACAAATCATCACTTATTTAAAACCGGGATGGTGGGCGAAATGTTAGGTTTGCTCCAAAGTTAGTCACTTCAGTATGACCCTCTTTCATTAAACCTAGAACGAATTTAGTATTTAGGTCAAGACTTCTAGGCAAAAATGCAGCAAATTCAAAGTTAGCTGAGAATTGCATGATTTGAAGGAGTAGCTTGAGGGGAGCTGTAACTGAAATAATATTTTGATGCATTCAAATGTGCGTCTGTAGTTCAAAGTTCCAGTGCAACAGCTCTAGGCAGCAGAGAATTATGCCTCTGTTTAAAAGGGATGCAACCAAGTAAAGCACAACTTTCAAGGTTTCTTTCTCCCACAAATTTACCAACAGCAGTCTTAAGTGGGCGATCTGAGAAGTGCATGGTGGGAGCATGAGAAGCTCAGCGCCTCTCCGCCCCTCCCTGTGATGGTTGCAGCTAAGCCCCAAGTCAGCAGGAGTCTCTGCAGAGAGTCACACATCCCCCGTGTTCTGTTGGGAAAAGATCTATAAATGGTGAGGGACGAGTAACTGCAGATGAAATCTCTTCTCTTCCCTGCTGCGCAGATAACCAAGGAGGCTGGGATACATCAGGGTGTGAGGTGCAGCGCACAAACGCAAATTACACAATCTGCAACTGCAGCCACCTGACCCATTTTGGAGTCTTGCTGGTAAGCTTTTGTCACTGATTTGTCAGAACTAATTGCCCCGTGTGGTTCCTGCAAAGGACAGCGCGGAATGTCTCTTTTCGTTCAGTTCTATAGCAGTGCTTTTCCCCCCTAAAGAAAATGTTTAGGGGTACTCTCATTTTGACTCAGGAAAATCACCATTTTATAGTTCCAATCGGGGAAAATAAATATAGCAAATAGGCAAAAGTACAAAGATTCACAAAATGTTTAGGGGTATGTGTACCCCTGCGTCCCCCCCAGAAAAAAACAACACTGGTTGTATTTCTTTTAAAATCCTATCTTCAACATCAGACAAGAGGGCTGGGATTCAGTTGTGGATTCAGTACGTTTGGCCTGGTAGAGTTGGTATAGTGGCTGAAAAATGTGCCCACCGTCCACGCCCCACAAGTCAAATCCCATCCCACAGCCATGATGTCATTGGATCATTTTGAAGCAACGAACTGGTATTAGTGTAATAGTTTGGTATCTTTATGTTTATATCTGCTGGTGCAAACAGCAGATTTTGGGAAACAATTTCAACCAGGAAAATGGCACAGGGAGAAAGGATTCAACCTTCTCCTGTAGTGCCTTGGGCCTGATCCAAATCACTCACTTGTATACACACACACACACACACACACACACACATTGGTGAAATGCCAGCACTTGTGATACTACTACTTCTGGAGATTATATTTCTGGAATTTGCAAAATTGCATGGAAAATTTGCTCCTGAGGGTTTTGCAAACTGTTTTTGCACACATACAGTCTATCACTCACAGGCATTCCAAAATTTACAGTAAAGAAGTAGGAGCCGCGAGGTATCAGAATGCAGGAACAAGGATGAGCTGAAGAAAGAACTGGTTCACCCTGAGCCTTAGGCCCCATGTGAATCTTTCCTTTCACTCCAAATTTCACAGAATACTTTGGGGGGGGCGGGTGGGAGGGAGTGGGGCAGGGGAATCATGATCCAAAGAAGCCAAAAAATTCACACCTCAGTCAGCAATGCCCAAACAGATATCATTTTGGGTCTGTTTCCTCACCAACTCTTCCAATGAGAGGCTATTGACTTCCACCCTGGTTTCTAGGACGTATACCGGACGGGATGTGAGGATAAGATTTTAACATTGGTCTCCCACGTGGGATGTGGCTTTTCCTCCATCTTCCTCGGCTTGGCTCTAGTGGTGTACCTTTCCATCGAGTAAGTAGGACCCACCTGCCATTTTCTATCCGACAGCAACGTTTATTTACTTAGATTTTATACAGCTACATAAGCCTGTTTCCAGGGCCAAATCTGGTTTGTGGTTCGCCATCCTTGCAGCAAGCGGCGTGGGGTTCTTGCCACGCAGGAGGGGCAGGCTTTGGCAATACGGTGCCCTGAGCAAGGACAAAATTTGCCACCTCCCTCCCCAAATTTCTTATTTTCACAATAATTCATTTTGGTAAAGGTAAAGGGACCCCTGACCATTAGGTCCAGTCATGGCCGACTCTGGGGTTGCGGCACTCATCTCGCTTTACTGGCCGAGGGAGCCGGCATACAGCTAGCGGGTCATGTGGCAAGCATGACTAAGCCGCTTCTGGCGAACCAGAGCAGCGCACGAAAACACCGTTTACCTTCCCGCCTGAGCGGTACCTATTTATCTACTTGCACTTAGACGTGCTTTCGAACTGCTAGGTTGGCAGGAGCAGGGACCAAGCAACGGGAGCTCGAATCGTGGGGATTCGAACCGCCGACCTTCTGATTGGCAAGTCCTAGGCTCTGTGGTTTAACCCACAGCACCACCCACGTCCATTCATTTTGGTACCATTGCTTTTTTATGGAGCTTCTCTCAGCAGGTATAAATATAGGTCTGTTGTTGTTGTTTGGCTCCACTCCCCTGGTGCCTGCGATGCCCTAACTCTGGGGCTGCATCCTGCTCTAGACCCTTCACACGGGGGACTTAAAGGGGCTGCGTCTTGGGCACAGGGGGCGAACGAGCCCTTCACCTCTTTCGTTCCAGCAAGCTCCGTGGGGACGACCCGTCCAGAATCCTCGTCCACCTCTGCTCTGCGCTGCTGATGCTCAACCTCACCTTCCTGCTGGACTCCTGGCTGGCCTCTTTCCAGGTGCGCGGCCTCTGCATCGCCGTGTCCGTGGCTCTCCACTACTTCCTGCTGGCTGCCTTCACCTGGATGGGCCTGGAAGCCGTCCACATGTACTATGCGCTGGTCAGGGTCTTCAACACTTACGTCCCGCATTACATGCTCAAGGTTTCCCTGGCTGGCTGGGGTAAGTGCAGGGCAGGGGGGGCACTTCCCATCTTAGGGCCATATTACTTCACAGGGAATCTTCTGGGGGCCATATACCAGCAGTGGGCGGAGGGGGGATATGTGATTTCCCCCTTGGTGCAGGAGGTGGCATTAAGACCCTGCAGAAGGCAGAGGGGCGTCCCATCTGTCTCTCCACCTCTCTACCCGGTTTTCTCTCTCTCTCTCTCTCTCTCTCTCTCTCTCTCTCTGTGTGTGTGTGTTTCTCTCTCTGTCTCTCTGTCTGTACTTCTATCTGTTTTGTCTCTCTTTGTCTCCATCAATACAGTGGTACCTTTGTTCTCAAACTTAATCCATTCCGGAAGTCCGTTCCAAAACCAAAGCGTTCCGAAACCAAGGCGTGCTTTCCCATAGAAAGTATTGCAAAATGGATTAGTCCATTTTAAAAATAACCCCTTTTTAAAACAGCAATTGAACATGAATTTTACTATCTAACGAGACCATTGATCCGTAAAATAAAAGTGATAAACAATGTACTACCGCCACACAATCAATCAATCAGTAGCTGGACTGGGTTCCACACAGTCACAAAAACAAAACAAAAAAGAGCGGAGGTTCAGAAGAAGTGTGATTGAAAGTCAGGAGCCGCAGAGAAATATCTCTGAAAGGCCAGTTAGAATAATAGAGTTGCAGTGCAGCAATCACTTGCCTCCTGATCTTCCCAAAAGGGACTGGGCATATTTGTGGGAGAAATGTCTGTCCGTGTCTCTTGGTCGCGATGGCACACTAGTTCCTAGGGAGCGGCTGTGGCGGGGGCCGCTGCTTTCTGCAAGTCCTGCTTGGGGTGGGATTTCCATTGGGACGTTTAGCCGGCCTGGGGGTGGGGAGACAGCTCTTGGTCCAGAGGCTCTAAATGGCAAGGGCAGGGAAAGGGAGCTCACTCCCTAGCAAAATCCCTCATTGCCTCTTCTGTTTCAAGGCATGTTCAATCACGGCCTAAACTGAGGTCCAGTGCCAAGGGCCTTCTGGCGGTTCCCTCACTGTGAGAAGCCAAGTTACAGGGAACCAGGCAGAGGGCCTTCTCGGTAGTGGCACCCACCCTGTGGAACACCCTCCCTTCAGATGTCAAAGAGAACAACAACTACCAGACTTTTAGAAGACATCTGAAGGCAACCCTGTTCAGGGAAGCTTTTAATGTTTGATGCATTACTGTATTTTAATATTTTGTTGGAAGCCGCCCAGAGTGGCTGGGGAAGCCCAGCCAGATGGGCGGGGTATAAATAATAAATTATTATTGTTATTCAACGTATTCTCAGAGCCAACAGCATTGTGTTTATTTCAGTGGACTCTCCCAAGTGAAATGTCATAAGCTGAATTAAATTCTTGCCATGTGCCTTTGCTGTCGCCCATCCCCGCACTCCCCTGGTGATACAGGTCTTCCTGAGGACTCTCGTCTTCCTCAGACGGGTCACAATTGCATCCATGCTGGTCTTTTTCCTTTCTGGCTAACCCATTCTTCTTTCTCCCTCTTTGCCATTAGGAATTCCTGCGGTCATCGTTTCCATGGTTCTCATTATAAGCAGAGACTTCTATGGGGTTTTAAGCGACCCCCTAAGCAGCAGTCCAGTCACACCTTTGTAAGTCTCTATGCTTTGATTCTCCTCAGATCAGCAGGAAGGAGGTCATACCTATATCCCCTTCCGTTCCCCCCCTTTTTGGATTTTTTTTTGGGGGGGGAGGAGAATTCAACCTTCCTTGCTTTTCGGTACACCAAGCTGTTCACTCCCTTCCATCTGATGGGTCAATTTATGGTCCTGGCCTTTCTCAAGGAGATTCCTCTGTCTGTTTAGCTGCGTGCATACAATGCCCAAACATCCGATGCTTACAATTCCTTTAGCGCTTTGCAAATCATATATATTAAGATCATGTAGGATTTGTAACCAGGAAGCCTGGCCTACTGCATAACCCACTCTAAAACTTATTCTGCAATTTCCAACATAAAATTCAAGTTTGTTTATTGAGGATTGTATCCAGCCTTAGTCAGTTTTTGTTGTCTTAAGTGCCTTCCTTTTCAACAAGGCTTTTAAGTTGAGTCTGCTTCTGCGCTGGGATTGGTTTTAAGATGTGTTTATTGTCTTATCATTTGTTTGGGGGAAAGGACAGGATATGAATTTAACTAACCACCACTGATGGGTGTCTCATTGAAAAGCCTCAAGAGAGACTTCCAGCTATCATGAGCCCATCTGAAAGAAATGGCCCTGCCGGCAGCCTTAACAGCGTCTCTCTCCCTCCTCGCCTTGTCTGCTACAGTTGCTGGATCCGCGATGACCTTGTGTTTTACATCTCTGTGCTGGCCTATTTCTGCTTGGTGTTCCTGATGAACACCATCATGTTCATCGCGGTCCTTCTGCAGATTCACACCATGAAAACGAAGAGTCCTGGCCGAGTCAGCAGCTGGAACCACAGCTTCCTCCACAGCTTGAAGCGGGTGGTCAGCTTAATGGTCCTGCTCAGCTTAACGTGGGGTTTTGCCTTTTTCTCGCTGGGGTCCATGCAGACATTGTTCTCCTACCTCTTTGCCATTTGCAACACCTTCCAAGGTAAGTGTTTGTACACAGGTGGGTGGGCTTCAGAAGAGGGACCAGAGGAGCCTGCTGAGTCAGGCCAGAGGCCCATCTAGTCCGTCCTCTTGTTCTCACAGTGGCCGTTTATGGGATGTCCATTATGGGAAACCTGCAAGCCAGACATGAGTCCAAGAGGAGCTCTATTTCCCCTCCTGCGGTTCTACCTCTACCTCTCTTTTAAATCAGAACCAGTGAGGGCAGTGAAGGTCCTGTGTGAGTGCCTGGAGGCGGTTGGAGGATGCAAAACCCACTTGGGACCTCATTGCTCAGTCCAGCTAGCACAGCACTGTCCACACCAGCAGTTCCCAAGCCTTTGTGGGCCACTGACCCTTGGTTCCACAAACTCATCCCAGTGGCCCCTGTGGAACCCTATAAAAAGCAGTATCCTCTCCCCCATGCTTTTTAGCATCTACATGAAGCCGCTGGGAGAGATCATCAGGGGGTTTGGGCTGGGTGTTCATCAGTATGTGGATGATACCCAGCTCTACCTCTCTTTCAAATCATAACCAGTGAAGGTGGTGAAGGTCCTGTGTGAGTGTCTGGAGGCAGTTGGAGGATGGATGGTGGCTAATGGATTGAGGTTGAATCCTAACAAGACAGAAGTACTGTTTTGGGGGACAGGAGGCGGGCGGGTGTGGAGGACGCCCTGGTCCTAAATGGGGTAACTGTGCCCCTGAAGGACCAGGTGCGCAGCCTGGGAGTCATTTTGGACTCACAGCTGTCCATGGAGGCACAAGTCAATTCTGTGTCCAGGGCAGCTGCCTACCAGGTCCATCTGGTACGCAGGCTGAGACCCTAACTGCAACTAATCCAGAATGCGGCAGCTAGACTGGTGACTGGGAGCAGCCGCCGATACCATATAACACTGGTCCTGAAAAAGGCCTACATTGGCTCCCAGTACGTTTCCAAGCAAAATTCAAAATGTTGGTGCTGACATTTAAAGCCCCAAACGGCTTCTGTCCAGTAGACCTGAAGGAGCATCTCCACCCCCATTGTTCAGGCCTTCTGGCAGTTCCCTCCCTACAAGAAGCGAAGTTACAGGGAACCAGGCAGAGGGCCTTCTCGGTAGTGGCGCCCGCCCTGTGGAACACCCTCCCATCAGATGTCAAAGAAATAAACAACTATCTTACTTTTAAAAGACAGCTGAAAGCAGCCCTGTTTAGGGAAGGTTTTGAATGTTTAATGCTGTATTGTGTTTTTAATACAGTGGTGCCCCGCAAGACGAATGCCTCGCAAGACGAAAAACTCGCTAGACGAAAGAGTTTTCCGTTTTTTGAGTCGTTCCGCAAGACGAATTTCCGTATGGGCTTGCCTCGCAAGACAAAACGTCTTGCGAGTTCTTGCGAGTTTGTTTCCTTTTTCTTAAAGCCGCTAAGTCGTTAATAGCCGCTAAGCCGCTAAGCCGTTAATAGCCGCTAAGCCGCTAATAGCCGCTAAGCCGCTAATAGCCATGCTTCGCAAGACGAAAAAACCGCAAGACGAAGAGACTCGCGGAACGGATTAATTTCGTCTTGCGAGGCACCACTGTATTCGGTTGGAAGCCTCCCAGAGTGGCTGGGGAAACCCAGCCAGATGGGTGAAGTATAAATAAATTAGTAGTAGTAGTAGTAGTAGTAGTAATTCAGCAACTAAAACTCAGAAGCATTACGGCCACCTTGCTCTCTGCTGGCAGCAAAATCTCTTGGTCTGACTCTGACCCATTCTGTAGTTGAAGAGATGATGGCAAAATTGTGGCCAGAGGAGTGGGGAGGGGGGTATAATCTAATGAATGTTTTTCCTGCTCCCCGCCCCCTGACTCCTTCCTCTAGGATTCTTCATTTTCGTGTTCCACTGTCTCATGAAGGAGAACGTGAGGAAACAATGCCGAGTGCATTTCTGCTTGGGAAAGTTTCGGCTCAGCTGTTCTGGTATGACATTCTCATATATATAAAACCAACCCTTGGGGATGGGCTGACATTGTTCTTTGTGGCTGCTTTTGCACTTCTTGTCATCTGAGCTGCCCCCTGCCTGTACTGGAGGGACTGTGATGGAGAGGCCCAGCCATTGCCCTTGCCAAGTCAGAGGCCATTATAGCACAGGGAGTGAGGGGACTGGACCCCCTACGAAAGTCCTCAGATACAATCCACCAATCCCGTATGCTATGATATGTGTTAACAGTAAAGGTAAAGGTACCCCTGACCGTTAGGTCCAGTCACGGTCAACTCTGGGGTTGTGCGCTCACCTCGCTCTATAGGCCGAGGAAGCCGGTGTTTGTCCGCAGACAGCTTCCAGGTCATGTAGCCAGCATGACTAAGCTGCTTCTGGCGAACCAGAGCAGTGCACGGAAACGCCTTTACCTTCCCTGCACTTTGACGTGCTTTCAAACTGCTAGGTGGGCAGGAGCAGGGACCGAGCAATGAGAGCTCACCCCATCGTTGTGGGGATTCAAACCGCCCACCTTCTGATCGGAAGCCCTAGGCTCAGTGGTTTAGACCACAGCGCCACCCGCGTCCCTTATGATGTGTGTTAGGATTATTATTTATTATATTTTAAAATGAACATAGCATTTTTAAATCTTTTTTAAAAAATAGATTTAAGTGTGGCTAACAACAAAGGCTCAAAATACCAAATGATTTAAAACAATGCAACAAAAATTTAAATGTGTTATTTAAAAAGCCCAAGAACCTCATATACAGGGCTTTAAATAGAGTGAAGCAGCAGTTAAAGGGGAAACAAAGCAACAGCAAGCCTTTTAAAAAATCTATTTAAGTTAAGTGGAGGCACAGGTTCTGTGTCTGTGTCTCTGTGTGATGGTTCTGTTTTTTTAGGGCTTTACAAATTCCAAGTACAGTATGACCAGTCCTTGTCCCAGGGGGATTCCATTCTCATACAGACACAGCTAAACAACAGAGGAGGCAGCAGAAGATGAGAAGCAGGTGAAGGAAGCTATGGAAAGAATCTCTGACAGCTTTAATTCCACGTTCTTTGGCTTAGTTTACAATAAGGCATGGGGAACTAGTGGGATGACCCCAAAGGCTTCTAGGAAAAGCCGAGTTTTGAAGAAAGACCTAAAGTAATCTAGACTAGAGAAGAGGTCGTGCGGAGGCATTCTGGGAGGCAGTTCTAGGCATAAATGGCAGCAAATAAAAAATGGACTTCAGGGGGGCAGGAGACCGTTTATGCTTTCATACCCTCCAAAACCTGCCCTCCTATGCTGTTTCAGATTGTAGCAGCTCTGCCGCAACTCTGGGGTATCACCATCACTCGCAGAGGACGTCACCCCATTCTCTGAAGTCGCAGAGCTCTTGTACCACCAGCTCCACATCAAATGGTTCAGGAAGCTTACCAGGGGCTGCTCCTGAGACTGGTGAGTAGGAACTACCGTATTTTTCGCACCATAGGATGCACCGGACAATAGGACGCACCTTGTTTTAGAGGGGGGAGAACAAGAAAAAAAAAATCTCTCCCTCTCTGCCCAGCACCCCTTCAGCGAAGCGGCAGGAGGCGCTGCGCAGAGAGGGGGAGAATTTCCCCCCTCTTGTTTTCCCCCTCTAAAACAAGGTGCCGTTTAAGGTGCGTTCAGACGCCTTCAGGCGGCTACCTTGGAAGCCTGGAGAGCGAGAGGGGTCGGTGCGCCCCGACCCCTCTCACTCTCCAGGCTTCTGGTTCCTTTCGACCTGCTCTTTGGGGCTGGCGGGGGGAAGCCCACCACCAGCCCCAAAGAGCAGGTCGGGGAGCAGCGCAAAGGTGCGCGGCTATAGAGGCTGCTGCCATAGCTGCGTGTTACCTCTCCAGCCGGCAGAGGGTCGTGGGGCTATGCTGTCTTCGCTCCATAGGACGCACACACATTCCCCCTTCATTTTTGAAGGGGAAAAAGTGCGTCCTATGGTGCGAAAAATACGGTATATATATATCCAGATAGCTGGATAGATAGATAGTGCTATATACTGAAGTTCTCACACTGGGCCAGCAGGGGGATACTGTAGATAGTTTTCCCTCAGGTCCACATATGCAAATAAGGGATTGAAAGTGACGTTCAGTGATTGGATAGTTACAGAAAATGGTTACTGTTGCGTTCTAGTAGAGCTCTATATAAGCAGGCTGGCTGAACCCTTCAATTCAGTTCTGTTCAGTTCAGTTCTATTCTGGCCTGTGAATAAACAAGAGCTGTTTGAAGAATCGCTGTGTCGTCTGATATGTTCACCCACAAATTAACAGATAGATAGATAGATAGATAGATAGATAGATAGATAGATAGGATCGTAGACCACAGGCTACCAGTACTGCAGGACGAGATGGGAAGTGGGCGGTAGCGTCTGGAACTGGCACTATGGAGGATGACGTTTCAAAGTGAGGGGTTTGGTGCACCCTGTTTTTGAGTGCTTTTTCTGAGAAGATTCCCCCAAAGTAGAAAGCTAGCACAAAAGGTAATAAAGTTCTCATTCCCCCACCTGCCACAATGGCTGCTTTGATACTTTTTTTGAAATATCAAATTCTTTCAGAAATTTATCTTCCTCTTATTTTATGATGCGTTTGCTTGTCTAGTGCCGGAAACAGACCCCCCTTAGCCTGTCTCTTGAGCAAATCTGGCACTGGCTTGTGAGGTGGGTGAGTTTGTGTGTGAAGCATCTTCCTTTCTTTAAAAAAAAATGTTCCTAATAGTTTCCTAGGTTTTACAGAACATCTTGAAAACGCAGAAAGAAAAATCGTATTTCCAGTTTAAGCTTTCCTGGATTATTTTCAAAAGGCGTGAATCATTGGAGGGGTGGTTGACTCCCTCTGTATTTATTTCCTAGATGAAGTTTTGCACAGCACCCGCCACACATCCTTTACTCACCAGAAGGTCAAGCTTCCTCGGGTGAGAAGAATGTCGCCAATGGATGCAGAGCTTCACTGCACTCAGAAAACGAGTTTTTTGCCTTGAGGGCCTGTCTGGTTCTTCCTGGGTCTCTGGCTGCCCAGTCTGCTCTTTACAGTCGTGACAAATCGGCTGAAGATCTTTTTTCAGCCTCTCCTTCCACCCTTCTCAAAGTATTCTGAGCCAATTCAATAAGTTAGTTTCAGTTAAGGGTTTAGAAAAGCCTGCCAGTTGAGCAGGCAAGCTCTCAACCTATGCCCCATGAAGACGAAAGCTTGGACAGACCAGTGGTTGCAAACCAAAATGAAAATTAAGTGAAGGATTAACATCGGAATAGTTTACTGACTAATTAAGAAGTGTAATGTGATATTAGATGATTAGCCCTCCGCGAAATTCAGAGCATGGGAAGTCACCCAAAGATATATAATTTGGCAATATATTCGGCTTTTTATTGTATTGTAATTTGGAATGTTATAATGTGTTTCTTATTGGATTATTAAATTGGAAAACTCAATAAAATATAATATATAAGCAAGTAAAGAAGAAGGCAGTCTGACCTCTAATCCTGACCCTAACCCTAAGTTCTCCTCTGAGGAGGTGGAGCTTGAGACAGCCACCTATTTAAGTTTGCAGCAGGTGGTGGACTCTGTTGGTGGAGCATCACTCAAATATCTCTGCATTTGAGCTTGCCTTGCATCTGGTAAGCAGCTGCCTGGGGTCCTGATAACCTAAAGCTTCACCTGGGCTCTTGCTCTGCTTTGCCAGAATGGATCAGGGCTCACAACGGGAACTCAGGGCTCAGTGAAAGAAAGGGAACCACACAGGTCTTGGCAGGCCCAGACGGGGGGGGGGGGGGGGCCATATGGGCCACTTGGCCCGGGCCTCCAATTCCAAAGCATATCCACAATTGCAGGGGACCATTGTATATCTATATTTTCCATTTTGTCTTTATATGCAGATACGGTTCAAGCCTTGAAATAAAATTATTTCTCAGCGTAACTTTTGTGAAAATTATTTATATACAGTGGTACCTCGGATTAAGTACTTAATTCGTTCTGGAGGTCCATTCTTAACCTGAAACTGTTCTTAACCTGAAGCACCACTTTAGTTAATGGGGCCTCCCACTGCCGCCGCACCGCCAGAGCACGATTTCTGTTCTTATCCTGAAGCAAAGTTCTTAACCTGAAGCACTATTTCTGGGCTAGCAGAGTGTAACCTGAAGCGTATGTAACCTGAAGAGTATGTAACCCGAAGTACCACTTATTTATAAGACCTCAGTTATCCCCAGGGTAAAAAAAGGGGGGGGAGCACCTTATCTACCTGGCCTGGGCCTCTGCCTGGCTCTGCAAGGCCCTGGGTCTTGGATTCAACAGTGAGAGAGTAGGAGCAAAATACATGTTCTAGTGATCTCACAGTTTCCCAAATTGGCAGGAGAGGGAAGGAAGATAACAAAACGTGGAAGAGTCTTTTTGTGTTGGACCAAAGGCCCGTCTCGCCCAACATCTGGCTTCCTACAATGGCCAACCAGGTGCCCCCAGGAAGCTCCCAAGCAGGGCTAGGGGGCATCTGCTCCTTCTTGTCATTTGCCTCCCCCTGACACACACATCACCTGCTAGTTTTCAGAGGTGTACCATGAGGGTTTATAGCCACTGCAAGACCTGTTTTCTCTTTATGAACTCAACTGAGCCTCTTACAAAGCTACCTGCTAGTAGCCGTCGACACAGTTCATGGCGGAAAATTCTGCAGGTCAGTGCTGAATTGTGCAAATTACTTCCTCCTTTGTGCCTTTGTGCCAGCCAGTCCCTTCCAAGGGAAGACCAGGAGATGTACACACACACACACACACACACACACACACACACGAGAGAGAGAGAGAGAGAGAGACAGAGAGAGAGAGAGAGAGAGACTTCTCTCTATCCAGTTTACTTTAGTAAAGGTAAAGGGACCCCCCGACCGTTAGGTCCAGTCGCGGACGACTCTGGGGTTGCGGCGCTCATCTCGCTTTACTGGCCTAGGGAGCTGGCATCATCTGGCCAGCATGACTAAGCCGCTTCTGGTGAAACCAGAGCAGCACACAGAAACGCCATTTACCTTCCCGCCGGAGCGGTACCTATTTATCTACTTGCACTTTGATGTGCTTTTGAACTTCTAGGTTGGCAGGAGCAGGGACCGAGCAACGGGAGCTCAACCCGTCGCGGGGATTCGAACCGCCAACCTTCCGATCGGCAAGCCCTAGGCTCTGTGGTTTAGACCACAGCGCCACCCGTGTCCCACTTTAGTTAAGTTAAAAATCCCTAACTATTTTTTTACTGATGGGGGGGGCAGATCCCTCCCCTTGGAGACAGTTTATTTCACCCTGAGGATATGTATGATGGTTAATAAATCTGGCCTATGGAAGTGAATATGATTGCTGGCTGTTCCATTCAGCCCCACTTCCCGCCCATGAAGGCTTTCGATAGTTGCTCATCATTGAGCAACTGCCTTAGCAGAGATGGCGGCTGAGTGAGTCTCCCGCACATGGGGGAGCAAAATACAAAAGGCTCTTTTATTCCCACGCAGAAGCAGTTAGTGATGGCTGGGGGAGAAGGAGAGGAGGAATATTTCAGTAAGAACCTTTCCCTGAAGGCAGCAGCGAGAGCTCCCAGGCCGATCACGCAGTGCCTTGAATTGGGCTGTAACTGGCAAGGAAGGCAATGTAAAAGTTTTTGTTAAAACCAAGTTAAAAGTCTTAAGATGTACAGAGAAGATCTGCGAGGAGGATATTCAACATCCCTGAATTCTGCCCCTTTGAGATCCAGCGTGGCAAAGTGTCAGACTAGGACCTAGGAGACCAGGGTTCAAATCCTCTCACTGCCTCTCTCAGCCTAACCTCCCTCACAGGGCGGTTCTGGGGATTAATTGAGGAGAGGGGGGAACCATGTTCAGCTCCTGCAAGAATAAGGGGGAATGGGAATGCGGTAACTAATAAAATGAAATAAATCTTCCAGAGCAGCCAGAAGGACAGTGGCGTAGCGTGAGGGGGGCTAGAGGCGCTGTTGCCCTGGGAAATAAACCAAGGAAAATAAACCACTTTGAGTGGCTTTTTTAAACAACCAGGTGGAGTAAAAGTGTCATGAAACAATCATAAAATAAACGGCCACTGCCGCTGTCCCCTTCCTAGCTCCCCTCTGCTGGAAAAACCCTTCCCCACCACCCTCTGCCGCCTTGCCCTGACAGGGGGCGCAATACTTGCCCTGGGCACTGGCAACCCACGCTACACCACTGGGTTAGGAGACAGGAATTGATCCTTAAAACTATATCCTTAGGAGTTATCAAGTCTATGAGCCAAGGGAAAACTTTGGATCAGGACCGTATTGAAATGAAGGGGGGGGGGAAGAGACCCAAGAATAAGAGTGTCCAAGGTGAACATGTGTCTCTAAACGACAGAAGAGAAAGTTAACTTTCACATCACCAGTGGAGTAGAATTGAGTGAAGAAATGGTGCACACCAATGTATCCTTAGCACATTGGGCTCAACCTCCTAAACTTCCTAACTCAGAAAAGGCAACCCAAATGGTCGAGGGAATGGAGCAACTGCCCTTGGGATATTCTAGTTTAGAGAAAAAGAAAGCACAAGGTGAAAGCAGCGTTAGGGAGCAAGGGAGAGTTGCTCTTGTGCTTGAGTCCTGCCTAGTTGGCCACTGGAAGAACAGGATGGGCCTCGTTGGGCTTCATCTAGCAGGCTCTTCTTATGTTAAAGGTAAAGGTAAAGGGACCCCTGACCATTAGGTCCAGTCGTGGCAGACTCTGGGGTTGTGGCACTCATCTCGCTTTATTGGCCAAGGGAGCCGGCGTACAGCTTCCGGGTCATGTGGCCAGCATGACTAAGCCGCTTCTGGCGAACCAGAGCAGCACACGGAAACGCCGTTTACCTTCCCGCCGGAGCGGTACCTATTGATCTACTTGCACTTTGACGTGCTTTCAAACTGCTAGGTTGGCAGAAGCTGGGACCGAGCAACGGGAGCGCACCCCGTCGCAGGGATTCGAACCTCCAACCTTCTGATTGGCAAGTCCTAGGCTCTGTGGTTTAACCCACAGCGCCACCTGCGTCCCCTTCTTATGTTAAGAACAGGTAAAATGGTAAAGGACCCCTGGACGGTTAAGTCCTGTCAAAGGTGACTATGGGTTTGCGGCTCTCATCTTGCTTTCAGGCCGAGGGAGCCAGCGTTTGTCCACAGACAGCTTTCCGGGTCATGCCAGCAGGACTAAACCGCTTCCGGTGCAACGGGTCACAGTGACGGAAACCAGAGCACACGGAAACGCCATTTACCTTCCCGCCGGAGCAGTACCTATTTATCTACTTGCACTGGCATGCTTTCGAACTGCTAGGTTGGCAGGAGCTGGGACAGAGCAACGGGAGCTCACCACGTCATGCAGATCTGAACCACCAACCTTCCGATCAGCAAGCCCAAGAGGCTCAGTGGTTTAGAGCACAGCGCCACCCACGTCCCTTCATGAAGAACAGCACACTTGGGGGAAAGGGTGTGTGTGTCTTGGTAAAGAAAAGTATTTCAATTATTACTTTTTGTCACATTTATTTTAAACCCTGTCTTTAAAAGCAGTTAGAAGCCAAAGCAAAACACAGGCCTTTTGGTTTCTGTGGGGAAAAATAAGAGCAGAAAGGAGCTTTTGGCTGGTCCCTGTTGCTATCTTCTATCTAAGCCAGCCCCCCCCCCCCACCTCATTCCATAACTCAAGAGTGCTTCACTGAAACTTCAAATGCAGCATTGTTTAAGTTGTCAGGTGGAATGAAGGCATATAATTTTATGATGGGGCGTGAATCAGCCTCTCTCCACACCTGGCACCCTCTCATTTGTCTCTCTGATGCCTCCTTGCAAGATGGGGGGGGGGCATTGCGACAGGTATGGAGGTGCAGAGACAATAACACCTGCTGAATTCATCTTGAGTCATTTCCTGATCACCTCAAAGAATATTCAAATGTGAACATGAAGAAACACCCAAAGGCAGAGGTGGCAACAGAGATCCAGTTAGGGGTGGGGTGGGGGCTGGTGATATCTGGGAATGTGT